TTTTTCTTTCTTTACTTGTTTTTTTGATATGATGTGTTGAGGAGTAGAGAAGAGGTATGGATTATGGCTAATGTGCTAATTTTTGGGCAGGCGCTTTTTGCGCGCGCGCAAGTTTGATGTCGCTGGTGCTTGGGCGCAGTTTAAGGATACGGAGGATTGGAGGAAGGAGAATGCGATTGAGGAGTTGTATGAGAATATTGAGGTTGATTCTTATGATGCTGCGAGGAGGATGGTACGTCTTCACATTGGACTGCTCGTTCAGATCGGTCACCCAAATCCTGGAATCAATCACTAACTACGTGAAATAGTACCCCCAATGGACCGGCCACCGCGACCGCCGCGGCATCCCCATCTACGTCTTCGAAATCAAGCACCTCGACAGCAAAAACATGGCCAAATACACCTCCACCCTGAACGAATCCGCCACGGCCGACACGCACCAGTCGTCCAAGGTGCCGCAGCGTCTGCTGCGATTGTTCGCCCTATATGAAAACCTGCTCAACTTCGTCATGCCGCTTTGCTCGCGGCTTCCGCGCCCGAACATGGAGACTCCTGTCGTTGCCTCGACGAACATTGTGGATGTGAACGGGGTGGGACTGAAGCAGTTCTGGAATCTGAAGGGCCATATGCAGGATGCGAGTGTGCTTGCTACAGCGCATTATCCGGAGACGTTGGATAGGATTTTCGTACGTCCACCCTACCCTTACCTTGAACCTCTTTGAAACCCGACTAACATCCTTCCAGATCATCGGCGCCCCAGCCTTCTTCCCCACAGTCTGGGGATGGATCAAACGGTGGTTCGACCCCGGCACAACCTCCAAGATCTTCATCCTGTCCGCCGCAGAAGTAAAACCCACCCTGTCGGCATTTATGCACCCCTCCAGCATCCCCAAGCAATACGGCGGCGACCTCGACTGGAAATGGGGGGATATGCCTGCTTTGGACGAGGATGCTCGTGCGCTTGTCGGCGACGCTCTGGCAACACCTGCGGGTGATGACGCGGCTCGGCAGGAGGTTATCAAGGGCCCCGTTCTGTTCGAGGATGATTGTGTTCATATCCTGGGTAAGGTTAACGGCGTGAGCAGAGATACAAAGATTCCTGTCTCGGATACTACAACCAGCACAGAGCAAAAGTCAGACATCGACGCCGGGATCGAGAAACTCAACATCACCGTCGAGGAGGGAGCGACTAGAGATGTCACAGCAGAGGCCCCGACGCAGACTGTGTCTGCTTGATTTTGTTCCCTTCTTTCTTTGATCACACTTACTACTTCGATTCTTTGTTATCCCCCCTTTTTTTATACATGATTTCAAGACTTAATTATAGATATCTTTATTATTATTACCATTCTTTCATTTCGGGTGTTTGTCCATTCTACCCTTTGACCCTTCTTGACTTATGTTCCTCTCTTTTTGAATAAAGGTGTTAACAGTCCCATGTTCTTGGTGTATACATACGTACAGGAATATCTCGCCTAGTGTCATTTCCGCATCGTTTTGTAAAATATCCAAACTTCTTAATTTTAGTTCCACACACTCTATTTATTTTCTTCATTTGACATGTTTCTGTTTCTTGGCTACTGTGGCAGTCACTCCCCACATAGGCTGCAGGTTTCTCCGGACAGACTTAATTCTGCATGGCGGCCAGTTGGTTAGGCAGGCTGAGACAGGGTACTACTACTACTACTACTACTACTAAGAGTGTGTGTATCAGGAGTAAACTGTGTTTGAATTCTACTATAAGGAGACAATGACGATTTGAAGAATCGCATCGCTGGGGAGCGTTCAAACAACTGTGGGATGCTGACGTGAATACTTTCAGGGAAGCAAACCTGGAGGTAGAGAAGAGTGGGGGCTGCCGAGATATCAATAGGGAAAGCCTGCTCAATTTGAACTTTCAAGACAGATATCACTCATTCTTGATATATTAAGTGTGTACACCTGGGGTGAAAGTTGCTAAGCCCAACTTAAGAGGTCATGGGATATTTCTCCTGCTTACATAGAAGTGAGTCTTTGAATGTAGCATTATTATGGAATTTGAAAACTAGTTTAGAACTCATTGATTATATGGCGTGGAGAGTGAGATGGATAGATAGATATAGAACCAAGTAAAAGCTCAAACCAAATAAGGTAAGTAATTGATATAGTATACTATAAAACCATCTATCATCCATTCATCCTGAATCTGAATCTGAATTGAATTAGATCCTTTAAGTTAGTCAGTACCCTCATCAAGTGCAAGCATATATCTTTCTTTCTTCTTCTTTCTTTCTTTCTTTTTTTTTTGGAGACTGTAAACGCCTGTTTTCATGCAAATGCACCCCATCCGTCCATTTCTCTTCTCCATCCAAACTATATACCTTTTTTCCCTTTCTTCTTTCTGTATCTTTTTATTTTCCGTTCAGCATTTAATGGCGAAACAAGTAATAAGAGAACACAACAAGTAATAAAAAACAATAGATAATTTAATCAAAGATCACAGCATCCATCACTCATCAAACCAAACCGTGGGGGAATCTAAGAGCAAGTGAAACATGAGATCGAGTGGAAGGAAGAGGAAAAAGAGGGAAAGTAGGGAAAGAAAGAAAATGGTATAATATGAGAGAAAGTAGAGAAAGAAAAAACGTGACAGGTAGGAAGAAAGGAGAATCATGCGCTCAATCGCTGGATAAAGGACTGTCTTGCTGTTAGTATGAATATAGAGAGAGAAGGGGGGAGAAGGGAGGGAACACACCGGAAAGAACTGTCGGAACCCCCTCACATCCAACCGCATCAATGCCCCCGTAAACTCGTCTACAAGCTCTCCTCCCATACCGATCTTGGGCAGTTCCTCCGTCCGCAGATACTCAACATACTCCATCCCCGTCTTGCTGTAGATCGTTCGTTGCAGGCCGCCGGCCTCTGCGAGGACCTGCTTCGCCTGCGCATCCTTGGAGTTGAAGGACGGCGTGGTGGGCAGTGCCCAGCAAAGCGGGGACATGTGGGTGAACATGAACTGCTTGAAGCCCGTCAGGGCCTCTTGCTGCGGGGCTGCCCCGTTCGATGCGTCCGGCACTACGTCCGGGCCGCCCCATGAGCTGCCCATCTTGGACAGTACCGAAAAGGCCATCTTGGCCGTCGTGAAGTCGTCGACGTCCTTGGCGAAGTGTTCAATCGTCGTGATGACGGTGTCGAACATGGGTTGGTTTCCTGCACTGGTTAGCCAGAGAAAAAAGGGAGCAAGGATATGAGCTGGGAGGGGAACATACGGGCACTAATAATGACCGACCCAAGATCATTATTCAACACCGCCAACAAAAAGTTCAAGTACTCCCGCTTCAGCTCAGCCAAATGAATCTCATCATCCGTCCCGCTCGGCGGGTCGGCGATCCCCGAGAACACCCGCTGCAAGAACGGCGTCAACAGCGTATCCAAAATCTCGTAGATCTCGCCCTTGAACCCAAAGATCACCTGGTCCAGCAGTCGCAGGAAGAGAGCCATCTCGTCCCGAGACGACGTCTGCGTCAGCAGTCCGTCGATCCACCGCGGCAGCTGGGGCAGGATGCGGGATCCCAGCACGCCAATCAGTCGCGAGAAGGCAAACCGCGCTGCCGTTCGCACGTTGAAGGATGACTTGAGAGATTCCAGCGCGACCAGAACCGCCTCCGAGGACTGGCCGAACACCTCGGATACCTCCGGGGCGGGCAGCTGGCTGGGAGAGCTGACGCCCGGCATCCAGTCTGAGAATCCGCGGGCCAGCGTCCCCAGCGCCATGATGTCGTGGTGCACCTGCAACAGGGCGCGCTCGTCGGCGGCCTTGGCTGCGCCAAGATGATTCTGGATGTCGTTGTAGATCGGGGTAAGCACCGACTGGGCGTAGAGCACCTGCTTGTCGGCCGTCACGGCCGGCGTCGAGCAGATGATGCCCACCGCCTCGAACAGATACAGCTGGCTATTGAAGACGGCGTCGGCCGATCCTTCGTGGTCCTCCGAGGACATCTCGTCGCCGTCATCGCCGTCGGCGGACACCTCCGCCCGGATCACCAGCAGATCCCCCAGGGCCTCGACCACGGTCTGGGCCAGGTTGCCGATCTGGGAACGCAGCTGCTTCATCAACCGTTGGAAGAGATACCACGATCGGGTCCTCACTTTCTGCACGGGGTGGTGGACCAGTTGGAGGAAACTCTCGAGCACGCCGGGGATGAGGTTGACGTTTTGCTGGAAGAAGGAGCTGTAGCGCACGCAGATTTCCATGTACTGCAGCTGGGTGGCGGGATGTGTGAATGACCGGATATCTGAACACGTAGATGTTAGTAACGGGAAGAATTTACTCTCTTCTTGAGGGAAAATACCAGATTCGACCATGCGCATCATCATCTCGGTCAATCGTTCCGCCGCCGGGTTGTGCGGGACGCCCTTGACATACAGGCTGCCGCCCTTGACGGCGATGTCGCCGAACAGGAACATTTCGTGTAGGGCGAGGTCTAGATCGCGCCAGTCGAGCTGTCCCCCCGACTGACGCATGTTCTCGAAGGTGGTGGCCACCACCTCGGACACAGCTCCAATGTACAGCGGCTCGTCGACGGTGGCGACGATCTGCTGCAGCACGCCCAGGCGTTTGCGGAGCTCTTGGAATTCGGCCTCGTCGGTCTGTTCGTCGTCGTCACCCCAGGACGAGGTGTCGTCGTAGCGCATCTTGGCGATGACGGCCTTGAGGATGGGCAGGAGGATGGAAGAGTGCTGGGCGGCGGCGGCCGGGTTGGACTTGGCAACCTTGCGCAGGTAGGAGAGCAGGTCGCTGACCGAGGGGATGACGGTCGAGCAGACCTCGTCGTATTCGTCGGAGAAGTAGCGGAGGATGTGGGGCAGGAAGGCCTGGAGGAGGCCGTTGGCCTTATCGCGGTAGTCGGGCGCCGTGTGGTCCTGCTCCAGAGCGCGCACCACGTCGATGACGGTGATGTTGACCAGCTTGGCGACGGTCTCGGCCAGGTCGGTGTCGTACTTGAAAGTGAAGCGGTTCTCGTAGAGCGGCGGGCTCGCGGAGAGCTGGGCGACGATGGAGTCGAGGTTGAGGAAGATGATCATGTCGACCTTGTCCTCGGCCTTCATCTTCTTGCCGATGATCTCGGTGAAGACGTCGACGGCAGCGTCGCGGACCTTCTCCTCGCCGGAGCGCAGCTCTGGCTTCTGGGCGCGGCTCAGCTGGCGGAAGAGCAGGTCCAGCATGGTCTGGTTGACGACGAGGCCGATGTCGATCCAGCTGACCCAGCTGCCCACTGCCTTGAGGGACATCTCGACAATCTGGTCATCGACCTCGCTCCAGCTCGAGAGAATCTCCTGCCACGAGCTGGCAATCTTCTGCATGTCCCGGACGCGGATCAGGTCCTTGAGCGAGTTGGCGCGGTCCTGCTCGGAGCGCGAGCGGGAAAGGAGGACATCACCGATCTCGTCGTGGATGGCGTGGACGACCCGGAGGTAGAAGACAATGCCGCGGGGGTTGTCTCGGGAGGTGCTGGCGGGGCTCGAGTAGGTCAGGGTCAAGAGGTCGTCGAAGAAGGACTCCCACCCACTCGCGTAGAGAGCAGAGAAGAGGAAGGTGATGGTCTGGGCGATCTTATTTTGAATGGCGGGGCCGTCGGGGGTGGCATTCTCGGGGCCGAAGCTCTGGCGTAGGTAGGTCATCAGGCCGTCCCGGACGTAGCCCAAAGCCTGCGGGTCGATCAGACCGGCCTGGGCCGCACTGTTGACCACTTCCAACGCGGCATGACGAACAATCTCGGAGTGTTTCGGGGTTTTGGTGAAGAGGGTAAGGCAGACCTGCCAACCGGAGGGATCGGAGCGAAGTTGATAGAGGTAGTCGAAGGCCTGGGTTTTCAGGGCATGGTCTGAAGCAGGGTTGGAGGCGATCTCGATGGCGCTTGCTACCTGACGGGGGGAATTAGTATTTAACCAATTGTTTCTTGTCTCTTCATTTCCCCCTTCTTTCTCCATGATCCATAAGAAAATCAAACATCAATGGAGTGGAGGGGCATAGAGGGGCACGAGGGGAGACGGAGACGGGGGGTGGGGGGGATTTTTTTCTCCCCATAATTTGACCGAACAAGACCAGAGCACATCGACGAAAGAGAAAGAATAAACATACCTGTTCTTCCATCTTCGACCAGCCTGCCTTCAGAGTCTTCTAGGGGACGGGACTCAAAAAGGACAGAGAGATAGAGGGAGAGAGGAGAGGAGAGAGAGAGAGAAGGAGAGAGATGGAAGGAGAAAGAGTGAGTCGGAGGAGAAAGAGAAAGAAAGGTGGGATGATGGAATAAGAATTATGCTGGATGATAATCAGGAATAAAATGATAATACGAGACCGATGATAATAAATCCCGGTCTAACCAGTCTGGGCCCGATCCAGTTTCTCGGGTAAATGGGATAGAAATATCTAATCAAAATAGAATAAAAAGGGAGTCAAATAGGAAAGAGAATGAGAATCTAGACTATCAAACAAAGCATTTCTATAAAGCGATTGTTGTGCGTTGAAAAGATCAACTGGTGTTCCAAACTTGGGTTTTTTATGATTCTTTCCCGACCGGGCGGTTGGCTGCCCGCCGTTTCAGGCACCGATCCAACTGTCTCCCAGGACAGCGCATCCATGCCTGACATCATGCCGATCAACTATTATATATCGTAGAGTATATCTATCTATATATATATATATATATATATATATATATGATTTTAAACAAAGAGAAATTCATTGGTTTTTCGCCTCCTCCACCGCCTGATGCTCCATCTTCGCGAATCCCTCTACCGCCTGACCGTACTGCGCAAACAACCGCGGCTGGTATCCGTCCGCGATCTTCTCGATGAACTCCTCCTCGTGCCATCGCTTCCCGATCAGGTCCTCGAACGTCTGACCCGGCGTGCGCTCGATGCCCCAAACCGCCTTGTAGGCCGCTCCCAGGGCACACGCGTTGTCCCCGATCTCCAGCTTGTACACCCCCTCGCTGCCGCCCAGCAGCTCGCCCGCCAGCTTGGCGATTGCCTTGTTCTTGGACCCGCCGCCCACGAGGTACACCCGGCGGGGTTGGGCCGGCATCCCCGAGCCGGGGCTGGTTGTCAGCTCGCGCGACCGCAGCCGGAGTGACAGGAGCTGGCTCTCGACGATGGCGCGCGCTTCGTCGGCCGGCCGATCCCATCCGTCTGCCGTCTCGTGCAGACGGCCGTCCTGGGGCTGGTAGGTGAAGCGCCGTTGGCAGGCGGGCAGGTTCGGCACGATCTCCGGGCGGGGGAAGAACAGGCCCATCTTCATGGGGTCGGAGGCCGGGTCCTTCTGGCCCAGGGCGGGGGTCTGCAGCGCGATGCGGTCGAAGTGCGCCCACGGGTCACTGTCGTTGGGGCCCAGTTTCGCGTTGATGGCGTCGCGGATTTGCTCGCGGGCTAGGCCGCCATTTTTGTAGCAGAGCATGAACATGTAGAGTCCCGCGGTGGTGGGGTGGTTGAAGAAGTGCGTGGCCGGGTCGGGCTGGTAGCTGGGCGTGGACATCAGGAAGGTCGTCGATGTGCCCAGCGAGACCATCGCGTCGGACGGCCGCAGCGGCAGGGCGAGGATAGTCGCCGGGTTGTCGCCCGTCGACGGGATGACCGTGCAGCTCGGATTGAAGCCGTACCGCTCCAGGAAGTACCGGTCGACCGTTCCAAGGTGGAATCCGCCGTCCTCGGGGACGGGGCCAAGCTTGCGCTTCAGGTCGTCCACCCCGAAGCTGCCCGCGCACAGCTGCAGCAGCCGCTGGTCGAAGTCGCCCTTCTTGATGTTCCACAGGTTCATGCCACAGACGTCAGAGATGTCAAACGGTGCAATCCGACCCAGGAAGAGCGACGCCAGAAACGAGGACACCAGAGAGATGCGGAGGGTCTTCTTGTAGGTGTCGGGGTGCTTTTTCTGGAAGCGCAAAATCTGGGGACCGGTGAATCTCTATCGATGTGGTTAGTATCACCATGATCACCTTACTCGTCAAAAACAAGGTAGTAAAAGCAGGAAACTCACATGATGCGCCTTACTCCCCGTCACACGGGCCAACTCCTCTGGGCCCCCCAGACAGGCATCAAACTCATCACACTCACGCTGGGTACTCGAATCCTGCCAATTGGGACTATACGGGTGCGAAAAGGCCCCACTGAGCTGCTCCTCAAGCGACTTGCCCGCGTCGAGACTCTTCAGCACGATCTCAGCATTCTCCCCCCAGTAGACACTCCCATGCTGCTGGCCGGCGCCGCTGACGCCCATGACGCGGGAGAAGTCGAGGCCCTGGTCGCGCAGGCCTTCGAGAACGCCATCTAGGGCCTGCAGCCACATGGCGACTGGAGCGACAACCTCGTGCTCGGCTTCATTGACGAGGACGCCCTTTTTGATGGGGAAGTTGCGCGAGTCAGCGTCGAAGTCGAATTTGGAGACGTAGACAACTTTGAGGTCCGAGTTGACGACTAGGCCTTTGAGTTGTTGGGTCGAGAGGTCGAACCCGATGTATAATGGGCCGGAAGTCATATTGGCCGGAAAATATGTGTATTATGTTGATTTAGAGGTGGATTGAAGGAGGAAAGGTGAGGGTGGGATAGCGGACGGGGTGGGATGGTGGGGGATGTTGCGGTGATGACGTCGTTGTGCGGGTATTTGTTGATAAGATGGGGTTGATATGTGGATGTATTAAGAGGAAGTGAGATACATGGAATGTATTACGATGTAAGAGAGAGAGAGAGAGAGAGAGAGAGAGAGAGAGAGAGAGAGGGAGAAAGAGGAAAGAAAAAGAAAGTGTGAGGCCGTGGATAAAGTTCCACGAGGAAAGTTAGACAATTTATCTTCCTCCATATACCACACAGCACTATAATGATCGTCCGCTCTGATGTACCGGTTATTTACCCAGTCCAAGACGATCGCATCTCGCCCTCCTTCCCACCGGAAGACGGCGCCACAGTGAAAACACCCCCAGGGATGAGCTAACACGATGGAAGCTTCTAAGTTCTGACCATTGCCACATATGATATCAACCGAAGTGGGCAGTGGAATCTGGATACTAAGTGGATCCCCCACTGGCACTGCCGCGCATTTAACCGGTTAATATGCCTATTTACCGGTCTAGCTCTAGAACAGCAATGGTATCATCGAATGTTGAGCATCGGCATGGTTTGTCTAGTCTATACCTTAACTCATTAGATGTCTGGACTCGTGGGTATAATATTTAGCATGTATATCGTGGTGTATACGATCTATTGACAAGACAGATGACCAACTATGTCGGTATGTGATCATGTCGGTCTATCATGAGTCGATTGCCATCTAGTATTTTCTCCAATCCGAGTCTATTCCAACCGGACTTCTTCGGCTCACCAATTCAGCCCTGGGGGTATCTTATGACCCGTCAATTCGAGGTCCGAATGCAAAAGAAATGTACAATCGACACGAACTCATGCCACTATAACGAAAAATCAACGTCGCTTGCGGGTAGAGTCGTGGGTGTGGTCATGGTCATGGTCATGAGTGTGCCCCTCGAATTGCGCATCAATGGCGCCCTCGTCCGATTCCGGGGTGCGCTCGGAGACATCCTCCGTCGAGATGAACTCCTCGGAGAAGGTGGGTTCTTCGTGCTCAATGGGCACAAAGCGGATCTTGACGCGCTTCACACCTCGCACGGCCACTCCGATCGCCGACCGCACGCTCTCCTCGATCTCGCGCGACCGCGCAATAGGCCATGTGCCGGGCACCCCCAGTTCCATGTCCATCAGGTAGTTCTGCCCGGACTTCATCCCCTGGACGGCGCGGACCTGAATCGCGTCGCCCTCGCGCATCTTCCCGATCACCTTGGCGGCAGCCTTCTGCACCGAGGTCTTGATCTCGTCATCCACCGTGGTATCCGCCAGCTCGAGGAGCGACGCCGTAGTGTTACCCCATCCCGCCTTGATGACCATCAGCGAAATTAAAAGCCCGCCCACGGGATCCAGCCACGAGGCATCCCGGAAGACGTAGGTGCCGGCAATGGTGCAGAGGGCAACGATACTCGTCAACGAATCGATTCGGTGGTGAACGGCGTTGGAGGCCAAGACTGAGGACTTGCGTTCGGTCGCGACTTTCATAGCTAGAGAACCATGAACGTATTAGCATGCGTTGCTGACGGGGGACAGATCAAGGAGACGGGAGTGAGACATACTAGCATGATACAACCATTCTTTCACCACGATGGACCCAGCCGCGAGCCAGGCCGCGTGGATGCTAGGACCCGACGCGTCGATCCCGTGGCTATGCGAATGCGAATGGACGTGACCGAGGACTCCCAGATGCGCCATTGTCTCCGCGGCTTGGGGATAGAACTGACTGAGCAGCACCTGGCCGGAACTCAACCCCATAAAGACACCTCCGCACAGCAACAGGCCGCTCACGCCCAGCGCGCCAATGCTCTCAATTTTCCCGTAGCCACTCGGAAAGCGTTCACTCGGGGGTTTGAGCGACCAGGCGACCGTGCCCAACGTCAGAAAATCCGACACCAGATCGGTCAACGCATGGTAGGCGTCGGCCACCAGGGCCTGCGAGTGAAACATGTATCCTCCAATAAACTTGCCAATGGCCATGGCCAGGTTGGCCACGAGACCAATCCGCGTGATCCGGACGCCCGCGTCGTGGGTGTTCGAGGAGGTAAGGTAGACATTGCTGCCATGGTGGTGATGGTGATGGTGATGGTGGCCACCGTGGCCTCTGGTTTGCTCGACCATGGCAGGGAGGGTGACGGGGGTGGTGGTGGTGGTGGTGGATGTGATGCAAGCAGGGGGCGGAAGCAGGCGGGGGGAGGCGGAGGAAAGGGAGACAGGGAGGGAACCGGACTTCTTATAATAGCCGGCACGGGACAGCGTTGTCGAGGATGTCCGCAAAACACGAAGTGGAGTTGAGGACAAACGAACACGAGGAAGAAGAGCAATACCAGATCGAGCTTCTCGCCAGGTGGAGGGGCGGAGGGAGGATGACCGGAAGGAATACGAATCGAACAAATGCGCCCTGCACCGCAGGCGCTGCGTCAGCGGCATCTCAGACCGGAGTGCCGCAAGGCGCACGCACAGGTCGATCAATAGTCGTAACAAAGACCAAATTGAACGAGTGATAATCCAATGAAAAAATAAATAAAAATAAACACTAGGCCAAGTCTGGGGTCCCGTCAGAAAATAACGCTTAGCCCTTGGATAATAATAGTAATGAGAACAATCAATAGGCTGTTCAATCAGCACCGAATACTGATGATTCACGAGCTGAGGACACTCTGTTCTTCTTGGCCGTTGAATACACTGTGATCACAGTGCATCTGTCTTTGTTGAATACACCAATTGAGGACGTTGGTGGAGGAGGGGAGGTGGTTGAAAGAGCAAGAAGTCAGGAAAGAGAGAGGAAGATGACGAATTATCATACCAAGACCGCCCTATCCAACCCGGCAAGTCATGATCCCGACATGCGCTGAGCTTCGGCTCCGACGTCACTGGTTAGCCCTAACTTGATGCCTTCGTTTTGACCATATGCAACGTATAGTGATGGTTGAAAGAATTTATTTATATTTGGTCGATGGGTTTACTTAAGGAATTCAGACTTTCTTCTTGTCCTCGTCAGACACCATCAACGTCAACAACCATGGAATTGACAAATGGGTCTTAGGGTAGCTCAGTCTGAATCCGGCGCTTGGAGAGCTCGGCGTATACGATTGTTTGGGCTAATGCGAGACGGTCAACACCTTATCCATCCTGGTGGTTCTATCCTGATGGTTGGAGGTACAGCCATTAAATGGTCCACCTATTTTAACCCCTGGAGACTGGTGAATATACTCGGCTTGTCTTTATACGTCCGACGGTTTGTATGTAGATTACTTACCATCCTCGTCCATGGTGTCGTAGTCGACGATGCTTCTCTGGCGGAGAACGTCCAGCCCAATCTGTTGAGTAGGCACTTGGTTCTTGGGTACTTTCGTGTGATCGGGCAGAATGTGTAAAGTGACAGGCTTCTCTTTGATCTACTAGACAACCTACAAAAGGTTATGTACCTATCAATGTACGAAAGCAGTGACAAAGGATAAAATATTAATTTCTTGTCCTTTTTCACTGTCTGAGTATTTGAAACATTCACAAAGCAGTCATTATAATATAGAAATCTTCGGTAGATATAGAATGAAGACAGTTGCCGTGTTCTACAAGGTAGGATGCAAATATGATGGACTCATACTCCAAGTGACCAAGAAAAATGGAAAGACGCAACAATACTATGGAGCACGACTTGCAAACAAGAAACCGATTAGAAGGAGGGTATGGATTGTTCTTATGAAACGAGCTAATAAGCCTATCCGCCGGAGGCATCTTTTAGATCATGGTATATCTTCCACACCGCGAAGTAGGGAGCATGAGACGTAGCTTGATAATGTTACTGTTTGAGAACACACCAGCAACTTTGCTAGGACTGGAGTCACTGCACACAAGCATCAGGATGATAGGGCAGTGATTTCCCAGGGCTCGAATTGCCAGTTGGCGGACCCGTCGGGTAGACCCACGAACCTGCCCGTTGCGAGCAGACCCCAAAACTGATCGGCTTTGCTCCGTACTCGACGAAAATATGATGGTCCAGTTCTACGTGACCATTTCAACCCATCCTACTGATCTACGGAAATGCCAACATAAAGTATAGTATATAGGCGATGTGACCCTGATATGAAACCCTTTACGTCTCATTGACGAGAGAAGAATGGGCGATTAACGACGGGAGTCCCTCTGGGGTTCTCATGCCTCTCGGCGATCGCGACAGAATGCCGAAATCAGTGAGAGATGCTTAGCACGTCGACCTCATCCCAGTGATGGTGGCCGACGTGGGCGGAGACCCGTAGAGAAGGAAGAAAAAAAACAGGAAGAAAAACAGCGGTCGAAAATGTTATATAGGGCAATCCCGTGACGAGGGCGGTGAGTGTGGGAAGAAGAATTCTCCGACATGGTAATGCGCAGCCGCTGATTGGCTGCGCTGCGACAATAATGCCGAATCCACGTGACCACAGCGCAACCCGAGGTAGTCCGACCCGCGATTCCGACACAGATCGGGAGTTCGAGGCGCCTTTTGGACTTTCTCGTTGACGACGACAACGGTATTCTCCTTGCCTGCTGCTGCTCCACTCTCGACTCAGGTGTCATATCTATCTTCATCATGCTTTCCCAGAAGGTCGCTCAACAGTCCCTGCGACGGCGTATGTTCTTTCTTGTCCGCGTGCAATTCGGGGGTCTCAAACTAATTCGTGATCCAGTCGCCGTCCAGCAGCCCTACGCTATGCGGTGGGCGGCGATGAATGCTGCCTCCCCGGCCACCATTGCGATGGGAAGGAATGTCCAGACGAGGTGGGTGATGATGATTTCCGAGTCTCTTGTGCCAATGCGACGGTCTGGTCGGTGCAATCGGTCGCATTGCGACAGGGATAATCGACGTCATGCGAGACCTCCCATCAGCGACGGGACAAGAGACACAACGTTCTCAACTTCATGCCAAGAGTATACTGATCGATATTGACAGATTCACCGCGTCGACCACGAACAACCAAGACCCCACCAAGATCCTCGCCCAGCAGCGCCTGAACCGTCCGGTTTCCCCCCACCTGAGCATCTACAAGCCCCAGATCACCTGGATCGGCAGTTCTATCCACCGTATCACCGGTCTCGTCATGTCCGGCCCTCTGTACCTTTTCGCCACGGCTTACCTCGCCTCTCCCCTGCTGGGCTGGCACCTGGAGTCGGCCTCCATGGCCGCTGCCTTCGGCGCCCTCCCCCTCGCTGCCAAGGTTATCCTGAAGACTGTCGCTGCTCTCCCTTTCACCTACCACTGCATGAACGGCGTCCGTCACTTGATCTGGGATCTCTGCATTGGTATCACTAACCAGCAGGTCATCAAGTCGGGCTGGACTGTGGTGGGCCTGAGCACAATCACTGCCCTTTCCCTTGCGCTTCTGTATTAAGTTTCATGTGTCATACCTTCGAGTGGTGTTCTTTCTTTTACCCCTTTCCTAGTGTTGTTCTTATAAAATTGTTCTTCGTGCAGTATATTTTACCAGTGTCAATCAAGGCTGATCTTTAAATTTTCCACGTCCGGTATTCGTTGTGGTTTTTTAAACAACCCAGGATGGAAACAGCCGGGTAGTCATCCGGTGCTGACTGTTTTATGGTAGGAAGAAAGTGCTTCGATGCTTTTATAGATAGCGGGAAAGCACGTTGGCTCTGGGTTCTTTTGATGGTTGATTATCAGCTAATGCAATTACACGGTCTCACCGCTCGCGACTCTGTCTCTCCTCATTCTTCTAACTGTCTAAAGCCAATCACCGAAAACATGCCAATGCATCTTTGTAACCCGTCTATTATGGTGTCCAATCGTTCTCCTCCGGTTTCAAGTTGAAATACCGGCGGTCATTAATTTGCTTATCTGTGCTCTGTGACAGGGGTCAGCACTGGAACGTTGGCGAACTCAAGACTTGGCCCAAACGTGCGACCTGCTCCAACATACCAATTTCCACCTATGGTTCACTCCGGGTAAACCCTTCCAGGGGTTCCAGATCGATGCAAAGTCAAGCGGGACTTGGAGGAGGGTTCGGTGGGAACGGACGGGGAGACGGCGGGTCTTGCACGGAGAACACTATTACGCCGATATTTTCCCGCCCCTGGAATCTGTTCTGTAAGGCTGTCCGGGTAGGGTTTCGAATAAGCAGAGGATCGACGACGGGCCCCATGTTTCCAGAGCACGAAGCGTGCGGATTTGATGGGTCGGGATTGGATGGAAGCGAGGGATACACAAGATGGTGGACGTTGTGGGAGGTAGTGAGGGTCAGGTGTCAAGAGGGTGACAGATGTTGTGTTCTTCCTTATGACAGTGGGAAGATACTGATCCTGGCAAAGCAAGATTTAGGTTTCTTGCCAGACAGATTGGCTCGACTGCGCTGTTTAAATGCTCCAGCCTCTATACACCGCCAACCCAGCAACCCAGCAACCATCCGACGGCACGGGAAAGGGCCGCGTGGAAAAGGCCATTACGACCTTCAGATGGCTATTACTATAAGCGATTAGACTCCGGCGGAGGAGGACTGATCGCTCTACCCTGCAAGGGCCCGATGAGAAATTGGACGTATAACTCAGAAAATCGGGGTGCGCAAACCGGTGCTATCGCTTGAACCTGCTCTCCAGGTCCTAAACTTAGCACTGACTGGGGGATGGAGAGCGTGGACGTCCCCAACGTCTTTGCATTTGTTCCGCCACAGCCCAGTTCCCCGGCCATCATCCTAGTCTTCTCAACCTTGCAGCAACGGGCCTTGTGATACCCTCGGTCTCGGGTGGATGAGCTCCCCGGATTCCTGCAGCCATTCCGCCGGTAGCCTACTTGCGGTGCCAACATGCGGTTTCCTTGCGTCGTATTCATAGCCCGAGAAGATTCGCAGTTCTTATTTTCGTCTCTTCCTTCTCTTTCCTCTTCTGAACTCTCGTGGTAATTGCTAGGGGAATATCTCTTCTAGTTTGTTTCCGACATCCGTTCTTTTCCCTCCCGTCACAACGCTCTGAACTCGGTTTCATTGCTTGCTTCCTGGAGCCCGGGGCGTTTTGCTTTGCATCCGCTGTGTGGACCAGTCGAGTTCCTCACGGGAGCTCGTGGAGCGGTGTTCCAACGCAAACAGGGTCTTCGCAGTTCGAGAAAACGAAGAGCCCTCCGATTGGCTACTAAGTGGAGTATACAAAGGCATTGTTACGGACAGAGGGATCGGTTTTTTACCCTTGATCCCTTTTGCCGTATCTTCCTGCGATATTAAGACTCATATCTTATCTCTTCTCTCGTTCCTCTTTCCTTTTTGTCTCTTTGTCCGACGTCCTTCACTAACAGAATTTCGCAAAGCTGGGGCCCCGATCAATCAGTTCCGAAATTGCGGTCTAAGAAGCAAACACATCGGCCCCAGATGAGCCCTGCACCGCTCCATTCCAGTGGATATCATTTACCAAACAACCAACACGTGGAGGCCTCAACACCACCTGGTCGCGCAAATCCCACCTCAATTGATAGGGCGGCGTTAGGGCTTGCGCCAGAGGCCGGGAGAGCTCTAGCAGGTATCCCGGCTAGCAGTATTAGCGGCGTGTGAGCCATCGATTCACTTAAACAATCGGGGGGACAATTCAATGAGATCAACGCACCACTCTAATCTATATACAAAGCACGGTCTTTCTAACCGCAGCGACAAGCATTGGCTTCAGCAGCCGCCACAGGCGGACGTTGAACTCCACGACGAAACCCCCGAAGCCCTCGGGGTGCTTCTTGTAGTTGGCCCAAAAACTACCCGTCTCCATCCCCGACCATTCTAAAGCCGTTTATCGGCACCCGCAATGGCCTGGGTAACCGGAACAGCGGTGCTACCGTGGACCATGCATACTGTATCGTGCCGGGAGATTTTCTGCAAACGGCTGTTTACTTACTTACCGCTGGTTCTGATGCTATCTGCCGAGGCTTATCCGGTGGGCTGCTGCAGGTGTTTATTGTCTAAGGTGGTGAGTAAAACTGGGGGTTAGGCTTGTCCCACCTCATATCGCCGTGGGGGGAAGAAATTAGCCACGATGGGTTTCAAAATATACTCGTTGTTGTCGTGGTACGGATCGAGATGGTGCAAGGCCGCGTTTCTGTGATGTGCCTGTCTTCGTCACAGCTCATAGCATGACCTATAGGCAAGACGATGCTGATGCTGGTGTTGTTCAGAAGAAGACTAGAGATGGATACGGCTGGAGACCGCTGCAACATGTTGGTTTGGAGATTCAATGGCCTCTAAAGTTTTAGCAATCATGTTCCCCATTATCTACAAAACACACACAAATTGACCCGGTGGGACTGGATGAAGCGGTCAAGTAAAGACCAGATTATATCCCTAATCGGACCATTACAAACGGATGTAGGAAGCCAGTCCGTCAGTACCTCAGGGTATGGCAAGGACGGGGTGGTTGACATGGAAGAGGGTAAATGTAGTTTTCAAGACTGGACGACTGCAAAGTGGAGCCTTGGAGAGTAAAATAATAGCGTACTATCTCCGCCTCATGTCTTTCTACAGAGTTACCTGGAAGATGATATTGTCTAAAAGATGAATGGCCTTGAATATCTGTCCGAGAGCATTGGATATTGATACCTGAGGTGTCTACAAATCCAACCCAAACGAGACTAGCGTCGCACCTCCGAAATCTTCCCAATGATCCATCCCGAACGGAATTCCAATCGCTCCCTCGCTCTCTCAGCGTGAACTCCCCCCAACGACCCTCTCGCACCCTCCCAGTCGGTCTCTTTTTTCTCGATCCACACAATGGCATCAATGCTATCCACGCGAGCGGCCAGGACCGTCTCCTGCTCGGCCTGTCGCACCCTCGCCGCCCCCGTCGTCTCGTCGTCCGCTCTTCTCTCCCGGCGTGCATACTCGACCGAGCAGGAGGCGTCCTCCCCAGTCGACTACGCGAACAAGCCCCGCTGGTCATACACGCCGCCGCGCGCGAAGGCCCCCTTCAGCTTGCGGTTCGACTCGCGGCGACAAGAATATCCTGTCAACTCCGACCCCAAGGCCTTGGACGAGTTCTACCTGCGCATGCTCGGCAAGGACGGCGACAAGGTCTTGTCCGACGAGGTGAAGTGGCTGGCGGTGACGCATAAGAGTTTCGATCAGGGCCGGAGAGGTTTCAATGATCGGTTGGCTTTCTTGGGTAAGTCTGATCTCACCTGATCTGATCCTAGTTTGACTCTGGGTCGAACCGAGTCGGTCAATTGGGACACACGCTAACGAGGCGTATTTGATCTTATAGGGAAGCGAATTGTTCAGCTGCAGGCTTCGCTGGCGCTCGTGCAGAGCCCCAGCACCGCCGCGAATGCTGCGACCCCCGATGCTCACGGCCGTGAGCCTTTCACGCACCCGGCTCTTGATGGCCTGAACAACCTGTCTCAGGGTATGAAGGACTTCTTGATCAGCAAGACGCAGATGGCGGAACTGGCGCAGAAGTACGAGTTGCAGAAGGTTCTGCGGTGGAGCCCGAGAAAGGTAAGTTTTGCCTTGATCCCAGAGGGATATGCTACGTCCCGCCTGTGACTTTACGTGGCTAACATATATTCTCGTCAGCCCCAAAATCTGACCACCTCCGGGCTTGACCTGGTCCTCACCCACACGATGTACGCGGTGATCGGTGCCATTTCGCTGGAGAAGGGCGGCCATGCGGCCAACCAGGTGGCTCAGGAGCGGATACTGGCGCCGTTGGGCTTCAAGACTACGGCTTGAGAGCGCTAGGGAGGGTGTACAGGGAGCATTTCAGGCGTTATTCTCATTTCTATCTTTACCTCTACCCGATTGACTATGGATCGGGATTGGCTGGGGACTGCCAACATCCCCAGGATACTGTTTCTTCTCTTGTCCTTTTTTGTGTACTGTACTACTATACAACCTGTGATATACATGTGGATTTGAATTGGAAAGATCATTGAATGATATTCTGCCTATACGAGAATTTCAAAATAAAATAAAAAAGGTATGCAAGAGATGTCCGGTTCCTCTGACGCCGCCCGAATAACCGTAAAATACTCGGCCAGCTCTTATGGAACCCTCGTTCAGAAAACGATCGTAGTCTCCGCACCACTGTATCGCAATTCAGCAATGAAAGACCGGATACCACCGACAGAATGCCTGATGGTGTCCGGAAATCACGCAAAGTAATTTATGCTGACTTGAACTGTCTATTGGGAGCGTTGAAGAAGAAAGAAGGAAAAGGCCGAAGCGAAAAAAATTCGAGAAGATATGGGCCTGGAATGTGCGCTAGGCTGGATGGGGTTAGTGCGATTGACACTGGTGAGTCAGCAGGATACACATTGTACATGGTTTATGCATGATTAGATCATCCCGTCCGCTATGCACGGATAGTTACATAATCGCCATAAAAAGGGATCATAAAGTGATCTAAGAAAGAACAGGAAATTAATCGAGTCGGGGATGATCCAGCTCGTTCCAACAACCTCACTTCTCTCCTCCTCCTCTTCTTCTTCTTCTCGCGACTCCCCATTTGCCGTCCCCCGGACTCGCATCTCCTATCTTCCCCTGACTTGTGGGTTTGCTCCTCCATCTACACATCGACACCCTTCTAATGCACGTGCCCAGTGCCCCTATCGCAGCATGTCGCTAGTGGTTTCGCTGGCCTCCCGCTGCGTTTAATCCCCCGTTCAATTCGACTCGACCCGGCCGATTTGATCCTCGATCGTCATATCTTCTCAGCCTTTGCATCTATCCTCTCCTCAATCCTCCACCATGGCCTCGGCCCTCTTCTTCCTCGACCTCAAGGGCAAGGTGTGTCAACCCCTCGAAGCAGGACTTGGCCCCCCTCTCCGTACTGACCGTCGGGGATCCAGACCCTTTTAGCCCGAAACTATCGCGGAGACATTCCCATGTCCGCCGTCGAGAAATTCCCTATCCTCCTCAGCGACGCCGAAGAAGAGAGCTCCGCCGTGCCGCCCTGCTTTTCCCACGAAGGAATCAACGTATGTTTTTCCGAGCTGTCCCGTGTTGCGTGTTGCGTGTTCTGGCCGTCCCGTCTCGCTCCCCGCCTTCGTTCCCCGCAACCTGTGTCTCCTATATTCCAGCCCGACCTTTTCTAAACGAAACGCTGGAGGGTTTAGCTGACTGACGTGTGCAGTACCTATATATCCGCCACAGCAACCTCTACATCCTCGCGCTGACCAAGAAAAACACCAATGCCACCGAAATCCTGCTCTTCCTCCACAAGCTCGTCGAGGTCTTCACCGAATACTTCAAGGTGCTGGAGGAGGAGAGTATCCGCGACAACTTTGTCGTTATCTATGAATTGCTCGACGAGATGATGGATTTTGGGTATCCGCAGACAACGGAGAGCAAGATCTTACAGGAGTGCGCCACATCCAACCCCATTGCCCTGGAGGCAAAGGAACTGACCGTCCCAGATATATCACACAGGAATCCCACAAGCTGGAAATCCAAGCCCGTCCCCCGATCGCCGTCACCAATGCCGTCTCCTGGCGCAGCGAGGGCATCCGCTACCGCAAGAACGAGGTCTTCCTGGACGTGGTGGAGTCGCTCAACCTGCTGGTGTCCGCGTCGGGCAACGTGCTGCGCTCGGAGATCCTCGGCGCGGTCAAGATGAAGTGCTACCTCAGCGGGATGCCCGAGCTGCGGCTGGGGCTGAACGACAAGGCGATGTTCGAGACGACGGGGCGGGCGACGCGCGGCAAGGCCGTCGAGATGGAGGACGTCAAGTTCCACCAGTGCGTGCGGCTGTCGCGGTTCGAGAACGACCGCACCATCAGCTTCATCCCGCCGGACGGAGAATTCGAGCTCATGAGCTACCGGCTCAACACGCAGGTCAAGCCGCTGATCTGGGTCGAGTGTCTGGTGGAGTCGCACTCGGGGTCGCGTATTGAATATATGCTTAAGGTACTACCCCCTTACCCCACTTACTCTCACAACGTAACTAACGAATGAAAAGGCCAAAGCTCAATTCAAACGCCGCAGCACGGCCAACAACGTCGAGATCATCGTCCCCGTCCCGGAGGACGCCGACTCCCCCCGCTTCCGCACCAACATCGGCACAGTGCAGTACGCCCCGGAACAGTCGGCCATCGTGTGGAAGATCAAGCAGTTCGGCGGCGGCAAGGAGTTCCTGATGCGCGCAGAGCTGGGCCTTCCCTCCGTCAAGGGCGACGACGAGGTAGGCGGCGGCATGACGGGCGGGTTCGGCGGGAGTATGGGCGGGGCGGGGGCCATGGGCAAGGCCAAGAGACCCATCAACGTCAAGTTCGAGATTCCGTATTTTACCACCAGTGGGATTCAGGTCCGGTACTTGAAGATCACGGAGCCGAAGGTATCTTTCTCTCTTTTTCTCCCTTCTTTTCTTCTTCCTCCCATGACCGCAACACAAGCTAACGTTCACAGCTACAATACCCCTCTCTCCCTTGGGTCCGATACATTACGCAATCGGGGGACATTGCCGTCCGGATGCCCGATGTACAATGATATTATTTATACAGCGTTTTATTTTACTTTATCTGAATATGGCTAGTTCAATAGATTATTGCTTCTTATGGATGCCGTAGGCTGGCCAGCTATAACCGCACATGCATGTCGTCTAGGCGCTGGCTGTGTATCGTTGTCGTCGTCATTATCATGATAGCTATAATTATAATACACCCCATTACTTCCCTACTATTGACAAGACAGATAATTGAGATTACAGAGCAACCATTTGATATTCTACTCTATCTAGGTAAACAAAAAAAAAAAAAAAAAGCCATAAACCACCATGGACTGACTACTTGGTGAATTGATCACATCTCCTGTCAATATCCACCAACTAATAACACCAGCTAACACAATCAATACACCAAGAGCTATGTGTTTTCGAAGCTCTAGCAAAGTGTTCTGACTCATTGTTGATAATGATATAGATACTTGTGGAGTCTGTCCAGCTATCTATATGTTTATTCATTTTACCTTACCTGATCTATGTGGCTATGCTAGGGTTTGTTCACTAGCCTAGCAGTAGAGTTTGTTTTTTCTCGAGGTTAAGGAGGGGTTTAGTAGTATCAAGTTTAAGCATGTGCTAGGAGTATATACATAGATGTACTAGGGTTGTTGTCTTTGTCCATGGTTTTATGGGAATTGAGTCTGATAAAATGGTCTGCTCTCTATAGTTCTACTCTACTTACTTACCTTACGAAACAGATGGTTGTAATCAATATATACATGATATGATTTAGGGGCATGTCTATTTTTATTTATGTATTTATTTGCTTGGTTGTTCATTATCTATTTCACCATCTTTGAGGTTGCTGGCTGCACAGTGCAGCCAGCAAACCAGACAGCGATAGGCGGAAGTGACAAGTCAAGATACCTGACTCGGGACAACTAACTAACTCCAGGAAGAGAAAGACTTCAATTCAAACGAACCAATCAGGAGGAACACAGACATGTCATGCTTGGGTATCATGTCACAAACAACACCAGAAATAATATGAGATAGATCTGTAAAAGGGAAATAGGAAAGATGAAATGAAGAAAAGGAAAGTGAAGAAGATAGAGGGTGAAGTTTTTGTCCCGGAACGCCGTCATTGCTTGCTTGCTTGCTTGTTTGTTTTCGTATCCAATGTGGACTCGGGTGGAATCGATAATTTGAATGGAAGGAAAGGGAGAAAGTAAGAGAAATATTAGACTGGGTGTAGTTGGGTCATAATATGACACGAGTCGAATGTTTGGAAAGAGGTGTGACTTGAGCGTGGGGATATGTCGGGACGCCGTACATCTCTCTAGTTGTGATAGCACCAGGTGGGAGATGTTGATGCTACCCTCGAGTAGAGTCAGAATTACTCGTAGACACGTCCCCATCAGGCGTGTCTGGAGCCGGAAGCGGAAACCCATCGCCGTGTCCCATAGCCGCCGCCTTGGAGAAGCCCTCCCGCGCGAGCATGGTGTTCAGCACCGCGCAGTTGTAGGCGGCCTCGCCGGGCGGCACGACCAGGAATATATAGGTGTTGTCGGTGAAGCGGCCCAGGAAGACGTTGAACTGCGGAGTCTTGGTGTGCATGACGACGAAGCCGGCGGAGGCCGGCGGGGTGTGGGTGTTGCGCGCGGCGCAGTGCTTGAACGCCTTCATGATATTGGACAGCCGTTCGTGCCGGTCGTAGATGGGGTTCAGGTCCCCGACTTCGGACGAGACCGACGTGACGGTCAGGAAGGTGGAGCGCTCAAATAAGATGACCTCCTCGGCGCCGATGCGCTTGGCAAAGGCTTGCAGGAAGCGCTCGATGACTGCCAGGTTGGGAATCAGGCGGTGGACGATGCCGGCCCATGCCTTGTACAGCGACTGGTCCCAGATGCTGCTGCCGAAAGTGTCGATGGCGAAGTGTTCCGAGCGGCTGCGGATCAATGCCGAGCGTTCCTCGTAGATGCGCTGGCGGTGCTCCGCCTGGATCAGGTCCAGCTTGTGCACCAGACAGAAGACGTAGGCGTTGGGGCTGAATTCCTTCAGCGCCGTGATGATGGCGTTGTAGGTGTCTAGATCACGCTCCACCTCGCGGGATTCGATATCAAAGACGTAGATCATAACGGCGACGTCCGAGAAGATGTTGCCGCGCTGCGACGCCAGATAGGTCTCCATGAAGGCATCTTGTCTGGTGGGTGACGAGGGGGGGTCAGTTCATGGTCCATCAATTGGGGACGTTCCCTCTGGATGAACAAGTGGCTGGAGGAAAATAGGAGACGACTACAAACTCACCCACCGCAATCCCAGAGGTTGAGAGTGAGGTTCCCCATGAATTTGACATGACTGTGCTCCACATCAATGGTGGCACCCAAGCGCCGCACATCCTTGGCGACGTAGTTGCTGAAGATAATTGACCGCATGGACGACTTCCCCGAGCCGCTCTTCCCCATCAGGAGAACCTTTCTCTTCTTCTTTCGCACATCCATGATGCAGGGTCCCTCTCCCGAGGTCAGAGGGAGCCGGAGTGGAGGCTATACCCCGCAAAGTGCGGGCACGGAAGGGATTCCAAATGAAAGCGATCCGATGGAGGGGATTCGAGTCAGGACCGGACACTGACTCCCATTGAAGAGCAAGACATGCAGAATGGGATAGACCAATGGAAGGAACTGAAGTTGGTAGGCGGCATGTGTCGGGAAATGTGGAGAGGAGAGAGAGAGAGAGAGAGAGAGAGATGAGATGACTTTCGGTCTTCCGGTCATGTAGTCCGGCCCAACAGATGATCCGGGGACTATCACATGACGTGACCTGCAGTCCTGATCTTGGCGGGGCTCAAGCAATACGTCATGATCCGGGTTATTGCTCTAGGAAATGTGCCAGACTTAGAAGGTACTCGAAAGTATGGATTAGGTATACATGTTTTGCGCCAGTCAGTCCTCCCATACAAATCCCATTCATCATTGCTTTTATCCCGGCCCATACACAAGAAATTATATACCAAGAACAGATCCAACTATATCAATAGTGGGAAAGAAAGAAGGGGAAATAAACAGAGAAGAAAATCAAAAAGAAAGAAGATATGGGTACTCCGAAATCAGGCCCAAGGACAAAAGTATAGTAAACAACAAGTACAGAAATATACGGCACGTCAACATCGGGTCATTAGAGTCATCACGCCCATAGGCGGCAAAGGTATCGAAAGAATCAAACAGGACAAAGGAGATACGAAAGAGCCATTAGAACACCGTCCCGTCGGAACGGATCATGATCGGTGGTTCTTTCGTGTTTGGTCGGGAGACTTCGGCGATTTCACGGCCACCCTATTGCAATCGTTAGAATCATGTATGGAGTGAGTGAATTGCGACCCAGGGTGAGAGCGTACCTTCCATGATCCGGCCTCCAGCATCTGGGCCAGGGTCAATTGATCCTCCCCTCTCAGACCCAGCTGCGAGTTCACTTCGTCCAACAGGTCGTCCAAAAACCCGACCGTGACCGCGCGCCATTCGACTACCACGTCGTCGTCGGCCGAGAAGAAGGGTACCACCTCCACGCTGGGCTGCCCCCGAATCTGGGCATTCTGCTTGTACGCAGCAACCCCTCGCTCGAGGTCCTCGTCCCTGAGGGTTAACAGCCCCATGTCAATCAGGAGGCCGCCGTTACGATACTCGGGTAGCCCCGTAAGCAGCTCACTGCCCGCGAAGTGGATCTTCATCAATCGGGACATCGGGACCATAATGGAGTAGCACAGCCATTGGGTGAGCTTGTGAAACGGTACAATGTTCTCCCACGGTTGCGCGGGCGGCGAGGGAGGCAAGGTCGAACACGGCCAGGCGTCTCCGATCGAGAGGCCATCCACCTGGGTTCGAGACGGGGGCCAGATGGGGGTGAGCCCGTCCATAAGGACGGTCCACAAGGTGGTGATAGGAACGATGGGCACAGACGAAGCTAACGTGGATGGGTGACACAGGAGATAGTCTGTCGATCAAATTAGCCCACAACTTCTCGCGTCGCGCCGTGCATTCCCATCGCGGGAGGGGGGGAGGGGGAAAGCTTACCCAGCATGTTCCCTGGTCGCGCATCCACCCCGAAAAAGTCCTGGTTGTTCAACGCCTCCGAGAGTCGGATGAGAAGGCCAGCGCGGCCCTCGATGCCCGCGAGCTGGTTCCCTTCCGAGTGCTGCATTCCCTTGGCGAGCACGTCGACTGTGATCTTCTTCAGACCGGCGCCATCCACCTGACAGGGTTCGGTAGGGTCGCTGCTGAACAAACCCGACTTGAACATCTCCAACGTGGCGACGGCCAAACCCTCGCTGCGCGAAAAGATCTTGCCGGATTCCTTAGACTTGTAGGACCACGTGGTGCCAGCACCAGCATCCAGGAGGACGGAGACGACAAAGAGGTCGATCAGGCGGCGGGTGCGTTCCTGCGCATCGATGGAGCTGGGCCACGACTGCAGGAGTTGGTTGATGCGGGGGCGACCGCCCACATCAAAGTGTTGCCAGCGGCCGTGCGGGGGGATCGACTCATAGTCGGGCGCATAGTCTCTCTATCCGGACGGGAAAATCACGGGCGTTAGGGCGCTGCCTCGGGGTTACACAGGATGCGACCAGAAACTCACCTTGATGATGGAGACGATATAGGACGCGGTGGAGGAGAATTTGGACATATCGACCTCGAAATGGCGTAATTGATTCCTTTTGGCCCTGGCGAGGACGAGATTGGAGCGTTCGCGGACGGCATGGATGCTGCGCAAGTATGCAGCCGGGTCGAGGGCGGGATCGGGCGGTTTCGTGATGGACAGTTCGGGGATGGAGGAAGGCATGGAACTGCCTTTATAACCGGGGGACTTCAGAGAGGCACTGGAGTTGCGAGCACTATTGATGGAAGTGTATGACTCTTGCTCATCGGTGTCACTATGGACCGAGATTTTGGAGTCCTTCCGCTTGAAGATACCCATGGCGAATGGGATTGAGGGGGGGGGGGGAGGGGGGAAGGGATCCGTAGAATGAATTTCCGTATTGGTCGAACGAACGGACCGTTGGAAGGGTTCGTCGGTAATCGGCGGGATCTCAGATCGTGTTCGCAGCAAGACCGAAGGTTGTCGCAAGGATCGTGCGCGAGGAGAGGGGGAAGGTGATGAAGGAGGAGACGAGGGGAACTGGGGAGGGGGAGAAGTAGGAGTAGCGATGCCAGAGAGAAAGCAAGCACGAGACCGATGATGTCCCTGGTTAAGACCAAGAAGGGGGAGTCACTACATAAGAAAAAAAAAAAAGATGATGATCTGCGGATGAATGAGAGGAAGAAAAGAAAGGAAAGAAGGGAAAGGAAGAAAAAATGTAAAGAAAATAAATAAATAAATAAAGATAATAAATAAAATAAGAGAAAAGGAAAAATCAAGAGAAAAAAAAGGAAAAAAAAACCCAAAACGAAAACCCAAAAAGCGCGGTATTTATTTTAAATTCTTCCATTGATGCTTATTCGGTTTGTATTTCCACCGTTCGATCTGTATTTTCATCCGTCTAGCGGTTTGAATAGGATTCTACATAATGCGATCTATGATCCATAATAGAATATCGATGTATGTAGATATAGTATCAAGAGAAGATGAATGGACATACAGATGAACCTCCAGAGTACATCTCACGGATCAAGAATTCAGGAGACAGACCCAAAAAACCACTAGTTCCTGGGAATGTTCTGTCTTGCTGGGATGATGGACGCCACTAGTTGACCCTCTCGGATTTCGGGAGGTGGAGCAGAGCTTGGACGAGAGTCGATTCGATTCTCAGTTGGGACTGGGTATGCATCTTGTCTGGTAATTCTGATATTTCTGCTATTTCCGAGAATTGTTCTGACATTATCATATGGGATATGAACAAGCTGAATTGACGGGAGTATAGATTAGAGAAGCAGAACAGAGCAGAGGAAGAAGAAGAGAGAGTATATAAGAGAAGAGAAGAGAGAAGCAAAGCACGGCCCACTGAAGCTTGATGGACCTGAATTTAATAGAAGAAAAGGGGTGGACTGTGCGGGTCATCAATCTGGTATCATTACCGGTATTCTAGTATCAGGATTACCCTAATATCCCTATTATCAATCCTCCCGACTATATCATGCATATTATATAGATACTATACCATAATGTCTACACTAGATCATAGTAATCCTTTACCCCACTGCTGGCGGGTCAATACCGAGTTTGACTCTAGCTCTTCCTGATTGCCCAATTCCTTCCAGTGTACTTCGGTTTATTCCGCCTCGTCGCCTTGGAAAACGGTCCCACCTCTCTTTCTATATACCTAGGATAATACCCTGTCCGATGGACGATGTAGTATTTGATCCGCCGGATGAGCGGCCCTATCCAGCACATTGTCAGTCTACTCCGTGCAGAGTAGACGCAATGATTATGAAGGACGAAGCCACCGGAATTGCCCAGACCCACTCGCCGGCTAACTTCCTGTGGAGGTCTTTGTCTGGAATTTATACCTTCTGCCCCTCTTTCCCCCTTCCTTCTGGTTCAAGAAGGTTTGCCTCTTCAACCGAACCCCCACTTCTACGGGAGACATGATTCTGCCGGTCTGGCCAGACAGTCCGTCTGGACAGGGTCACTGCTACCTTTTTTTCAAACTCTTTTTGGCTGCAGGACAAAGAAATCCTCATTGCCTCGCCTGCATGTGATCCATATGATTCCCCCCCCTCTCCAAGGACACGACGGCACAAATCCCTGTCCGGAATCGGCCTCCCCGACAGATAAGAAACCTGTCAGTGTCAGTGTCAGTGGACAAGTTGACTAGTCTGTTGCGGCTTGATTGCAGTGAACCTGGGTTGGGAAGCGCCCTGCAGCAGAGTTAGTCTGTTTCACCTTCCCCATAGTAATCAGTAATCACCATCATAGTAATCAATATGGATAATAAGATAAAAATAACAAGGAAGAGTTGGTCCAAGTTGAACCATCAACCATCCCAGCTCCCTTTCTGGTTCGGGGCCGTGCAATGTCGGGATAATGTGGGTCGACGTACAGCCATTACCAATTTACCTAATGACCTCCCTTTGAGTTCCTTCTCAAGCTGCACTGCTACAGTCGGGCAACTCGGAGGCAAGAATGAGCAGCGGCTGGAAATCTGACAACCGAGTCTTCTCTTCCCTTGTCCTTCTGGGCCGAGCATGTTATGGATCCCGTGTGAGATTCGTTGATTTGCGCCGATCCGCTCCCTCAATACTCGCTTAGAATCATCTCTCCGTGTCATCCAATCGTAAGTATGGCAACGTATCGAGCTAAAGACGGCCATTTCTTCCCTCGGATGGCTGGGCCTGGAACTGGAAGAATACTGCCGTGGTCCACTTTTTACCTCGCTGCTCCAGTCTCCCACAATCCAATAATCACTCCGATGACTCGCAGGTTTTGAACCCTCCCAGAGCCGAAATACGGACCGTCGTCCTCTGGTGCCGTATGGAAAACCAACTCCTCCCCTCTCCCCCCACTAGATTCCAAACCTGCATCCGTAATGCCAGCCGATAAAGTTTTAGCTAGCGACCACCCCCATGCCCAGAGCGCGCGCGCCTAGGTTTGTGGGTTAAGCCAAGGGAGTTTGGTCCGTCGTACGGCGCACAACAACCTTGGTAGGATATTAGGATTTGAGACTTCCCTGAATTCCTCCTCGGGGATTGTCAATCGTCTTACGCACTCGATTTCATGACCGGCAGTAGGTTGGCCGCGAAACTACCGGTTCTTTCCGTCCAGTGTCCGTAGACAATAAACATTGGCATGTCCTTTGTTGACGAGCACTGCTCTGTAGTCTGTACCCCTCTGCCTCCACTCCACTCTGGGTGGGTAGGACACCGTAATCAGTTAACGGTCAGGTGGGATGGGTGTATTGAGTGGTGTACAAAGTACGGACGGTCATCGTGTGGATTACCGATCAAACGAGAGTAATGGCCGTGGGACTCTGGATGGGAGTCATGGTGGGTCGAGGAATATTACTCCGTCAAACCCTGCTCTTGTACAATAGAACTGCTTTGTCACCTGCACAATTGTGACACATCGTGGAGCAACATGCCTAGTCACGTGGGGCATCACGTTCCCGTCACACCAGCCACATTCGCCGAAATGCACCGCCACAGAGCCACAATGACGGTCGCGGCCTGAGTCCGCCCATCTTCATCCCCTTCCCCACGCTTCACCTCCGATTCCCTCGCGTCCTGATCTCAAGATGGCTTGAACCGGACGGCTTGCTCATTATTTGATCTGCCAATGGTGTACGTGCTGCCTTTAAATCTCTCACCTCCCTCCCCCCCTTCATTCTGATCCAAAACACATCGCTCCGACGGTGGGTGATGTGACCAGATCATGGCATCCGCTGTTACATCCTCATGGTATCCCACGACCTCCATCCTAATTCAATCTTCGCCAGACTCTCTTCTCTCACCTTTCGCTATCCCATCGTAAATCACAATGGACGACCTCAACGGTCTGAGTTGGTCCCCCAACTCCTCCAATGACGCCCGCAAACCCCCGCCGATGAGCTCCGGCTCCAACTACCTCGTCCCACCCATTCGACACAACGACAACTCCGGCCGGTCCACGCCCATTTCGGCCTCGTCGGGGGTCTCGTCCAATGCACAATCCAAACCCGCCACCCCAGGCAAGGACAGTTTCGCCGGTCTCGTGTCCTTCGGGTCCTCCAACCCCAACAAGAACCTGTCGCTTGTCGAGCAGCAGAAGAAGCTCCAGGAGGAAAGGGCCCGGAAGGACGCAGAGAACAGGTCTCGTTACGAATCGCAGTATGGAGGGCAGAATAACCAGTTCTGGGACACCTTGGAGAAGGCCCCCAGTAGCAGGACCGCCTCGCCTGCGGTCGCCCCGCCACCGCAGAAGCCCACCTCCCCCGATGAAGACGATATCCTGGCTGCGTTCGATGCGTCCGCCCCCGTGGACGCTTCGACCAATTTTCCCATCCCCAGTCCTACTCCGTCGCCGCAGGTTGGGGCGAAGCCATCCTTTCAGACACCTTCCAACACCACGAGCGCTGCGGGCCAGGGCAATGGAATGACGTTTATGGATGACGATGATCCGTTCGGACTCAACCAACTGAAACCGAAGCAGACTCCTTCTCCGCAACCGGCGCAGACCGAGGATGATGATTTCCTCGGTCTGTTGAACAAACCGGTATCGGAATTCCCCCGCGAGCCCCCCCCTCAACCCGCTCGGCCTTCTCCGAGGCCCTCACCGGGCCCACCAGAGCGCGAGGGACCGACCCCGCCCCCGAAGCCCTCTAACGGAGTAGATCGGGCGGTGGCAGAGTTGGTGGACATGGGATTCCCGGCAGACAAGTCCAGCCAAGCTCTGCGGATGACGTCGTCAGGGAAGGACGTACAGGCGGCCGTGGGCTTGCTCCTCACGCAGGCCCATGAAGAGGCGCGCCAGAAGTCTCGGAACAGCCCGGCCATTGGGGACACGAGCCGCAGTCGGGAGCGGAGCCGGGGTCCGGACCGCGATGTCCCTTCCTGGATGCAGGAGGAGCGCTCTCGTGCGCCGCGAAGCCGTCCCGACAGCATGTCTCCTTCGGGAGTCGATAGGGACCCTTCTCAAGCCGCAGCGGCATTTGGGAATAATTTCCTCAAGGCCGCGAATTCTTTCTGGAAGACCACAAACAAGAAGGTGCAGAAGGTGGTGAATGAGTTGAACGTAGACCATGATCCTAGCCAGCCCAAGTGGCTGAAGGATGCCTCCGCTCACGAGGAACCTTTCCCGGGCGAGACTCAGCGGCCGGCTCGCCAGGAGCGGGCGAAGCCTGCAGAATTCACTAACGAGGCCCTTCTGCTGGAGACTGGTTCGGACCCCCGTCCGGCACGGCCCTCCAGACGGCCCACGGATGAGCCTTCGTCGCGCACGCACAGTCGCGACGTCCGGCCCCAACCCCCTTCAGCGGGCGAGAGACGGTCCCCGCAGCCGGCGTTCCTGCGACAGCAGGCGGGGATCGAAATGAGGGATTCCCGGTCGCGCGCCTCCAAACTCGCGGTCGAGGAGCAGTCGGCGCAAGCATACGTCAGTCCGGCTCGCAGAAAGCGGCCGACCGCGCCCTCGCCTGCTCCCGCGCAGAATGTTGATCTGTTCGAATCCCCCGCCCCGCCGGCTCCTAGCCGTCGGCGCCCGTCGCCGTCGCCCGCGCCCACTCCGTCTTCCCGAACCTCCACGCCTTCCACAGCGCTCCCCGCGCGGCCCAAGCCCAAAGCGCCCCCGCGGACCATCCCCACGGTCTCCCCATCTGCGCTGTCGTCCACCCACCGCGAGCGAGAACGGGCCGCACAGGCATACAAACGGGGCGACTACGCGGCGGCGCACGAGGCGTTCACGTCCGCTCTCGGACCGCTCCCCGACCAGCACCCGATCACCATCATCGTCCGCAGTAACCGCGCCATGACGGCGCTGAAGATCGGTGAACCCAAGGTAGCCATCGGTGACGCAGACGCGATCCTACAACTGATCGGGCCATCCAAAGGCGACGGCGAGACCATCGACCTGGCCAACGGCGAGCCCGGTAAGCCAATGAAGGACTTCTTCGGCAAGGCCCTGATGCGCAAGGCCGAAGCCCTAGAGCAACTGGAGCGGTGGGCCGACGCGGCCCAGGCCTGGCGACAAGCCGTGGAGAACGGCCACGGCGGCAGCACCAGCATCCAAGGCCGCAACCGATGCGAGACCGCCGCGGGGATCAGCAAGCCTGCCTCAAAGCCCGCGACGCCAGCAGCAGCCGCTCGACGACCGCCTGCGCCGGCCCCGAAGAGGTCCGCGCTCGCCGACCTGCAAGGTGGTGGTGGACGGTCTCCACATGCCGGCTACGATTCCGCCGCCGTCAGTCGCCTCCGCAAAGCCAACCAAGCGGCGGACCGCGCCGACGAGGAGAAGTTCGCTCTAACCGAGAGCGTAGACGCTCGTCTGACTACGTGGAAGGGCGGAAAGCAGGACAATCTGCGAGCACTCCTGGGCAGTCTCGACACAGTGTTGTGGCCTGAAGCCGGGTGGAAGAAGGTCAACATGTCGGAGTTGATCATGCCGAATAAGGTCAAGATTCAGTACATGAAGGGGATTTCCAAGGTGCATCCTGATAAGGTTGGTTCTTCCCACTTTTATCAAACCCGTAACTATGTTATGTGCAAAGCTAATTCAAAACAGCTCCCCACAGATGCCACGACCGAGCAACGTATGATCGCAGGGGCCGTCTTTGGGACGTTGAACGAAGCGTGGGATAAGTTCAAGAAGGAGAATAATCTTTAACTTTCTTCTTCACTTATCCTCCTCATTTTTTTACTTCTCCTTTATTTTCACTTCTTTTCACGTTTACTTTTATTTCTCTTTTTATACCGTCTTTGGCAAATGTTGTGTGCCTGCATTTATACTACATGCTTCTTGTACATAGACTTGACTTACTTGACTTGACCATTCTACTTGAAAACATAGAAGAACATTTGACCATCATACCCATACCATACATTAACCTACGTATAGTTCCTCAATAAATAAGCTGATAAATATATAATACAAGATTATCTACCATCTATACAACGTAAAAACCAACAGCAAATTATGAATGAAATAAAGCTAACTACTGCTTCTCCATCTCCTTCCTCTCCCGCTCCTCCCTCTTCAACTGCTTCTTCCCCTTAGGCTTCACCTCCTCAATCACCCTCTGAGCAGGCCACTTCTCCCGACACCGCTTCTCATCCTCCTCCGTCCAATCACGCGGCAGCACAGCGAACACCAGCCACGACGTATGCGTCTTCAGATCGGGCTCGGTGCGGTGGATGAGTCGACCTTGTTTATAACCGGGGACGTTCTCCTCCCCATCCTCTTCCCCCCCCCCTTCAACCTTCCCTTGCTCGACCCCCTCCAGCGCCTCGCGCTCGCGCATCAACCCACCCACAGGGTGCTGGTCCCCTCTCGCATCCCTATCCTTCATAACCTCCCTAAACCGCCTCGTGCGCTCCTCAATCGTCCGCGTCTTAGCAACAGCCTCGTCGACAGTCCGCGGAAACACCACCGCCCCGCGCGCCCCCTCAAACTCCAACCCGTACTTCTCCCGCTTGACCTCTATCCGTCGGTGATTGACCTCGACCATCTCGATCTGCAGCCAGCCGAGCTGGCGCATTGCGCTGATGGTGCGCTCGGACTGCTCGAGGCAGGGGGAGAAGGTGCAGATGTAGACGGGGGTGGTAGGGTCGAGGGCGGATTGGATTCCTCCTTTGTCGGTCTTTGTCTCTGATGCTGTTTCCTGTTGCCGGCATTCGCGGGTTAGGTGGCGGAGGGCGAGCCAGGGGGCGGGAAGGTCGAGGAAGACGGCGTTGGCTTTGGGGGAGGTTGATACATCGTCCGTATCGGTGGAAGCGTCCCTGTTGAGGAGGAATCCGTCCTCGTAGACGTCTCGGTGCGTGACTTCGACCAGGCCGTCCAGGCCGTGCTCGGAGATCTCTTCGCGGACTTTAGAGGCGCGTTGCGCGTGGAACTCGAAGCTGTGCACTTTGCCGTGCTTGCGCTTTTTCGAAGGCTGTTGTTGGGGTTCGGGCTGTTGTTCGGAGGGATAGCCGTTGAAGACGGCGCGGACGGCGGCGTGCGTGAAGGATCCGCTACCTGCGCCGGCTTCGATCACGCTGCTCCCTGGGCGCACGCACAGTCTGTGCAGGATGTAGCTGTAATCCGGGGTGTAGACGACTTGGGTGCGGTGCGGGAGGGAGGCGGTCCAGAGCTCGGGGGTCGGGTACAGGAGGTGGAGGAAGCCGCTGGAGGCTGCGACGGCGGCTTTGGGTTTCTGCTGCTGCTGTTGTTTGCAGGCGGGGGGATCTTCTTCGGCGTCGTCTTCATTGATGGTGGCGGTCGGGGTCGGGGTGGAGTCGGCGTCGTTGTCGGCGGCGGGGGCCTTGCGCTTCAGGTTGCGCCGGCCGCGCGATCCCGTGTCGACTTTTGAGGCGACGATTTGGGAACCCCATGGTTTGTGGTAGAGGGTGCTGTGCGGGAAGGAGCCGAACCGCGTGTTGACTACTTTGCCTTCGTTGTAGCCTAGGCCTTCGTCGTCGTGCGCGCGCAGGATGGTCGGGACGGTTTGGTCGCGGCGGAGGTGGAGGAGGGCGAGGGAGTCGAGGGGCGCTTGGTCGCCTGGGGTGAGGAAGGGGGAGGGCATGGTGGGTGGTCTGGTGGACCTGTTGGCGTGTTGATCTTTGGCCTGTTCGTTGTCGTGCTTGCTTGTGGAGAGATCGGTCTTGAGTCGCCAGCTTTTTTCTATGCGGATTTGCGACGGAGAATCTATCAATCAAGCATCTTGGCGGGAGATCTGATGCTCCCTTTTTGGTGAAGATCGGCATTAGGGCTCAGGGCTCAGGGCTCGGGGCTGTATTTTCTCGTCTCGAATCTGATTGGCCGTCAGGAAATGCGCCGGTGACTCAGGCAGTCAGGCCTCCAACAGGCTCCCAGGCAGACAACTGTATAATTCGTATTAGATCGCATTATCATTGGTCATCCTCGGAAATATGCCTTGAACTGCCCCTCGTTCTTCAATCAGCGCCAGCATCATCTTCTCCCTCTTTCTTCTTCCTCTCCATGCCCCTCTCCCTCTCTCTCTTCCTTTCTGCCTCCTCCGCTCGTCTCGCCCTCCGTCCACTGCCGTTCATTCCGTCTTTCCGTTCACCACTCCTCCGCCTGTCCTCGCGATCCATGGCCACCGCGCGCCAGCAGCCGCCATGGCGGCAACCGGACCTCCACCCCGGCGCTGAATCACGTCTGCCTCCTCTGAAGGTCTACAATACGTTGACCAAGTCGAAGAATCCCTTCATTCCGCGCGATCCAGAGGCCAAGCAGGTCTCCTGGTACGCCTGCGGGCCGACGGTGGTAGGTGCCGCTGCATATTGTCCAGCCTGGTCCGTACTGACAGTGTTGTGACTCAGTATGACGATGCGCATCTGGGACACGCTCGCAACTATGTTAGCACGGATATCATTCGCCGCATCATGCGCGACTACTTCAAGTTCGACGTCAAGTTTGTTATGAACATCACGGATGTCGATGATAAGGTTGGTGGATTCGCGAACGACCCTTCTCAACCCCAACAGGTCGCTAATATGAGTCACTAGATCATTCTTCGCGCCCGACAGCAACACCTGTTCAACGATTTCGCGTCTACCCACCCTCATGTCGATGCGGAAGTCCTAGACGTCGCCAAGAACGCCTACAGTGCCTACGTGAAGAAGAACCTCCCCTTGCTGAGCCCCGACCTCCCGCCCGCGCAGTACGCCGCTGAAGTGGAGAAGACGTACGCCGTCGTGCTCAATGGAGGCCCCCTCCCCGGTAACGAGAAGGCCGGCGATGACGAAGCCAAGACCAAGATGCACATCAAGACCGTTGCGTCCGGTGCGGCGGTGATCGCGGAGGCCGAGCGCGTGGGCGCGACGGCTCTGCCCACGGGGTTCCCCGAGCGGTTCTACACGGAGGCGCAAGATGTTCTGCTGCCCTACCTCGATGCCCTGAAGGGGGCGTCGATCGACGCCGATGACCACAGCATCTTCACCAAACTCACCAAGAAGTACGAGGAGCGGTTCTTAGCGGACATGCGAGACCTGAACGTGCTGGACCCGGACGAGCTGACGCGCGTGACCGAGTACGGCGCCGAGATCGCCGAGTTCGTGGAGAAAATCGTGCAGAACGGGTTTGGCTACGTGACCGAGGACGGCTCGGTCTACTTTGACATCAACGCGTTCGAGGCCGCGGGCCACCCCTACGCCCGCCTGGAGCCCTGGAGCCGGTCCGACAACAAGCTGCTGGCCGAGGGCGAGGGCTCGCTGGCCAAGAAGACGACGGAGAAGCGGTCAGCGTCGGACTTTGCGCTCTGGAAGTCCTCCAAGCCCGGCGAGCCCAGCTGGGCCAGCAGCTGGGGCCGCGGCCGCCCCGGCTGGCACATTGAGTGCTCGGCCATGGCGTCGGCGCGTCTGGGCCGCCAGATGGACATCCACTCCGGCGGCGTGGACCTGTGCTTCCCGCATCACGACAACGAGCTGGCGCAGAGTGAGGCGTACTGGGCGGGCAAGCCGACGGACCAGTGGGTCAACTACTTCCTGCACATGGGCCACCTGAGCATCCAGGGATCCAAGATGAGCAAGAGCCTCAAGAACTTCACGACGGTGCGCGAGGCGCTCGACCAGAAGCAGTGGACGCCGCGCAGCCTGCGCGTCGTCTTCCTCCTGGGCGGGTGGAAGGACGGCGTCGAGATCACGGACGACCTGGTCAGCGCCGGCAGCTCGTGGGAGGAGAAGGTCACCAACTTCTTCATCAAGATGAACGACCCTTCCGCCTTCCGCGCCACCGCCAACACGGACACGTCGCTGGCCCCGGCGCTGGCAGCCGCCCAGGCCGCCGTCCACGAACACCTCTGCGACTCGTTCAACACGCCGGCCGCCATGGCCGCCATCTCGGAGCTGATCTCCAAGTACAACAGCGCCGACAAGGCGACCGTCAAACCGGAGGACGTCGAGGCGATCGCCCGCTGGGTGACATCGATGGTCAACACGTTCGGACTCAACGGTGCCGCCAGCCCCGACAGCACCACGATCGGCTGGTCGGGGATCGACGTCCCCGAGGACGCCAAGCCTTACCTCTACCCGCTGTCAGCGATGCGCGACTCGCTGCGACAGGCAGCACGGGGAGCTGACGGCGTGACGCCCGCGACGATCGCGGAGATCGTCGCAGAGCCGACCGAACCGAGTGCGGAGGTGGCCGACGCCGCGGCCCAGCCGTACGCAACGGTCCTGAGCGACTTCCGCGGCAAGCTGACGTCACTGCCGGAGTCGGACGGGCTCAGCAAGCAAGTACTAGCGCTGTGCGACCGGGTGCGCGACATCGACCTGTTCGACCTGGGCGTGTACCTCGAGGACCGCGACAACCTCCCCGCACTGGTGCGACCGGTGACACAGGAGCTACTGCAGGCGCGGCGGGACAAGGCGCAGCGCGAGCATCAGAAACAGCAGCAGAAGGCCAAGCAGGAGCAGGAGGCGCTGCAGCGGCTCGAGAAGGGCAAGCTGAGCCACCTGGAGATGTTCCGGACGAACGAGTACAGCGCGTGGGACGACGAGGGTCTGCCGGTCAAGGATGCTGCCGGCGAGGAGGTGACCAAGAGTCGGGCTAAGAAGCTCCGGAAGGACTGGGAGCGCCAGAAGAAGCTCCATGAGGCGTGGCTGGCGGCCCAGTCGGGTTGAATGGGGTGTAGAAGGTGCATTCGAGGCGTTTTGATTTCATATCGATATCCAGGAGATCATCCTGCTACATAGCTATTACCATCCTACTCTATTCTGGTTATATGTAGACTATCCTAGGATACAGTTGATTATACTAATATTCTCGACACGTATTGACTGTTGACGCATCTGAAAGTGGCCGGATCACATGCATGTCGGACTGGCGTTCCAGGCATCCATTCTGATCACATTATCATTTTCCCTCCTTTTCTCTCTTCTTCTTCTTCTTCTTCTTCTTTTTTCTTTATTTCTTTCTTTCGTTCTATTTCTGCCTCCTTTCTATTTGTCTATCATCTCGGTCTCTTCTCTCCATCCAATATCCGCGTTGCGTCGTTCCCCGCATTCAGGGACTAGGCTCAACAGACTAATCAGACCGATCCGCCCCCCTCGCCCTCGGTCGCCCAACCTCGGCAACCCCATCTGCTCCACCCGCGGTTCGCTGGGATCCATTCATTGATTTCTATTTATCTGGTCCGCCTCACGCTGTTCTGTTGCTAGACCATACACGATACTACTGTGGTTGTGTTTTGTGACTTCATCATGCCTTTCAACACTGCTTTGACCCGGAAGCTGGGCATCGCCGGTAAGAACGCTGAGTCCGAGTCGCGTGGATCAGATGGTTGCTAACGAGTCGTGTCTGCAGTGCCCGTCGTCCAGGGTGGGATGCAATGGGTGGGATTCGCTGAGCTGGCGGCTGCCGTCAGTAATGCCGGTGGTCTCGGTATCGTACGTCTGACCGTTTGCGTAGCAAATACGGAGTCCCCGGTCGAAGAAGCCTCTGACGGAGAATGAAATAAACAGTTAACGGCCCTCACCCAACCGACGCCCGAAGATCTCCGCAAAGAAATCCGTCGCTGCCGCGCGATGACCAAGAACCCCTTCGGCGTGAACCTGACTCTTCTCCCGGCTCTGGTGCCTCCCGACTACGCCGCCTACGCGCAAGTCATCATCGACGAGGGCGTCAAGATCGTCGAGACGGCCGGCAACAACCCGGGCCCCGTGATCACGCAGCTGAAGAAGGCCAACACGATCATCCTGCACAAGTGCACCACCATCCGCCACGCCAAGTCGGCCGTCAAGCTGGGCGTCGACTTCCTGTCGATCGACGGGTTCGAGTGCGCCGGCCACGTCGGCGAGCACGACATCACCAACTTCATCCTGCTCAGCCGCGCGCGCCAGGAGCTCAAGATCCCGTTCATTGCCTCCGGTGGGTTTGCCGACGGCCAGGGTCTGGCCGCTGCGTTGGCGCTGGGCGCTGAGGGTATCAACATGGGTACGCGGTTCATGTGTACCGTTGAGGCACCTATCCACCAGAAGGTCAAGGAGGCGATCGTTGCGTCCGATGAGAATAAGACGGCGCTGGTGCTCCGTCGCTGGAAGAACACCACCCGTCTGTTTGCCAATAAGGTGACGCAGGATGCGCTCAAGGTAGAGCGCGAGAGCAAGAGCGGCGAGTTTTCGGATATTGCGCCGTTTGTGAGCGGGAAGCGTGGTCGTGAGGTTTTCCTCAACGGTGATGTTGATTACGGGGTATTTCTCCCTCTTGCTTTCTTTCTCAGGTCTCTGTTTTTGCGGTATGATACTAACCGTGTTCTAGGTGTGGACTGCCGGCCAGGTGATCGGTCTTATCCACGACATCCCGACATGTGGACAGTTGCTGAAGCGCATTGATACGGAGGCCCAGGCGGCCATTCAACGCAGCCAGTCGCTGTTCTCGACGCAGAGCAAGCTGTAAATTAGTCGATACACCGATCAGACAATATAAACTTCCATATAGTACAGACAATATAACTTTCATAGTACCTCAGTTGATCACGAGAATACCACCATCCATCCTCCTTGCATCAAGGCAAAGGCAGCAGACCATCCGTCCAGCCAAGCAACGTTCACGTTCACGACGGACTAGATATGCAGACCCCTTGCTCTGTAAATTGTGATAACCACCGCCTGCCTTTATCGTCTCGAGGCGGAGGCGAAAGGCGTCTCGTTCCTTGCAGGTTTCTCCTTGCATGCTTCTTGGTTAGGTCGGTTTGACGGTGTGGACGAGGTAGCAGGTTGAAACGAGTGTCTTGACGACGGCGTAACCGTTTACTCTGGATGGTTGAGATGGTGTTGCAGGTTTGTCTATGTGTAGGTCTATCTGTTTGCCTGTCTGTCTATACTTAGTACAATCATATCCACAACCAACTTGACTTTCAACTTAATCCTTGAATAGATCCGATCAATAATCTACGCACGTGCACACCTCATCTCAAGTCATCTACACATTGCGTCAACTATTGACTCGTGCATGCATCATCATCGTTATCTCCTGGTCGTGATAATATTAATCTCCGCATCTCATCATCATCATCATAATCATCCGTTAATCACCACGTTGCTGGCGCGACGTGTGTACGTGCATACATACTGTCAGGAAGACATAAATATAGCCTAACCTCGCCTTTACATCTGCATATTGAATTACAGTTCACATTCATCATTCATCATTCATTCATTCATCCGTTAATCCATACCTTCATTCCCATAGAGACGAATCAACAAAGAAGAGAGAGAATGGGCATCCTCGACCCCATAACATCCTGCATCCAACGCAGAGCCAAATCCAAATCCATCTCTGCGACATCGTCCGCGGAGCCGAGGTCGAGATCCAGATGTCGTTGTCGGCAGCGTCTGACAGCGTGGTCGATGGACTTGACTGCTGAGAAGAAGGCGGCTGATAATGATAAGGACGGGGAGGGCCAGAACGGACCCAGTCCACATGAGGATGAGAAGGACAAGCCGAGGAAGTTGGTCAAGAGGTCGCCTTCGCAGGCGACGGCGTCGATTCGGATTGTGGAGAGTGAGGGGGATGATCTCCCCTGTTCTTCTACCGAGAAGGACAACGATGGCGACGACAAGAGCGGCGATAGCGACACCAAGACGATGATGACGACAACAACAACAACAGAGAACTCCAGCACAACAGAAGATCGCAACCCCCCACGCAGCAAAATAGAAGACATCCCCGAAGAAAGCGAGCCCACCACCCCCGAAAAGACACCCCCTCCGCCCCCAGCCACAACCCCAGCAACACCACACAGCAAAAACGCCCTCCAGAATAAGCCCCTGCCCCTCCCACCTGTCAGCACTCCCAGTCCCAGACCTAGGCCCAGGCCCAGCAGCAAAAGCAGCAGATACACCCCCGACCCGCTATCAAGCGACCCCATCACCACAGACGAAGAGTGGTCTCCCAAACGAGCGAGCTCCCTCTTCCGCCTCAGCAGCCGACGCTCCCTCATCGAGATCGTCACCCTGCTGCAGACGACTGCTCAAGCTGCTGCCGCCGCTGCTGCCACTGCGCCGAGACGGCTGCACCCGGGTTTAGGGAGGGGTGGTAGTCCCGGTGTGCCTGCGAAGTCGCCGCTACGGCGGGGGGTGACGATCCCTTCGGCGTCGTCGGCGGGATCGTCTTCTGAGGGGACGATGATGGGATCAGATTCCGAGACGGAGGTGTCGTTTGCTTCGTCGAGTTCGTCGATCATGCTTCCTGCTTGGACTTCTTCGAAGGGGGGGTTTGTGCGTGGTTCCACTGCTGCTACTGCTCCTGTCTCTGCCACTGATACCATTGGTAGTAGCAGTAGTGGTGAGGTACCCGAGGAATTGAGAGACGGTGAGAAAAAAGGAGAAAGCAGGAAAGAGAAAAAGCACCGAAGGAGAGCCGCAGAGGTGTTTGATCAGCCCAAGCCGCTGCGGTGGCATTCGCGGCGAGCAGAGAGCGAGAGTAGACTGGAGGAGAATGAAGGCACAGAGAAGACTCTTTTTCGGTAGATGGGCGTTTGGGGGGTTGATTCGTTGGATGTCGCTGTTTGGCCGCGTGGGTTTGTCGTGGGTTATCTTTGGATTGTAATATATTATAATTTATTAATGACTGTATTACCATTTGATATAAGATTTTATTTTCCTCCCTCAAGGAAGTAGCTATCGGAAAGTGTAAAGTCGGAACTGTTATGGCGGCAATATCTGGAGATCAGGTGCAACGGCAACCCTAATTGTGATTCGAATGACTGTCAAAAAGCGATAGAAAAGACAGCGAAGAGACAGTCTACAGGGAGCTACAAATTACGAACCACCAGAGCAATTCAATCAAATACATAAATTAAATCAAGACCAATAAACAAAGATGATCTAATTAAACCTAAACGAATGCAACATCCTCACTCACTTTCCCAACGTACCACAGCGAGCGTGCCAGGCAGTACAAGAATGTAAAAGTACACAATTGACCAAGAGCCATCGCCCGATCGCCCACGACGGGACCAATCCCGCCGTGGGAATCATGTTGAATGCGTTTAGAGGATGGAGCCGAGGGCAACGCAGGGCAGGGCGAGGCCGACCAGACTCTCCGAGGCGTCGGCGGGCGAGTCCTGGCAACAGGCGATGTTCTGCTTGCACTTCTGGTTGAGCGCGTCCTGCAGACCAATAGCGATGACGGGGACTAATATTGATTAGTGTCTGTGGAGACAGAATGGACACAGGAAGGGGGAACATACTCTGGAGAGGGAGCTTGGAGCACTGGTTGAAGAGACCCAGACCCTCGGAGCCAGAACCGGCACCGAGCAGCTCAGACAGAGCACCGGAGAGCAGACCGTCGTTGACCTTGGTGGAGTCGCCAGTGTAGGTGGCCTTGTTGCAGCAGGACAGCTGGGCCTTGTCACCGCACTTGGCGGAGGCCTGCTCGACGGTCAAGTCGTCGGGCACCGGGAAACGGACCTGGGAGTTGCCCTTGTTGCCGATGCCGTTGCCATTTTGGATGTCGTCGGCGATATCCTTGGGCTGGGGAAGGGCGGCCGCAGTGGCGGCGAGGAGAGCGATACCAGAGGCGATGCTGAACTTCATTGTGATGGTGTGGTTTGGATTTTTGTCCTTTTTTTTTATATGTATGAAGGAGAAAAGTATAAAACAGAAACTGGTCTGAGAAGAGAAAGAGAAAGGCTTGAAAGAGAGTGGTTGTGAGGATGGAGAGAAGAAAAAAGAGAGCTCTTCTACGATGTTGGAACGTCCTTATATAGATGACGGTGGAGGCTTCCCTCCCTCCTAGATCCTCTTATTGTTGATTTTTTTTTCCACCCAGATCCAGTCATGCTCCCTACATTTGCTACCTTGTTTTGCCCCCTCTCACCCTGTGGTGTGGCTCACCTCTCTGTCTCTCTTTCCCACTCACCTTTCTCTCTCACTATAGATGCGCGTGTCTGGCCGGAATGCAACCATGCAAGGATCAGCGCCCCTGGAATCTTCACCATCCTCGTTTCTGTCCCCTGATCCTTGATCCATGGGTTCGTCCCCGGGTCTGGTATGGACGACCGGCGTTCTCTGCCCTGATTGACGGAGCCCCTGGCCACAGGATCCATGTCGGGCATGCCGAAGATGTTTTGCGCCGTCATGTTCTGCCCTCTGTTTCATACCCTCGCTTTCCGGGTGGATCCCCCGTTACATTCCATCAGTCTTGCGGTCCCGATTTCGACTGGGGGCGGACAGTCCTGCCCATGGTTTAGGGAGGGACGAAGTTAGGTAGGTAGGTGGGTAGTTACTGCTGACAGGATCCGACTACGGTCGTTACGTGGATCATCATCGTCAACTTGATCGTGCATTGATCTCGCAGCTGTTCTATGGACTCGCTCGTGCAGGATGCAGCTGTCACCAGGCACAGGCACGGGCACAAACACAGGCACAGGAACAACAAGCATTCAAGGTTGCAGGACATACCCAGCCTGCAAGGGGCCGAAGAGAAACCTGGAGGGCCACTTGAACCAGGGACGAACCGACGGTCTCTGCACGAGGCCTAGTGGAGTCAGGCATTGCGCGGTAAGGGATAGAACTCACTAGTTGAGGGTTAATTTCCGAGTACAGGGGGATTCATGACTTCCGTTTGCGATTTTGATCTTGTTCATCTTTATTTTATTTTATGACTCTTGTCTTTCTGGTTGTGTTGCGGTCGTCATCGATATGGCTGGCTTCCGCTTTCGTTGCTTGCTTGTGGGTCAGTGGGAGGTTGTTCCTGTAACGTTGGCATATCTTTTACTTTGTTCTGTTTTTTATTGAATTTTTCTATCCACAGCGCTGTAAAAGTCGAGGATGAACCTTCACCAGATGCAGTAACTCATGCATCATACATCCGCCCGCCCACCTGCATCGACATCTCTTCAGTGAATACGTAGACACATGATCCTTCGAGACAGCATCTTCACGTTGGGCAGTACATATCCAGCCCTTGTTCCACCCAGCACACAACATTAATTACATTCCCCGACCTCGTCTTCCGCCCGATCCCCATCCCCATCCCCCGTTGCGTTACCTGGGGAGACACACCCGATCGACAGCCATCCCTTGATCGGCTGGATTCCGGGCAGTCGCAGGGGTGTGCAGATCCCGGCTGTCCCTGTCCCTGTTCTGTGGAGGCGGCTGGTCGACACGAGTCCAGATCATGCACTGGCATGCTCGTGCGCAGGGCTTGATTTGATATGACTTGAATTGGGGGTGGTTTGATTGGGGAGGTTTGGGGGCAGGTTCTTCCGTGTATCATTGGCTTGTTTGGTTGGTTGAGTGACGGATTGATCTTTTGGTAATGCTTGTTTGTTTTGTTAGTGCTGTTTCTATTGTTTCTGCTGTTTCTGCTTGATTTCTCCCCGGTTTCTCCTCGGTTTTTGCTCGGTTTCTGCTTGGTTCGGATGAAGTTGGGATGAAGTGAAGCTGGAGAGGAATTAGGGCTAGCGGGATCATGGGACTGGCTTTTTGGATCTTTTGGGACACTCGATAGGATTATCACGCGTTACATACTTAATGAGAGATAGAATCAATTGTATTCTGTACATTATGAGACCGGTTGGATTTTCTTTCTGACAATAATGTCCAGGCAGTAGGATTTTGTCTGGATTCGGACTGAATGATTATTGATTAAGGAACTTTGTTTTCTCTTGTAGGAAATCTCACGACCATATTATACGTAGTATTATAATTGAAAAAATACTAAGTCAGCTTGCTATGATATGCCATCATGTCTTAACTTGACCATTCGACCAAAAACTCCAATTGGCGAGTGGTAGGGTCTTCATATCCAACATAGTATAAAATCAATAAACGCATGTTCTTTAGACCAGTCTACCTACTCTGGCTAAACTAAGGTAAATTTGTAGAAATGTATAGACGTTATAGAGATCCTAGATACTCAGACTAACAATAACATTCTATATCAAGTCGTAATCTTGTATTACTATGATCGATGTTGTGGTTAACCGTTTCAAGTGTAGAAATATATAATGTGTTGCTGAACTACTCCGTAGAAAGGCCTCGATTGTCTAACTTTAGCACTATACTACAATGAGACGCCTCTACTCAAATTAACTTACGTCATACAAAACTAATATCTTGAATAAATGGGGAACATATCCATCCTTCCATCAACTTTGCAACCCTGCAGTAAATGTCTATACATACTCGATATTCTCGAGTCCGAGATGAAAACCGCGAATACCCGATATAGATCGACTACTGATCTAACCCGAATAGGATAGCTTCCTCTTATGACCGCATATGCTTACTAACACCCTTATACACAGCAATGAGGGAACTCGGACCGGAATTATTCGTCGAGATCGGCATCTCTCACCTCCATTCAACTCCCCAAGTCAAGCTGCAAAAGACAGAACAACCGAAGAAGCAAGACAAACAGACAAACAAGAAAAACAAGAAAGAATATAGCCTATAAAAAAAGAAGCAGTGCTAATCACGATGGCCCCACCGCCTCCCCAAGACACAGACTCGCTGGGTGAGGCCGCGGAGAACCCGGCCGAGACCAAGACATCGCACGGGGAGGTGGAAGAGAGGGAAGAAAAAGAAGAGGAAACAGGGGGTCAAGAGGAAAAAGAGCAAAGTGAAGAAGAGGGAGAGGAAGAAGAAGAAGAAGAAGAAGAAGACGGAGAAGTGACAGAATCTCAACAAACCGACAGCAGAAACTCAAGCACAGAATCTCACCCTCAACCAGAGAACACAACGAAAAAGGAAGAGGAAAAACAAGAAGAACAACAAGAAGCACCTCCACTCCCCGACGAAGAGCTCCCCCCGCCCCTCCCGACCGAGAACCCCCCCTCCCGCGAAGACGACGGCTGGGAACCCGTCTGGGAACCCTCCGCGCAAGCCTTCTACTTCTACAACCGCTTCTCAGGCGCCTCGCAGTGGGACAACCCGCGCGTGCCGGACCCCACCACCTCCGCCCCAGGCGACGGCCCTGTTGCTGCTGCTGCTGCTGCGTCCCCGCCTGCGCCCGCTCCCGCTGCCGTGCTGGGAGGCTACAACCCCGCCATCCACGGCGACTACGACCCGACGGCGCCGTACGCGCAGCAGTACGAGCAACCCGGCCAGGATGCGCAGGCCGCCGCTGCCGCTGCAGCAGCAGCTGCTGCGGGCGGGGCAGACTATGCGGCGCTCGGGACGTTCAACCGGTTTACGGGGCGGTGGCAGACGGCGGAGCAGAACCCGGAGCGGCACAATGATGAGAATAAGTCGCGGCGGCAGATGGGCGCGTACTTTGATGTCGATGCGGCGGCCAACTCGCACGATGGGCGGAGTCTGCGTGCGGAGCGGAGTGCCAAGAAGTTGAGTCGGAAGGAGCTGAAGATGTTTAAGGAGAAGCGGAAGGAAAAGAAGGAGGAGAAGCGACGAGCTTGGTTACGGGATTGATCATGATACCTTTTCTTCTTTATTGCTGTTTCTTGTCTCTCGGCGCTGTACCGTAATATATAACTGGGTTGCATGGGTTTAGAAGTGGGGATGATTGTATTATCTATCAATATCAAGATGTCTATATTCAGTCTGTTCTAGCCGACATGAAGGGGATATGAAGAGGATCTCTTCTTAATTTACCTGTATACACTACCTACGGGGTATACAGAGGAGTTGATCCACCGGTCAGGTGACCGCCCGCATCGAAAAAAGTTCGCGCGGAACGAACTTCTCACCACCAACAAACCAGAAGACCAAACCAGCATCTTGCTGTAGAATCACAGACTGTAAGTACTGTCTGCATTATTTCTTGATTTCGGGCGGGACGTGAAGCAGAATTGACCACCACCCGTTGAGATGTCCCCCATGAGAGCAATGAGGGGCTTCTTCCGCGGGGAATATCTTCACATTCCTACTCTATCAACCTACCTATCTACAGGCGCAAACCATACCAAGCACACCCAAAACTAACTTAACACTCAAACCATAGTACCTAATTTCTACATATACACCAATCACCCTCACAAAGCCCGATCTCAAAGTCAAAAACGAAAGAAAGAAGAAGAAGAAAGAAAAAGAAAATGTCCCTCCCCGCAGACTCAACAGACGACCTCATCTACGACGCCCGCATCGGCGACCTCCCCGCCCTCCAAACAGACCTCTCCACGCTCTCCACGCAACTCAACCTCCCCACCAGCCAAATCATCGCCTCCGCCATCGACGCCGAGCCCCAAGAAGAGGGCGGCACCGGCTGCTGTCTGCTGCATTTTCCTGCCGCGAATGGGAATATTGGTATTCTTCCCCCCCCCCCTTCTCCCTCTTTATTCCTCTTTTACGAGAGGGGTGATATACACCTGTAATTGATGGACAGAAACTGACTGTATATGATTCATGTGTATAGAAATCCTCTCCTTCCTCCTCCAATCCCTCGACGAACCAGCCCGCAAAACCCTCCTCAACCACCGCAACCACTCCGGGAACACGCCGCTTCACTGGGCCGCTCTGAACACGCACCTTGAGTGTGTGAAGGCGCTTGTGGAGGCTGGTGCTGACCTCGCTGCTACGAATGATGCGGGGCTAGACGCTGTGTTTTTGGCGGAGCGGGCGGATTGGTCTGCGGAGGAGGAGAAGGATGAGCAGAAGGATGGTGCTGAGGCTGAGGCGGAAGTTGAAGCTGAAGCGGGCGAGTCAGCTCCTGCGAGACCTATGACCAAGGCGAGGGAGGTCGTCGAGTGGTTGTTGAGTTCGGAGAAGGCGGCGGAGTTGGAGAGTGGGGTTGATGGGGGTAAGGATAAGAGTGGTAATAATGCTGGTGAAGGGCCGTCTGCTGGGGACAAGATGGAGGAGTGATTGTTTTTTTCTTTCTTTGCTATTTCTTTTTCTTTGTTACCTTATATTTACATGACTTGATGGCTTGCATAGATAAAAGTTCTTCTTCCTTCATCTCTTTCATTCATTCTTGCTCAAAGCTAACTGGGCTGTCATTTCACATCACGCATATCTTCTATTCTATACTGTGTCCACCCTCCCACCATCCTGTTTGTATATGTATATGTATGTGTGTATATGTACCTGTAAGTCTAATCCCGCCTCGCTTTACTACTAGTCGTCTTCGGGTCCATCTCGCGGACCTTCGCGTCCAGACCGACCCGGAATTGTCGATCCCGCCACCTCACCGTGACGCCGCCGTATACAGCCCACATCCAGACCGGGAGCGCCAGCAACTCTCGCCCCAGCCATGCCGCAAACCACGTTCCGAACGACCGCCGTGTCCGCCCGGACGGCGGCGGCCGCGCGAAGGGCGGCGTGTCCTCGCTCAGCTCTACCGTCTTCGCCGAGTGTAACTTGATGTATAGTGTCCAGTCGACTAGGATCCACACGAGCATGTTGGTCCAGAAGAGCGCGAAGAACGCCGTCCATGTTGACAGGGATGCCGCCCATGCGTATCCGTTCTCCAACAGCCACGGGGCCAGCGCCGTCGTGATGCCCCATGCTCCATAGCATGAGCACAGGAAGGACTCCGTCCCGGGCTCGACCAGCGTCGCGAGCAGCACGGTGAACTTGCGCACCCGCAGCCAGCGCACCCGTCTGGCGACGTACGCCGGCACGCTCATGTTGGCGACGGGCTGGAACGCGAGGTCCCCGAAGACCATCGCGTGCTTGCCCAGCTTTTCTCCACCGTGCTCTTTCTTCTCCTCCCGCACCTGCTTCTTCCACAGCAGATCGCCGATCAGGTGGTCCTCGCAGATGTTGTCCGAGAAGTAGTCGATTCCCGCGTTGCGGGGCGGCCCATCGCTGTCGTCCTTTGACGCTGGTGCCGTCAAGTAGTCGAGGTGCGAACGGCGGAACATGTTCGATTTCCCGACGATGCACGGCGCGATGAGCACCGTGTTGATCGCCGTATACATTTTGGCGTGCGCGGACGACATGAACAACTCCTCCAGTCGACCCCCTCCCATTTCCATAACGCCGGCATTCTCGGCAACAGCCGAGGTGTCCCCGCGCGCTCGACACGCGTCCAAAAGAGCCTCCTGCTCCCCAGCCACACCAGGCTCATCGGTCACATCCACAACCAACGGCAAGTGATGGACGAATTTGTACTTTTTCTTCTTTTCTGACGGCGACCCAAACCCACACAGTCGATCCACCATACGCCCGCAGACACCCGGGCCGATCCAGACGTTGCAATCGATAATCCAAACGATGTCTCCCTCTCCTTCCCGATAGGCCCGACTCATATTGCGGATCTTGGGGTTCGGGCCCAGCTGGTATACGTGCTCGTTGCCCGGTTGCAGCAGTGGATCATCCTCCTCGACGTATAATCGTGCGCCGGCGTGCGGGAAATCCGCGACAAGCCGCTCTAGCGTCGGATAGCCCGGATCCTGTCGGGATGAGATGCAAAAGCAGACGGTCAACCGGTCGGACGGGTAATCCTGGCGGAAGGTCGACGCCAGACACTCATACAGGTGCGGTTCGAGGCCTTTGACGGGTCGGATGACGGTGACGTGGGGGGCGTCGGCGGAGGCTGCCGAGTGCGATTGTCGCGGCCGTTGTAGGAAATAGCGCCATCTGGAGCGAAGACATTGTTAGGATCACGCGACACAAACGGGTCTGAAACATGGGAAGAGGGCGAAGAAAAGTCCGAGGTAATATACATTTGAGAGTAGCCCACGACACAAACGAGATTGACCGCGGTATACCAGATCAAACAGACCCAAGCCACCCCAATCGACCACGCGGATCCGCCATAGCTGGTCGGTCCAAGATTGAAGGGCTCTGCGCGTGGTTGAAGGCTTAGCATAGGCGAACGGCGGTGGGAGAAATAATCATCTAGCGGAGCATTCTACTCAAACACGAGGAGCACCACCAATTGGCCGTTTTGCGGGGTGGGAGAACAGACGAACGGGGGAGGAAGTGAGATGAAGTCGCGACGGATGTTGGAGAGAAGAAAGATCGACAAGGAAGCCGCTTACCAATTAGTCGGGCTCCACACACCGCAGTGACCAACTTATGCCGGAATCTATATCTGTTCTCTACGATTGACTTGCCCCATTTGACGGTTTGTATCCACAGATTGATTCCTTTGGCTTGGCAAAAATAGTAGTAGTAAATAGGTAAATAAATCAAATGAAAGAAAATGTGTGAAAAATAAACGCCTCTCAGGTATCATGGGAACAAGCACAATCAGTACAAGAAACTCTCCGATCAACGACCTCGTGCTCTCGATTCCTAGACTTCCCGTATAGAGGACGGTCGCGAGTTGTTTTGAGATTCTTGTGTACTCGTGCGCCGGAGACTGAGGTTGCCAATCCGCTGTACAAGGTTGCTCCCAACCGCGTCCACCGCTCCCTTGGGCGCAAGGAGCGTCGGCCCCTGGGCTGCTGCCTCCTGGACCTTGAACAGCTTGATCCCCGTTCCATTCCAGACCCCCACAGTCCCCGGGGTAGCACCCGACGCCGTGCCCACGACCATCTCGCTGGAGAAGATGAACCCCCAGAGAAGAGACTCGTACCAGCCCATCGAGAGGGCTGACCACTCAAAGGTGTGCACGCGCACAGGCGAAGGCTCGGCTATGATGATGCGAATGGCGGGATCTTCCGTGAAGGACGGAAGGTTGGTGATGAGAGTGCGCGCCTCCGGGGTGGAGGCGCTCTGGAAAGCCGATTCCGGCACGTGCGGTGTGATCGCCGAGATGATGGTGAGTATGGTATGCAGGGGAAGCTCGGGAAGCCAGGATTCGAGCTGGATTATGTTAGTGGCCTGCAGACGCAGGTGAGGGAGGCACTGTGATCACTCACCCATGCCGTGGTAGGCGTGAAGCCATTCGGAGACGTTGGGAAGATCGCCGACACGCTGGTCTGGCTGGTCATACTGTTCTGTCGGGAAAAGGACGGCTGCCCGGCCGGCATCTTTCCCCGTGCCTTTTCCGACATGCCTCGTAGTTGTAGCGGTACACTCTCGTCGATAGTCGACGCCGCTGATGGCCGTCGCGAGCTTTGCACAGACGGCGATGTGTGCACCGGTGTTTTGGGCTCGCCCTGCTCATCATCGGACTCGTCTCCAATGGCAAAAGGCGTATGTTCTTCCGGGATGCGGCCCAGCGGAGATCGCGTACCCGACGATGTGTGAGGATCCTCCTCAGCGGCGGAGAGAACCGGACTGGCGACAAAGTCACTGGATCCGCTCTCGTCCTTTCTTCTCTCGTTCTGTCGTTCGATCTCCTGCTGTCCGCTCTCCAGTGTGAACGACCGCACGGCCTCAAAGCGTTTCCGATACTTCAGGATGGCATAGACGAGGAACGGGTTTTCTTTAAGATACTGTCAGCAGGGACCTTGAAGAAAACATCGGGCATTGGACGAACTCGTAAACTTGTGCTCTAGAATCGAATTGATCGACTCCAGCACGGAAGTGAGGAGGTTGTGATTGGAGTCGTTTGCGAGCAAGAAACTGGGCGCGGACATGGACGAGAACAGCTGCAAGATCTTGGAGCATGCCGCTGGAGACATGTGTTCCACATAAGGGGCGAGGTTGTTCACGATGGCCAACAGCGCCGGATAGACTGCAGTGAGCGTGCCTTTGCTGGTCGTGATCAAAGTGTGGACGGACTGCTAATGTCAATTCTTGCCCGTTTCAACGTTTCAAACATCTGGGGAACTGACCATGATCAAGAAATCCGCATAAGAACCTCGGAAGTTGGGAATGCGAATGGTTTGCGGGAGCGTGTCCTGTGCCTCGAATTTCAGATTCAAGCTTTGCCCGAAATTAGGGTCCACGCTCATGGTCTGGAGAATGAAGATGCACATCCGGACCACGCCTTGTTTGGCGGGGTCAGATTTGTACGCAATGGCGTAGAAGATGCAGAGAATGACAAAATCGTGAGAGCGGTTGGAGTCGATGATAAAAGACCTAAAGCGCTTGTTGCACTGCAACGCCTCCCAGAAGAGCATCAGCATCTCGGGGGCCCACTTGACGGTTCTCTGACTACCAGGAAGATAGGAGCTTGTAGCTTGCAACTGGAAGATAGACGTCAGTGGTGAAGGCGATCACGAGAGAAACTGAACATACGGGTTGGTTCAGGATTCGGGTCATCCCGTCGACCAGAAACTGGAAGTCCTGCGGCCTATGTAGCCGTCCGAAGTAGTGCCGATAGTAATTCTTCGGAGGAGAACCACGACCGTCCTCCGGGACTGGATACAGAAGCAGCACGAGAAGCAGCTGCAGACAGTAGATAACCAAGATCTGCTTGGGGTCTTTCCACACGACATGATCGTACGGAACCTTCCAGGATGCGGGGTTGTACTTGATAGCCTGCACGGAACGAGTGAGCACTGCCCTTAAACAGATCACCTTCTGTAAAACCTACCGTGTTGAGCAACGAGCACAGAAGTGTCAAGACAGTCTGCTTGTCCGAACATGTCGTGATGTAGGTAAGGGCTTTAACACCCTGCACCGGCAATAGATCTTCCAGGCTGTTAGCTCGAGATACCCAGTCGGCTTACCACAATCGAAAAGAGGGGACGGCTTACTTGAAGGCATATACATGGCCCGCCCGGTCAGCGTCAGCAGTAACCTTAGAATCTCACAGCGGTTGTTTTCGAGTTCTTTGCTCGAGCCCATAGACGTATTGCACCCCACCCCGCTTTGCCAGATGGAAAACGAGACTTTGCTCGCCGCCGTAGGCAGTGGTGGAATCGTGAAATCCGTGTAAAACAGCAGATCTAATAAGGTATCGATCAGCTCCTCCGCCAGAGGCTTCACTTCCTCGTAGTCACTCTCCCGAGGCGATACCGCATCTCGCTGTTCCCCAGCCTGCGCCTCGTCAAAGAGCACTTCCGTCGCCACCTGGGCCTCGCGGGTCTTCTTCCTCCGACGAGCCCAGAAGAATTGCTCCTCCCATCCCTCCAAGTGGTCGGCCTCGTATACGAAGGGAAGGATCCGGGTGAGGATGCGGATGCAGTTCAGCGCGTCCCGGTCGGGGGCTAGGTCCGGGTCTGGAAAGGACGGATGATTCTTGAGGACGGTGAGGCGTGAGGTGACCGACAGCAAGAGTGTCTCGAAATTCGATGTCGCGTTATCACGGGTTCGCCGTATGTCTGCGGGGGTAAATAAACTGAAGACATCCTCGGTCGACTCCGGGAGCTCCCAGAACTACATCGCAACCGTTAGCAACGGATCGCACTCCATCGTAGATTATCCACGACTCGGAACATACTCTCGCCCAGTAGGGATCATCTGGAGGGATATCTTTCTCCTCCGAGAGACGGAAGATTCCCTGCTTGAAGACCAACTTGGACTCCGAAGCCCCCATCGTAAAGCCACCAACGGGATTGGATTGACGGAACAACCAACTAGGTGCAGTTAGAGGCCTACAGGGAAAGGTATCCTGAGGCTGACGCTTAACCCCTGCTGAGAACAACTACCCAGGAAGGGGAGAATAAGCAGATGTCGCGTTGGGAGGTTGTTTCGTGGCCGGTTGAATAAAGAAAGAATAAAGGAATGAGGGAACGAGTTGACAGCTACCCATCGTTCCTTGGCCGCGGAGACTCGGCGATCTTCCAGTGGTCCCCATCAGGGTAAATAAATACAATCCCCCCCCGCCACGATTGGACTCCAGCTTATATGGTATAACGTATAAAATGATAATATTTTAAAATGCTCAAGTATAGTATTGCTATGGAAAATTTAGAGCCACGATTTTCGGAAATAAGTTCCGGGCTAATCACTCAAGTTTACATCGTCTTCCCTTGATAAGTGCAACCAGAACACCCGCCAAACCAATCCATTCCATTTATCAATCAATCAAAGACTGCCGTTGCTGGCTGACAACCGTCTACTCCGCTCGTAAAGCCACTTATTGCTCAATCCCAGGCTAACCCGCTTTCCACCGACCGGGGATGGGGTCGCAGGCCCCATGGTCGACATGGTCGACTCCGTGAAGGATGAGCTCCGACCGAACGAAGACGACGACCCAAAGCTGGGTCGTCGCCCTCCCTCTCGCCCCCCATTCGAAACCACCTTGTGAAGCAACGGGCTACTTGAGGGGGAAAAGGTCGTGCTGTACGATAGTCGACGCCCCGACGCGCTGGCGCTGGCGGATAACGGCGATGCCGTCCTGCTGGCGGGGCTAGCGGTCCGCGATGCCGAAAGCCGATATTTGGGGGGAGTCACAAATGAGGTTCCAGGCGTCGACGGTGAGCTAGTAGATGGGCGGAGGCCCAGAAGCGAGCGCTGCGTAGGGGTGAGAGGGATGTCGGAAAAGTTGTCCTTGGGCCGGAACAGAGGGTACAATGCGAGGAGGATGTTCACGGCAAAGATCAGTTGCAAGATCAGCAGCGAGAAGTCCGGGTAGGTGGAAATTCGGGTGAGGTTTTGAATCCGTAAAGAGCTGTACCGATGCGAGTTAGATCCCATCGCACGACCTCGACGTCGCTGCGCACACCACTCACTATGATCGAAAGGTATCCCCGAAGATCCACGTCGCTACCAGAGCGACGGTATTCCACGACAACTTCTTGAGGTTGCGGTCTCCGAATGTCTCCGCATTTTGTCGCCGGACGATCTCGTTCAACTGGGGATGGCGCCACTTGCCAGGAGTTCGGGATTCATCTGGCGTGGGCGCGGGCGCGGGCGCAATGGCCGCTTTCGGGGTGGATGGAAGAGAGGCCATTGACCGGGGACCAGGACGAAGGGCGACGACGAAAAGGAAAGAAAATATGATAGAGGGGGGGAGAGGGGCTATTCAAAGGTAAGCACAAAAGAAGCCATCACGGATATTCGATTTGAATGACCACTTACTTGAATAGGACGTTGAAGCTGAACTTACCTTGTCCTTACTTACCTTTATTGGTTCAATCGAGGATTTACCACAAGCACATTTGGGGAAGAGTGTCCAAATTCGCCTTACGGTAAAAACCCAGACTGGACCATACCTCAACTTCAAGAGAGGAGAGAGGGGACCAGCAGAGTGGGGAAGGATGATGTGATAGATAGATTGTTATGATGATTTTGTTTTGGAGATGATGATCGATGCGCAACGCCGGGCAACGGGGAGCACAAGCGCCTTTGACGCGGCCGAAGTTTTCCACTGTAGTGTAAGTATGTAATTCGTACTAATGATACAGTATGTAATAGCTGGTCCTGCTACTCTCCGTAGCCGCCCTTCCCCCCCCACACCTACCTAGATTAATCCGAGCTTCCGCCCAGCTCCGCTTTTGACCCTCGCATTGTAAACAACATCTGGCTGGAGATTACAAAAAAGGCCATCTGTCTTCGCTTTGCTGGTCACTTATTTGCTCTTAGGGTGATACTCTTCTCGAGAGTCCCGGCCATCGATCATGGATTCGAATAAATCCCTGTTGGAATCGTTGGATGCGGTGGTTGCCGATGCCTTCGCCGACTGGAACATCTATAGCACGTTGATTGCCGGTGGCATTGTTAGCTTTCTCGTCTGGTCTTTCGTCACTTCTAAGGATCCCGATATCCATCCGTTTCTTCTCGCGCGCCAGTCGACCGCGTTTCCCGTACGCAGGTCCGGTGAATCAGCGCCATATCGGAGTCTCGAGACACCCCACGGTTTCCCCTTGCGGTCCGGACTGAACGTGAAGGATCCCGGCGCTCCGAAGTGGACGACTGGGAGGAAAGGCGACCTCCGAGATGTCTGGAGAGCGGCCGTGCGCGGCGCTTTGGACGATGAGGGCAAGCTCACGGGCAAGCAGGGCAAGATCTACACCGTGCTGGGGCGCAAGGCCATCGAGCACTCTTTGGACCAAGTCACGCAGGAAATCAACGTCATCGGGCGGTTTTTGCAGGAGGCGAAGACCAAAACCATGGCGGTTTGTCTGACCGACTCGATGGAACTGCTGGCAGCTGTCTTCGGTATGAGCTATGAGTTGTGTGGCTAGGTTCAATTCGTGCTGACCGAGCTTGTTTCAGCGGGCGCATTCTATGGCTTCAAGGTCGTCCTCATTCCCCATAACCTGAAAGCGCAAGACCTCTCGAATCTGTTGCAACGAGCCCAGGCCGATACGTTGATCGCGGAGGCCGGCGCTCTCGATCTGTCCTTGGTCGCGAAGAATAACAAGCAACTCTCGCAGGTCGTTTGGGTTGCAAAGATAGGAAGCCGACACATGGATTGGAATGAAGTGCCCGCGGATGTCAAGGGTAGCTTGGATGTGACCGTCTGGCACGACCTGGTGGACGAGAATAGGGATCTGGCTGGGTTGGAAGTTCCTAGCTGGGATTCTAGCTCCCCGTCGCCTTCCGTGACCACCGTGTGGCCGTCTGCATCGGGTGTGGGCGAGTTTATCGAGTTCCAGCCAGAGGTAGGGTCCCCTCCCACTCTGTCGAGTTCATTGTGACTGTTCGCAGCTGACTTGGATGTAGAACTTGGTGGCCGCCATTGCTGGTTTACTCTATTCCCTGCCCCGAAACCAACGCTTCAACTCTGACGACCTGGTCCTCTCGATTGACTCGATGTCACGTTCATACCCGCTGTGCCAGATCATGGCAGCGATCTTCGCCGGTGCCTCCGTCGCCCTGAACTCGGTTGCCGGGGAGGGCGTGGACTTCGCTTTGGCTACCGTCGGGGTGTCTCCTACCGTGATCATCGCCTCGTCCCGCACCATGTCCCAATATCATGACAAATTCATGGAACCCCACTCCGGCGTCATCTCCTCGATTGCTCGCTGGCTCCAGGTGCGGAACCTGGAAGCGGGTGTGATGCCATCGCACGGTCTGCTCAGCCAGCTCGCCAACATCGGCCCAACCGCCGAACTGTCCCTGGACAAACTCCGTCTGCTGTGCATCTCCCACCGCGCCGATGCGGATCCCCAGGACCGCCTGACTTGTGGTCAGCTGACGGACCTGCGGATCTTCACCGGCGCCCGCGTGGTATATGCCCTGACTGGCCCGGGAGTTGCGGGTGCTATCTCTCAGACCAACATCTATGACTATCGGCGTTTCCTGGGCCCCAACCACTTTGGTGCGCCATTGAGTAGTGTCGAGGTTCTCTTGACTGACATCCCCAGCGACGAGAAGTTCGAAGGAAAGGTAAGCATTCGACTTGTTTCACACGGTCTTTAGGAAGCGCTCGCTAACGGTTTTTGGTAGATCACCGTGTCTGGCCCTGCTGTCATCTCCGGCACGGTCACTCTTCCCGCCCGGGGTCATATCCGTGATGACCACACTCTCGAATTGGTTGCTTAGGTTGGGCAGATTAAGTGACTTTCAACCCTGCTGATTGTTTTGGGATCCGGTAGCTTTTATCTAGGTCATTTATTTAGCACCTTGATTTTGTACCCTGTTATTTGCTCGTTTCTTTTCCGAGTGTTTTTAGCACTACACGGTTTCCCCAACACGGCCAATAAGCCTATATTTACCTAGCTTTTGGTTCAACCCATCCAGATTGTACGAAGAGGACATGGAAAACTCGTCCATTCTCGACTAAAGATACAGCTCCGAGCAGTATTGATGGTAATGTACAATTCATAAGCAGGGCACAAAACGCCAAAAAAAATCATCCTATCTAAGCCCCCCCTCCACTTTTTCTTCAGACGATGCTTTGGCTCTGTACGTAACCCAGGGTGGGTTTTTGCTCAATCTCCGCCGGGGCAAGACTCCTCTGCTTCTGGATGATCATTTTGAGGTCGTTCGAGCGCGTCTTCAGGAGACGGCCCACGTCCTTGGTGCGCCCAACTTCCTGCACCTGCTGGGCGAGGTTCATGGCGTTGTAGATGGCCACGTTGCGCTGAAGCAGTCTGTCGATCTCGTACCAGTTCTTGTACTCGGGCTTGCTGAACTGGGCGTACGCCCACGTGCCGAAGAGGCGCTCCGCGTAGAGACGGACCAGGCCGTCCTGGTCGTGGCGGTTGTATTCCTCCACCGCTCGGGCGGCGTTCAGCTCGAGGAGCACCGCGCTGACCAGCGGCCTCTTCCTGGGGTCCAGGTGAGGGCTGGCCTGGTGGTGTTCGGGGCTGTCCATCAGCGACACGAACTGCGTCGCCAGCTCGGCGGCCTTCGCCAGCTCGGGCCCCTTGAACTCCGCCGCCAGGGCCTTCTTGTGCAGCACGAGGAAGATCTGCTCCACGAGAGGCGGGTTGTTGAGGTAGAGGCCGGTTTTCTCGGCCTGGCGGGCGCAGTCGAGGACGATGCCGAGGGCGTCGGCGTTGCCCGCTCTCCGCGCCAGCCACTCCTGGCGCTCGGGGCTGAGTTTCCGGCCTGCGATCTTAAGACCTCGTAGGAAGGGGGCCAGGTTTCGCCAGTCTTGCTTCGTCTGCATCATCCGGAGCACGGCGACGGCTTCTTGGTTCGACGGTCTCGTTTGCGGGTCCATGGGTCGCAGGGTGAAGTCCTCCTCTTCGCCTTCGAGGGGCACCGTGATCTGCTCTTCGTCGAGGCGGTCGGCGTACTTTTGGCGGAACATCATCCGCCGCGGGCCCTGGGGCAGGCCATACGGTATGAAGAGTTCTTCGCGGAATCGGTGAAGTTCCTGGTCCAGTTCGGGGGAGGAGGTCTGGGTGAAGGTCGGGATGGCTGCGTCTTTGTTAGTAATGCCTCGCGGTTGCGAAAGATGGATTTGAGGAATTGAGAGGAGACTGACTAGCACGAGTGCGCTTCTGTATGAAGCCACTGATGGACGGACGCAGAGTACTGGGACCCTGGCCGCGGAAAAGCCTCAAGGCGCACTGCGCCATTCTGGTTGGAGGAAAGGGTGTTTGAAGTAAAACTCAACAAGGGATTCCACTGGGAGAAAGGGATCTCAGGCAATTGCACAAATGGAACGCCTTTTCTGGTGGATTGGAGCAAACGGACTCGTCTTGCGGAGCAGAAAAGTTCCCGTCGCGAGTCAAAGTTCAGATCCGATGGAGGTTGTCCCGATCGGGCAATTCGGGGCTTGGCGGGAATTCTGCCCGTCCGTCAAGTTCTTCCCGTTCTAATCACCGTTATCACCCTCTCTCTCTCTCTCTCTGTGTGGCCTCTCTTTATCACCTATCAAGTCGACAATTGTTACTCGAACGATTGTCTGATCTGCCGCCATGGCAAATCCCTCCCCGATCTTGCGGCAGCTGGGCTGCTTCAGGTCGTTGATGAAGCCCCAGTCGCTTCAACACGCCCAGATCAGTCGCCGATCGATCACGACCGCATACACGCCCAAGTCACAGCCTCTGGATTTCCCATCCAAGATGCCCAAGACATTCCTGTCGCAAATACCCACTCATTTGCAGCCTCACAGTGCGTGGAGTTTCCCCCTTGTACTCCTGGGTAAACCCTCACTAATCCGCTCTTTGCGACAGGCCGCAAGAAACTCAAGGTCTACCCTCCGCCGGCCTCCGCGACCACTACGTGCAAAGACGCCGTGGGAGCCGTGAACCAATCGCAATTAGAAACGCTTGATCCGACCGGTGAACGCAAGGCGCTCTTTGACTACCGACGGAACCCGCGCAGTGTCAAGGTTGGCGACATCGTGCGCGTGACCTTCAAGAACGGAGACCCATTCGCAGGAGTGTGTCTGAGCATCCGGTTGCGAGGGCACGACACGTCATTCTTGCTGCGGAATCAACTCAGTCGGGTTGGAGTCGAGATGTGGGTGAAGGCTCTCAGCCCCAACGTTGAGAGCGTTGAGATCGTCCAGAGAACCGCGCACAGGAAGAGACGTGCTAGGTTGTATTACATGAGGTGCGTATTTGCTGGTTTTACTATCCCGAAAGGCACGGGGACTGGGATTTTGTCGACTAACCTTTCTGTGTTTCTCTCTTCCAGACAACCTAGACATGACATGGGCACCGTCGAGAACATCGTCACGAACTATCTCCGACAGAAGCAAGGCCTTCGGGGCATCAAGGGCCGTGGGGGACGTGGACAGAGACGGTGAACGGGGACTCCCATGTAAACCGACTCTTGCATTTGGCGATTGTATTATTACTTGCACGTGTATATTGAACCTGACGTCTAGGTGTTTGTCTGGTGACTTCGGGTATAAAGCAATTCAAAGCATCCTTCTGAATGGGCCTACCGTAATCATTCCAACAAGGGCCAGGTTGATGACCCTAATACATCCACTGCCCTTTGCCAAAGGGTTGGCCGTTGAGTACTTGCAGACGAGGCATCAATACATGCCCCGTCTTAGTCACCCCATCACTCTTTATATCGCTCCAAGTAGTTCAAGTAAAAAGACCATCTCATCTCTGGCCTTCCATCTTCACGAGATGCTCCGTAACTCATTCATTCAACCCACGCTGTAAGATACGTTCGAGTCAGGTTGAATCGACAGCGGTAGCTCTGCTTCTGATCCTCGAATCAGGCCCCAGATCGGCTCAATCACTTTAAGTGGGGTAGAATACGCTAATCAATATACACCAGGCAAAAATGAAGTCTCGGCGCCAACCAATTCCAAGGCACGCCGGCTACTTGGTCGACCGAGGCGATGCTACTAGGATCAGATTCTCTTCGGAGCGATTGGTCGATTGACTGGCGCTTCGTTCTGCTAATTCACCCGTTGTCATGATTGTTGTTCTGCTTTGAAGCAGCCCTAGCACTGCCTCCCACGCTCCTGGGCAGACCCACTCCTACGATCTTGGTCTCTTACGGAGTAGGGGCTACAGATTCAGTCGCAGCCTCGTTCCAGGGTACACCACGCCTGCTGCGAGTCGCTTCGAAGGTATCAGGACCGACTTTCTTTGATTCTCTGCCTGAGTGATGCTTGGTTGACGCAGAGTTCGACATCTATTCCTCGTCGTCCCCTTTTCCGTCGCCCTTTGAGAGCTAGGAATGAACATCTAGACCGTCTAGTGTCGCTCCCGGTGACTGGCAGGCAACGATGAAACTCTTCCTCAGGCAGGTCTGGACATTGACTGTCAAGAATCTGTTGGTGGTGTTGGTCCGTCCGCTGTTCACGACCGTTATTCGGGCCTTGGTCTTGCCGGTAGTCTTCATTGCTTTTATGTTCGTCGCGGTGCTCTCGATAATCCTGTCTTTCTCGAATTCTCTAATGCAGCGCTTAGATCGTACGCGCGAAACCTGTTCATCGAACCGGCAACATACGGGATCGGCGAACCGACCCCTCTGCGATCATTCTCCGATGCACTGGGTCTCGTCGGTGAGGGAAGGGACAAGCTGGTATTCGTCCACAATGGACTGGTTGATGGTCCAATCCAGCAAGTAATCGATCGCGTCGCGGAGCCTGCCAGAGAAAATCACGACCAAGTGCATATTCTTACCTCTGAGGATGAGCTGCGCGAGGTGTGTCGTTCGTCGCTTCGGGGGGTGTCGACATGTGTCGCCGCCGCCGTATTCCATTCGTCCCCCACGGAAGGTCCATATGGCGCCTGGAATTATTCGATCCGAATGGATGCGGCACTGGGCGCGGGGATAGAAGTCGACAAGCTCGACAATGAACAACAGATCTATCTTCTTCCGTTCCAGCACGCCATTGACTGGGCCATAGCCCAGGTCAACTCGTCCACGGGCCGACGCCCACTTCCCAGCGAGGTCTGCTTCCACGACTCCAGTATAATTCGCCCCAGCTAATTGATTTAGATTATGGAATATCCGTTTACGTCTTTGACCCAGAAGGGTCGCGAGGACGAAATCAGAACCCGCTATATGGGCGCTGTCATCGACATCATAGGAGTCGCCATTTTCATCGGTATCGTTGGTGTCTCGTACCAGCTTACAGGCTTGATCGCCATGGAGCGAGAACTAGGCATGAGTCAGTTGATCGATTGCATGATGCCGAATACCTCGCGGTGGAAGTCTCAAGCCGCCCGGTTCTGTGCTGCCCACCTGGCCCTGGATATTGTTTACGGTCCTGGTTGGATCATTGCCGGCGGCATCCTGAAGTATGGCGTATATAGCAGAACCTCCGCCGGTATCACCATAATCTACCATATCCTCGTTGGTCTAGCGCTGTCATCCTTCTCCATCTTTGGGGCATCGTTCTTCAAAAAGGCACAGCTGAGTGGCATTACCCTCGTCATTGTCTGTTTACTACTGGGCGTGGTAGCCCAGATGGCCCCTACCGAAAGCAGTGGGACGGTTGGGATTCTAGGCCTCCTCTTCCCGTCGATGAATTATGTCTACTTCTCCATTTTCATGGCTCGCTGGGAGCGGCAGAATTTGGCGACGAACCTTGTCGAAGCGGCTCCCCAAAATCCTTGGACCCTTCCTGGAATCGCTCTGTGGATACTTCTGGTCATTCAAATTATCGTTTACCCTGTGCTTGCAGCCGTGGCAGAGCGTATACTCTATGGCACGACCTCAAAGAACCGACAGGCCACGACTTCTGACACCTCGGCCGCCCTCAGTTTGAACGCGTTCAGCAAAGAATATCAGCCGGGATGGCTCTACCGGAATATAGCTTCGCGCTTTGGAAGCAATCGAAGCAGTGTGCTGGCAGTCAACGGTCTTACAATGGATGTGACAAAAGGAGAGATCATGGTCCTTCTCGGGGCTAATGGTTCGGGAAAATCCACTACACTGGATGCTATTGCTGGTCTAACGACAATCTCCTCTGGGCAAATCGACATCAGCTACGGCGAGTCAGGAGGCCGGTTTGGTCTCTGCCCCCAGAAGAATGTTCTCTGGGATTCACTCACAGTCAACGAGCACGTGAAGATATTCAACCGACTTAAATCCACGGGGAAAACCGATTCCAAGGAACAACTCTCCAAGCTACTTGGTGACTGTGACCTTGACAAAAAGGTGAATGCGCGCACTGTGACACTCTCTGGTGGTCAAAAACGCAAGGTTCAGCTGGCGATGATGTTCACTGGTGGTTCGTCTGTGTGTTGTGTGGACGAAGTATCATCTGGCCTTGACCCAATCTCGCGCAGGAAAATCTGGGACATTTTGTTGGCGGAAAGGGGCTCTAGGACCATTCTTCTGACAACCCATTTTCTGGATGAAGCTGACCTTCTCGCTGATCACATTGCTATTCTGTCGAAGGGTGTTCTCAAGGCTGACGGGTCGAGTGTGGAGCTTAAGCATCGACTCGGCTCCGGATATCGTATCCACGTTCTCCATGTCCCTGGGGCCCCCAGCCTACAGTTCAAAGATGTCCCACATGAGGTTCATTTTGACGAGACGCTCTATACTGTCCAGAGCTCGGCAGAAGCCGCCTCTTTCGTGTCAACGCTGGAGCAAAACGGTGTGACCGACTACCGCATCAGCGGCCCGACAATAGAGGATGTCTTCTTGAAGGTCGCCGAAGAAGTGGACTTAAGCAAAGCCCCGACAACTGCCACCAGTGAAGCTGACCACGTCCACTCGAAATTTGCCGAGGTCATGGAGGAAGAAGTTGGCCAGAATGAACTGCAGCTTCTCACTGGAAAGCGCATCGGCATGCTCGTCCAGGCGTGGTACTTGTTCCGTAAAAGAATCACCATTCTTCGGCGGAACCCTCTCCCTTATATTGCTGCCCTGCTTATTCCCGTCATAGCTGCGGGATTGGTTACTCTGTTCCTCGAAGGAGCCACGAAGACGGGATGCTCTGGAGCGAGTACTTCTAAGGGTCCAGAAACCCAGTCTTTAGCATCACTGGACGGCTTCCAAATTGTGCTTGGCCCATCCAGTGTGGTGTCCACTGCAGCGCTCGAAAAATTCGTCAAGACCCTCGAAAGCACAAGTGGGACCAAGAACGGAGGCCCCGATTTGAAAACTCGTTTCCATATGGTTGACACTTATCCGGAGTTCACGAGCTATATCCAAAATAACTATGCCAATGTGACTCCTGGTGGCTTCTACCTTGGAGACTCCTCTTCTCCGGCCACTTTGGCATGGGAAGCCGATAACGGCGACTTCCCACTTGCGGCCGTTGTGCAAAATCTCTTTGATCGTGTCCTGACCGGTATCCCAATCAACGTGCAATACCAGCCTTTCGAGATTCCCATGCAACCTGGAATGGGGAAGACACTTCAATTGATCGTCTACTTTGGTCTTGCGATGTCCGTGTACCCCGCCTTGTTCGCTCTCTATCCTACGATAGAACGTCTGAGACACGTGAGAGCGCTGCACTTCAGCAATGGGGTACGAAGTTTGTCACTCTGGCTGGCGTACCTTGTCTTCGACTTCTGTATTGTGCTTGCGGCCAGCGTCCTCGCGATCGTCATATTCCGGGCCGTATCAGACGTATGGTACCATCCAGGGTATCTATTCGTGGTATTTTTCGTCTATGGACTGTGCGCGACCTTGCTCTCGTACCTGGTTTCACTCTTCTCGAAATCCCAGCTCGCAGCCTTTGCCTTTGCTGCCGGTGGACAATGCGTTCTCTTCCTCATCTACTTCATCGCATACATGTCTGTCCTGACCTATGCACCCACCGAGAAGGTCGACTACTACATCGAGGTAGCCCACTTCACGATAGCGATCATATCTCCAGCAGGGAATCTCCTCCGCGCCATGTTTACCGCTCTCAATACTTTCTCGATTCTCTGCCGGGGTCACGAAGTCGCCTCTTACCCTGGCGAGATCACCCTCTACGGCGGGCCCATCCTCTACCTGATCGTTCAATCCCTAGTCCTCTTTGGTCTAATTCTCTGGATCGACGGCGGGCCTGTCTTGTCATCCCTCTTCCATAGCAAGTTCAAGCCCACGGATTTCGAAGAAAAGAGCCCGGTCGACAAAGACATCGCGACAGAAGCCTCCCGCGTGGCAACCTCTTCAGAAGACGGCCTTCGCGTCCTCAACATAAACAAAAAGTTCAAGAAACTCACAGCAGTCGAAGACGTCAGCTTCGGGGTCGGCAAAAGCGAAGTCTTCGCCCTACTCGGCCCCAACGGCGCTGGCAAAACAACAACCATATCGCTCATCCGCGGCGACACCCAACCCACCCGCAGCAACAGCTCCAACAACAGCGAAATCCTCGTCGACGACATCTCGGTCCTCAAACACCGCGCCTCCGCACGCTCCCGCCTTGGCGTCTGCCCCCAATTCGACGCAATGGACCAAATGACCGTCCAAGAGCACCTAACCTTCTACGCGCGCATCCGCGGCCTCCCCCCCAACAACACAACCCACAACGTCAACGAAGTTATGCGCGCCGTAGGCCTCCTCCCCTTCTGCCACCGCATGGCAACCCAGCTCTCAGGCGGCAACAAGCGCAAGCTCTCCCTGGGAATCGCCCTAATGGGCAATCCGTCCGTGCTCCTCCTCGACGAGCCCAGCTCCGGCATGGACGCCGCCTCCAAGCGCATCATGTGGAAGACCCTCGCGGCCATCGCGACAGGCCGCTCAATCGTCCTCACCACGCACTCCATGGAAGAAGCGGACGCGCTCGCGCACCGCGCGGGCATCATGGCCCGACGCATGCTCGCCCTCGGCACGACGGATGCCTTGCGCTCTCGCTACGGAAACATGTACCATGTGCATATGGTGCACTGCGCCGCACCACACACAACCGAGTCCGACATGGAGCGCATCCGAACTTGGGTGGCGGCTTCGTTCCCTGGTGCTGTCGTCGAGAAGAAGACGTATCATGGCCAGTTGCGGTTTAGTGTTCCTGCTTCTTCGCCTCCCTCTCTTGAGGAGCACCAGAGACGAGACACCGAGGATTCGTCCGTGGACGAGATCGGGAGTGCCCTGCATGACAGTAGCACTAGCCGCAGCGTCAGCAAGTTGTTCTCTCATCTAGAGGAGAACAAGACGGCTCTAGGCGTGGAGTATTATTCGGTTAGTCAGACGACGCTGGATCAGGTCTTCTTGACTATTGTTGGGGAACATCATGTGAAGGAGGAGGGTTCGACATGATTTTGCTTTTTTTTTCCCTTCCCTTCTTTCCTGCTTTCTTTCTTTATTTCTTTATTTATTTAATTTGTCCCGGGGATTTGGGAATTTGGATTCTCTGTATATATTCATTTAGAAAAGGGGATTAATATCGTATATACTTGATATATAGATGCGTTCAGTCTTAGTATAATCTAATAGTCTTGCTAGAGAAAATTGCGACGTCCAACGATTATATTCACAAGGATCCGTCCTAGGTATGATGACCTATGTGTCTATAAGACGAGCATGATATAGCAATGTAAAAAGAGCCATGATCAATAGATATACCGAAAGCTGCGACATGAAAATTAGCACACGTCTCAGTCAAATCAAAAGAAGGAAAGAAGGAAAGGAAAGAAGGAAAGGAAAGAAGGAAAGAGCGAAGGAAAAAGAATAAATACTTCAAGTTCTCCCTATCAGTCAAATCCAAAAATGCAGTAGAATCGAGATCTCTGCCATCAAGACCGCCCTCCATCTGGGACTGGATGCGGTCTCGACGCTGGTTCTCCCAGCGGAGGAGGAAGCCGAGGACGGTAATTAGGACGGCTTCTATTAGGTGGGAGACTATCATGGACCAGATGCCTAGTTCGTAGAGGGGTCTGCGAATTGGTTTGAGGGTGAGGTTAGTTAGGTTATTGTTAGTGGGTGGGTGGGTGTTGATAGGGTTGGTTGGGTGACTGACTTTTGGTCATCTTTGTAGAAGAATGGACCGGCGATGTTGCCGGTGCAGTAGCCTAGGAAGAGGACTGCGTTTGTGACGACTTTTTTGGTGTGGCCTGTGGTTTTGCGGATCATCCGGTCAGTATCTGTATGTATGTATCTGGAAAGCAGGAGGAAGTACCGGCTGTGTTGGCAACTTGCATGCTGAGAACAAGCACAAATGCAGCGTTGTACGGCCCTGTCAGATAGTAGCAGATCAAGCGGCCAACTTTCTGCTGGACTGGCACGAAGCGGAGTCCGAATGAGCCTGCGATGTTGGGAAGCAGGAAGATCAGAATGAAGAGACAACGGCGGTTCTCGAAGCGATCGTTGAGATATACGCAGGCGAGAATGGACAATGCGATTATGACGCCGTAGGGGATCTGCAATTATAGGTCAGGCTATACCCAAGTGAAGTCGTATCTGAAGAGGGTAATCGTACCTGCATCAGTGTTGTGACCAGGGTAGAGAAGCCAAACCCTTGAATGATGATGGTTCCGAAGTTCGAGATGCCGCCGTTGGGGATATTGCCTGGGTAATCAGCTGGCTGTCATTTCGTATATGCAGAGTGCAACTCACACACGGCTCCCAGGACGAAGAAAAAGTAGAGCTTGTAGTCCATAAACGCTTCGAGGATCTGACGAGGCTTGATGTGCTTGTTCTCCACGCCGGTCTGGTTCTCCTTGAGTCTTTCGACGGCGATCCGACGCTGTCTCTGGGAGAGGCCAGGCGCCGAGACAGGCGAGTCTGGGAGAAAGATAAACATGACAATGCCCCAGATAGAGCAAAGAGCGCCGCTTTCAAATTCAGTCAGATCAAAACCTGAGGAGAAGCTAAAGGGGGTCGTACATGATGATAAATTCGTACTTCCACGAAGGAAGCGCACCGCGGATGTTACCAATCCCGTACCCAAGCAGACCACCCAGAGCGATCCCTAATCCGTTGGCTGTATACCACAGACCGATCCGCACAGGCTGCTCACGCCGCGTATACCACATACTTGTAATGAGCATGAAGGCCGGATCGGCGCATGCTTCGGCAGCTCCGCCCAGTGCACGGAGAACTGCAAGGGTAGTGAAGTTATGGCAAGCGGCTTGGATCATGAGAAAAACACCCCTTACGAGTGTCAGCTCCCTTAACATAACTTCAGATGTCTCGCCTAAACAGCGGCACATACCACATAAAGATATTGATACCGAGATATTTGCCTACCCACGTCAGCACACGTTGACGCCAACGGATCATCTCAGCCTACCGATCGGAAACCGCTGCAGCATAAAATTGGTAGGAAACGCCCAAGCAAGGAACCCAAAATAGAAGATCGAGCTCAACCAGCTATACTGTGTGCCATGAAGATCGAGGTCCTCGACGATGCCGAAAATGGCCGCATAGCTGAGCGTAGTCTGTGCAGAATAACCAGTCAGTCCCAACCAAGCACCAAAGGGAAAGATCTCACCAACCTTATCAATATAAAAAAAAGCATAGCAAACAGCCAAATAAGGCAGAATCATAAAATCAATCTTCCACAGCAACCGTCGCGCCTCGGCCGGATCGACAGGCTCGTACAGCTCGTTGGGGTCGTTAAACAAATCCAGGGCCGTGTCACGCTCTGCGCCCTTGTCTGTCCTCTCGGGCATCTTCCTCCAGCTTCCCCCGGCACGGTTGGGACTGTCTTCGCTGTGTGTGACTGTCGGGCCATCTTCCTCTTCTGCTATCGCAGCTTTGGAGCTAGACGGTGGTTCTAGACGGGATCTGGAACCCATCGTCGATTCGTCTATCTTTCTCTTATTGTATTCGATGGTTTCAATTGGCGCCGAAGTCAATCTGTAAACGAAACGCACACGAACAGCAGCTCCTCCGTCTTTTATAGATAGCTTGGGTAGGTAGGTAGGTAGGTAGTCAAGCAGTCAGTCGGCCTCAAATCCAATTACAGAACACAGCGCCTACTCCAACCATTATAAACACACCCCACCACAGCAACAACAATGTGGACTCGATCCCGCGGAATGGGCCGAGTCTTCGTATCACCCCCACCCCCACACGCGGGTCTCAAATTCCAACCCCGGATCGAAGCCCGGCATATGAGATCTGAGGGTGTCAGTTGCGGGGCATTGCATTGGACGGGCTTAAGATCCACTTCTTGCTAAGGCGTGGGGGTGCAGAACTTTATTGTCTCTTTATTGGGGACGCTGTATTCAAAGGAAGTCGGAAGGACGCCGTGGATACATGGCGGGGGAGTATCTTGTGCTGTCCCGTCCTTTGAGAGGTCGAGGGAAATGCTGGAGGGGCTGGAAGTGCGTGGTGTGAGTTGAGTGGACAGAAGAGACGGGAGTCGGAGGAAGGCCGGTTATCCTATCCTAGATACCTCCTTGCTGGATCAATACTAGTCTGCATGGAGTAGTCCGTCGGTTAGACGCTGGTAGAAGTGCGGAGTTGGGAAGTAGAAGGAGGAGTCGAGTGGAGTCTGGATGGTTGATCACACCGTCTGATCACGGTGTCTCCGTGTGGGGTATCTGGGGTAAACAGTCCAGTCTCCACTGTCTGTTGTTGTCTTAGTTCTTTCTAGTGTATTGTCTTGGTTTATTAGCTAAGTCTACTGCTTGGAGAGTGTAGATCCCGAATTGCTATAGATTCCCATATCCTAACTACTTTTTTCAGGTTGCCCATTACTCCATATGTAACATCGAGCGGTTTGTTCAAAAAGCCAAAGCATGTAAATATTCGTATTTACTCTCCTCCTAAATCAATATACAGCTCTCCAACTGGTTCCCAGTTGACGAAACGCACTTTGGAGTATACCAAGCCGTCCGTCTACCGGCGATTGAAGACCAAATAGCGCGCCTAAAATATCATCAGCTGGAAGTACCAAACAGTCAGGCACAAAAAACTTACCGCCAGGAACAAGAAAATCAGATTCGACCCGACAAACGCGAGATAAATGCCCAAATCCCGCCATCGATCATCAAAGTTCATCTCGAAAGCCCGATAGAACTCATCGCCAACCTTGGTCGCGCAGTACTCACAGGCCCGCGTGGCATTATCGGCGAGGTATCCCACGCCCCCGTTTTCAAAAAACGGTTGCATGTACTCCCCGCATGTCAGATCCGACGGCGCCTCGAACCGGCTGTACTCGCTAGGGAGACAGACGACGGGACGATCGTGCAGCTCCGTCGTCACCATGCCGCTGACGACGCGCGTGAACGGATCCAGCTCGTACAGCCAGGCGCGCCAGAAGCCGGGCATCGACGGCTTGGGGACCATGACGCCGCAGAAGAGACTGAAGATGATGGTGATGGGCGGGTTGATCTGCGAGGCGATGAAGGCGTTTGGCGCGAGGGCGGCGATCATTTGGCCTAGCGTGACGGCGAATAGCTCGGTGATTAGAATCATGAAGAATTGGTAGCCGGCGCGGTCGGTCGCGGATTGGAAGCCTGGGATGTAGTAGAGGGGGAGGAAGAAGATGACGGAGCAGAGGATGCAGTAGGGCACTTCGGCTATCACCATGCTCAGGGCAAAGGCGAACTCTTTGTATGTCTTGGAGGCGGACTCCCGGTAGAAGATCAGTCGGGACATCTCGTAGCGCGGCTCGACCTGCTGGATGATGATGATCGGGATGACTGTCACGTTGAAGATCACGAAGATCCGATACTGCAGGGAGGCCCGCGAGTCGTCCAGTTGCAGGAAGGCCAGCCCCGTGACGAGCGCGATTGCCAGGTGCGTGAAGAAACGCGTGAAGCCGTATTTACTCGAGCGCCAGAAGACGATGTTGGTCCGTTTGCAGACGACCTTGATCTGATGCCACAGCGGCGTCGCGTATTCTTTCTCGCCGGTCGGCGGAGCGTCGTGGCGCTGGGTCGCTTGCGTCCGGCTAGCTTTGATCTCCTCGATCTCTCTCTTGACCTGGACAAGCTCCGGGGACGTGCGCCATACATCGCCCCAGTCGCGGTCCCCGATCTGTCGCGTTTGGCCGGCGCCGATGGCGTCTAGCATCCATTCGGCGGGGTTGGCGTTCTCGGGACAGTCGGCGCCGTGGCGACGGAAGTACTCCAGCAGAGTGCGCGAATCTTCGCCAATGTCGCCAAAATACACGCATTCGCCCCCTCGCTGCAGCAGTAGGAGGCGGTCAAAGTTCTCAAAGAGGGCCGAGTTTGGCTGATGGATCGTGCAGAGGATCGCTTGTCCGGCAGCGGCGAGCTTCCGCAGGAATCGAACAATGTTGAAGGCAGACTGGCTGTCGAGTCCCGAGGTAGGTTCGTCCAAGAAGAGGAGTAGCTCGGGCTTTGCCGCCAGTTCAACGCCAATGGTCACCCGCTTTCGCTCTTCGACGGACAGTCCGGTTTCTGGCGTCCCGATGATGGCGTCCGCGAGGCTTTCCAGTTCGAGAAGCGAGATGATTTCTTCCACGTAGGCGTGCTTCTCCGACTGCGGTGTCTCGTAGGGCTGTCGGAGGTCGGCGGAGAACTGCAATGCTTCTCTGACGGTTTGCATGGATTCGTGGACATCAAGTTGCTCGGCGTAGGACGTTCCGCGCTGGAATGCCGTACCTGGGGGCACGCCATCTACCAGGATGTCACCGTGGATCACACCAATATTCTTCCTGGCCGCGAGGACATCCAACAGCGTTGTCTTTCCTGCCCCCGATGCACCCATAAGCGCCGTCAGCTTTCCGGGCTGCACGTAGCCGTACACCGAATGGAGAAGCCTGCGAGTCCCCGATGGCACGGGGACATCGTAATTGACATCTTCCCAGGTCAAGACCGACTTGGACGTAATTTCGATGTCAGTATCAACTTCCCCACCTTTCTTAGACTGCCTATTGGCCTTTTTCTCCATCAACCTCTCATTCAGGTCTTTCCTCTGCTTGTTTTCTTTCTGGTAGAACGTGATAGTTTTGCCACCAGCATCAAATCGGATGACCTCGCCAAAGTACAAGTTCATAGCAAGAAAGCCGACAATCAGAGCCATCATGATACCAAAATTCCGCCACAAGTCTCCCTCCATGTAGCTGAAGGTAGTGGCAATGTAACTCGCGCCCGGCACAATGGCAGAGCCAGGCTCACCACCCGCGAGGGTACAAGCCTGGTGAGCGATATCATCGTATCCTGGACCGCTGGGAACTAGAGACTCATGCGTGCAGGTCATTTCCAGGCCGCGGAATTCGTTGACCATCAGTGCCGTAAAGCCCAGCCCGAAGGGGTTGATGAAGTAGATCCAGCGCAGCCAGACTTGCGCGGCCGACCACTGCACGAGATATCCCGAAGTGATGACGAACAGCGAGATGAGCACGGAGACAAAATTCATCGCGTGGTCGAAGCCGGGACACAGGCATCCAATCGTCCGGAAAAACACCGTCATGTCGATGTATCCAAGGAAGATGATCAGAATGAATATGAAGAAAGCCCCCGCGTCAAGGGTCAGTCCGCACATGAAGTATACGATGATGCTGAAGATGACGATCCTGGCGATGGCGAATGTAGCATCCACCACTATCTGTGCAATCCACAGCGCGCTCGGTCGATAGAACGTGAACTGGCTGTGTTTGTTCACCAGAGCGCGCCCCATCATCGTCGACGCTAGCTCCGAGAACGCCTGGAACCCGTTGAAAAGTAGACTTGTAAACAGAAGACCGCCTCGCGTGAAGGCTCCGGCGCTGGTCAGTGGCTGCTTTAGCCAGACCGTTCCGAGCACGATAGCCACCCCAACGGATGTCACCCAAGAGACGATCAGGGCGAATTTATCCTGCCATTTGATCAAGAACTGACGCTGCATCAAGGCCCATATCTGCAAGTGGAACGGGATCGAGTAGACGGACGATTTCGAGGTGAATTTGCGTTTCGCCTCCCGATTGGCAATTTCGAAGTTCTCGTAAACGTGCTTTTCATGTTCGACTTGTTTCCGGTACTCGTCCATTTCCTCTGCGAGTTTCTGGCTGTACACGGATTGGTCGAATGCCTCGGCTAGTTGGCTGGGAGTTGAGGGGACACTGCTTAGGTCGATGCCGTCTTTGTACTCTCGCTCAAATGGGTCTGTGCAGCCTGTCAAGTAGTCGGGCGTGGTCTGGCGTGGCTTTTCTTTGAACCCCAGGTTCTCGAAGTAAGGCCGTGCCTCGGATGTGGGACCGAAGAAGACCTGGTGGCCACTGTCAATCACAAGGACTTTGTCGAATTGTCTGTAGATGTTCTCCGACGCCTGGTACAGGGACACAAAAGTGGTGGTCTTATAGATGTTCGTCATGATCCGGAGCGACTTCGCAAAGTCCAGAGCCGTCGAGGCGTCCAGGCCACGCGTACTATTATCCCAGGCCAACACCGTCGCCGACGTGATCATCATCTCTGCGATACTGACACGTCGTTTCTCGCCGCCGGAGATCCCCCGGATGAATTGGTTACCCACCACCGTGTTGGCAGTGTGTTCGATATTGAACATCTTGAGCAGCATGCGAGTCACCCTATCTTTGAACTCCGCCTTGGAAACCCCAAGGGGCCTCTTCCCCGGTGTCTTCGTATCCAGCGCAAACCCCAGCGTCTGTTTGACTGTGAGCGTTGGATCGTGGACATCGTCCTCTTGGTTGTAGACCGCCTCTCCACGGAACCGTTTCCCAAAAGTCTTCGCGTCGAAAGGACCGTACATAACCTCGCCATCGACAGCCGTGAAACCAAACCGCTGGTTCGTGATGGCCTTGAGAAATGAAGTGCAGCCCGATCCGGGACGCCCCAAAACAAGCACCATCTCCCCGGGCTGCAGGTATCCGCGGAACTTCGTCAAGATCTCGACCTCTGTGCCCTTCTTACCCAGTCCAAGAAGATCCATTACGCGCCCTGGGACATTGAGAAAGTCGACGATCGCATCGGGAAACGTTTTGATGTAGGTCTTGACTCCACCGATTCCACGAACACTCAGGTTATCCCATATGACACCTATCCGAACAGTTAGCGCTGGGTAGTTGTCAGTATCGCATACCATTATCATTACCGATGTGCTTGTCCTTGATGCCCGCCTCCATTTCGGCAGCTCGGTCGCCATGGAGCGCAGTTTCAAGATCCCAGGGTTCCTCCGACTCGGCGGACGTGGCCGATTTCTCGACATCTTCGTTGTCTGCGATGGCTTTGGACGCCCTGGACGTGTGTCGGGAGAGCCGATGGGCACGCTGCGAGATGCTCGACAGTTGTTTATTGAGCTCGGAAAACTCCTGCTCCGCTCTCTCGACGTTGACCCCATATTGACGGGCCGTCGCCGATTGTGAATGGGCGTTTTTGCTCCATTCTCGACCCTGTTCGGAGTTGTCTACAGTGCTCAGAGTATCCACGTCGGAGCCGCTTCGGGTTTCTGAGGTCGCCAACTTCTCATCCATGGATCTCTTTTTACCAATTTATCCAGCGCAAATAAATCACTCGATAAAGCGGTAGAGACAAGACCCTGCAGGTAGCTTCAGACGTAATCAAAAGGAAGTAAGGATCCCCGAGCAAAAGAAACCAGGTAAGCTAGCGAAGTAGATCCATTCACTAAGACCCGCACAACACCAGTGACGCTCTATGAGTGAACGAAAAAGAATGTATGAAAAATGGAAGTGAAGATGAAAAACAAAAATTGAAAACGTAAAAAACAAAAGCACTCGGTATTCACAGCGATCAGGAGGGGAAGCCGGTTAGCCACGCGAGGATGGCATCCACATTCCGCATCTACGAGTAGCATCTTCGAATACCTGCCTACCCCCTGGTTAGCTCAAGCCACGGGCCCGTTAGGCGAGACATCTCGTCTCGAGGGCTCTCCTCGAACTGTGATCAATCGAGCGCCCGGAGCACCAGGTAGCATTGCATTCAAACACAGGCCAATTGAGCCATACGTCTGTCCGTGACTCTTCCAGGCTCAACAGCCATTCAACATGAAGAGGACGGGTCGGAATTGCCAAGATTGGTAAAATAATCCAGCTTTCCTCCCTGTCTTTCTCGATAGGTGAGGGTGACGTTGAGAGGTAGTCGGGGTCCCGATCCGGACATGAGTCACGGATGCCATACAAACACCACAGACCCCACGGCTGCACGACGCATTGCCCAACATGAGATGCCGTTGAAACCCTCTTAATAATGGAATGGGGGAGACCATCTCGAGTGGCTGGGCGATGGAGATGAGGAGCAAAAAGGGTCGGGAACACCCGCCAATACGGGGTGGAGTGGTTTTCTTATCGAATTGGGGGCAAAGCTGCGCGCCAAGGCGTTCAAAGAAGAAGAATGGCCATTTCAACGACGGTTTCTGAGCGACTGCGCTCGTCGGTTGAGCTGTATGTTTAGTGAGTACGGAGGACGCCGGGAAATGAATATCGGATAGACAGGCTGGAGTGCTCAAACGGCGGCCACATCCAAGTCACATGGCCATGGCATCTACATCTGACTGCTTGAAGACATTAGAGTAGAGCAAGGTTTTCATTTATATTCTAGGTACGCTACCACCAGCTGCATTTATATCCGCATCTATCCTCCTGGTACTCCGTAGAATTGACTAAGAATATTAAACATGTTTGGGCACGGATAATTTTACTTTCGCCAATAGTTCAGGCCCACTGACTACGATGTGAACCGTTCGTCTGAAGAAGGTTAGATAACCATCGTTTATTACTATCCATCACTCTGTCGAGGTTCTACAGTTGACAATGATGCCCGGTGATATCGACCAAGCCATTGTTCAACCTCTCTTAATGGGGCCCTAAGTCACCCGAGGCTCGATGGCGGCATAGAAACCGCGGCTACACCGACTTTTGCGGCATTTGCCTCGAATATAATACTATTCTAGGTTTGATTGGGAAGAGGATGGGTGTCTCATCCTCGAGGTCGCATTTTCAAACTGCCAGCCCTGTCGCTATGCCAGGCTAGTCGGTTGAAAGTGCGGGCGCACATTCCTACCATTGGCCGGGCCAACCCGAGCGCTCGAGAGAAGACCCGCAGATTATATCCGAAGGGGGGTGGGCGAGTTCCGAATAATGGTGGTGTGCAGAACGAGTGGTCTCGTCTCACATGCCCGCATGGCTGTCGAGTGCCTGGAACTCTCCCCCAGGGAGCAAAGGGAACCAGCCTTTGTAGGGACCAGTCAATCAAATGCATCCATGGTCCTCGACCTCCGCGGACCACCTCTATAGGTTGAATTGTCCTGGTTTGGGTAGGCTTAATCGCGGTTGGGCCACCCTGATTTGTTTGCCCAGTGACGATTGGTGGGCAGTCCCTGAAATCGAAATGATCAGTTCGATGAGCCAAGACTGTCGGTGCGGCTAGTTCGGAGAACCTGCCTTCGGACGGATCCCCTCCGGGGGAGGGGCCATACTATTTTTTTTTTTTTTTCCATCACCCAAAAGTAACAAATTATGGGCCGGACATTTGCAAGGTCTGTAGCGGGATTAGGTTGTTACAGAGTATGAATTATAGAAGAAGTTCAGCGACTGGTAGGTATCGTGTGTGATCAGGAATCAGGAATGATCATGAGATCCGTTTGCAGGATACGGACGACCTAGTAGCATGCCAGATTGATTCGTTGGCTCTGCTCCAATCCAGTTGGCGGGGTCTGGGTTCAAAGGAGACGGCGCACGACTTTAACTTCGACAAGAATCCAAGCCCACGAGAATACCAACATCTCAGTGGTGGGTGGGTTGAACACCCGATGTCAGGAACGACATGGAAATGCTTATCGACCGCCCCAAGCCTCACCCCGGATTGACAACGACCTACTTCAGAATACGGGGTGAGAGCCGCAAGGCGACTCCTCCCTTGCTGCATTGATTGGTGTATGGAGAGTAGTGATCGATCTTAAGTCGCTCATGAACCAGATGAAAGGAAGAATCTTGACTCCCGTATTATAGAAGTCCGTATTATTATCGTTGTTATTATTGGTGATTATTATTACTTGTCCACGAGCAGTTGGGGTCTGCCTCCGTTGCCTTTCCATCTCGATGATCCTGCCGATCGTCGGGGAGAAAGAATGCGATTCAATCAGGCGTCGAGTGTTAGCCTGTTAGGCCATATTGATGTGCCGTCCTCTCTTTTCTTTTTCTCCCCTTCCCTGTATGTCACTGGATACGGACAGTGTGGGCATTAGTTCTTGTCCGGGGGCATTACATTCCCCTCCAAAGGGATTAGAGGCGCAGTGCATGCAACCATGGGCACCGGACGTTACCCCATTTTCTGGTGGGTTTTGCACCAATGACAACGAATACCCGAGGTTGTCGAGGACGGTGTCGTCATGTTCCAAGGCTACAGGTTAGTAACAAGAGGGTGAAATTGAGGCAGGTCTCATGCCCACCACGCAGATCGGTTGATCTCTTGACGTGGGGGAGGAGGGGTTGTTGCAGTGGTGAAGTCTGGGAACACCTCAAGGTTCTCCGCATCATGCACGGTAAGTACACAGGGAGACAGAAAAGTGAAGGGGTGGGAGAGAAAAAAAGAATGATAATAAACCAGGCAAAGGCGGCAAAACATGGAAAAGGTGAGACGATGCCCAATCCAACCCACTATCCCACCATAGGTATAATTCCAAACGCCTGGATAAAACAAGACAGAGACGATTCCGATCAGGATGGATGATCATGGGTCAGTGGTAGTGGTCTGAGAACCACGTCCAAGGGTAAGACTTCCATCATCCCATGAGATATAATCATGGTCATGGATGATCATGGAACGTTGTATCGTCACAGGGAACAGGCCGGGAAGCCGTAGGGGGAAAATGACGTAACAACCCAAGTTGGCGCTGGATTCCCGAGGCCACCGGCCCGTACGGGGGAAAGCGTCTTCAAATCCGACGAAAATATGAACCAGTCACCGGATACTGATGGATCTGATGATGTTAAAATAAATACTCAATAAAATAAAGAATCATTCCATTAGGTTAGAGAGAGAAAAGAGAATTAGTACAATCATCCTTGAGAGAATCAGATCGCGGCCCCTCCCTGTCTTTGGACTCCCCTTGGCCACCGGCGTCTCTCGTTGGGAGCTTAACATCCACAATCGACCCACCCACCTGTCGACCATTTCTGGACAAGAGACAAAGTGGGTTGTGGCCAATCCTGTTGTGGGACACGCTGCCCTTTATAACGTCGACGGATCCTGCATTCTGCCTTGGTTGCAGAGAAGTCTCGGACTAGAAAAATCCACCTAATTAATCAGTCAGAGTCGTCTTGCCTATACAAAGGAAGACCACGCGATTACTTCTATCCTTTTCTTTCTCTTCCATACTTCTCTACCGTTCATCCGAATTCCGACCGATCTCAACTCTCCCACTTCTCTATCGTCCCTCCGTCGTCATCATGTCACGAACAAGGGTTTTGCTGGTTGGCGCCGCTGGGGAGACGGGAGGTTCGATCGCAAAGGGTCTATTGGAAAACCCAACTTTTGTAAGCCATTCTTCTTTTCTTTTCGTGTCTTTCTTTTCTCCTTCTGGATTCTAATCGGTGATGGTCTATTATAGGAACTCTTTGCTCTCGTTCGTCCCCGATCGGTGCAGAAACCAGCCATTGTGGCCCTCCAGGAGCGGGGCGCTCATATCCGTCGTTGTGACTTGAGGGGCTCTGAAGATTCTTTAGTGGATGCTCTCAATGGCATTGACGTCGTCATCAGTTGTGTTGGCCCAGCTGAGCAGCAAGATCAAATTCCTCTGGCCAAGGCGGCCAAGAAGGCAGGGGTGAAGCGGTTCGTTCCGTGTGGCTTCATCACCGTGGCGCCTCCTGGTGGGATCATGTGGCTGCGCGATGAGGTGAGTACAATACACATTATTGCTATCATCCTAATTATAAGGAAGAACAAAAAAGCTGACAGTTTTAATAGAAAGAAACCGTCTACAATCATATCAAGCAGCTCTTCCTGCCCTACACCATCATCGATGTTGGTTGGTGGTACCAGCTGTCCTATCCCCGCCTGGAATCAGGCCGCGCCGACTACGCCATGACGTCGGCCAACAACGAGATCGTCGGCAATGGCAATACCCCGATCGCCCTCACCGATTTGAGAGATATTGGACGCTACGTCGCCTTGATCATCGCCGATGACCGCACCCTGAACAAGATGGTTTTCGCCTACAACACCCTGACCACCCAGAACGAGATTTATGCCACGATGGAGGAGCTCAGTGAAGAGAAGGTCACCCGCAACTACGTATGGCTCCCTTTTAGTGGTTTTATCCATCGAACCACAAGTTTCTAACCTTTCGACTCACTAGATCTCCGAGGAATCCGTCTACACCCGGGTCCTGACCGCCAGACAATCCAGCGAGACGTATCCCTTCGATCCCGTCAAGTTCATTCCGCGATACCTGGCCGAGTACCAGCTCTCCTGGGGCATCCGCGGCGACAACAGTCCCGACTACGCCAAGTATCTCGGCTACCTGACCTCGAAGGAGCTCTATCCCGATTTCCAACCGGTCGACTTCCGCGATTACCTCGAGACCGTGGTCCGCGGCACCGCCAAGGGCGTCTACACCGATCGGACCGTCTCCAAGGCGCACCAGCGAATGTTCCCCCGCACCGAGTCCACCGACTCGCTGTACACCCGCATCTTCCCCCGCACTGAATCCAGCGATTCGCTCTACATGACGCGGTAAATGTCGCAGGGTTCGCTGGCGGGCACACGGCGTCTTGATCGAGTTTGATGATATCTTTTGCTTTGGGGGTTCTTTTTTTCGTTCGTGGAGGGAAACTGTGTTTTCTCATGAACGAGATACACCACTTTTCTATTCTAGTTCTGTTCATACTGCTTGTTTCTTGTTTCCTTTTATCCTTTTTTTTAACTCTCCCATTCGCGTTCATGCACTGGGGATTAGACGGGCGTTCTCGTTTTGTTATCTTTCTTTATTCTATTATCAAGGGGAATCAGGGATTGATTCAGGATACTATACCCATTCCACCTGCTAGCAGTGCGGATACGGGGATTTCTCCAGGTCCCCGTGATAGGCTGGCACTACGGACAATACATACCCATCGGTTTTATTTTACTAGTTTTTTTACTACGTAGAGAGTGGATGGTTTCAGTTGATCTTGTTCGATCGGCATGGTCGCAATCATGGGTCATCGCTCTTCGCTAGGAAACAACATCCAGAGTCCCTGCCATGTCGCGGGTGAAACGGGCGTGCGATCTCACCACCAACTACTCCCGGGGTTATATCAAATTATAAGGGGTCTACAAAGGATCTCGTGTTCTTCTCCGGACCATCAGATTCGTCGAAATGGCAGATCGCACTTCCACCCCTGGTTCCTCCGGTCTGACTCTACTTGGGAGCACCAGTGGCCTGTTCCCCGTATCGTCCCCCAGTCAGAGTGAAGACGGTGTGGTTTCCTTTAACCACCTACGACCTTTCCAAGTCACCATGATCGGTCGGTGCCAATCGTATTTTCCCTTGCAACGGACCATATTAACTTACGACTCCAGCAATCGGTGGTGCGATCAATACCGGCTTGATGATAGGGGCCGGGAACGCTCTTGCAAAGTAAGGTAGCTAGGGCTTCCCCCACACCCCGCTACCCTGAGTTCCATTGACTGTTTCGTAGGGCTGGGGTAAGCCCCCCAATGTCTTCTCTTCCTCCCATCCTGATCTGTCTAGCCGGCATCGTTGTTGATCTCGCATACGACTGTTGGCATGTTGGTCTACCTGGTCTTGTGCGCTCTGGGAGAGGTGGCCTCATGGTTTCCAGTCTCCTCCACAGTCGCCGGGAATGCTCAGCGATGCTGTGATCCTGCATTGGGTTTCACTCTCGGCTGGATGCATGTGGCTCTTTCTCCCATCTATCCTCGTTGCTAACAAACATGCGACCTAGATACTGGCTAAAGTTCATCGTTATCACCCCGAATCGGCTGACCGCAGCGGCGCTCGTGGCTTCCTACTGGGTCGATGCGGAGACACTCAATCCGGGGATATGGATCGCTATCTTCCTCACAGTGATCATTGTTGCCAACTACTGGGGAAGTCGGTTTTTCGGTCAATACGAGTTCATCTTGTCGACGTTCAAGATCGTAGTGGTGTTGGGACTCCTGATACTATCCCTGGTCCTGGCCCTAGGCGGAGGCCCGGACCACGACCGGAAGGGGTTCAGATACTGGAAAAATCACGGCGCCTTTGCGGGAGAGCGGACGCATATCGGACGGCTTCGGGCTATCTGCAAGACCATGCCCTCTGCGACCTTCACGTATAGTGGCAGCGAGCTCATCGGGGTGAGCATCCTGCACAGTCACAACCCGCGACGGGCTGCGGCCCGCGCAATCCAGCTTACCTTCTACCGAATCCTCGTCTTGAACCTCGTTGGGATCATCCTGCTTGGGATGCTCGTGCCGTACAATCTGGACGACTTGGCCATCACCTCCACGGATAAAGTCACGACCGCCTCGGTGTTTGTTGTAGCCGTGCAGGGCGCCCACGCCGCCGTGCTCCTACATTTTCTCAATGCATGCCTACTGCTCTTTGTCCTGTCATCTGCGAACCAGGCGCTATGGGTAGCCACTCGAATCTTCCACGGGCTCGCTATAGACCACCACGCCCCGGCTCTTCTATCGCAGACTGGCTTCACCGGGACCCCCATCGTCGCCCTGGGAGTGTGCTCGGTTCTTTCATCTCTCTCCTGTCTAAATATCTCAGGCGATTCGCGAACCTTTTTCGACCAATTCGTCAACATGAGCACCATGTTCAGCCTCCTAGCCTGGATCTCCATCCTCGTCACGCATCTAGCCTTCCTGCGGGCGCGCAAGGCCCAAAGCGTCCCCGACAAGGCGCTTGCCTTCAAAGCGCCCCTGGGAGCAGTCGGTTCGGCGGTCGCCCTGGCCTTCTGCGTCCTGATTATTGTCATCCGATCATTTGATATCGTTGACCCCGGGGCCTCAATCCGCCGGTTCGATTACATTGCTTTCCTCACTTCGTACCTTGCTATCCCGCTGTATGTGTGTTTGATCGTGGGGTATAAGGGGTTCACCCGGTGCGCGAGCGTCAGTCCGTCGGATGTGGATTTGGGGGTGGTTAAGGATGAGACGGATGGTTCTGAGGATGTCATTGTCCAGTGTGCTCAGGATGTCTCCTGTACCCGTATCCACCAAGGCGAGAAGCCCAGTCGACGATCCTGGCCACGAGCGAGGTTTCAAGGATAGTTTCATATTGTCCCCCCTATTTGTTTTCGTTTGTTTGTTTCGAGTCAATATCCCACTGAGAATCAGTCAATTCTTCTACTCTCGCTCTCCATTCTCAGTATCGATAGGTCATCTTCCTCCCTCGAACTCCATACCTCGTGTAGATAGATGAAGATAGGATGTTTCCAGGGCAACGGACTCAAGCCCTAATTCAACCTCATCCCTCCAATTCCGAACATTCCTACTACTCTCGAAATTACACCTTTTAAAAAAAAGATAGACATAATTCCAGCAATTTGCTAAAGTACTCTACGTATGTACCTACGTATTAATCCAACCCACCAAGTCGAACCCCGGTTCAAGCCATGTCAGTGACGGCCCCAACAAACATGCATGCGGACCAATCACTAGCAATAGATCACCGCCCGAGGCGCCCACACTGTACCTTAGTATGATGGATGGAGTTTAGTACCTCAGTAGGAGCAAACAGATGATCGACCCCTCCTCCGCTCTTCAATCCATTTCGCTTTGTTCCATTCACTTTTTGACTTGAGATTTGGTTTGGTTTGGTCGCTTTCTTGGTGGATTTGTTGAGATTGTCTGTTTTTATCTGTGGTATAAGGTTCTACAGGTATACTACAGGTATACTGTTCTTGGATGGGTTAGGTTTACCTTTGGTGAGTGTTGGGTCAGAGGTTCTTATCGTGCGTGATGGGTTAAACTAATAATTCTACAGCTATCCTATCTACATATCTACCGTGGACCCGTACTGTACCAGCTAGATGATGCTATCTGATGCTACGTCACCGGCATAGAAAATGTCCCAGCCCCGAACTCCCCTCCGGAGCGGCCAACAGCTATCCCATTTAATCGACGAGCTCAACATACACTTCGACCTCGACATCCCCAATCCGCACTTTTACTCGCCGTCCGCAGGCGGCGGCGTCGGCCGAGGCGATGGCTCCCTCAAATGGCGCATCTACCGCGGCATGCAGCGCCTCTATTTTGATCGCAACGTCGACTTGTACAAGATCATCAACAGCTTCGATGACTGGGCTCGTGTTCAGCACCGGCGTGATGACCGTCTTGAGTATCTGCTCAAGCTGATCGATGATGAGTCCTACCTCCGAAGGTCGTCGGCGTCGTTTTCGTTCTCGTGCTTGGAGACCATTGAGGAACCCCCGCCACCCCCGCTGCTGCCCCCGCCGTCTGTGTCGCCGTCGAAGTCCTTGAAGCGGCGTATCTCTGACGAGGAGGATGAGTTCCATACGGCGCCTAGTTCGCCTGTTAAGCTCCCTGCAGGGTCGCCGATGCTGGTGGATAAGACGGGGGAACCGGAGGAGGATGCGATCACGGGCGGCCCTGTCTATGTCTCCAAGGTGGCCCGCATCGCGGAGGAACCCCGGCCGGTCTCGCGGTTTTTTGATAAGCTGACGGCGTCGATGAAGGAGAAGGACTGCCGGTATGATGCGGCGCCGTCTGTCCAAAATCTGGACCACAGTTTCTCGACGACGATGACCACCGACCCCCCGTCGTTTTTCTCCAATCCGCGCGACCAGCTGAATACCTCGTTCAATTCGACCGTCACGGACATCACGGCGCCCTGTTTCGAGACCGAGACCCAGTATGAGGACTCCGTGGCGGACCACATGCTCAGCCAAGAGCACATGATGTCCTTCGGGTCGTCGACGGTCGAAGTCCCGGAGCCGCGCTACTCGCGCGACGGGGAGATCATGGCGGAATTACTCGCCAACGGACCTTTTTCAATGGGCCACGCCAACGGACGTTTCTCATGGGGCCAGCCCTTCCCAGGAACAGTCCCACTGCGGTACCGGTACGAGGTGGAGAGAATCGGGCGGGCGTGGGACATCCCACTGGACCAAATGCTAGCCGGCAGCAGCATCTCGCCCAAGGCGCGCGACCAGTTCTGGGATTGGATCAAGAACCACGACCAGCGGCACGGGAAACCTCTTCCCGAGAAACCGCACGCCAAAGCCTGGGACGCCGCGACGGGGTCCTTCCAGACAGCCAGGCACTCCGAGGTGGTCGTCCTATCGGGGGAAATGACTTGGTGTGACAAGTCCGAACCGGGGATCCTCAAGCTAAACCTGCGGCCGCTGAAGACAGAGCGCACCTGTCGCTTCCACCGCCGCTTTGGGTCCGACCGCTTTCTCAGCGTCATGCTCCCCGCGCCGTCCCGGCCCCCGGCTCACCTGAAGATGCCATCGCAGCCGGCGCTGCTGCGCGAAACGGTGGCGCTGTGGCTGACGCAGCACGCGCACCGGTGCGCGGGACGCACGTGGAAGCCGTTCTTCGTGGAGGAGGTTAGATCCAAGAACAAGCGCGCGTCGAGCGAGCCGCGGTTCAGGGTCGACTTTTTCGCTATCGACGGGGTTGATTTCAACGCCAGCAACTCCTTGTCAATGACCCTGCCTCCGGTCCGGCAGAAGAGCGAGCACCGCACGCTGATGAGCCTGGACGCGCTCCTCGACTGGCACATGCCGCGCGAGGCGAACAAGAACCAGACCAACTGCAAGCTGTTCCAGCGGCTGCATCTCGGGCTGTCTAAGACGTTCGCGACTGTCACCCTAACCCCGCAGCAGGTATTCTACCTGCGAGATATCCCCGACCACCCCGTCATGAACGACGGCTGTGCGCTCATGTCGCGCGCCCTCGCGCAGCGGGTCTGTGACTCGCTAGGCATCACAGGCAGCATTCCCAGCAGCTTCCAGGGGCGGATAGCAGGCGCCAAGGGGCTCTGGATGGTCGACAAGCATGCGTCGCACGTCGCCGCAGGACCCGACGACATCTGGATCCAGATCTCCGACTCACAGCTGAAGATCGGGCCGCACCCGCGCGAGTGGCACGGCCCCATCGACGACGAGAAGCTAACCTTCGAAGTCGTCAAATGGTCCAAGCCCCTCCACCCAGTCGCACTAAACACGCAACTCCTCGCCATCCTCGAGCACGGCGGGCCCGTCAGGAAATACATCGGCGAGATCACCCGCGCAGGCATCCAGTCCCTCTACCGCGACTTCGAAGACGTCTTCCAAACCGACTGTCCGCTCCGCTGCCGCGCTCTCGTCCAGAAACTCCGCCCCGCCGCCGCAGATACCTCCGACACCCGCCGGCTCGACCAGTGGGCCTCCAACAACACCGAGTGCATCATCCGCCTCACAGAAGCAGGGTTCCGCCCGCGCAGCTTCTTCCCGCTGCGTAGGCGTGTCCGAAATTGCCTCCGCGAGGTGCTAGACCGCTACGTCGACGACCTGCACATCCAGGTCCCGCTGTCGACGTACGCCTTCTGCATCGCAGACCCGTACGGCGTGCTCAACGAAGACGAAGTCCACTTCGGCCTGTCAACGCAGTGGACCGACCCAGCCGGCCAATTCGAAGATAACCTCCTCGACGGCATCGACGTCCTCGTCGGCCGTCTCCCCGCCCACCTCCCATCTGACATCCAGCGCCGTCGCGCCGTCTGGCACCTACAGCTCCGACACTTCAAGGACGTGATCGTGTTCCCAACCAAAGGCTCCACCTCCCTCGCGCACATGCTCTCCGGTGGGGACTACGACGGCGACACGCCGTGGATCTGCTGGGACCAGAACATCGTGCAGCACTTTACCAACTCCCCTCTCCCAACAGAATACCGCGCTGAGCACTACGGCCTCATAGACCACTCCGTGTCCATGACGAAAATCCCCACAAGCGACGAATTTCTGCAGAGCGCATTCACATTCAACCTGACCATGTCCCAGCTCGGCCGCTGCACAGTCGAGCACGAGATCATCGCCTACGATAAATCAATCGACGACCCCGCCGCTATCGAACTCGCCTGTCTGCTCGGCCACCTCGTCGACGGCCGCAAGGCCGGCGTGCAGCTCACTGAAGACGCGTGGCAGACTTACCGCAAGACTATTAATCCCAACGGCCGGCGTGCCGCCCCGGCTTACAAGGACTCGTCCAGGACCTACAAAGTAACCAACATCATAGATTACCTCAAGTTCGTAGTAGCCAGCAAAGAACGCCATCATCTCCTGACTCAACTCGAGAAGACTCTCAACGACAGCGGTAGTCGCTCGGACCGCGACGAGGACCTCACGCGGCCGTGGCGAGACGCTAAAGCAGCTCTCAAAGATAGCAAGGATCCTCACCTACAAGCTGAAATGGACCGCGCCGAGCGCGAGACAAACGTGCTGTTCGGCCAATGGGCCCGCTCGTTTGGCAGCAAAGACGACGGATCGTTCTCAAACTCAGAACTCGCGTGGCAGGCCGCCGAGAAAGCAAGGGACATTCCGCCTCCGGGTGATTCCGACAGCTCAAGCAAGCAGCGACACCCCCTACTTCACATCTGGCAGCACCGACCCGAAATCTGGCTCGAGTTCCTCGCCTCGCTAACCTACACGAAACACCCGTTCTCGGCATTCGTGATCCACGCGTTCGGGGAAGAGCTGTGTCGGGTTAAGGCTGCTGCTGCGGGGCCTGGCGTGGGGGGTAGCAGGGCGGTCGTGCATGATGTTTTGGGTTGTTATCGGGTGAGTCGGAGGGCTGTTGCTAGGGCTGTTGCGTCGGATGTGGTTGATTTGGTGGATGGGGAGGATGGGTGGGGTGGGGTGGGAGGGGAGGGAGAGGAGGAGTTTGATGGGGTGGAGGCTATTCAGGATTGGGTTTTGGGTGGGGGTGGTAGTCGGGAATATGAACATGATTATGATCCTGATGATGGGGTGTCTGTTGAGTGATCTCTTGGTTTTGGGTGGGTTGGATGGGGGCTTTGGTTAGGATAGGATGATATGATGAGGTGTATGGCGTTGGTGATATGCTACTTACTTACATGTGGACACGATTTGAATACCAGATCAGATCTTATTCAGTTCGTGTAAAATTGAACAGTATATATTTATCCAAATACAGTCATTAGATAAACAAAGAAAAAAAAGCACGAGATAGATATATGGAAAGTATAAAAAGAAAGAAAAAAAGAATAGCATGTCCTGGTTTCGATCCAGGGTCCTCCGGGTTATGAGCCCGGCGCTCTTCCCCTGAGCTAACATGCTGTGATTGGTGAAAGACTTCCGACTGTTGTGCCATATGGGCTAGTACCATTTGGAGCAATACCCAAACTAGCTGTCTTGATGTATTTTCTTTCCTTTATCTATCCTTGACTGTTGTTATGTTGTTGGTTTGTTGGATATTATTTGTTTTGGGTTTTTATTGAATTATGCAAGGGGTTAATTTTGGCTTAATCACAATCACTCTGTCATGGTGTATTTTCAATGTATGATATATACGGGGTAGTATATGCCTATACAGCGTACCTAAGTACAGTATAGTTAGTACCTGTCGCTAAATAATAGACTTAAAGTCACAACAGCCACAGATAACCACACACCTGCAGTAACAAAAGAACCCCCAATCCATCTACTTTCTTCGCCATGGGTTATGTCTGATCTATCGGTGTTGGTGTTGGTTTACTACTTGGAAGTATGCCTGTTTTCGGGAAGGCCAACAATATATAACTACTTTTGGTAGTCTAGATCTTCAGCATACGGAATATACACCACTGTGGTCCTGTTCGGTCTTAGCCCCAATAGTCGGATTGCTGAGAGATCGACTAGGTAGTCATCCAAGTCATACAGATCAACCAGGATTTGAATGTTCTTTCCTCGTAAAAGTCAACACGATCTACACATACACGAACACATATACAACTCAGGAATAAAGATACTGGCACAGAACTTTTCATTCATGTACAGTCCTACATAGTGCACCAGAAGCAGAAACAACCGAAACGGAATCAGTGACATTCAGAGGTAGTGGGTCTGCTGTCATCAAACGAGGTATCAAATTAATCAATCATCATAAGCCAAAGGAAACGCCTTCCGGTCTTCCTGTCCCATATACATGCGGATATCAATCAGGCTGTAAAAATCATCAAGGGTAGGGAATAACAAGGGAGTGGGGGTATGGGAGGGGGGGAGGGGAGGGGGGTAGGGTGAATATGTCGAACGAGGAACAACTCTGTACTCCGAAATGATTGCGACGCAAGCGACTGAATGCCGTCGTAGCCCATAGATAAGGCTAAACCTTCTCATCCGTCCCCGTCATCGGGAGATCCTGTGGCTCAGAGATCTGCGGCTCGGTGATCGGCGGCTTCACATCGGCCGGGAATGTCCCATTCGAGGCAGGCTGTTCCACGGTGTCCGGGGTCTTCGTGTCCGGGCGTCTCCGGCCCAGACGATCGCACCAGTGCTCCGCGCTGACCAGCGTGTCGTTGACGACGCCGCTGACCTGACCCATCATGTCGAGACCCTCCTGGGCCAAGACGAGGATGCGGTGCGCCCCGAGGGTGTCGTCGGACGAGGCCTCCATGGAGTCGGGCGGTGGGTGGGAGTTCGACGCCACCTGGAAGCGATGGGGCAGGGAGGTCAGGTGTCGACGGACCAGGTTGCGCGCATTGTCGGGGAGGGCGCCACCGGCGTACTTGGACACAATCTCCACGACCTGTTTCAAGGTCTGTAGGACATCGGCCTTGACGGCCTGGATGCGCTGGGTCAACAGGGTATGGTTCTGGCCGTCGCCGCTCTCCTGCCGCACCGCGTCCCACTCCTTCAGAGCCGCCTGCAGCGCTTGGATGGCCTTCCCCAGTCGTCCGTTAGCCCATCGCAGCCACGTCAGGCAGTACTGCAGGCTGCGCAGCGACTCCTCGCTCATCGCAACCCCCAGTCCCGACGTGGAGATCACCAGTCGGCTCTGCCAGGTCGGATTCCGCTGGGAGGGATGGTCCCGGCCGATCTCCTCATAATTGGGGGATCTCAGGTCATCGTACGGTGGGAGGGTCTCTGCCGTGGACATCTCGGACGGGCTGCGGAGCGGCTCGTCCAACGCGTCGTCGGGACCCTTCTCCACGTCCGGATCCGTAGTCGGGTGGTTCTCGCCGCCCACCTTGCGACGTTTTGACCGCTTCGAATCGCGCTCCGAGGGTTTGCGCTGGAGGGCCCAGCGAAGACCGCTCTCAACTCCGGTCTTCCGGCCGACGGAGCCTACGGTGTTGGCGACGGGAGAGCCGATGTTGCGCTCGATGAACTCGGCGCTCGACTTGAAACGGGGGGAGTACGACTTGGAGGTGGTGTACGCGGAAACGGAACCGTGAATGGCGGAGGAGATCAGGGGATGGGTGGAGGTCAAGAGGGAGATGAGGGGTTCGGATTGGGGTTGAGATTCGGGACTGAGGGATTGAGTGTGGGAGGGGGTACGGGAGTGACCGTAGTCTAGACGACGCATTAGAAGGGAGCTCCCAAAATTTCCTATCCGAAGAGATAAAAGATCAGGGATGAGGAATGATACCGGAACGAAGGCCCTCTAAAGCTTGGGCAGCTTCAAGGTCATCCATGGAGAGGACACTGGTAGCTCGACGAGAACGATCTTCCGCCAGGGAGTGTTTATCAATCTCCATCATTGGGGCAGGGGCATGATGAAGGGAAGAAGAAGAAGAAGAAGAAGAAGTCAAAGGGAAAGCGGGGATCGCAGGAGCGATCGACGAGGCGGAGGAGAGTGTAGAAGTAGAAGTAGGGTATGAAGGGAGAGGGCCAGTGGCGCGTGGGACGATCGTGGTGGGATTGGAGGCGTTCGGGGCAGAGATGCCGTCTGGACGTTTGAAGTGGTCCATGACCGACAGACCTCTGACCCGAGAGGGCCACTAGTGGGAAGATAGATGAAAGTTCAGACCGTGAGATAGAGAGAGATAGTAAGTAATTGTCGCCCCAAGGAGGATAGATGGAGACGAGTCAGTTCAACCGTAAGTTGTGATGAACAGCGGTAGTAGTTGGTGTATTGGAGAAAGGACAGAGAGAGACGGACGATCGCGGCAGTTTAGCGCCGACCTTTACGGTCTGACCGTACGGATACCGTATGAGCTCTCGATCGGGAAAGGTGCTTAGATATTACATTGTTCTATTGATCGGGATGAGACCGTACAGTGGAGATACGGTACGGTACTGTCATGAATGGGACGGCATCCTTTCGCATGTGAAAAGGATGCCTGATGTAATAAATCAGGTAACAAACCACAGATTAAGCTGGAAAATTTCAACCCAGCCAAGAAAGTTGAAACTGATACCTTACTGTTAGGAGAAAGTTGTTGAGGGAAACTATGGGCCGACCTTCTTTTAATCCACCTCACCACTACTCATGCCTCATTTCTCATTATTAATAGGAATTGAGCCTGTCCCTCGCGCCGAGTCTCTAGCCGGTCAGATCGAATCTCTGACAGATGGATGGTATTCCCCCGCCCAAGGTTCCAAGACGCCACCGGTCTTCCAATCATACCGGTTGAATGTGATTGATCCTGGGAAGATCCTGAACAGAACACATGTGCTTCTTCATCTGATAATGGTCTGAGCCGTCTTCACATGCTCGGTAATTGCTGACCTGTAGGTACGGTAGTAACTAGTAAGTTGTAGGTAGTGTACTGTCGGATGGACGGAGTTCCCAGGTCCGAATTCCTATCTGATAGACGGGAGGACAGACTCAGTATTCCGTACTAGAGGCCGGGTATGTCGATAGGAGGTAGGCCCCAGATAGGAATAAGGGCAGGTCCAAACTATTGATTGTAAGGAGGAGACCTTTGTGGGACATGAAGAAATCCATCCCTCCTGATAATTTCCCGTTGGTCCATTCATCCTCTCCATCCCTCCATCTCTTCAATCCATGATGGAGACTCTGGAATTGATCCATTGATTCATGGCCGGACTAGGAGAGAAGCTAGGACCAATGAAACACGGGTACATTATACCTCTTTGGGCGACCCTGACATGTGACGCTGCGTCACCATCTCGTACTTGACCTTAGTACAATCCAACAGTGAGTGGTTCAATGGAGGGAACTTATTCTAGATTATCCCCCTTTCGGAAGGTGATCGATCGCTGGCCCTGTCGGATCACAGGCTAAGATGTGAAATGTCAATTGATAGAATGGTGAGGTGGTAATCGCCGTCAATTTCCCGGTCGATGCACTCATACCCGTGGGTGACCGGCTATGCAGCCAGCAATGGCTTCAAACCGGTAGACCGTTCCCAACAACCTCGAGCCTCGGTTGCCCCTCTTGTCATGTCTTAATATGTAGTTGCCATCCCATGATCATCAGATGACTAGGGTTTTGACTGTCTCACGTTGGAGGTTGTATCGACAGGGCAGTGTCGGTAGCATGTTCGGCACTCGATGGTAAGGTTGCAGATGTCAGTCTGCTTGAAGTTTGCTTACCATCCGACCCAACTGTTGCATTGTGGAACTCACCCCAGCAAAGAGCATACACAGTTGGGCTGCCTTATAAAGCACAACACAGAAAGAACTTTCACCAATCATAGCATGTTAGCTCAGGGGAAGAGCGCCGGGCTCATAACCCGGAGGACCCTGGATCGAAACCAGGACATGCTATTCTTCTTTTTCTTTTTTTGCCTCATTTCTTTGTTTCCTGGCAGAGTTGATCTTTGTGTCCAACACCTGGATATAAAATATTCACATCAGTACCTAGGTACCTGAAAACTTAGGTAGTGTGTAGTGTATAATGATGGTGAGTGGCTGAACTGAATGTCGCCTGCCGATCACTGGTCTACTGACCTCTTATATTAGACTGATCGAACCTATAAACCAGTCTATATCGCGTTGATATTATAGTGTCCGCTGTTTAATATAGGGAACCCAAACCTTAACACCTGTATTCACCATCTCTCAATGATCGACTTGAAAATTGACTCTAGGCATCTCCAAGACATTCATGAATTACATCTCAGCCTTATGGAATATCCGGCGTCCTAGAACAAGCGTATCAATTCGCAGATTAGTGGTCGAATCGTTGATACCTTCACTGCATGAGTCGAGTCAATCCATTGCCACACAGCTGATTCACGGTCATTACAATCTTGTTAACATGTTGTTGCAATGCTAAGAGCACAGTGGGCTGTCTGTGCCTTTAGCGAGAAGAATACTTAATTTGGTGAAGAATTGATTCTCCAGATGGTGCGAACTGAGCAATATATCGCTAAGCTTATCTCGACTACTTCTCCAAGTAATACACATGTAGAATACAAGTTGCCTTCTGCGCAGCACATTAAACGTGTCACTCCCAGGTACAGTGATTGCAGACACCTTGACACACCATGAACCTGCAACTCCCAGAACCAAACCATCTACAGCAAATTCTCCAATCCCCACAGAATCCAAGGAACGGAAGCCACAAGAAGTCGAAATGATATCCAACGAAACCATGATATGGCTATTCCCAACGACCTGCATCCTCCTATCCCTCCTCTTCATGCTCTGTCTGCACCATTCCACCATCTCGCGCTTTATTTCCCAACTACGCATTTTTAGTCAACCAGAACCCCGATACACTTACATCCGCGAAGACACGCACGATTCAAGCCCAGAGCAGTCGTGGGTCAAGTCCTTCCATTCCAACCCAGCACAGCACAACGTAAATACGCCTACTTACATTACACCTAACAGAATCGAAGCACCCCCCACAAGCGCACACTCAATGTCAAGATACTTCCATCCCGACACCGGCCTTCTGGATGACTCCGGGCTAGAGCCACCCTCACCAGCGACGCCGTCTTGGGAGCAAGAGCTGCGCATCCGTGTTGTGGGGGGTCGCGGGCTGCGTGCGTGGTTGGATAGGGCTGTTGAGTATGGGGTGGGCTGGGTTGAGACGTGGATGGTTAGTACTGGCTTTTGTTCCTGGCTATCAACGCTAGTTGATTGTATGACTGAGTGCTGTAATAGGAAGAGAGGGATTGATTGACTGGTTTGGGGTCTGGTTTGATGTGTGAGATGCTTGCTCGGGAAGTAGTAGTATGTATCCTCGGTATGTACTACTGCTGGTTATTTCGATGAGAATTGATTTGGAGGCTGTTGGTGTATGCGGATAGTCGTGGGTACATCGACTCGTCTGATTCTTATGTAAAATAGGAATTTATTCAGTCAAAACGATTCGGCTTATTCTGGTTCTAGGTGGGGTGTATATGCCAACCATTGGGGATATATATAGGGCTTGGTGTTACTATACCAAGGAAACTCATGCAGTTGTATTTATATCAATTCGTAGTTAGTAGTGTCTCAAGATATCTAGATCCCAAATAAGAAGAAAGCCACATTGGGTCCACACGTCTTCCTGGCGGCCATGGCTGGGTTAGAAGACGCCACATTCCGGCAGCACCGTTACTCTACAGTATATGTTGGGGCTGCTGTAGGCTGCTAGGAGACTGTGCATACCACACCTGCCGTGAAGAAATGTAGATATCTGTATAATATTAGTGTACAAATATACCATAAAATTAAAAAAATCCATCGATTGTTTCTGAAATCTACATAGTGAATTAGACATATTGACTCTCTACCTGGTGGAGTAGGATGATGATATGGCAACCTCAGGCACCAAGGGTCATCCCCAAATATCCTCTATTCCCTATTTTACTCCACCATCTTCATCTTCTCTTTCTTTCACCCTCCTCACCCTTCGTGGTTTTCACCCTCGACATCATCAAGAATGCTGGGGCTCCATCTGGTAGATACCATCCCACGTTGGGAGTTGGAATGCTCACTCGCGTTCCGTCCACAACACCCTCTTCCGTGGGCCTCTTCCTTGAAGAATTGAACCCACACGGATTATTGTTCAAGTACACACTTGAGGATTAGAATTGATGGGAGCAACATGATACCAGTGATCCAGATGACTGTAAGATATCGAATGATCGTGCCCAAGAAATTGAGACACACCACTGGATAGTCAAATGATAAGTCGACAGCTCATCGCATCCCTTCAATGCGACGAAATGTTGGAGGACCGTGCCATCTCTGATTCTACATTGGCTGTGGCCGGAATTAAACTCCCATGCTGGATTTTCGCCCACTTCTCTGCTTCGTCGGGAGGTGATGATCGATGCGACATTCCTCGCGTCTTCGAGAGCAATGTGTGCGCATTCCTCTACCCCATCGGGCCCTTCCATAACAAACGAAGGCGCCCCTTTCCTGAAAGGCGTCGCCCTCCTTTGTCCCATGATGCTTCTGTTCGTTTTTCGCTATTCTTAGCGATTCCATAGTCGTGAGCTGCGATTGCTAGCCTTGCATCGGAGACTTACAGAATCACCATCGCGTCCAAGCTCGAGCCGATCGAAAGCCCCTAGGGAGTGGAAGGACGATAGAACCCCGTGGATGGGTCGACTGCCTCCAACTTTCTCCACGTCGCGTGAAAAACAGACCGCTTCGAAAGGCATCACTCAGTCGAAGCCATGCTGCCGTTGACTACTGTCGTTGCCGTCGCCGTCGCCTGCGGGGTCGTGGTTATTGTAATCGCGGTCGTTGGCACCATCGTTTGGATTAGAATCCGCCAGGAACGCCTCTCCCTCGCGGTCACCCGAGCAGGTCATGGCTATAGTGGTCTTCACGGTCATTCTCTGCCATTCAACGAGGAAATATTAACGGAAATCTCACGCGAAGAGGGCAGCGCGCTCAGACAATACGGGCAGCTACCATACGGAAGACCGTCGGAATGGGGGCTGCTGGCGTCGCAGGAAAGCTTATACCAGTCCCGCCATGAATCGGACAGCTCATCCAACCTGGCAGAGAAAGCTCGCGATTTGCGCCGCTCTTTTTCATGGTCCAAGACCCTGCGGCCATCCAGGAGTCTCACCCGACCGCGCCAAGGGAGCTCTTTGGCGCCATTAACAGAGTCCAATGAGAGGCTCTCCCAATTTTCCCCAGTTTCACCCTTGAAGGAACCAATTCCGATCTCGGCAGTAGATGGTGCCCTGGAACTGCCCACCGAGACGACTCCCCGGCAGACTCCCGAGAGAAACGATGACGGAAGCATGGCGAACCCCGATCCCACTATCACCTATCCGACATCAAGCGTGTTTCCGTTACTCCGTCAGCATGAACGCCCCAACGGCCTTTTCCCGCTGATCGAAGTGAGCCATGAAGCGACAGGCCGAGTACGGGGAGGCAGCATCACTGCCCAGACGGCTGGAGCCATGCCAGAGCATCCAGTGCCTCCGCCTCCGTGTGCCTATCCGCCAAATCGCTTCCGGCTGTCGAAGAACGATTCGATGTGCTTTTCCTCTTTGAGTCTGGACACAGCCGACAGCTCCATCTTGGATGAGAGTCGACAGAACTACGCCGCCATGGAAAGTGACTTCACGTCTCCGCATCTGCCCCCGTGTCCTACATTTGCACCATACAGCGCCAATGACGTTGGGCGCACGGAATACGAACGAAGGAACTTACTTGCGCAGACTGCAGGTCCTCCTCAATTTTTCTTTCCTGCGATCTCCCCGACCAAAGAGGGTCGCAAACTCGAACCGGACCGCACCTCGCCACGCCGCAGCTTGACCGCACATAGCCCATCCCAGTCGATGGACCGAATCAGTCCGCCCCCGCGCCGAAGTGAGTCCCTTTCGGCCAATTCCCACCCCAAAAGAGACGCCTCGCTGGTGCCGCTCATGGATTTCAACCGCATCCCTCCGCTGAACGCAGTGGGCCAGAACGCGGCCTTGGTGCCACATTTCAGCCAGCTGCAAAGACATCCCGTGTATGGGGGGCCCCCAAGAGATGTAGACCCTTTCTATGGCGGTGGATACACCGCGTACGGCAATTCTAGGAAGCTAGACAATATCTTGCTCCCGGAAGGCGTTGTGCCGGCCTCCTACGGCCATCTCAGGCCGCCGCTTCCCTCCGCTCTCAAAGGGGGCAGCGGCCCACGGAAAGGCCATCGTCGACAGAACTGCGTGCGCATCTCTATCCACCCCCCCATCACCTTTGGCGGGCCGGGCTTCTCCCCCATGGTAGAGGAACCGGAGGATGGAGAGGAGCTTGATATGAGCCGGCCAGAGGTCCCCGAGCTTACCACGCCCAATCTCGCGCTCAGCTCTACCGTCTCCTCCACGGGTCGCAAAAGCAGCGACACTCCAAAAGGGCAACAAGCCGCTGGAAATACCAGTAGCCCCGGACGGACGAGGAAACACAAGAACGGACCTTCAACGGACAGCACAATCGATATAACCATGGCAATCCCCGTAGAAAAAGAGAAGATCCTACCAGAAATCCAGACCACCATGCTGCCGACCACCGAAGTCACACATCTACCGCAGACGCCCTCCCCAGACAAGAGCGCCTCAGCATGGATGATCACCAACTCGAATGTCTCGCCAACCGCGCCTGAAAACCCTCTCGGATCTAGGGGCTCCCGGCGCTCGATCGTCAAAGGGCCGCGCAGCCAGCCGGCAAAGTCACCGACGCAACGCAACAGAAGTCGCTCGTCAGGTCCACTCGGGGATAGCACGAGCACCCAGCCCACAGGAATAGCAGCCAGCTCGCCTGCGCAATCCTCGCGCAGCCATACCACGAGAAGAGAGCAGTTGCGGATATCGACCGGCTCACTCCAGCGCACTAGAAGCAACGCGCCGTCCCCGACATCACTCCACGAGCGCAGCACCAGCGAACCAACTGATTATTCTGAAAAATCCACCCAAACCTCCAAGAAACAGTCGTCGTCCCAGCAGCTACAGCTCGATATCCCCAAGATAACCTCCAGCCCGAACACCAAACCCAACAACAACAATAACAACAACAACAACATCATCGTCCCAATCTGGGAAGACAGCAAAAGCCCCGCGCGAAAACCCCCAACAAACCCCTTCCACACCGACGAACCCGTCGAACTCCCAGATACCTCTCCGCGACGACCCCCCGAACGCACCAAGAGCCGCGCCAGCGCCAGCGCCAGCCAGCAGCGCAAGCCGCGCCGGCCCTCCTCACGGCAGAGTTTCACGACCCCGACGAAGAAGGCGATTGGATTGGGGATTGGGGCGGCTACGCCTGGGAGTTTGTATGACGGGGATGGGTTTTTGAAGGAGTGATTGGGGGGTTGGTTTGGCTGGTGCATGCGTTGTTTTGATATGTGATTGTAGGGGAGTTTTTGGTTCAATCGGGGGAGTATGGATGGCGTTGGTGATAGGTTTGTTTTTCTTATTTTGGCTGGCCCTTTGTTGTTCAATTTTTTTCGTTTGAGGTGTATTCTCTGGCTGTGTTCTTTGGGCGTTCTTTTGCGGGAATGTTCGATTTTGATATCCACTTGCGCTGTGAAATGCGTGGTCTTAAATATAGGGTTTATACTATCTTTGAAGTGTGTGTTTTGTCCTTCTTATTCTTCTTTTCTTCTTTTGCTTTCTGCACCTACAATCTACACATCTTATATTAATGCGGGGATAATTGTTGCTACATTTAATCTCATTCACGTTTTGACCATATCATTCAATTACCTCACCCACCAGGATGGATTTATCATTTTTATACTCATACCATACCATAGCACACACACATACCCAACGTAGAAAAACCCCCAACAAAAGCAAGAAAACTAATCCGTCCTCCTCCACTTCGTCTCCTCCCCACCCTCATCCTCCCCGCGCTCCCCACCAACATCCCCCATCTCTTCATCCTCCCCTCCCTCCCCCCTCTGCCTCACCGACCCAGCCCCAGGCCCCAAAGGCAAAGAAGGCTCCTCACCCCCCGCAATCCAATTCCCCTCCTCATCGAAAAACTCATGCATGTTCTCCGCCGTAATCCACCCCGAGCTGCCGTCCATCGGAGGCGGCATGCCGCCTTGCGCGTTGCCCGCTGAGACGAGGCCCGTTGACAGTAGACCCTCGTCGTATTCGTCTTCGTCGTCGTCCTCTTCGTCGCCTGGTTCGACGGGGTCCGGGTGCAGGTTTGAGCAGGCGGATACGGCGGCGTAGAGTTTTTGAATGGGGGACTCGGGTTCTTGTTCTTCGGAGGTGCTGGGCGTTTCTTCCGTGGTGGATGGGGTAGGTGTGGGCGTGGGAGTGGACGGAACGACTGTCATGGTGATGCACTCCTCCTCGTCGTCGACGGCTTGCTGCGATGGGGGCATCGCGATCTGCATGTACAGGCCCTGGACTTCGGATTCTGAGTCTGTGGGCAGGCGCAGGCGCTGGATGGCGTGTAGCGAGATGGACGGGTAGGGAATGGCGACGCCGGCGGAGACGGCGGGCGTAGGGTTGTACAGGAGGAATTTACTGCAGCGTATTAGGATTAGCTTGATATAATCCATAGAGGGTAAGGTGAAAAAGAGGTGAAGGGACTCACTCGGACGTAACCCACACGTCCACTCCCTCGATCACCAGCTGGTTTTCGCCTTCGGAGGTGGACCCATTCACTCCTGCTGCGCCGGCTGCGGCCTGACCGCGAAGAGCACCCAGCGCAGGAGAAGCTGCCAGATCAGAGTCCTGAACGACGAGCTTGCATGATTTGCTGTGGTAGTGGAGGACTGGCGGGCCGGAGTGGAAGGAGGAGGGCGTGCGCGCTTGGTGATCGGCGAGGAGGACGAAGGAGGAGGTTTCGGGGGGTGTGTGGAGGGATTCCATTTTTCTTCTTCTCTATATTTGTTTCTTTTTAAATTCGGATTGGGTTGGCAGTTCAAATGGAATGGCTGTGGTGGTAGAGGTGGTGGTGAGGAAGATGGTTGGGTTTTGCGGAACTTTGGAGCTGCGGCGGAGCTGGGTTTGGAACTGGAGCTCGGGCCGTGGGGCTCGTTTATGTCTTCTCGTTTATGATGAGTGGTGCTGTACTATAATGTGTTTCATATGGGTATTTTAAATACTAGGTTTATGCGATTTATTTGACCTTAGAGATTGGTATTTTCATATCCATTAAGTTTCTATGTTGACTATTCTGTCGACCCCGCGGACCCCGCTACTGCTGGGAGTCTTCGCATAGTTTGAGGGCGATCGATGTGCCCACGTTCGTAGCATGTCCCATTTACAAGATGGGCTTGCGATAGAAGAGACTCGCGACCATAGGAATGTCGTCGACTTAGTCGAGCTTCGAGCCATTGGGGGGTACGAACGGTACTATTCGACCCCGCAGGACGTGCTCTTGGACGCCACCGGCTCAGTGTTCGAAGTGGCGAAAGAGGCGTAGCGTGATGGTTCAAACAGCCGGCCCATCGATGTCAGACCATTGGTTTTTGCAAGCAAGAGAGAATCTAGCCTCGCATGTTCAGCCACGCACGAAGGTAGAGACTCCACCGTAGCGATGGGAATCCCGCAAGAGATGGCTCGTGCAGACGGCATATGATCTTGCGGTAACACAATTCCACGGCCGTTTCCCGGAAAGAGAACAGATGCTCTTATCGGACAGTAGTACTGTCCTCCAGATGGAATCATCCACCACCCGATTTCAGACCCAAACCCCCAAACGCCCGATCCAGCTCCTCCCCCTCATCACGTGGCTTCATCGACGGCAAACGGGAGGCCCCAGAGTCAGCCACGTCGCTACTATCGAGCAGACTAGGCTGGTCGGGATGCGATTGCGACGAGGGCCCGGTGGGCGCATTCGTCGGTCGAAGCAGCTTTTCCTCCCGGTCCAGCCAACCAGGCGCCAGACGACGCTTCTCCGCCAGCTCCCGCTGGGTGATGGATTCTTCCCACGCACGGATGGCCTGGTCGGCGTCGGAGCGCATCTTGTTCAGGTGTTGCTTGAGGGATTGGCATGAGGCTAGGATCTCCTCGGGAGACGCGGCGTGCTCGCCGCTGGAGGAGATGATGTAGCGGGGGGTGGCATCTGGGTTGTTGGGATCTACCGTGACGGAGGGAGGTAGGGTGGAGGGAACGGATTTGTAGGTATAGGGGAGGGTGACGGAGGTGGGGAGGTTAATGAATGGGGAGACGGTCAAGGGGACCTGGGCGAGGAGGGGATGAGGACCTGGATTGTTAGTATGGAAGGGAAAGCTTCGATTGGGATGGAGACATACGGTAGGATTCATACATGGTGAACACTAGTTGTTGACTGGGGTGTTGACTGGAGAGAGAGGGAGAGAGAAGAGTAGGAAAGTGAAGAGTAAGTAAGAGAGATGCCTGAGGGGAACCCACGGCTTCTCCAGATTCTGGTAATTGAAATACCGTATTTTATAATTTATAATGATATACTTGACCATTATATCGTTTGGTTTATATTGAATAAGTTTTATAACTTGATTAAATTCCGCTATATATTATATTATAGATATATATAAAATGTCTATAATGATATACATCCTTAATCCATATAAAATAGAAGATACATCATAGTTATCAATCAATGGTTCGTGGTTCATTTCAGCTCTTCAGCTGATCGGCCAACGAACCATCAAGTATTGTTCGTATCAGCCAACTTCTCTTCTCTTCTCTCTTCTCTTCTCATCCTGTTTCTTCTTCTCTTCCTCTCTCTCTCTCTCTCTCTCTCTCTCTCTCTTCTCTTGACTTCATCTTATTGATCTTCCTCCTCTCTTACTTTCTGTGGATCAGTTCGTTCATACTCTTCGTGATCGTACCTGTCCTCATCCCCTCTCCCATTTGCCTCCCTCTTCTTTCCCCTCCTTTTTCCTCTACCAGTAGACCCCTCCAATATTTCTGGTATAGATTCATCGATCCCCTCTTCGACAGTGACTTCCCCTCCTCTCTCAGCCTTACTCGACCTAGAGTCTCCTGGTCTCTGGTTACCTATCAAGTACACTAAACTTAAAAGTCCCGCCGCGCTTAACCCCACCTCCAAACAAACAAGTCGACTGGTCTCTGCGCAATTCCTTTCTTTCCTCTTCCCCTTTTCGTCTCTTCCTTTGCCGATTCCATCTCCAGGTGGATTGGTCGATTTTCGTCTCCTTTTTCTCTTTTCTTCCCCCAAACCTCTTCGGTCCTCCTCCCTCCCCCCCCGCTCTCCCCCTTCCCCCTCATTTCGTTGCCCAAGATGGATCGATCGATCGTGCGAGCGGTGACGGAGAAGCCCCCGGTCCCGGAGATCGACTTCACCTTACATACCATGGAAGATGGCACCCAGGTGTCCACCACGGAACGAGTCGTTAAAGGTATAGCTCAGTCCAATACAGATCTTCGATGTGATCTGTTTTTCTTTCCCCCATCGTTGCTAAACCCCGAGCAGAAGTGCAAGCGCCCGCGCTCAACACCCCGCCCGACGACTTATTTTGGTCTCCTGACGACCCGTCCAAACCGAACCTCCAGTTTCTCAAGCAGCATTTCTATCGCGAAGGCCGTCTGACCGAGGACCAGGCGCTATGGATCATACAGGCCGGCTCGCAGTTGCTGCGGTCCGAACCCAACCTGCTGGAGATGGACGCCCCCATCACCGTCTGCGGTGACGTGCACGGCCAATATTATGATTTGATGAAGCTCTTCGAGGTCGGCGGCGATCCGTCCGAGACCCGATACTTGTTCCTGGGTGACTACGTGGATAGAGGGTATTTCAGCATTGAGGTCCGTCATAACCAGCTCCATCTCCCTGGAGGATTGGTTTGTTCGCGCGATCGCTAACCGTCCCCCTCCAGTGCGTTCTCTATCTCTGGTCCCTGAAGATCTGGTACCCCAATACGCTGTGGCTTCTGCGCGGCAACCACGAGTGTCGCCACTTGACCGACTACTTTACCTTCAAACTCGAGTGCAAGCACAAATACAGCGAGCGCGTCTACGAGGCGTGTATCGAATCCTTCTGCTCGCTGCCCCTCGCCGCCGTCATGAACAAGCAGTTTCTCTGCATCCACGGCGGTCTCAGCCCGGAGATGCACACCCTGGAGGATATCAAGGCGGTACGTCATTGCATTTCTGCGTGGTTTTCACCTCTTAAGATTTTTGTTCGTGATGTGCTGACGTTTGTAGATTGATCGGTTCCGCGAGCCCCCCACCCACGGTCTCATGTGCGACATCTTGTGGGCCGATCCGCTGGAGGAGTTTGGCCAGGAGAAGACCGGCGACTATTTCATCCACAACAGCGTTCGCGGATGCTCCTATTTCTTCTCCTACCCGGCCGCCTGCGCGTTCCTGGAGAAGAACAACCTACTCTCCATCATCCGAGCCCACGAAGCGCAGGATGCCGGCTACCGCATGTACCGCAAGACCCGGACGACCGGCTTCCCCAGCGTGATGACGATCTTCAGCGCTCCCAACTACCTGGACGTGTACAACAACAAGGCCGCCGTCCTCAAATACGAGAACAACGTGATGAACATCCGCCAGTTCAACTGCACGCCGCACCCGTACTGGCTGCCCAACTTCATGGACGTCTTCACGTGGTCCCTCCCCTTCGTGGGTGAGAAGATCACCGACATGCTCATCGCCATCCTCAACACCTGCTCCAAGGAAGAGCTCGAGGACGAGACCCCGACCTCCGCGACGGAACCGACCTTCTCTCCGACCATGCCGATGGATGTCGAGAGCAGCGAGTTCAAGCGTCGCGCCATCAAGAACAAGATCCTGGCCATCGGGCGACTGTCCCGCGTCTTCCAGGTGTTGCGCGAGGAATCGGAGAAGGTCACCGAACTCAAGACCGCGGCGGGCGGCCGTCTCCCGGCGGGTACTCTGATGCTGGGCGCCGAAGGGATCAAGCAGGCGATCAACAACTTCGAGGATGCGCGCCAGGTGGACTTGCAGAATGAGCGTCTGCCTCCGACCCAGGAGGAGGTCCTCCGGAAGAGCGAAGAGGACCGACGGGTGGCCCTGGAGCGTGCTCACCACGAAGCGGATAATGACGCGGGGCTGGAGACGGTGGCGCGACGGATTAGCATGTGAGTTCTTATCTATCTTAACTTCCCCCAAGGACAAAAGTCTAACGCATGCTAGGTCGGCGGGTTCGAATAAAACTCGGCGACAGCGGGACGCAGCCGACGAATCGTGAGCATGAACACGCACAGTTTGTTGGATGAGCGTTCAATGCAGACATCTTAATATCATGGAGAATTGGCTCCATAATTGTATAGACGGGTGTAGAGAGGGGTTCATTCGCCACGGGGACCCCGACCTGGGTCCTTGACCTTGTTATCAAAGGACGAGCGACTCCTGTATGTACTTACTGGCGATGCAACGGGGGACTCCCGTCTGCACGGAGCCCAAGGCGTCTGTGACGTCTTGCGTATGAGATGATGAACCGATAAATTATGACTTGCCAGCGTTGAGCATGGTTTCAATTTCAAGCGTAGAAAATAGACCATTTAATTTTCAAAAGGACTACAGAACACACAGAATAGTCAGTTTGATATGATTGTTCTTGTTGATGGTGACCGTACATACATACTTCACCCACCCGATCAGTCCCGCCAAGACCGAATCCCCCCAAACGGTAAACCTCATCCGCTGCTCGGCCAGCCTATCACCAAATAACCCTCCTCTTCCCACCCCCTCACCACCCCCTCCAATTCACAGCCAATGCCTCCAAAAATACGCGGCTCGCTCTCCAAGAGCCTGTCGCGTGCAGGAGACACCACCGCCACCGACTTCTACTGCCCATCGTGCGCCATCCACCGACGCAGCCTCCCCACGCGCCGCATCCGCACCCAAGGGGCGGCGACCACCGCCCGCCTCTCATCCACCTGGACCCCGCCGTCGACAGCCGCCGCTGCTCCTCGCCCGGTAACGGCATCATCCGTTGTCCACGGAGCGAGACATGTCCCGCCGCGCCTGCGCGAACTGTACGGCGGGCTGAGCAAACTCAATGACGTTGCGCCGGAGCAGGTCAATATCAGTCGGCTGCAGCTTGCACTTCGGGGGCTGGAGACGGAAACTCCGTTGATTAGAGTTGCTGGTGGGGTTTGCCTTTGAATCGTCTCTTTTTTGGATGGATGTGTGGGCTGACTTTGGGATAGTTTTGGGGTTGAATGATGCTGTGGCTGCGCGCAAACTTGTTCGTTTGCTGTTGGCGGATCCGTTGGGCGAGCGGGAGGGATGGGAGGATGTTTTGGATGCTACGGATGGTGATTTGACGCAGGGGTTGCTGATTCGGTGAGTGATTTTGTTTTGACGGTGGTGATATGGAAACATGGGAAAAGGAAAGGAAGGGGAAGAAAGAAAAGAAAGCTCGCTAACATGAATGTGCTTGTGACTAGCTATGGCGACACGTTCGAGTCAATCCCGAATAACCTCCTCCCGACGATCACAGTGCCCTCCCCCATTTTGAAAAGAGGCAATCTCGAGATCCTGGTGTCGACTGTGGGCGCCGAGACGAAATCGGCCCACTCCCAATTCAGCGCAGACACCTTCCTCGTTCCGACCGTGACGATCCAGACGTCGCACTCGGGCCAACACAACTTCGTCCGGTACCCCGTCCACCGGACCATCGTGTGCGGCAGCGGGATGGACGGGTTACTCGCGTACAGCGGACTGCTCGCACGCTCGGACCTGCAAAGCGAGGCGGAGTCGGTCTACGGGGCCATTGAGCTGCCGATCAACGCTTCGCAGAAGCACAGCGACCGCGTCGCCTTCGTGGACGTCGACCAGGCGAGCGACGCCCTGGCCAAGTTCCGCGAATCCGTGCAGAACGCCACGCTGTACGAGCGCGGGTGGAACAGCAGCGGGGTGCAGCCCGTCGTGGACTGGGTGTCGGCACTGCGGACGCAGACCGGCCACCTTGATCCGTCGCTGCGGACGTTGATCACGGCTTTGCTCGACGCCGCCGAGGCCGGCGTGGCCGCTAAAGAGCTGCGAAACGCGCAGGAGCTGGAGGCGGAATCGGTATCCGATGCCGTCCGCGCGAGCATGGGCCGCGAGCTGACGACGTGGGCCGAACGGGGTCACTCGGAGCTGCGCAGCGCTCTGGAAGAGGGCTTCGCGAGTAAGCGGTGGAGGGGCCTCGCGTGGTGGAAGCTCTTCTGGCGGGTTGACGACGTGGGTATGATCACGTCGGAGATCCTGGAGAGGAAGTACCTGCGTCGGGCGGAGAAGGAGGTGATCTGGACGGCGGGCAAATTCCAGCAGGCTGGTCTTGACAATCTGCCGGAGATGCCGCAGCCATCTGAAGAACAAATATTGGCTACATCTGACGCCGCGGCGACAGATCCTCCGACAACCACCCCAGAGATCAGTCCCTGGCCTACGCAAATCACCCGCAGTCGCACGCGCCTCCTAGAGACGACAGTACCATCTCTACAAGCGCTCGCCCAGCGTCTCGTCCTCTTCAGCATGTCAACCACCACACTGGCGTCCGCACTCTCCGCCCTCGCCTACCTGTCCATCCCGACAGCCTCCTTCTACGAGAGCGGCAGCATAGCGGCCGTGGGTCTGGCATACTCGCTCCGCCGACAGCAAAAACAATGGGGAGCGGCGCGAGAGTTCTGGGAAGACGAAGTGCGCGAGGAGGGCCGCACGGCGCTTCTAGCCACGGAAGAGCACTTGGGTACGGTGGTGCGCGAGGGGGGACGTCGCGAGGGGGAGGTCTCTGAGCGAGAAGCGCGCGAGACGCTCTCGCGGACGAGAAAAGCGTTGGAGGGGGTGCAGTAGATTAGACCCGACCACTTTCATGTAGGTTCATACTAGTAGCTTCATTGTACAACAACAATACTTACCTGATCTCATCATTCATTATTCCTCCTATCTATCCTCACAGTAAGCGTATAGTACAGCGTAACCAGGCACCTATATACATACATATCTACATACACATCCACACGAGTATAGATCAAGAAACCTCAACACTCCCCGCCGGAACCCCCGCCCAACTCCTCAATATCCTCGCCAAAAACCCCATCACGGGACCCATCTCCTCCCTACTCCTCGGCATCCCATCCCCCCTCCTCGCATACCGATGCACCTCCACAAACTCAAACTCCGCCTGCGTCCTCCTCACTGCCCCATCGCTCACAGCCGGCGAATCCCGCCCCGCGACGAGTAATACCGGCGTGCGGTTCTTGCTGCCTTGCTTTGAATTCCCCGCGCTTGAGAGCGGGAAGGGCGCGCCGATGGAGATTATCCCGCCTAGAGTGCTATTTCCACTACGACCACCGCCACCAGAACTACCCCCGGCGGAGGCGGAGGGTAAGTCTAACTCCCTAGCAGCTAACAAAGCCAACATCCCGCCCTGACCCAACCCAAAGAGCGATATCTCGCGCAGCGCATACCCACATTTTCCAACGAGAGTATCGCGGATGATGGTATCGTTGATAAGCCGCTTACTGCGCTCAAACCCTGCATCCATGTCCAGCGCGCCGGTCGACGAGTCGAATGAGATGTCGTCGCCCCAGTGGTAGCCGGGGAGGTCGAGGGGGAGGTGTGTGGGGGCTTGGAGGGTGAGGATTGTTGTTTCGGGGAGGTGGAGGGCTTGCGCGAGGGAGGTTAGGGGCGGGAGGGTGTCGCCTAGGCCGTGGAGGAGGAGGAGGATGTTTGTTGGTGGTCTTGATGGTGGTGTGGTGGCTGAGGTGGGTGGTGGTGTTGATGGGGGTGGTGGAGGGGTGAGGGTTAGAGTTAGGTTTGGGGGGAAGTCGGTAGGGGTGGGGGGGCGGGTCGGTGGCATTTTTGGTTGTATTGGTATTGTTTGGTGGTGTTTGGATGTTGTGTAGAGAGAGTAGAGTAGGTAGAGAGTCGGCGTGGTGTGCAATAGTGATCAGAATGAGGTTGGTAGTTGTGGTGGTGAATTGAAAATAATTCCATACCCGTGTTCTGATATGACGTAAGGTTTCCTTTCCTATCTTAGCCGCCATATATTGTACTGTATGTATTCCACATCTACTATACTTCAGCCAAGATCTGATATATATCAATATGATACCTCCAAACTATTTCCAGCAACCGAGCAAGCAACAAGCACAAGTGTATGCGAGATAAAACTCGCCGAATATAGTAAAGTCTCGTGTATGCAGTGTCTGCACTGCAGTCCAGTGCCATCAATGTGACACACTACCTCGCTAAAGCGGACTCGGCATGTTGATCGGTGAGTGAGCTTGGGATGAAATCAGGTTTTAGATTCGAAGCGTTTGGGTTTGCTTTTGCTGTGTTTTCTTAGGTTACATAGCTTATCTCGTAGCGATGGTCGTGGCCATCTGGATGGTTGGGATCTGTATGCAGGTGGAGTTGTACGTCGGTTACAGATAGAGATACAACACATGTAGTCCGATGTTGAGCTAGTCTGCTCGACGATAATCCATCTTTACTCATCCCCGACTCAGTATCAATGCCCCTATCTATAGTATATGCCCGTATCTATAGTTAGTGGGTAATATGCAGCAAGCTATGACATTGGTGACCTATCTTATGTAAGGGCGCCAGATAAATCCGCGCCAGCAAGCTGTGGCCACATCGGCTTACTATCGAATTGGGAGCCGCAATGCTATATCACTTCGTCTCACAGACCTTCCCAGGTACCGTACATTTGGCCCACCCGCTTTGCCACAGGGTGGTCCCGACTCTCGAGTTCGAAGGCAACCTGCGACGACGATTCCACCACTGCCTCGACCCCGACGATCGGCCATAGGGCGAGGACAAGCCTTGGAAGGGGAAGCTTAGCTGGGACTAGACGGGTCGGGTCCACAGCTAGGGGAAAATTATACTGAGACAGACTGAGTGATGTTTGAGATGCGATATGTAGATGTGATTACCTCGTCGCTGTGCCCGCCTGTGTCGGTGTACTACGCACAGTCTCTCCACCCGCGATGTGGCGCCTGTATGGCGCTCCCCGCTGGAGATGATGTAAGGGGGGTTGGTCAAGGCCGAATGTTAATTCTATAGCGAATTGCCTCGTTGCCGTTTTGAGGGTCTTGCTGGTTTCGTAGGTTGTTTGAGTAACGTTGTGCGTATACCTCTTGCAATAGATGCAATGGTTGTTGAGGCGACAGCGGATGGCTGTTGAATGAGGATCCCGCCGAGGCCATTCTAACAGTATAAGCAGCAAACTGGTGCATGGTGCAGTTGTCAACTAGAGTAGAAGAACGGTTTCGAACTAGAACCTGGATTGAGACTGAGACTGAGACGGATATCTGAGATCATATAATAAGGCGCCCTGTTTGCCTCAGTCAGAATCATCACTCGATTATCCATTCTGCATGTTCCATATACCGTTCCATACTCATACGTTTGACTTGGAGCTGGGATAAGACTTGAGTTGCCTCCTGTGCAGTCCCCGCTGACCAACTCCAACAATCTTGAGCTGTCCATCCGTTGGGAATCCACGGTCTGACACATCCCAACAGGAGAGTTTGATAATGCTCACCAGGTGTATGACAAGAGACACACAAGAGCAAGCTTCACCAGCTCCATTGGTGCAGCCTCATTCGAGGTATGAGGCCCTTCCGAGGACTGACCCTCCAAGCGCAAGGAGTAAATACATGCGTACACAACGCCCACCGGGCCCACCCCTACCCCCCTTCGTTCCTTTTTTTTAGGGTTACATGACCGAGTCACGTTGGCCACGTTGTCGGGCAGGCAAGCCAGTCAGCCACGCCGTCGCCAAGGAGTCTCCTGTCGGACTCCTTCCTCGGTGGGATTGAGAAGCCAGCCAAGACAGAAGGGATGGATGGGAGTGTCGCGCAACACCACGCCAAGAAGAATGTCTACGACATGTATGACGAGCATTATGCGAACCACACCTCTACGCTGACCAGTACCATCCTCTGCGTTCCAATCCTCACGATGGCTGTGCTGATTGCAAGCGGTGACTTGGTATTTGGGGGGATGGTTTCCTCCACTGTGATTAGCTGGCGCTTTTTGATGTGATGACGACTGTCTGGAATGGAAGAATACGGGAGAGGGAAGATGTCCTTCTCCTCGGACCTCCACTTCTGGGACGTAAGGTTTTCTGGGAGAATTCCTGGGGATAAACCATCTCCACCCCTAGCTGGCAATTATGTGGATGTTTAATCCAGAAAGAGATAGTCGGATCATCCGCTTCTGGACGTCAATCGGAGAAATCCGTTGACCGGGGTCAGAAAGGACGGTGGACGACTTCATCGCCACTTTGATTTTGATAGACAAGCAATCACATGCTCTGGCTGCCTGAGGATGATGGGTTCGGAAAGAAACCCGGACTGGAGAGAAGAAATCTCGATCCACTTGTTGGGACCCCACAGTTCCATTCTACAAATAAGGATGATAATCAAATTATAGAAAATAGATTAAATAAATACAACAAATAAAACCAAACTAAATAAAGTAAGCTAGAGTAACATACTCATGAAAATAAAAAAAATGCACGTGTGTCCAACGAGGCCTATCAGAGGCCCTGTTGGTCTGGATTCCCGTGACATGATTGGTTTGTCTTTCCTCTCCGTCCTGAGGCACCGACAACCCTGTTCTTTATCGTCATCGCCGCATTGAAAGTTTTTGATAGACCGTCATTTGGCGTGATCCTTTTGGCTCGGATTCTTGACCACTATTTTTCTTCCTGTCTTTTCTTTTCTTGACTGTCTCTTTCGTTTCTTCTTCTTTTATGACACCTCATCTTCCACTTCCCCCTCCAATCCATCTTGTTTTTTTTTTTTTTTTCTCCTATCTTTGCTGTGGGGATCCTGCAGCGCAGACAAACACCAGTGTCACTACGACCTGTCCCCCCCGAATCAGCCTTACAGCGCAATCGCGACAGGGTTAAAAAATAAAAATAAAAAAACAAAAAATTAAATTCTTCGTTTCAGCTGAGCCTCGGGTGGACTAACCGACGCTGGTTTAAATTGGCTCGCAGCTCTTCACGAGTTTTCTGCCAGGGACGATTGTCTTCCCCTTTTGTCATGCCTGCCCACGTCACGCCCCGTCCAGCATGAAATTTGCCAAGTAGGTTACGCACGCAAGATCCGATCTCATTGCTTCGCATCGTGTCTAACTTTTCCTTTCTGCGAAAAGGGAATTGGACCAGGAACTCGTTCCGGAATGGCGGGCGAAGTATATGGACTACAAGGTGGGTGCGAGGGAAGCCATCGAGGCACCGAACGTGATCCCCGCCGTCATGGTCGCACATTAACGGTGACATCTGGTACAGACGGGGAAAAAGAAACTCAAAGCCATCGCGCGAGCCCTGCAAAAAGCCAATCGGAGCTCCAGCCACCCTTCCCTGCCCCATGATGCGACACCGTCGTATGGCAACGACCCGACGGCCCGTTCTCACCCTTCGTCAACCCCGTCTCAAGCCGCCAAAGAATGGGAGGCTACCGATCCGGCATACAACCCGGCGGCGACGCCCGCCCGGAGCACCGGCCGCGTCTCCACGCCAGGACGGCGGACCGAGCGCCACCCGTTGCGTATGCCCGGATCGCGATTCTCGGCCATCCCAGGGACATACGGCAGCATCCTAGCAACGCCGCCCCAGCACGTTCCGTCGTCGGATGTAGCTTCGTTCGAGCTCCCGGACCCGGCCATCGACCCGGCCGTTGACTCCCACGACCACCAACTTTCCCCCAAAGGACACGGCCCCCACAATGCGTCCCCGCGAATTCCCTCCCCCTCCGTGTCGCGACACGGTAGCACCAGGACCATCCCGGCGGGGACAACCGGGCCAAGTCCCTCCCTCAGACGCACTGCCACGAACCCAACGGAGAAAGGGAACCCGGGCCCGTCGACCACCAGAACATCCCAACTTTTGAAGCGAGTCTTCACCCACCCGGATTGGGAATCGCCGGAGAAGCGGGCACAAGCAGGCGGTTCGATGGGGGAGTATGAGCGGCGGCAGGATGAATTCATGGCCTTTCTGGATGGCGAACTCGGCAAGATCGAGTCGTTCTACCAGCTCAAGGAGGAAGAATCCACGGCGCGTCTGGCCGTCCTTCGGAAGCAACTGCACATCATGCGGGACCAGCGCATCCAGGAGGTCCTGGGCAAGGCCCAGGCTCAACCGCAAGGCGATGACAAACCCCAACCGACGGGGTTCGGTCACTTGGGCGGTCAGCGCATCAAGGGCGCCTTCACAGGTCGTCGGATCGGGAAGAACTCCAAGGCGCTCGCGGGCCTGGCCAACCCGGCGGCCTTCCCGCCCCGAGACGCGGAGGGTGCCATGAACCGCAGCGACTTCAACCGCCGAGTGCCAGTAGAATCGCCCAACACCGAGGTGTCCTACCGCTCGGCCAAACGCAAGCTGAAACACGCTCTGCAAGAATACTACCGGGGCGTGGAGTTGCTCAAGGGATATGCCTACCTCAATCGGACGGCCTTCCGGAAAATCAACAAGAAGTACGACAAGGTCGTCGACGCTCGCCCCACCATGCGCTACATGTCCGAGAAGGTCAACAAGGCGTGGTTCGTGCAGAGTGAAGTGACGGAGAATCTTCTGACGGCCACGGAGGATCTCTACGCCCGCTACTTTGAACGCGGGAACCGAAAGATTGCCGCCTCCAAGTTGCGGCGCACAGTCAAGAAGACATCTGACTACTCGCCCAACACCTTCCGCTCCGGCCTTCTCCTGATGGCCGGCGTGCTGTTTGGGATCCAGGGTTTGATCTACGCCGGCCAGCACTTCAATGGTTCGGATGCTACCATCAAAATGCATACCAGTTATCTCCTCCAGATCTATGGTGGCTATTTCCTTATCGTCTTTCATTTCTTGTTGTTTTGTCTAGACTGTCTGGTCTGGACGAGATCGAAAATCAACTATGTCTTTATATTCGAATATGACGCGCGATATGCCTTGGATTGGCGACAATTGACAGAAGTATGACCCACTGCAGTTCCTCTTCCTGATGCTTTCTGACTCGTGCTAGCTCCCATCGTTTTTCATGTTCCTCCTGGGCCTCATCATGTGGCTCAATTTCTTGTCACACAACGACTGTTATATTTACTGGCCAGTGATCCTGGTGGGACTGACAGTATGCATTCTGTTTCTGCCCGCGCGTGTGCTGTATCACCGAAGCCGGAAGTGGTGGGCCTACTCCAACGTACGTGTTATATTCTCCGTATATCAGGCAATGCTGACCAGACCCAGTGGCGTCTCCTTCTCGCCGGATTCTATCCGGTGGAGTTTCGGGATTTCTTCCTCGGGGACATGTACTGTTCTCAGACCTATAGTATGGGGGTGAGTATACCTGGCAAGGTCGTGACGGCCGGCTGGCTGACTGTGAGCAGAATATTGAGCTTTTCTTCTGTCTCTACGCACACCATTGGACGAATTCCCTGCAGTGCAATTCGTCCGAGTCCCGGCTCCTGGGATTCTTTACAACCGTCCCATCCATCCTGAGAGCCCTACAGTGCCTGCGTCGATATGCCGACACGAGGAATATCTTCCCACACCTGCTCAATTTTGGAAAGTACATGTTTGGCATCCTCTACTACGCGACCTTGAGCATGTATCGTATTGACCGAGTATCCCGGTTCGAGGCCCCATTCATCACATTCGCCCTGCTAAACGCGGTATACGTCTCCGTTTGGGACCTCGCCATGGATTGGAGCCTGGGAAACCCGTACGCCAAGCACCCCCTTCTGCGCGAGGCGCTCGCATTCCGGAAGGTGTGGGTCTACTATGCGGCCATGGCCCTTGATGTGGTCGTCCGGTTCAACTGGATATTCTACGCCATATTTGCACACGACGTCCAGCATTCCGCGGTCCTCAGTTTTGTCGTATCGTTCTCCGAAGTCTGCCGCAGGGGCATCTGGACGATCTTCCGGGTGGAGAATGAGCACTGCTCCAACGTCCTCCTGTTCCGTGCGTCGCGCGACGTACCCCTTCCATATAAAATTCCGTCCGCGCACGCTCCGCCGAACTTCCTCTCCGGAGATATGCAGCTGGAGGAGCAACCCCCCGCGGTGGTCGTCTCTCCTGCCGATCCGGAGCAGGGCGCCCCGCCCACCCCCGGTGCGTCAATGCGCGCGCGCAACATCTCCCGCGTGGGCAGTTTGATCACCTACGCACACACGCAGGATTTCCAGCGGAGAAATCCGGCCGGCGCCGCGTCCCCTGCCGTTGCGGCTGGGGTTGAAGCGGCGGATACGCCTGACGATACGAGTGACGATGATGACGGCTCAATTGTATCGGGAGCATTCATAGACACTGACCGTGCGATCGCCGAAGAGCTCCCTTTTCGAAATGCGGAGGTGGGGTGATGGACGTTGGACGGCTACTTGATGATTTACCGTAGCAATATCTTCTCAGTACATAGTAGCAGTTACTAATCATTTAGACACTATCTAGATTTAGACATGACCATGACCATGACCCGGTGCAGAGAATTGATCAATGGGTTTAATTATAATGGATGAATCGTGGTAGCCACTGTAGGCATTGCTATACCGAAGAAGTGCTTCCGAAGTAGTCGGCCTCACAAGGTTGACAAAAGAGATGGAAATCTGCCTTAAGGCCAAGACAAGAACCACCACGTGACCTTATCCGACGTCACCTGCCCCAGGCGCCTCCCTCTCTTGCTTATCACCCCGTCTCACCACCGATCAACCCTTCATGCATCTCTTCCATCTCGAGAACCTCTCGGATTAACGACGATCAGCTTTAACACGTAGCAACATGGCTGCGAACACCAGATACGAGGCGGCTCCCCAGCGGGACTCCTTCGAGGACGACCACTACACTCAGCCGCCGCCGTCTTATCAGGCAACCGACGTTGGTCATGAGCCGGCCCCGCGCAGCGAGGATGATAATGTTCCGGATGATTTTAAGGTCGGTTTTCTATGGGGGTGTGCTGCTGTGATGTGTGTGCAGGGTGATAAGGCGACTTGACTGACTTGCGTCTAGTTTGGGGGAATGGTTGCGGAGGGCACGCTGCCCGTTCGGATGCAGTTCGTGCGGAAGGTTTATGCAATTCTGTATGTCTCCATCCCATCCTCCGCTAGGTCCGGTATAAATGCATCTACCGTTTCTCTACCGGGGTAGAAGAAAAGAGAAAAGAAAAGAACAAAAGAAAAAAAGAAAGAAACTAACTCCCCCAGAACAATGCAACTCCTCCTCACGACCTTCATGAGCTCCATCTCCTTCTTCAGCGACACCTATCGCTCCTGGATTCAGTCCAACTTCTGGCTCATGATCGTCTCCGTCTTCGGCGCCCTCGGCATGATGCTCGTCACCTACTGGAAGCGCAAAAGCTACCCGGCGAACCTGCTCTTCCTCTCCGGCTTCACCATCCTCGAAGCCTACTCCATCAGCGTGGCGGTCTCCTTCTACGACGCGCGCATCGTCGTGCAGGCGCTCGTCCTCACGCTCGGCATGTTCGTCGCGCTGACGCTCTTCGCGTGCCAGACGCGCTACGACTTCACCAACTGGATGCCTTATCTGTTTGGGGCGCTGTGGTTCGCGATCCTGTTCGGATTCGTGGCCATGTTTTTCCCCGCTAGCGGAACTGTGCAGCTGGTTTATAGTGGACTGATTGCGATCATCTTCTGTGGTTATATCCTTGTTGATACGCAGATGATCATGCGCCATTATCATGTTGAGGAGGAGATTGCTGCTTCGATCGCGCTTTACCTGGATATTCTCAATTTGTTCTTGGCTATTCTGAGGATTCTGAATAACCAGAGCAATAACTAGTTTGCCACCATCGCCAGCAGAACCAGTCTGGACTTTTACCCCCATCCATCCATCCATCCATCCATCCATCCATCCATCGTCCCCAGATTGCGATTGATTGATTGATTACTCCCTATCTTATTCTATGGGATCTGTATGAGTTTGTTTCTATCGATTTGCTCATTCCACTATCAAATTTACTGAAAAACTAATCCTCTCCTCTGTTCTGTTCACTGACCCTTTTCTTCACAAGCACTATCCATGTACCGTTTCTCAATTCCATTCCGTCTCACAGGACGAATCCACTCCGTACCTTGACTAGCTATCTAATCCTGCAAGTTCAATACTATATAACCTATAGCCAGCAGCAACCGACTATGAAACAATATAATACTTGAAAAGGTAGCGAGCACGCTAGACAGTAACCAATAATAATCTCAACCCTAGAACGGACGCATAATAATTCTTAAGTAATAAGTCAAGTAGGAATACTAATTTGAACGTAATGGATTGCTATAATATTGCTTGGCTTGATGATCTCAATAAAACAAAAACAGACCCTCTTCCCTCCCGTTTAAACGCCTTGTGTACGTAACGCAATGGTATAGTGGTATTGGACTTGAATATAACGTAACCTGAACCTGAATCTGCATAGCCCAATGCGTTTTGCTTGCTCTGAATGAATAAATAGACTGTAGATTGTTAAAACAGAGAGGATAAAAAAAAAAAAAAAAAGAAAAAAAAAAGGGAGAGGAGAAATAAAGGCCAAGGATCGAGTCGTCACCCCCGAGGCGCTAAGCTATGTATCTGCTACTTTCGATCTGGCTCTGATAATAGTTCGTGATAACACATTGTAGATGAAGGATACCGTCAAGGTCTAATTTTAAACCATCAATGTGACGCGATAAAGAGCGAGTTCGTAACCAGACACACGACCATGACAACTACCCCGTACACCACGAGCGCTAGACTCAGTTTCCGCAGTAAGCCCCGGCGCCAGTGGCGGGAGTTGCGGCCGAAGAAACCGCCGTCCGTGAGTGGGACCTGAGCGCTCTCGAAGTCGTCGTCGCTGAGGTCGTCGTCGGAGACCATGGTTTCTGCCGCTTCGTCGTCTTCTTTCATCAGACGCTGGTGGTGGAGGGAGTCGGGGGACGAGATCTTGTAGTAGAACAGTCCCGGGAGGATGAAACTGATGCTCGTGCTTCCTGTGCTACCAACGTAGGCAAGCACTGCTTCCAGCGATGAGACGGTCATGGCGACAATGTAGCTGAGGATAAGGATGGAGGTGGTGATCACTGAGAACCGGAGGTCGCTCATCGGCTCAACCGGTCGGTTGCTCTTGGCCCCCAGGAGCGGGTGTCGGTTGGTGGAGTTATCGTTGCTATTCGTAGACTTCGGTCGCCAGCGCGAGACGGCGTCGACCGAGGCTCGACAGGGGTGGCACTGCAGGGGATAGGAGAACATGACGAGAATGACAATGGCCGCACGTCCGATCGTGGCCCATACGCCTGGTGGATACATCCCCACGATGTTGCCGCCAACGTTGTTGCCAAACGTGAGATAACCGGTGATCGCGACCAGAATGTATGTCGCAGCAGAACTTCCGATACTGGTGAGAACCACGCCGGTTGTTCTGAAGTGGCTGTTGTTCTCGATTTCGTTCAAGATTGAAAACATCTGCTCAAACGTTAGAAAAATCAAACTGACAACCGAAGACCGGAGATCCTACATTCTGATGGCATGTAAACGCAAAAACAATGACCGGGAGACTGCTCAACATGGGAACCGGGCCAGCCCAGTGGATCACACGAATCGGGCCTCGACCGGCCACCATATCTCCCGCCACGAAGTTATAAACCACCAAAACCACCAGGTATGCCATCGAGACCAAAGCCGCAATGCTCGTGTACTTGAGGGAGTCCAATCGCCGAAGATACGAGAGGGGGATGACAACCAGCCTGCGACACTATCAGTATAAACCCGACGTCCAACATGCAGCCTCCAAGCACGTACATAAAAGCGGTTACCCAGAAATGCCGGTCCAGCAAGAAATCATATTCCGGTTCCCCTCCAATGAATCCTTGGACCACACCGGGCATCAGGTCTCCGATGATGATGAGGTAGCTGACGCCAACGCCGAAGCATTTGATGGCGATCGCAGCGTCGAAAATGACAGCGGCATTCGGGTACGTGATCTGTGAGAGGGCGAAGAACGAGGCGGTCCCTCGCTCCAGGTACCGCGCACACCGCGACTGGAGATATAGTCCGAACCCTGCTGTTGTCGCCGACCACAAGACCACCACAACGCCGAGGACGATTCCCATATGCGACATGGCAAGGGGCATGGCAAGAACACCGGCGCCAACGACTAGGACACGATTAGGGAATCATCTACCAACTTGACCATCACTCAAACACTTACTCGTGTTGACCAGATTAATCACACAGCTAAGAAAGCTGGCCTGGCCGTGAAACCCGGCATCACGTTTCCCTCGTACTCCATTTCTAGAGACCACGGTTGCTTCCGTCAGCCACCACTCGATCAGAAGAGGGGGTTTCTATCCACGACGCATAATTTACCTTCGTGAAGCATGTCGCGAGGCACTGACCGGACCAACGCCGACAGTTGTTTCGTCATCCAACATGATTTAAATGTGCGGAGTAAAAGACGCCGATAAGGGTGTTTGACCACGAAGGCAGAAAAGTTGGGCTACCTTATCATCGAGAACGCGACGAAGGCATTCGGCATAATAGCCACACGAGCTACTCGGTGAGAGGAAGGGGGGTCGAATGGGGTGGGAAAGAGACGATCCCGAAGAAATATGGAAATAAAATAAAAAAGAGAGAGAGGAGAAGGGAAGAAGGGGAGAGGGGAGAGAGGAGATGATAAGAATGACCAGCAAACAAAGGCGGTCACGGGCTTAACTAAGAATCCTGTACTTCTGTCCGTTTCGAACGGTGCAAATCCACCGTTGTTTTCGTCCACTCAATTCATCTTCTGTCGCATCTCTTCAGTTTACTGGAATGTAACTGAACAACAAAATGTGAAAGGTCCAGGAATCATGCGAATTCCTGGGGAAGACAATAGACGCTGTGGCGAACCGTGTTCCGATGGAACCTCTGGAAATCTTAGATGCCAATAACGCAGTCGCAACTGCACCCAAAGGCCGGGAGAACCGGGGATTTCCTGGTTACTCCTGAGATCGACCCATTGGCGCATTCGGGCTGGATTGGTCATAACCTTTTCCATGCGTGTGCCGGGTTCCTTCCCGTCATGATCCACTGCGTCGCGTCGCGCTGGAGACTCCAAGAACGGTGGAGATGAGGCCAAGAGCTCCTTCCCCTTGATGCTGTTCTAAAGTGTCATCACTTTCACTACGACAGGAGATTCTAATATTGGGAGATATTTTTAAACCGGAAAATATACTGGAACCCCGCAGGAAACTTGAGCTTGCAATGCAGTGTTCAATCTATATTCCTCGAGATTTACAATATCACGCAAGACATGATCATCATGGTCGTAACCTCACAGTTTCGAATCCCCCCATCTTGGGTTAGACAGCAGTCCGAAAACCTCGTCATCCAGCTTTCCTTTGTCTGATGCAGTATTTCCTGCTCGGCCGTGGGGCCCCGGGTCATTGTACGCGGTGACCGGTCGCACCTTCTTTGAAACCTCTAGAGTGGTTCCTCCGCTGACGGGAAATTGTGGCCCTTGGCCCTTGGTGTCGCCAATGATCTCGCTGACCTGGTCTTGTTGGATTAAGGCCAGCATGACCTCGGCGACCTCCTCGGAAGTTACCCACTCATCGGCGGCCGGGTCCACCATCTTAAGCTTTTCGGGATGGTCCGTCCACAGAGGAGTCTTGATCACACCTGGTGCCACCGCAGTCACGCGGATCCCAACTGCCGTGTCCAGCTGGGCGAGCGACCGGACCAGGCCACTGATGGCGTGTTTGGTAGCTACGTAGATCGGAGTGCCCAAGGCAGGGCTCTGACCAGCGATACTGGAGATGTGGAGAATGTGCCTGGGTCGCTGGCTAGCGCGATGGCGAAGAAAGTGGGCGATAGCGAGCTGGGTCACACGGATTGGGTGCGTCAAGTTGATATCCACCAAAGCATATCGGCCCCCGTCGGGCGGATCGCGGCTGTCCGCTGTGCCAGGGGGACGCCAGAAGTTGCTCCAGTGCTGTCACGGCGTCAGATTGTGTCAACAGCAGGGAACAGACGTTCATTTGACCACGAGGCAGTGGAAAAAGACATACCGGTTCATAGACCCCAGCCCCGGGGCATACAATGTCAATTTCCCCAAACTCTTTCTCCGCCACTTCAAACGATCTCTCCAGCTGCTTCCAATCGGTGACATCGGTTTTTTGGAAGACCGCCCGAGGGCTCTTGTTATAAGTATCAACAACCGCCTGCGCCTCAGGCCGAAGTGCCAGGTCAGCGATCAGGACGTTGCACCCTTTTTCCAAGAGGAGTTTGGCGAAGCTCAGGTTGATACCTACGTAACTTAGTGATGGTTCGCATGGATGTTCTAGTCGGTATATACGCACCAGAGCCTGCCCCAGTCACGATAGCAGTTCGTCCCTGGACGGAAAAGGACATGCTGGCTGAGAGCTTCGGTTTGGTAGAGGTCTAGAGGAAAGTTGTGTTCTCAATCTTTGACAGATCCACGGGTTTATATCCCCTCACGAGGAGCTTCGAGCCCCTCATTCTCCATTGATGTGCCAACTGGGGCTGCACACCCAATCAATATTGAGGGAGTCCGTGGGGGTCACTGGAGCGGGGTTGGAGGTTACGACGATGTGGAAACGTATATCCTTCGATTTGTAGAGTAGTACAGTCCAGCCAATTCTATGTTCTTGCTCCTGATAACGTTTTTAATGGCTTTTACACGTGTCGTAAAACATTGATGGTATCGCAGCATTGACGATGATTCATTGGGGTAATCCCGGTCGAGTAAACCACGAACCAGAGAAGCGCGTACGGTGCCAATCGAACCAAAGTTTGATCTGTGGAACCCCCACACCAAGACAGCTTGCCCACTAGGAGACACGATTGGTCTCGTAGCTGGCAGCATTGTTGACAATCTGACGAAAATGATGCGGTCCACGATCTGGTGTCACCATTGCCAACAATTCTGTTCGTCGCCAAGACAGCCATCGATCGGCGGACGTGCGATCTATGGGCGTCCAGGCCGATTCACTTTCAATTCATTGGTTGTATGCAGATGAGATGCACCTCCTGTACCTCCAGATCCCAGAGATTCCTTCCTCTGGTGTATTTTCGTATCACTGCATTGGCAGTGAGGACCAGTCAGAGCCATCGTCATCGCCAGGATTCTCATCTTGTTGTTGTCTAATGCAACCAACGACATGTGTCACACACGGCTTGAAGGGGAACAGCTGTTATTGGAGCCATGCAGAAGACCTGCTTTAGCTTATGGTACCTTTATCTTCTCATACTAGGCATTAGTCACAGCTACAAGAAGGATAGTGTCACATCAGGTCCTGGCTTTTGTAATCGACATGGGCCATTATGGTCGTGACAGGTGGCAGTTGGCACCACAAACACCCAAAGTCGAACTTGAGGATAGATTCTCAATAAACAGGCTGCTGGATGAGTTGTAGCCAAGAGGAGACGAATATAGAACCTCAAGCTGAGGTGTTTGCATATAAGCTACTCCGTGTCAACCAATCCGGTGCATCATCGGTATCACCGCCTCCAGTAGTGCCAGTATACTGCCGCCCTCCAGCTCGACATCACAACAGTTGGATCTCTCTCCATTCTTCCCCATCCTTGCTTTCTCCGCCAATCCCCCCGCATCCTCAAATGACCAGTTTCCACCCGAGGTCATAATAATGCGGCTCCAGGCGACGCTTCTTTGGCTCGCCTCCTGCGTTCCCTTCACGGTCGCCATCTACCCGGATGAGGTCAACCATGTCGATTTCCACCACGCCCTCTTAGGTGTCCCCACCGCCGAGTCGACCTTCTTCCTTAGACCCCCGTCATCCTCAAACGCTTCCTTACTTTACACTCTGTCGGAAGACTCCCTCGTCGGTGCGATCAATCCCAGAGATGGATCGCCGCTCTGGAGGCAGAACGTTTCGCGATCGTCGCAACCCGATCATGGGCCCGGCCTCTTGCGGGCCTCGGATGGGGTCAGCTCCATTGTGAGCGCTGTGGGTGACTATGTGTCATCTTGGAGTGCTCTGGATGGTAAATTGGTCTGGGAAAACTGGTTCGTGGACGAGTCGCTGGTGGACTTGGAGTTGCTCCACCTGGCGGACCCTCATGCGGCCCCATCTAGCAAAGACACGGTTGCTCTGTTCGCGGGCAAGACCGGTGTTGTGAGACGAGTGGATGGCGAGTCCGGAGATGTTAAGTGGGAATACAGGGATGAGAGGTTGGTGTCTCAATTATTGAGTGGAGATAGGACCTAGGCTGACTGTCAACTGGTTGGATTTAGTGGTGAAACTCCCTTTCAAGTGTCGTCCTCTTCCACCGAGGTCTTCTACATTTCGCTCCAGTCGGGCCTTCTCAAGGGTACTAAAGTGAAAGTCACCTCGCTGGACCCCGTGACCGGCCGACAAACTCGCCAGGTGACCCTGAACTCGGAAAGCGACGTGTCCGGTCCCGAGTCCATCCTCTTCGTGGGCGCAAACACTGCTTCCCCGTTGATCGTCTGGGCAGACAAATCGCAGAAGACGCTCAAAGTCAATGTGATTGGGTCCAAGAAGGTCAGCTCAGTCAACATCGAAAACACCAGCGGCCAGGAGATCCGCTCCATCGTCGTTCACGCCCCCCACCAGCTCAACTCGCTACCGCATTTCCTGGTTCACTACCAAACCGAGTCGAGCTCTTGGGCCGATGTCTACCATGTTGATCTGAAGACCGAAGCTGTCAGCAAGGCTTACAGCCTACCCCGCGTGCAGGGATGGTCAGCTTTCGCAACTAGCAACAAGGACGCCAACGTTTTCTTTACCCGCATCACCGAAGCAGAACTTACCGTGGTTTCGTCCGCTTCTCACGGCATCCTTGGAAGGTGGCCCCTTCAAACCCCTCCGCAGGGGCGCTTTTTGCACGCTGTCGCCGAGGTCGTTGCCAAGGGCGAGTCTGTAGCTGTCCGATCGGCTGCTGTTCTGGAGTCTGGGGACTGGCAGCTAATCCGAAATGGACAGAACGAGTGGACCAGATACGAAGCTTTGGCTGGTGCTCAGGCTGCGAGCTGGGCCGAGGCAGACACGCAGGAGGAACTGGCCCATCAACTCCAGGTCGAAGGCCATGAAAGTATCTACGGTGCTTACCTGCACCGCGTCAAGCGACATGTGAAAGACCTCGAGCACCTACCAGAGTGGCTGAAGGAACTCCCCAAACGAATCCTCACCAGTATTCTGAGTGATGAGATTTCCAACCTTGATGGCTTTGGGGTCTCCAAGACTGTGGTCGTTGCTACGCGAAATGGACGGGTCTATGCCCTTGACACTGGCAACCACGGAGCCGTATCTTGGAGCGTGAAGGCCTCGCAAGGAGAGACGTGGAACGTGAAAGCGATCATCACCCAGCCAGGCTATGCTACTGTCTACCCTGACGATGGCAGCTCGGTGACTTTCAATGTCACTTCTGGTGGCATTGTCAAGCGTACCTCCGCTACGACCAAAATCCGCTCCGTTGCTGTTGTCAGCAATGATGACACTCCGTCCACGATTGGTATCAACGAAAAGGGCGCTCCCCTGGAACCATTGAGCGGACCTGGGTTCTTTGTCACTTCGAGTGACGATGGTCGCGTCCTCGGATGGGTCGCCTCGAACAACAAGGTGCCTGTCTGGGAGTTCGCCCCGGCCCCCGGGCAAAAGATCGTGCGCGCCGTTGCACGTCCCTCCCACGACCCGGTGGCGTCCATCGGCAAGGTCCTGGGTAATCGATCGGTCCTCTACAAGTACTTGAACCCCAACCTGGTTCTCGTGACTGCCGTCGGGGATAGTTCCGCCACCTTTTACCTCCTCGACGCCGTCTCCGGAAACCTTCTTTACACCACTACCCAAGAAGGCGTTGATACCACCCAGCCCATCGCCTCCACCATCTCTGAGAACTGGTTCGCCTACTCCTTCTTGGCCCACCCCGTCCACCCCTCCGATGCCATGGGCTACCAGCTCGTGATCTCCGAGCTCTACGAATCCCCGATCCCCAACGACCGCGGGTCCCTCGGCTCCGCAGCCAACTTCTCCAGCATCCACGACCTTCTTCCCCTTCCGCACGTCATCTCCCAGGCCTTCGTCATTCCCGAACCGATCTCCCACATGGGGGTTACCGAGACCCGCCAGGGAATCACAATCCGCCAACTTCTCTGCTACCTCCCCTCCACCAACTCCCTGGTCGGCATCCCTCGCCCGTTCCTGGATCCCCGCCGGCCTGTGGACCGCGACCCGACAGCAAATGAGGCTGAAGAGGGCCTGATGCGGTACAGCCCGTATCTCGAGTTTGACGGCAAGTGGTACCTTTCGCACGTGCGGGACGTCATCGGCATCAGCAACATCCTTTCCAGCCCGACGCTGCTTGAAAGCACGAGCCTGGTCTTCGCCTTTGGGTGGGACATCTTCGGCACGCGCGCGACGCCCAGCCAAGCATTCGACATTCTGGGCAAGGGATTCTCGAAGCTGCAGCTGTTGGCGACTGTTGTGGCATTGGGCGTGGGAGTGGTCTTTTTGGCACCAATGGTACGTTTTCACATTTCCTTCTATCATCCATATACCCTTAGTGTAGACGAATGCCAATTGCTAACTGATATGTCTCTCCAGGTCCGCCGGAAACAAGTCAATACGATCTGGAATTCTTAGACTTCCAAACGCAGACACGAGGAAGAAATTTATTGGAGTTGGGAGTGGAATACGCTTGAAAAGAAGTATAATATGATAGTTAGCCTCACGGTTGCCCTTTTTCTACCCATGTATTTATTGTATTGAATGAGATTTGATTATCTTTGTTCTTTCTTCTGTACTCAGTTGCAAAAGCCATGAAGTAGGCAGTTGACTGGTCTTATGGGCCAAAACAGATAAGGTATTTGTATTGTCGTTTTCTCCATGTCTTGGGTACTCCCAAACCACTTCCTTGAACCATACCATAAGCTCAGTGCATGATTCCATCCCCTCAATGCATTGCCAGGTAGGCTAAGTGTATTAGCTACGAAAGAACAAGACCAGCAGAGCCTTCCACATTATCCAGCAGACAGTTGTCCGCATTGAACATTTCCTTGGCCTTCCTGGTTTCAGCGAAATTCAGGGGGGATTTCTCGTGTTATCCAAAAGGGCACGCGGGAATATAATATAAATATAATCCTGACAAGGCGAGGGCAGCAATGTCGCTGCCGTTGTTCTGCTGGGCACAGCCAGGCTGACACAGCACACGCATATTTCGTCTTCCATCTAACCTGATATTGCCAGAGAATAAACACATCGTGTTTATTACCACCATGCGGTGGGTTACTCGTTTTCTCTTGTGTCGGTGACAATGGTTCCATTTCGTACACGATATCCAACAGGTCCTTCTCAGGGGAGATATGAGTAGGTTCGTTTTATTGCCGTTCTTCCTGCTGTTTGCCCTGCTGTATTCGCCGCTAGCTTTCCAGTGGGAAACGGACGTAATTGGAAGTGCACGAAGTACTCAAGGATCGACGCAGAATTGGGAGCATTATGTACCCCTGTTCCGGTCTATCGAGGCCAAGTATACCAATATGAGTGTCCGCGACATGTGTCTGTTCCGAAATTGGGTTCCTGGTGGATTGGAGTGCACTGGACCACCAAGGCATTAGCTGCGAGCGACACGCGTTGCGTATCGTATCACATACGGACTCGAACGTCGACTTGTAGTCGTTTAGCCTCTTGTGCAAGTGAAAGTCGACCATGAGGCTCCAGAGCGAGAAAACAAGACTACCGGGGTCTTTTAGAAGTAGTATTCCAGCCCCGCTTGTCTGTTGAACCAGGGAGTTAGTCAAGCTGAATAATATGTGAAGGTTCAATATGTCCCTTATCTCAATTCTGAGAGGTAGGATATCCTTCGGAGATTTAGGATGTCGCATACTATCAATAGAGAAGTCCATAGGATGGACTGAGAAAGCTTTATTCTTTGAGTGAATCACACGCAGCCACTTGCCTTTCTAGGCTCATGTAGTCCTCGCGCTCATTACGCTGATCGACCCTGCTTCCGTCGTGCCTTGTATATCGTCGATATATTGGTGTAAATTGGAGCGGGCTCCAAACTACGCAGGAGCAAAAATTGCTTTTGAGTAGTCTGAACGCAAGCAAATGCTGTGTGTTTTGTCGTTGATAAGCACCATGAGCAGAAGCGATATCAGTTATGTTTTGGGGTAGGTGTAGACATCTTCGATAACATCCTAACGACTCTTTTCCCACACAGGCGATAACGCAATAGAAGACGGAGTATCTAACTGTGCCATCAATGATATTATGACGTTTTGGGGTTCGTAAGTAGCCCTATCTTCATCACGACAGACAGAATGAATTCCGGCTCGGAGGACCACTTGTCGAGCTGTTGGAGCGAAACGGCATCAGAAGACAAGTATAGCACAATAATCGAACAGCAGGTCAGTTGGGTCCTGGGGGGAACTACGGGTTCCTGAACCACCTTCTTCGTGTCGACTTTCCAATCTGTGTCCTCGAGGCATTGTCCCAATCCATGGTCACAATTGACTAGCAATTATAAAACTCGCCGGCTTCCTGTTTTGCTCCAAGATTGATCATGTCTGCGGTAGAGCGGACCAGCTGGACTTGCGAACTCGTATATCCGATATAGACAAGCCACACTGGCTTATTGGTAACGGATGTTGTCTTAAGCATCTTTTCTTTTTGGAAAATGAAGGCCAAGCGTGGCACTGCCGTAATAGTCCAAAAGACCACTCGTATTTCGGTCTTTTCTCCAAAGGAATGGACGCCAAGGGGGTCAGGCTTGCCAGATATTTGGAAGCTCATCTTTCGGAGCCTTCTCTTTCGGCTTCATCTTTATATTCAACGGTGTCGAACACAGCAGTAACACAGTACATGCGCTGTCTGGCCTTTTGATCTTTATGTGATCGGCTTGAATAGCTAGACTTTGATATATCAATAAGAGATCTAGCTGAGCCGGCGAAACCGTAAAGATATATATAAGAAGGATAGTAGATTTTGGTTTCGATCAACTGCTTTAGATTTCGAGGTCTGGCGATGATGATTTTTATATGGGGGATGGTACGTATGTTGGATAGTTGGCCACACCGTGGAGCAGAGGTAGGTTGGTGGATGAGGGAGGGGAGAAGACTTGGGTTATAAGCTGGAGATGAAAGTATGTTTATAATCATTTGTTGAAACTAGTGGATAGGTGATTGTAGTGACTGTTTGTTACTTTATGAGTTGGGTGATATCCTTTGTCTACTTTCTCACGTTTCATATTTTCATTGAACAATCACTACTGGCTATGATGTGGAGTGCTGGGCAATTAGATAGTCATATCTGCACCGGCTCTTCTGCAAGAGAAAACTACGTATACAATCCTGCCAGGGACTTCCTAGTTAGGTGTCTACGGAGAACTAAAAGATCACCAGAACTGCAGAAAAGCTTCACTAGTAACATGAATCTAAGTGGGACATTGAATGCAGCGTAGTCTCACAGACGATACTTAATAGTAAGGCAGACTCTGATCATGCAAGCTATATTGCACAACTAGCATACAAACACCAAAACAGAGATAAACGAGGGACAGGAAGATAACTCAAGACCGTAGACCAATAACTACAAGAAATCCCCATGTCTAACACGGTGACTTCCTCTGCTAGTTTCCATCACTAGAGGTTTGACAGAAAGGTCTTGTCAATATGCAGGCTACCATGCATCTGACAAAGTGGTCAGATGATTCTCAATCTGCAAGACAAAAGCGTTCAAGATGCGAAAGCTGCAAACTCACATATTTAATAGGTTCCAGCTGAGGCTGCAGCTTCGAGTTGTTCTCGAATTCCGCCTTCGAGTTGGTCTTCGTACTTCTCGTCGTTGTCGGTTCCATTGATATCAACATCAACATCAACATCGAAATTGTGGTCATAGTCATATTGAGGGCCGACATTGATATCACCATGGATGTCGTGGTCATCAGCTTTGGCTGCAGCTTCAGCCAAATCCGCGGCCTCTTCCTCGGTGTCAGGGGTGCCATCAAGCTCCTGTCTCTTCACCATTGAAAAACCTTCATATCCAGCTTTGGGGGCCGCTTCAGCATTATGATCTCCATTGGCACCAGCATCAACATTGTCGCCATTGCCATAGTTGTATTCAGGGGCGACATTGGTATCTTGATCGTAGTTATATTCAGGCTTGATGTCAGCAACATCAATATCCTGGTCGTATTCATAGTCAGGGGTGACATTGGTATCGTCATCGGCTTTGGGGGCCGCTTCAGCATAATGATCTCCATCGGCACCAGCATCAACATTGTGGCCATGGCCATAGTTGTATTCAGGGGCGACATTGGTATCGTGGTCGTAGTTATATTCAGGGGTGACATTGGTAAAGTCAATACCCTGGTCATAACCATAGTCAGGGGTGACCTTTGTATCGTCGTCATCGGCTTTGGCTGCAGCTTCAGCCGCCTCCGCAGCTTCTTCCTCGGTGTTAGGGGTGTCGGGGGTGTCATCGAGCTCCTGTCTCTTCAGAGAAAAACCTTCATATCCAGCTTTGGGGGCCGCTTCATCATAATGATCTCCATCGGCACCAGCATTGTCGTTATTGCCATGGCCATAGTTGTATTCAGGGACGACATCATCATCCTGGTTGTAGTCATATTCAGGCTTGATGTCAGCAACATCAATATCCTGGTCGTAGTCATACCCAGGGGTGACATTGGCATCGTCGTCATCGGGTTTGGCGGCCGCTTCATCGTAATGATCTCCATCGGCACCAGTATCAACATTGTGGCCATGGTCATAGTTGTATCCAGGGACGACATCAATATCCTGGTCATAGTCATACTCAGGGGTGACATTGGCATCGTCGCCATCGGGTTTGGCTGCAGCTTCAGCCGCCTCCGCAGCCTCTTCCTCAGATCCCGGCTCTTCAACCTTCTCTCCAGCCTCCCCTTCAGGCTCGACATCAGCGCCGATGTTGAAATCAGCGTCAGCGTAAGGGGGGGTATAGTCGTCCGGCCACTGTCTCTTGCTCAGCATTTGACGGCCGTTAGCCAAGTGAGTACCCGTCGAATCGGCGGGCATGCTGCGCTTGGCGTCAACTGCATTTCTGGCAGCCCTGTTAGGCTCATGGTTGACGGGGTGACTGGAGGCGATGCCCGCGGCCAACGAAAGGGCCAGCAAGATATGGGACTTCATGTTGGGCTAGGTGGAGAATTGAAACGATGAGAATAGAAGACAGGAGCGGAGCCTTGGGCGGAAAGGCGTCTGAGGGGAAGGAAACGATTGGCGCGGGCCTGAGAAAGATCTGGTTGGGAGATTTTCAGATCTATGGGGACTGGTATATACATTTATATAGTTCAATCACACTCAATGAAAATGGAGGGAAATGAAGGAGTCGGTGTTCCCGTCCTTTGTCCTTGATCTGTGCCACCGGGGTCCATCAAGCATGTAGACGCAATCAAGTATGTGAGGTGATTGCATTCTATACAGGTAAGGAGGGCACGAATTCCTACTGTTTTCAGCTCTGGCTATATGTGTGAACCACACAGGTAGTTGATCAGTATCTATTCTTCAGACATTAAAGGAATGATCTGCCGTGAGGAACCCTTCTCTAAAGTTCGATGGGGCTATTTTCCTTGATAGAGAGTTCTTTCACCAACATATTTCGAACAATGTCGGTATCCCGAGTTTAGGGATTGGATGCCACAGGGATGGGGAATATCATTTAGCATGGTTACCATGGTCAAGACCTAAAAGGGGCAACACAAAGTAAGACAAAAATGAAAAGAAAGGAAATCGAGGTACCTAGCTTTGATAGAGACAAGCTTTAAGTCGGCACCGGTCAGCAACGAGAAAGGAATTCTGTCTCATCTCCCAGAATGCTTCGTCAAGCCTTGTGTGACTATTTACTGGCCTGGAAGGTTATGTTTCGGTGAAGAATGCGCTCGCACCAGTTTGCTGGGAATTCCACATTCCAACCCCTTCACGTCCACTACTAGCTTGGCTCCGTTCAAGGAAGGTTCTGGCCGACCAGCATGACAGCATCCCAAAACACAGTATCGAGTATGCTAACCGTCGATATCGACATTTCCCAACCCCGTTTTGGTGGAGGAATGGCCGGAGTCACGTCCTGTTGGAACTGGGAACGGGGATCCTAGCGGAGTAGTCAGGGTTTCAAACCTAGGTACACAGGTATTGATAGTCAGTTCCTTATGTTTTTGGAATAAGGGTGATGGACAAGATCAACTTCGACGAACGACCAAATTTCCCATCCCACAAACAAACACCATAGTAAACCATAACATAGAGAAGACCCTTTATTCAGGATCGGTAGAAGAGTAGGAACAAGCAGTGAATTTCCCGCAGTATAGAACTCTAACAGCCAGATCATATCAGGATAACCATGAAATTGACATTTCCAAGCGATGTGATGACAAGTTGAAAGATGACAACAGCAGGATACACTGGTCAGCTGACCGATCGAAAGGAGTATACCTCAGGCTTCCACAGTTATCAAGTCAGTGCAGTAGATATCCATGTAGCAGGTACCTACTTTGAAATTAAACGTTTATCCACTTTCAATTCTATCAAGAATCATTGTCAAAAGACGTTAGGTATCAGGACCTACCCACCACTCGCCAATTGATGTTTTTTTGTCGAATAGTCAAGATAACATGTCAACAAAAGGCAGGGAGTATCAAGCGATGGCCATAAGAGCATATACACACCGCAGGATTGCATGAACGACCAGACCAGAGATTGCGATACTTAGCATTAAAACGATCCACTTCAAATTAAAAGACCACGGTTCGCTCTAACATCCAGAATCAAATGTACGTTGAACAAATCCTAAAAAGCGATACCCGCCCACCTATATATGTATATATATCCACCCATAACCACCAAACCCCATCAAATAAAAATCCCAGAAAAACAGTAGAAAAAGATAGCACAAATATCTAGTAAGAACGAACCCAATATATTAAACAACCCACCCTCCCCACTAGTCTCATCGTACGCCGCATCGCAGCCGCGCGATCGACACCGACCGGCGCGCCTTAGTCACGCGAAGATCCGTGGATCCTGCCCCAATCGCATCGCATCCTGCGATCGAGAGATCGTCGGGGTTGGTTGTCTATCATGATGTCACAGGTTCTGATATCTGGGGTTTGAGGTCGGTTGGTTTTATTACGGGCTACTTTGTGTACCTGGGTGCCTGGATATCTGTGGGTGGTATTTTTGGGTTCGGGGATTCGTTAAGGGATGAGGTGTTCTTGTTTGGGTGGAGGGGGTTGAGGCTTTGAAGCATGGTTTATTCCCCAGCTGTTTGAACGTCTTTTGTTTACATGTCCCTTTCTGGATCGATAAGCGATGAAGATTATTGTATTTATTCTATCGAGTACCCTATCGATTCATCCAGTCCGATCCAATCCGCAATATATGTCTGTATATATCGAGATATACCGGTGCATCGCACCTTAGTCCGAGGCAGCGGATCCATGGCGTATGCCGAATGGCCCGGTGCGAGTCGGTCAATTATTGTTGTGCTCGTGGTCGCAGGCATTGTTCCTCACCGGAGGAGGCAGAGATTGGCCTGTCGGGATCAGTCCCTGGTCCGGATGATTTGGACTGATCGGTTGGGATGTCGTTCCTAGTCGTGACCACGGCGGACTGGCGTCGTGCGGATGTGTGGTGTCTAATTGGCGGTTGTTTGCCACAACTCTTGCTGCGATGCATGCCATTTCCCATATTACTGGGGCGAAAATAAATTCAAAGCGGTTGGCGCACACCACTACGCCGCATCGTGACTCGATGTCGAGCCGGAGTCCGGCGCCTGCACACAGACCAACTCGAGGTCGATCTCGTCTTTGTTCTTCAAGGCCAGGCTATTATAGGACGGCCCGCGACTGAAGATCGCCACGGCCACCTGCTCCGCCTGCTGATGGTCGCTCATGTTGTCAATATACCAGGTTTTCCAAGGATTGCTCGAGGAACCGGAGGGTTGCAACTTGGCCGATTTGTCGACGTCAATTTCCTGGGCGAATTCTAAATAATGTCAGAGAAGGTCAACAAACGAGAGTGAGACCACACGTACCAAAGACCGGGAAATCCTGGACGTCGAAAAACTGAGGTGGACAACTGCGCAGATACGGCGGATCGAGTCGCAGCTGACTGATCACCGTGTTCAACGGATCATCGTAGTACTCCCCCTTGACCGACAGTTGGTAGATCGCTTCCTGGATCTCCTCTTTCAAGTTGGTCGAGCATTGCGACCCCCACACTCCATCGCAGCCGTTGTTACTGCCGGATGGCGTGCCCGTCAGATTGCCCACGCGCATGGCGACCTCTAGTGTCCGATTGGAGTCGATGATGGAATTGTTGATGTGGTGGACCTGGTAGTTGAGCCAGTACGACACCTTGGTCATGGGTTCATGACCCTTCCCGCGCGAGTTGGCATCGTAGCCATAGTAGAAGGTGAGCTGATCCAGGAAGAGAGGACGGAAGGAGAAGGAAGCGGCGGTCTGCGCTAGAGCATCAAGACATCCACCATCCCAGAAGGAGCAGATCTGACTCGCTGACGACGGTACCGCCGCCATGGTCAGCATCAGCACGACTGCTGAGACCATCCCAGAGATACGGGCCATTGCGGGCCTGCAAGAGTGGACGTGGTGTCCAAGAGTGACCGGGCAGATTTAGATGCGCGAGACTGGGAGAGCAGCGGCCAGGTTGACTGGCATGCTCGTAGGCGGGTGGTTGTTGGAGTGTCGTTGGTTGGTCGGGATCAACGACGGAAGGGATAGAGACAGAAGATCGGATCCGGTACGCTTCACGGGCGTCGAAGGGGTGATGGCTATAAGTGCATAGGCGCAGCGCGACGGTTGATTTTGCACCGGTCGGAAGGGCGAGGGGACCAGCCTAAGCCGCTTCGGCGGTTCGTCCGTCCCAGAGGGCGTTTAGACCACGATTTGTCTCTTGGAATGATCCGTCGCGTATCCGTGATCGAAATATGCCGTCGGTGTTACTTTTCCTTCTCTGCTTCTTTGTCTTTCTTCCTTTCCTGTCCCGTTTCTTTCCTGTTCCTTTAATCTTATTTGTTCTTCCTGGAGTGACTCTTGTCCTGCACCAGTCCGTCGAGTTGTGAGAAACCCTGTCTGTCACAAGAGATAGGAGCGATGATGGGTGGGAAGGAAGAGGGTGACTGGTGGGAGAACGAATCCGGCTCGGATAGATAGCTCCGACAGGTTTGAAAACAGCGGGTGATTGCTCGAGTGGGTTGGAAAGTCGTCACACTGGAGAGAAAGAGGGGTTCAAACCACGACAGGGATGGAAGAACGAGTAATCCGAAGGGAGTCCGTGGGTCACCCAAGAGAGAGAAACAAAGAAATGGTAACAAAAAAAAAAAAATGAAAGCAAGAGAAGGAAAGGGAAGAGAAGACCTGGAGGGAAAGAGAGGAAGGGTAAGAATGGAGGAATGAAAGGAAGAATGATCCGGGAGGTATGGGAAGAGATGATCCGATCGATAGAAGGTTGGGAAGATGAATTACGGTGGACTCATTCCTCTGGTTGGTTCAGCAGGAAAATGGAGTTTGTTTCTAGCAGTTGATCTGGGTTGATGAAACAGGGAGTTGGGCTCAGCAGACTCCTCTGTATTCAGTACTCAGTACTCACTGGACATTCTTAAGACATTCTTGGCCTGGCCGCTAACAGCCAAGTCCCCGCATACCTAACGCCGAAAATGGCAGTTCCGGCGGTTGATCAAGCCAGGAGTCCAGCAATTCCAACCACTCTTGTCCCTCGATTTCTTCCCCCCTGGGTTTTCACTGGTTCACAATTCATTCTTCTAGATGGTTGATTACATAGCCGGTATTCCTTCTTCCAATTATACCGGATATGGTTCGATGGGTGGTTTCTCTGGTTTGGATACGACAGATCCAGAGGACGCCCCTATTGAACGGAGATTGTTGATATGTCACTTTACTTTCGAGGGAGTGTACATACAGACAATATACTCCTAATCCCCAGTACTCCCTTCTCATGGGATGAACGGTATCGTGGAAACTAGAGAGTCAGTCAGGAATGATTAATTACTGAAACTATGTCTTGATGAACTGCTAGTATCAGCCACTAGCCCATGACCAACGGGGAGAAACTCCACTCCCAGGGTCTTTCTTGATTGACCCTAGCCAACTTCAATTGTCACACTCCTGCACCGGTCGGTCCTATAGGCTAGTGTTCCAGGTTGATATCTATCAGTCTCTCCCCCCCTCCCCGTCGGAAACTCCATCGTCCACTATGATCACTGTTCTATTGCCGCCGTGGACCGTTGGATCGTAAATAATCGACGGGTGATATGGTTCTTTCTCTCCAACACTATTGTTGCTTATTTGGTTGATCCCCCCCCCACCACTCCCCAAGGCTGATCGAATACATGTCAGACTGGTCGCCTTCTCTTGGCAGAACGACCGCACCAGCAGGGGGCCACGGCAATGAGGAGAATATCTTGGAACGTCAGATGACCAATCCCCAGACAAGAAACGCTTGCGGTTTCCCAGTCTCACAATCTTGGCTGTGTTTGTCCCTTTCTTCTTTGGGTCAGAGATCCGACGCTTCTTGGTTCCTCGGTCGTGACGACCATGGTAAGCCCCATCTGGGTCCATCGGGTATCCAACGGCGCACTCGCGACCGGTCCTTCATCCGAGGCCCAGTTGACCCAGTGTTGGACTAGTGCCAGGATGAACGAGCAGGATGAGATTTCTCGATGCATGGTTATCTCCGGACTACCACCACAACTGGCTAGCTGTCGGGTCAAGCCGTTCACTCATTGCTGCAGTACGGACTAGGTAGCTACGATAACTGGTATGTTTTTAATTACTGCCTTGATTTGGCCCCGTCCGTACTCCTGCGCCGCTTAACTCGGTAGGAACTGTGGCACCCGAAGAGAAGCAGTGATCGAATCCATCAGTCTATTTCAGGGAAAAGACTCCGAAAGTTTATGGTTCGTCCCGGATCAATCTTCTTGATTTTCGCGCTAGGGCGCCCAATCTGCCCTGTGCGGTGTGTCTGTCTGTATCGGCAATTCGGCATGCAGCCGCCCCAACCGTGTTTGATAGCGATGTCCACGCTACAGGATATAGAGGGTGATAGATAGGCGTTCTGATACACAAGGATGATAATGCATGCATGGACCGAACCATGAGGTCATCTGCGCGCTGGGAATACCCCTACGTCATTAGATCGGAGAGGATCTTTGGTTTTACGAATCGAAAAGGGAGGAGAAGAAAATGGAAGGATCAAAAATCTCTCCACTCGGTAGCGAGCTGGGGGGATCGCTAGTGGGCAGGATGCAAGAATGCTGACGGTCGGAATGTATGTCTGCCTAGTACCTACTCTAGCCGGGCACCACCAGGTGATCCAAGGGGCGATAATAACCGCCATTACCTTGATGATACTCGAGGTTATGATGACTATATTTGGGGGAAAAAATAAAAAATCAATAGACAAGAGGTGAGAAGAAAAATAAATATAGAAGGGAAAAACCAAGAAAAAAAAATAAAAATAAAAATAAAAAGTGGGCAGGTTAATATCCGAGGACCCCCGGTATCCAATGATACCCACCTTGGTATTCAGGTCAGGTACCGGTACGGCCACTATACCGTAGTCACCTACCATGAATGAGGGTAACATTGTGTTTAGTTCCTAACGATAGGCAGTTCCATTAGAATAGTGATAAATTAGCCATGTAAGCTAGAAATACTGAAACTAGAATTGCCTTGTCAAGTGAAGACTCCAGTCCTGAACTGCAACCGTCCTCATATATGAGGATTCGCCTTGCGTCATGGCAATCCACGCCTGATGATACGTTAGTCCCAGCACTTACATGGAGGCAAAAAATATATTTGGTTTCTTCTCAATAGTGGCTAGTACTAACTATAACTATAGTAACGAGCTGACCATTTTTAATATTCTGTTACATATTGATATCTCCATATCTTACTTGTCACTCTTCCTCAATAAGCATCTGTTGCACCAGATGACAGATTGACGATCAGTCTGATCTGCCCCGATCAGACCGATCAACCTGTGGATCTTCCATCACAACTTGAACTCCGTCAATCTTCGTAGTCAGAGAGTAATTGCCACAATCCCAACACATGGTCCCGACGGCTCTATATTCCAACAATGAACGACATTAGTTCAGCTTGCTGTCAAGGATCGTTGGGCCGGAAACAGCTCACTACCATTCGTTCCATCGTGTGCGTGGTATCCATCCCTGTCGGTAAGGGCGTGTGCCACCCATCAACCTGTGACAACCAGTCACTCAGCTCGACTGTTCAGCCTTCTGTTGTGGTAAGGTAATAGCCGCCGTCTGTTTGGCTCGGGATAGGCTAGGCTGTATGCTGGCTGGACTTGCCCCTCCTGATCTCTAAACGAACTACTGGTGTCTTTTGGCCTATGAGGGTGGGTTCTTTGGGGGAATGGCCGCGTCATTGGATTTTGAGGGAGGGGGTCGGTAGGTGTGGTTCTTGTTTTGGTTAGGTGTGCTATGTTGGAGGTGGCTTGTTTGGTTTTCAAGATGGGTATGATTTTGGATGTTAGCAATGGAAACTATTACTAACTACCTTGTGAGGTGAGGAGAGACGCAAAACGGGGTGACTCCGAGGTCAACATCGGGATGCATATAGTGGAAATCTAGCATCATTATACGATGAGATGATATACAATGAATGATCCATGTAAAGGAAAGCCCTAATTCTACAACCATCCTCAATGATTTACTGAGAAGATATATCCCAATTCTATTTCGCATAACCGGGGAGTTTATATGGGGGAATTGTATTGTTTTGACTCTCTATATTTCTTGCAACCTTTTGCAACTATTCGCAATTCTTTATAATACCGATATCATCTTATTTGGATTGTTTTCATCAGTCCTCCCATGGTTATGATCATGAGCCCAGAGAAACATTTCTTTTGAAGCTATTCTTGCACTATCATTGACTTGACTCATTTTTTCACCAAGTCGGCTCTTCTAAAGGCGTCTAACTTCCGCCCGATCATCAAAGCTATGTCTGTCCAAACCGCCAAATCCTTTGAAGCAGCTTGCATGCGCTTATCATGTCCTAAATGGCTGTACAAAGAGAATTATATCTCTAAGATGGAGAGTCTTACCTAGAAGACAAAGTGCTTTTGCCCGTAGGACGCGGGAAGGACTATCATTTCTTCGCTTTAATACCCTCGCTGACTGGTGAGTTGTAGGTAGTACGTCCCTATAGGCTAGTGAGCTACTGGTGGTGGCTTCAAATACCACTTATATGAGATTTTCACAGGTTTAATCTCTCGAATAGCTTCATGTTTGGCTGATTGAGGGGACGTGTGGAGTTGCAACTGGTCAGCATGTCAGCTAGCTTGTCGAACTTTCCCATACTATCTATGTTCAACGTTTCTTTTGATCTTGTAAGTGTTTGCAAACTTCATATCTTCAAGGTTGTTGATTTTATCAACCCTTTGACTGTTTTCATCAGTTTTTGCACATATTCCAGCTTGATAAATAACATGAGGCACTCGAAAAAGCACACATAGGAGCAAGCAACTAATTTGCTTTCATCATCATTGAGTATTCTTTTCTATTGTAGATGAGGAGGTCTCGCTCCCTCGTTTAATAGCTTCTTCCAACCTAGAGAATCTCTACCTCATTCCCTGACTTGTGAAGATTGAACTACACTCTAACCTCTAGTAAGCTTCTGACACCTATTGAATGGGTCAATGTCTCTGATCAACTATTCTAAGCCACAGTCCCTATTCTCACATAAACAAAAAGCAACATGAGACTCCTCCCCCCTATTACCTCACTTATCAGTGTGTCTGCTACTGCAAATTACGCCCCTGGCAAAGACTGCCACACAACAATGAATGTGATACGAATTGCCTAGAAGGCCAATTTTCCGTTGTGATAGAGTCAGGCGATGCGCGGATGGTTTGCAATCCTGCCACTTCTTGATTCGCCTCGCTATACCCATGTCTTATGTATCGATAAGGAATCGCAGAGACAGTCACTCAAAAGGAAAAGGCTGCTTGCCATCATGTGAATGGAGAATTCCATGACAACAGTTCTTTTTTGACAACTGTAGTATCAGAGGAAAACAAGTGCAGCGACCGTTATATGATCGCGTGCGAACAAGGAGACGGGGGTACAATCCACACAATGGGTGTGCATTTGTATATCCCACCAAAGAGCAGGTCGTGAGGTTCAGCAATAGCAATTGTGATGTCTCGGTCATTTCCTAGCTTTAGCCAGTCAGCTTAGGGCTTAAGGCAGCGTTGGGAGTGTTATCCTGCTACTATTAAATACTAAAGCTTCTTCTGATATTTAGGGGTTTCTTTTTTCTTCTCTCTCTCTCTCTCTCTCGTGTCCCTTTCCTAGTTTCTTTGCTTGCTATGCTTGTGGATCTATTCTATGGATAACTCGAGACAAAGTTGTCAAATTAAGGAAAAGATGCTGGGATATACCTGTTTCGTAGACTTAAGAAATCAGAGGATATAGAGTCTGGCAGATTCGATTCAATATTTGGTTATTTGAGTGTGGAGACTCCAATCGATTCAGGTGTACATATCTAAGCAGGTTCCGCACGACCGAAAGGAGGACAAGCCACAAGATATGTACGCATGTATACTCCAAAAAGGAGCCACAAGAAAGACTGTCAAGGATAGTAGTACTTACACCGCGGTGTATAGCAAAGAGGGGTTAGAGAGGATATAGTTCTGAGCAACTTATACCCCAACCGGCACTACACGAACCAGAGCGTATCATGCTTCAGTGAGTTACTTTACACTCATTCGTGGTGCCACCAAAGTTGACAACATCCGAGTCCATGCTCCAAAGTCTCCATAGTCCAACTGGCCCTTAAATCCTTCAGTTCGAGTAAAGGTCTCTCATAGGGTTATTGTCTTGACATGTATCGTATGATGCTATTAGTGTTTAGACATCTTGATACTGTCAAACTGGCGAACATATCCTGTTTATGCGACTACCCCTCGTTTGAATGGTGAAAATCCAATAGTGCTACACCGTATACTGCCAATTACCTGGCATATAACCTATCTCATAACAAAACACTATAAAGGGGTTGATCGCTTGATTGGCGCATGGAAAAGTAAAGAACCATAGCGATGGGTGCCTGAGGATTACATCCGATTACTCATCCTGTGTTGTTCGCCTCTGTAGACGTGTCATTAGGCCAATTTTCTCCTAGATCATTAGATGGAAAGAAAAAACCGTCTAACTAAGATTGAAGAACAATTCTGTTTTGTATCCGTATAGTTCATTAAAGGTAAGTTCTCAACTGTTCCTCCCTCTTTTTTTTTGTCATCGTCATCGTGCTCCGGAGAGTGTGGGGAAACACCTCAGGACTCGGAGCTGCTGTGGCGGGTGTGATTGGCCCGAGACCGGACTGGGAGAGCTCGGAACATGGATGAACAAAGCAACGCATAACTTTTCAAGCCGCATCCTCACTCCTCGCAATCCTCTATTTCTAGGAAAAGCTGTGCCTTTCTGCCGACAAGTTCGCGCCGCGCACCCACGACCGGTAAGTCTTTCCTCCACTCTTTGGATCTGATAATTTCCAAGAATTCCCTTTCATCCCCATCTGTTCAATTTTTCTTTTCCGCCTCTGCCGTCGCTGACCGGTCGCGTAGATTTAATAGGAGAAACCGAAGGATACGGGTTCCTTTCGCTGGGTCATCATGTCAAGCCAATCACCGTTACCTCAACCACCTCAGAACGTGGTCATTGACACTGCCTCTCTTCCGCCGGCCTCCTCTTCGTCGGTGTGGGACCGTGTTTCGAAATGGGTGTCCGAGAATAAGGCCCTGGTCTACACCGTCGCCGGTGTTGCCGTCGTCGTAACCAGTGCCGGTGTCGTATACTACCTGTCCGACTCCAAGACGAGCCAGACCCCCCCGTCCGGGGAGAAGAAGAAGAGCAAGAACCAGAGGCGGAAAGAGAAGAAGAAGGCGGAGGATCAGAAGGCCAAGGCCGCCTCGTCCCAGAACGGTAGGTTATCATCGCTCCATAACATTTGGCGTCTTCCGCCGATCAAATAAAGAAAGAAAGGAAGAAAAAGAAAAGAAAAAAGAAAAAAAAAAGAACATACCCGGCTGACAGTCCTTTCAGAGTCAGCCAAGAAGGCGGAAGAGCCTTCGGAGGAGCTTCCCGAAGTTGATGAGGAAACCGTTGGCCAGTTGTCGGAGGAGGTGCGTTGTACCCTGCTGTGATCTTCTTGTCGCGTCATTGGTGGATACTGATCTATTTGTTTTTCGACTGCAGACCCGAAATGCCTACGCCAACAAGCTCAAGGCTGCCGGAAACAAGGCCTACGGCTCCAAGGACTACAACAACGCGATCGAGCTGTACGGAAAGGCCATCATCTGCAAGCCGGACCCCGTGTTCTACTCCAACCGCGCCGCCTGCTACAATGTCCTGTCCGAGTGGGACAAGGTTGTCGAAGACACCTCCGCGGCCATTGCCATGGACAGCGAGTATGTCAAGGCCTTGAACAGGAGAGCCATCGCCTACGAGCACCAGGAGAAGTACAGCGAAGCTCTTCTCGATTTCACCGCCAGCTGCATCATCGATAGCTTCTCCAACGAAGTGAGCCGTGTCGCGCTGGAGAGACTTCTGAAGAAGGTGGCGGACAAGAAGGGTAAGGCCATCCTCGAGGCCAAGGGCCGGAAGCTTCCTAGCCCCACTTTCGTGTCCAACTACCTGCAGAGCTTCCGTCCCCAGTCGCTCCCCGAGGGTCTCGAGGAGACTGTCGACTTGAGCGAAGACTCTGGCAAGGGCCAGCTGCGTAAGGGTCTGGTGGCTATGGCCAAGAAGACGGGCGACGGATACGAGACCGCCGCCTCCTCTTTCGAGAAGGCGTTGGAAATTGGTGACCTGGGCGAATTTGAGGCCTTGGCTCTGAACATGAGAGCCACCTTCACTTACCTGTCCGGCAACGCCGTGGCTGCCCTGACCGACCTGAACAAGAGCATTGAACTGCAGCCTGCCTTGGTACAGAGCTACATCAAGCGCGCTAGCTTGCACCTGGAGCTTGGTAGGTTTATACTCCCTCCTACTTATATAGTGGATTGATTGTTCTAACGTACCCAAAGGAAACAAGGATGCTGCTGGCGATGATTTCGAGCTCGCCATCGCTCAGAACAAGGATGACCCCGATATCTATTACCACCGTGCTCAGCTCCACTTCATTCTCGGTGAGTTCGCCGAGGCCGCCAAGGATTACCAGAAGTCGATCGACCTGGACCGTACCTTCATCTACTCTCACATCCAGCTGGGTGTGACGCAGTACAAGATGGGCTCTGTGGCCTCCGCCATGGCCACTTTCCGGAGATCGGTCAAGAACTTCGAGGACATTCCGGACGTGTACAACTACTACGGCGAGCTCCTCCTGGACCAGCAGAACTTCGCCGAGGCCATCGAGAAGTTCGACAAGGCCGTGGAGATGGAGAAGCAGAGCAAGCCGCTGGGCATCAACGTGCTTCCCCTCATCAACAAGGCTCTTGCCCTGTTCCAGTGGAAGCACGACTTCCAGGAGGCCGAGAACCTCTGCCAGAAGGCTCTGATCAGTAAGTTTTAACCTTAGCTGACACGATAGTTTCGGCCATGCCAACGCTAACTTCTCTCCCAGTCGATCCCGAATGCGACATCGCCGTCGGCACCCTGGCCCAGCTTCTCTTGCAGCAGGGCAAGGTTTCCGAGGCGCTCAAGTACTTCGAGCGTGCCGCCGAATTGGCCCGCACCGAGGCGGAGATCACCAACGCCATCTCTTACGCGGAGGCTACCCGCACCCAGTTGGAGGTGCAAGAGAAGTACCCCCGACTGGCGGCCCGCCTGCAACAGATGGGTGCCGGTCTGGGTGGTGCTCCTCCCATGTAAAATACCATGACCCCATATGCCACGCCCTTTCCACCTCAACCGGGTGTGAAGGGAGTATGATTGCCATATCGGGAAAATTCCTTCTCTTTTGTTACGCGATTTTCTTTTATTTCTCCCCCTTCTCCCTTCCTCGGCTCATGCCTTGATGAAGTTCCTAGGCAACGTGGTCACGCCTTACTCTTGTCCGTTATATTTCTTTCTGGTCTCTTCTCAACTTGTTCGGGGCGCCGGGGGCCGTTTCTGCATGTGTGTATTTACTAGGAAATTTTCCCCTTTTCTTTTTCATCTTTTACCGATATAGGATTGTCAATTCTCTCTCTCTCTTCTCTTTTTCTTTCCTTCTCCCCTTTTTCCTCGTTCATGGTGATTGCCAAACAAAGTGTGATCTTCTTTTCTGATCTGTTGTGTTTATCATCTTCTATCATTTCCATGGACGATGGCTCCGGACATCTGTTGGGGTCGAAAGAAAAATGGACAAGGTTCAATTGTGCGGTTGGCATGTGTGAGTGAGAAGGGACGGTGGGATTGGGTATCATGTACTGTATCATAGCCAATGGGGGAATAATGCGTGGACTGAATCTACGTATTTGGGCATGGGAATCTTCAATTTCATCTTATTGTTACGTGCAGAGTTTTCCTGTTTTTCTCGCTGTCGAGATAGGGGGGATAGAAACCAGAGGAAGGGTTGAAATAGATAGAGTGATTAGAATTGAGATATCTGTCTATCTTTATATTCTATCAGACGAAGTTCTGATCTCCTACAGTAATGAGAATACAAGTTACCTACAGTACTATACTAGGCATACATACAGTACAGTCATCCGTTGTCCACCTGACGGGTAACCCCACTCTTCCGCCTATCGGGACCATCGGCGTCATCATCATCATCATTCTTTCATTCATCAAACTCTCCCCTTCTCCATCAACCTTCTTCTTCTCTGTCATTCTCTTTCTCCTTTGCTCTCAACTTGTCCTCTTCTACAACCCACTCAATTATTGGTCAAATACCAAGTCTCCCCTGGATTCTTGTTCGGTGCCTGGAGATCTACTTATCTTGGATTCTTCTGTTGCCCCGCCTGGAACCACTCCTTCCCTCTGGATACTTAGCCTGGCTCCACTCTTATCGCTCTCTGGACCCTCCAGATACCCCCATACTACCGTCGCTACTTCCATCGACAACAGATCATACAGAAGCCTGATTGTGGGTTTCATCGTTGCAAGTGATCTGTCGCTTCGAAACCTAAGGATTTCCACACGCTGGGACGTCCACGCCTGCTACGTTCCACGTAACAAGGACGTGGTTGTCCAGTGTCCACCTCACTTGTCTGCCTGACGTCGCCCCGTTGACCTCAGGCTGATTCTATAGGGTATGCATCGCCCATCATCCCACCGCCCCCCCCCACCCCGTTCTTCTTTGTCTCTGGACTTCGTCTGGTTTCTGTCTGCTGTTACCGACTTCTATCGGTTCTGGCTGTGTTTGCTGTCTCCCCGATTTGTCCTGTTTCACATTCGAGAGGCTGTTCCACTGATGTGTACTTGTACGAGCTTCATGTTTTAGGTGGGTCACCGATCGATGACTCTTGTGTTTGGCACCCACTTATCCTTTTTATCCAGACAGCGTCCGATTTGTGTCTCGACTCTACAAAACACCGCAATCGATACCATGGAGTTACCGACAACCAAGGGTATGTCATGCCATTTTCAACCCATGCGTGACCTGGCAGAGTCCACTCGCTGATAGATGTGTCGGAGAGCAGCGGTGATGAAGTTGCATTCCTCTGGAATCAACGATACCTATCCTTGTCGTTATTTGACATTCACTGCCTTCTCCCCCGAATTTGTCGTGGGTCGGGCTTCTAATCGTCAGACAAAGAACCTGACCCCCGCACTCGACAATGCGTTCTACGAATCTCGAGTGATGTCCCGGAATCATGCGACCCTCTGGGCGGGCTTGGACGAGAAGGTACACTAGTCGGGCAGCTTGATAGATGCGGGATGATACTAATGACAATCTCCCCTGGCTTAGAAAATCTACATCCGTGATGGCGGCTCCATGCACGGGACATGGTTGAATGGTGAAAAGGTCCCCGGGGACAAGGACACTGCCATTCACGACGGCGACTTGGTGACCTTTGGGGCCCAGGTGATCCGTGGAACTGGTATGTCCCAACATGTAAGGCCCATAGTCTACAGCGTTATTTACAGGTGATCAACAGAGACATTCTCGCCGCTGAAGGTTCGGTGTGAATGCGAGTGGCCAGGACCTGGGTTAGTGTCCTGCAATTTGAGTAACCTCGAAGCCTCTGACATGATGAGCAGGGACTCGACCTTCCCAAGAAGACAGTCAGATAACACTTTTGTCGTCCCTGATGATGACGATGATAACGAATTCCAAATTACCCACCCGAATGGTTCAGCTTTCTCCCCGATAGATGCCAATTCCGAAGCTGGAGACTCGGAATCCTCGGGCTCCAGTGGCCTCTCGCCCCACGAGCTTGAATCGCTGGTTACGTCGCCGTGGAAGAACGATTCGTCGTCGATCGTGATTGGAGATAATGACGAGGCCACGAAAGGCGATGCACTCACTAATGGCCAATCCCTTCATATGGACGGTGCTGGCATCGGCAACTCGGAGCTTAGCCCTATTGACCTGGACGGCGACCGACCGCTTGCAACCCCCAGGATGACCCCACCGTCTGTAGTGGTCAAGGATGGGGAGCCAGTCCGCCTTTTGGCCCACCAACTCGGCGATTTTATGGATCAGGGGTCTGTCATGTTCGACTCCGATGCCGAAAGCTCGGAAAGCAAGTCCGATCTCGGCGAGGTCGAAGACTACTCGGACGACGACTCTATTTCGGAATCTTCCTCTGGATCGGAAGCCGAAGAGTCAAAGATGGACCACGAACCAGCAAAGGCGAGCAGCCCTCAGCCACGAGTGTGGTACCCACCGCTTGTTGGCAACCCATGGCTTTATGAAGGCAAAGCGCACGGTGTCAACTCTGCGTCCAACGACAACCATGGTCAGAAAATTCCAGACGTCAAGCTCAATCCCATAATCGGCGGGTTTGAACCGTCTAACACTACAGGGGCCCCGTCTGGATGCAAACTAGCACCGTTCCAACCCAGGCTCGGCCACTGCTTCACCAACTTTGCTGTCTCGTCGGCACCAGAGGACTGGTCACCTCAGGAGGACTCAAGGCAGCCGCTCGCCCACGGGGTCACTTCGTTGAGCCCTGTCAGGAACCTCCCGCTTTATCATGATGGTCCTTTTGTCAACGCCCACGTGCCCAACTTAGAGGACGTTGCTGGTTCGGATGCCAGAGAGAGTGCCCTCAATCGAATTGATGACGCGCCACATGCGGAAAACAATGTTGATGTGGCGGACGTGCGTGAGAAGAACAGCTCCGCCCGGGCAACAAACAACACCCGAGTGTCAATCTCCGATATCATTGAAGCATCATCTGTTGCCCACGACACCACTCAGAATCCGCCTCGGAAGAGAAAGGCTCTGGATATGGAAATCGATTCTCTGGTGTGCGATATGGCTACAGGCAAGCATCGCGCTTTCTCTGCCGGGCCTTCTCTATGTGCGGAACATCCGGTGACGTCGTCGACCAACGACGATTCCTATCTTCCCGACGCCCAGCCCCAAGAAGGAGTACCGCACTTGGAGACGCGCTCTGAAATCATCGACGGCTTGGCATCTTTGAACGGAACTCAAACAAGCAATAGCGTCAGCTCACCGATCTCAGCCCCTGTGTCTGGCCCTGATCGCGAACGGCCATCCAAACGACCGAGAACCTCGCCTCAAACTATCCGGAGCCATGCAGCCTCTGCCGCTGTTGGCGCCATTGTGGGTGCCGTGGGCATGGTTGCGGCTCTGGCCGCACTGCCCGCCGATTATTTTCAATGAGTCCATAGGTCGAAGCTGGTTGCGTCTTTTTGGGCCCGCAGCTTATTACCACCGACTTTTTCCAGGATGAAGATTTTTCTTGTTTTTCGAAGCTATTGCTTATTCTTGCAGTTTTTTTTTCTTTAATGTATTCGGTGGAGGTGTTATGATGCTTGGGTGGGAATATGTGCCGGCGCATGCATGCACTAGTTTCCTCTGGATGTATTTCTTTTATGAGGCAGGTAATGACAGTATGGATGAATGAAATGAATCAATGAAATGTAACTTCGGGTCCGACAGTATCCCGGCATCAGGAACCTAGGAAGACCCTGCTGCTACATGCAGGGATCAAGAGGGTAGACGACAGCTGGGAGCAGGGAACCATCCACGAATTATGTATCTTCGTCCGATTTCAATTTCCCCCATTGTCAGTATAATCCCAAATATCATGATGTATGAGCATGGACAGACAGTGATAGTGAGCCAGTCAGCAGATCGGACTACTACCCTTTTAAGATATCTCCCGCTGCGGTGCATCGCCTTCTGTGCAACCTCTTCCTCACACCGTTCTTCCTGCCCTGCCAATTTCTATGCCGCTGACACTTTTCATTCCTTTCTACGGGCAAGGTAGCATCGCATTACATACGTTCTTTGAGTTTCCGGCTATCCGATTCTTGAGAACTAACAACCTTCGCATAAATAAGGCTTACATACCCATCTATTCGATGATGACCTCATCCTCAGCTGAACTTATCAACAAGAATCTCAACTCAACCCAATTCAACCCAACTCAACTTACTAGGATTCGATCTTACCCAGACCAGACCAGTCGAGTTGACAACACCCACAGCCGGGACCACCAAGCCGAAGACACCACCCCCCCCCTCCCCAGTCTCAAGCCCAGCGCGTGATTTCCAACGGATACTTGCAGCAACCACCGGCCCACGGCCGCCAGTGACAATCGCGCGTAATCTCCACGCCGCGTCTAGTCCGCAAGCCACACTTGGAGCGGAGCTTATTGATTGGGGCTAGAGAACGCAAGCCGAGGGTTAAGTCCCGCGCTGGTTGTAACGGTCTTGGATTTATCTTCCCCTCTCCTCTTTCCTGAGATTACGGCTGTAACATACCTTTCTCTCTTTCGCTCGGCTCGGCTTTTACGCTGCCTTGGGTGAAGTGACATGGTTGAAGTGAACAGGGGTGTAGATGCACTCGAGGCTGAGGAGGGGAGGAGAGGAGAAAGAGAGAGAGAGCTAGGAACAGGGTCCTACTGCAGGAGTTATATCCAATCAGTGGGGGATGTTTCTCACGATGCGTACGACAGTTCCTTTGGAAACCCCACCCCCCTCATCGGTGGTTCAATTCCATATTCTGCCTCTCTGCCCATCGGACATGTGACCAATCCGCAGGACCAGATCATCTCGGCACAATTGCTTGTGGGATTGATTGGTCCGCTTGAGAGAATTCTCTCCTGTCGTGCTAGCGGCTTCGCTCTGCAGCCGATATTTGGGTCTCTCTTTTTTTTTTTTTTTTAGTGGGTGTGGAGTCATCACCATGCTGCTGTTGCGATGACAGCTAGTGCGGATGCCTGCAGATGAGGCATTCACATGGAAATCCATACAAAAAAAGGGAAAACAAGAAAACATGAGAGGAGAAAAAAAAAGTATCATCTATGCGAGTCGGCAGCTACTGAGCATGGGATCAGGATTTTCGAAATTTTTTTTCAGCCTTGATGCCATTGTTCGTCTTCAGCTTTGATTTTAGCTCGGGCAGCCAGTATGCTATGCCGTCTCGAACGCCTGATCATACTGGCATCTCCTCCAGTTTCTTTTTGACCTTTTTCTTTTTTGACTTTTTGACGCCACTGTCTATTCCGTACCGGATAGGAATCGCTCCGTGCGGTCACGGCCGTTGCAGCTGCAGTAGCGTTGATCTTTCACTATGACAGGATCATCAACACAAAGCAAGACGGCCACCGTCGTATTCTATACGGGCTTGAGGAATCCCGAGGGAAGGATTGATGGGTACTATGAGCCAGTCTGGTAGTCATGTCCGAAATCATGCCGTTACTTGCTTTTGCGAAACTCGGTCAGTCTGCCGGTTAATCGACGGTGTCGCAGCGCATGGGTCGTGCGATACCTTCGGGTCTTCAAAAAAGAAAAGAAAAGTAGGAAAAAGAAAAAGGGAAAAGGAGATGAAAGGATGGAAAAAGGGAAGGGAAAAAAGGAATGGAAGGAATATGAACCTGGTTGCTTTCGGTTCAAACCGCGAAAAGAGGCTCACACTGATTGATTCCTCGGCCAGCTCGCCTAGAACCCATCTAGAAGTGCCGGTGGTGTGGTACTTATGCCTGGACCTCTACGCTCGTTGGAATGACGCCACGCTCACATTCCGAGCTGTGCGTATCCGTGGCCCGGGACTCTACTGAAGTCTAGGAACGATATGGCTCCAGGTTGGGCGGTCAAAGCTGTATACATCTCTTGATGATCTCGCCGATTGTTCGTGTCTCGAGTCGCACAACTCGCAGTGGCGGCCATGCGGTGGTTAGATTTTATTTTCCGCCCCCCAGTCTTTTCTCCCTCATGCTACCATGTCGGTCCCATGCTCCCTGGGTGCCCTGTCACCGAGGACTATGATCACAATTTGGAAATCCTGTTCATACGCCTTCCCAGGAGGCTGCGCAGCTGGACACCTCGGTCTGATTGACAATGTTCAGTGGAGCGTCCGCAGTTGGATGCGGTCTCATGGACCGACAGGCTTTCTTCCCTCACGGGGGAGAGGGGGTGTGTTAAGTTGGCCTGTACGCCCGTATCGGGCGGGATACGGTGCTGCTGACAGCTAGCCTTGGCCCGCGGCCAGTATGACATGGCTTACCGGCCTCAACCCCTGATGCATGTTGAGGCAAATAGGCTTCTCAACTATTCCAGTCACTATGCACGCCCACGCCTGACGCACTTGTCATTGGTGCGGCTCCTTGAAAAAATTGATTAATGAGGGCGGGGAGGGGTGATTGCCCCCGACATCGCCCAGTACTGTAAGCGTTGCGTTGCTGTCTTGTTATTGCCTCCGCTGAATCCGATGTAGAAGTGTGAACAATGATTCGGTGTCTCGTGGATAGGGATTCAAAGTGGAGTCAAGTCAAGTCTCGAAGCGTACTCGTACAATCAGCTCGTACAGATTGATTTATTTTAATTTATCTTATTTTTTCTCCATCCACAGTATTGACAATTCTGCACCGAGCAGGGACCTACCTGGTTGCCTTTTTTATTTTCACTTTTATCATTGTGATATTCATTTCTGATCTTCCTTGTCTTTTTCCGATGCTTTTCTTTTTCTCTTTCCCTGTCGCTTATTCACTATCCATAATTACATCGTCTTTCTTATTGTTGCCTCGTAACGGGCAAAAGATTGATAAGGAACGGAATGTCTCTCATCAACCATCCTGACCGGACCAGGAGTCAAGTTCTGACGTACGGTGTCTCATAAACATTGACCTCTTTGTTCTTCGTTCAGTTCCTCATCTTTCGCATATACAACACTGAAGGACCTTTGTCTCTTCACCAACCAAACCACAAGCATGTCCTGCTCCATGGCAACCATCCAACTCGACCCCGGCCACACATCCTGCATCGGCGGCCGAACAGTCCTCACATGCCGCCACTGCGCAGGGAACGCACCGAGGTATATATCCATCTCTGCAGCCTTTCCCTTTCCCATAGGAGAAACCCATACTGATGATAGACAACAGAGGAGCCATCTGTAACAGCTGCAGCGGACGCGGTTTCAACATCTTCATCTGCGCGCATTGCAACCCCGCCGGAGCAGCCGCCGCTGCCGTCCGAACCGTGGGAGGGGCGTTCCAGACATCCACCCCCGAGTCGTCGACGCCTACCTCTCCGGCTTCGCTCAGCAGGAGCTCGTCGACGTCTGTGTCGTCGCAGAATGACCTGCGGCAGACGCAGCCTTGGAGACGGTTTGGGGATGGCGATGATGGGCCTGGTGGGGGGAGGATTGGTGCTAATGCGAATACTCCGAGGGGGTTATAGATGATTTTTTTTTTTTTCTTTCTTCCTTCCTTGCTTTCTGTTGATGCTGATATTATGAATTGTTTTATGACTTTGATGTTTGTTGAGTGTTGATGTGCGATGTGGTGATATGATTGTTGTTGATGATCGTCGGTCGTTTCCGATCTGTGTCGATCTCCGCTGATCATCTTTGATGATTTCGATTTCCCACGGCGAACTTGCCGCCTTCTTTGTCTATACCGTTGCTTTCTGGGGACTTCTATGGTTTTTTGAGTCACTTCACTTTCACATTCTTGAACAGCATGGCTCTGTCCCCTTATATCTTTCTTTCTTTTGGTCATCTTCTTTTCCGCTTGTTTTCTTCTGGGGGTTTTCTTTTCTTTCTCTGACAATCGTCGCGAACCAAAGCTGGCGAGGTTCAGACGCAGGAACCCGGCGTTCCAGATTGTCTTTTTGTGTTGAGGGTTGATATTGGTACTTTGATATCCAGATTCAAATTGAGGTGATTGATCCGCCTTGACTTTCTTTGCTTTCAATAATCAAGTTTGGTAATGAGACAAGAGTAAATAAAGGTAGAGAGGATGGAGAAGCCAGTTCGGATACCCCAGATCTCTCTATGTCCTCTGGTTGTCTGTCTGGCTCTGCTGTTATATTCTTTTTGTGAAGTATCAATATCTCTTGCATTTATTCTTCTGGTATTCGTGTTCACTTCCTTAGTCACCTACTTTACTATCAATGTCCACAGAGGTCGACCCGTGCAATTCAATAGACCTAGAGGCGTATTCATGTCTATCTACCTACCACAAGTCTTCAGCACAGTAAATACATAATTACTTATGAGGTCTCGTCAGAACCAGTTCTAAACTCACCACACTCGCATACATCCCTTCCCCATGATCCTTCCACCATCGCACTTAACAACAACCACGCCATCCCGCTTCCTTCCAGCAAGTGACCCGGCACATGGTAAGTAAGAGGCTGCCTACCCACAACCGACCTACCTGAAACCGTGTAACGACAAGTACCGCACCGCACTGCAAAGCAGTGTGGATACATATTATGCCGAGGTGATTATGCCGAACCCGGCTCTGACATTGCGGTGTGTTTTATTATCCGCTGTGCTGGTATCGGTATCTGTATCTTGTGGTTGCATGGTGGACAGAGGTGGTGGTAGTTGTGGTGGTGTGTGGGGTTGTTCGGTGATGCCGAGGTGGTTACAACCTGCTAGTTACCTACTACATACCTACTCAGTGGGTCGATCTTGTAGGACAAGTAGGTGGGTGAGCAGGTAGGTAGATAGTAATTGTTGACAGGGCCATGATGTAGATTGTGTTACTCTGAGTAACTAATTGTGGGTGTGGATGTGTTACCTACCTGCCTACTCGCGCTGAAGGATGGTTAGACGTTGCATACCTACGCATCTTTCTTGTGTAAGCTGTGGGTAGTGGTCGTGGCTGTCGATTGGATTCTGGGGTTCTATTTGCTGGTGATGACTGGTTGTACTACATTATTACATCAATTATATATTGGGTAGGTTATTTTTGGTAGTCGCTTTGGTGGCAAATGAAGGCGAGGATATGCTATGCTATGCTAGCCCTAATTGATGGCGGTTGCCGCGCCACGTGCGCTGTTTATTATATTAGTGGATGCTTGATGCTTTGATAATCTGTTGCATGCAGTTGGTGTGTATACATGGTTTACTATGGCTGTATTGGAGGTAGGTTATTGGCAGGTATTGCTGTCTATCATCTATATGTAGGATATGTGTGGAAACAGAAGTATCAAAAACACAAGTTAAGCACCTCCGCCCGCTGCGAATCCACCCAATGCGCCTGCTCTCTTTCCTAGTTTCGTGTCCGCGACTGAATTCAGATATGCTTCTGGGGGTATCATATTTTCCAGCGCTGTGTAGGTCAGTTAGTGATTTAATCAATCCAACCGAGGGACCACCACCAGAGGTAGGTCTTGAAGCCAAAGAACACGACAAGAAAGGAGCGAAAAAGAACATACCCTCTCTCCTCGCCTCAGAGCTCTCCATCTTCTCATACCAGATCCGCAGCATCCACGTCGCAGCCAGCGCATCCCTCAACGCCCGACTCAAAGGAACAAGAACGTGCAGCCTCCGCTTCTCTCCCCTTCCGCCTGCGCCGCTGCTGCTCTCCTCCAGCGCAAGGACCGCCCCATCGCGTCCCACCCAGCGATACTGCGCGCGGAGACCCTTCAACTTGGGTTTCGCGTGGAAGAGAACCTCCCTCTGTGCTGGGTCCTCGTTGAAGAGGGGCTGATCGGCGTAGGTCCGGCCTGAGCTGAGCAGGGCCTTGAACTCTGGTTTCTGCGGGAGATGGAGGGGCGCTTTAGCCGGTGTGAGTTGGATGTTTCCCACTGGTTTTACAGTGGGGAGACAGGTCGCGTAGTAGGCTGGTTGGTGGGCTTTGGTCTTGATAGGTGAGCAGGGCGGGTGCGCGAGGTAGAAGATGTGTGTTTTGGGGGCGGTTTCTGGTGAGTCTTTTTGATCTTTCGCGATGTGGTGGGAGATGGGGTCTATTCGGTTGAAGGATACTGAGGAGCTTGAGTTTGAACTTGAGCTTTGATTGTTTGGGGTTGGGGTGAGGATGTCTCTGCTTAGTTGGTAGGCGGGTTTATGCTGTTCTTCTTGCCCGTCTGTTTCGGCGGTTATGGATGTGCCGGAGAGGGTGAGGATTGCTGCGGGGAGGGTCTCATTCTCGTCGCGTGAGGTGTATGGGGGTGGATCCATGTTTGGTTGAGGTTGGAGATATTGGATCGCAAAGAGGACTTTGGAGACGAGTGGGGTGGCTCTTATATCTGGAATAGATGGATCCTGTTGGATTGATGATCCCCATCCGGTTAGGGTTCATGCTGTCACTTGGCAGTGGCTGTGCGTATAGACGGATCCTTCTTGACGATGGAACTGACTCGAGTGCTGACTCGGTGCATGGTAGGTTTGCCTAATGTGATTAGTCTCTCAGACGTTTTTACTATTGATACAATATTGGTGGTCTTCTTTGGTGTATGACCATTAATGGTGATCGATCTCTTTGTATGAGGAAGATCTATGCCGTGGGGCATAGTTTGACTATAGACTTGAACAAAATGATCCACGAATTGCTGTACCAATCAATTATTCTAATGTACACATGAGCATCTCAACATACCCACTATTATTGACTCCGGATTATGGAGAGTCCCAGTGTTGATCCAGATCCAGATCCAGATCAAGATATGTACCGAATAGTCTTGGCGGTGGGGAACTGAGCTCGACCTCGACTTACTCCGCGGCATCACCAACTCTCTTCCTTCCATCTTGCCATCTTCTTCTTTCTACCCCCTCTCTTTCTCTCACTTTTCACCCCATTTTCTACACTCTCTTTGTTGATCTAATTAGGGTCACCTTATCTCTCCCCCGACATGGCTTCCGATCCCTCCGAGGAAGCCATCTCCGACTTTGTCAACTTCACCAGCACCTCCCGTCAACAGGCCGTCAACTTCTTAAAAGTCCGCTGCACATTCACTCGATCTGTTACGCCGCTGACGTTGATAATCTCTAGGCCCATGGCTGTGATCCCCAGCGAGCCGTCAATGCATACTTTGAAGATCCCACCGGGCCCCAGATACAGGTAACTTTCGAGAATGCGGGGTCCCGAATTGAGACTGACCATTCCGCCAGGGCCCCTCCTATCAAAACCACCCCGATGTCCCGTGTAGGTTGGTCCCATCATGATATCAAAGCACAGTTGTTGACCTCTCTACAGCCTTTCAGATCGAACACTCGGATCCCATCCCGCCCTCAACCGCCCCAACCCGCCCTCCGTCCACCGTAAACCTCAACGAGCAAGCCCAGTCCGATTACCAACCCCCGAAGCCGGCAACCCCGCAGAATACCCCTGGTGAGGTCACACTGAGCCAATCATGACCTCACGCGCAATCAATTAATATCCACAAACAGATCCAAACAAACGCATGACCCTCGCGGAGCAGGAGGAACGGGAACTGCAGCAGGCGGTCGCAATGTCGTTGAACCAGAACCTCGGGCAGCAGGAAACGGGCGTCATGTCCAGCAATCAGAACTTCAACCGCGCGACTCGCGACCATTACGACGAAGGCGAATGGGCCATGACCCTCTTCAATTCCAGCGCCCAGGAGATCATCATCAGTCCCGACCCCACGGATCGCAAGCGCGCCGCGAACGAGCCGGCATTTCTCCGTCCATCTCAAGATGGCCTCCATCTGGGTGGGCTCCTGACCATCTTTCATTCAATCCCGCTCGCCCGAGAAGCTCTCTTGTATCGCAACCGTCTGCTTTCCAACTACGGTCATGATTCCCAATGGTGGAACGGACAGCCGATCAGCCTCCCCAAGATCGTGTCCCTGCAGGATGCGCCCGATGGCGACACCGACTGGGATGATATCATCTACGAGACGCAGCGAGTGGTCGCGTTTCTGGACTCGACGACGCGCGCCTTTGGGAGCGTCGATGCGCTGGCCAGTCTGAAGAGCATGTCTATCTACGAACCCGAGTCCAGCACTAGCCAGTTTCTGGAGAGCTGGCAAGCCGCCGCTCTTCGCGCCGACCCGGGCAACCAGTTGGCGACGGTGTTCTCATCTACGGCTCACAAGCGGCCCCTGTCGATGTACGACACGCCTGACGAGAAGGACTTCCTGCGGCTGGAGTCGTATACCGAACCCGATCACGACCAGACCCTCTACGACGTCCTGGACCGCACAGTGTGGCAAGATCGACCCGGGGAGGAGCTGGATGACACGTGGCTGGAACATGTGGCCGAGGTCCTCACCATGAAGCTGGAGAGCTCGGACAGTGACAAGCCCGTCTCCGTCAAGATCCCCGCGGTCTTCTACCCGGATCGCTACCTGTCCAGCTGCCGAGAGATTGCCCGGGAGTTCCGCACACGGCACCTCCAAGTCAAGGAGGATCTCTTCAACTTGGAGACTCTGACCCACCGCCTGTCGGTCACCAATTCCATCGTGCACCGAGGGATGACGACCAAGGAAACGCTGGAGAAGGCTGCGGCGGCCGCGACGATGTTCCTCCCCAAGAGCATGGCCGGCCAGGCCAGTCCGATGACGCCCGAGGCCGCCCAAGCGGATGCCCAGCGTCTGGCCAATGACCTCCGATCCGTCTCTGAGAAGGTTGAACACAAACTCAAAGGTAGGCCCCACATTTCTACTAGTCGGCGGTCTATACTGATCAGATAGAACTCGAGTCGAGAAAGCAGAGCGCCCTGGAGGCTCTCCGAGGCTATACGAAGACCCTCACCGAGCCTACATCCTCTTCGTCCGAGCCACCCCACCACAAGTACACGTTGCGTGGTGTGTGTACCGAACCGCACATCACCTACGTCTTGCGGCCGCGGACGGACACCGACGACCCGACGCACGAGTGGCAGTGGTGGCGGATCAGCTTTTCCACCGAAGACGCCAAAGCCCGCCAAGCCGAGATGGGCCAGGGATGCCACGGCGCCTCGAGGAGCGCCGACGTGATCGGATATACCGCCCGCAAGGTGCGGGAGATCGAGGTGCTCCGAGCAGCACGCGAAGAGTCCAAGAACGTTCTGCTGGTGTATGCGAATAGCAATGCGGTGAACTTCAAAGGCGGGCCGGCTCCGCCCCAGCTTCAGGTAAGTTTTACACACGGTTGGCCTCGAAACTAGCTAATATCTGTAGCAATTTGTCGATGCGGACAATCGGGCGTTTGCAGCCGAATTCTCAGACCAGCCAGTCGGCACAGGTGAGTCGACCGCGGTGGCCACTGATGATCGGGAAGACGAAAAACATCACACATCGTCAGCGGTGCCCACTGCGGAAAACATCCAAAAAGTGAACGTCTTCGACTACCAGGTGCAGTCATTTGAGGACGATCGGTCGGGACAGGAGATGCAGGAACGAGGGCGGCCCTTGTTAAGCGGGAGTCATCCTGGAGACAGCAAGATGGGGGATAGCCAGACGTGGGAGAGCCCGAACACATGAACTGGTTCAGGATACATCACTAGTTTAATTATCAATAAAATATCCTCTTCAATTACACTTCCAATCCCCCTGATGTATCCCTAGTAGAATCAGGAACGAAATGAACGGACCAAACGTTATCAAGTGGTCCGTGTATTGTACGTGTATGTCCTGTTTGCACCGGACCTCTTATCCGACTCCGACCAAACCATCAACACCCCCTACACCACAACATCAACAATTCTCACTTCCACCCCCTCATTTCCAATAATAAACACACACCATGACAATCGAAGACGACGCCGTCGCAGGCGCCACGCTCGAACTCCTCGAGGCCCGCCTCCACCGCCTAACCTACCTCCTCACCGGCGACGCAACCTGGTCCGGCATTCCCACGCCGCCGCCCAAACCGGCCTCGCTGGACGAGACCGTCTCGCGGAGACTGCAGCAGCTCGAGCGGGACCTTGGTAAACTTAGTAGGGAGGTTCCTGCTGTGCGGGATATGATTCAATTACGTATGTCCTCTCCTCATCCTCGCCTTTATCAGAAGCAACAAAGCAACATCAGTACCCCCATAAGAGAGAAAGACACAAACTAATCAAGAACAATAATAGACGACACCTTCCCTGACCTGATCCGCCCAACACCCCCCCGAACCACCCCCGAAACACTCACCACGCAAAACCTCGCCTCAATCGTCCTCGCCTACGCCTCCGCCTTTCCCGAAACCGCCTCGCGACTATCGTCCCTGAACGACCTGCCCGTCCCGGACGCGGAGGCCTCCGCTGCGCTGGTCGCGCTGCAGAGTCGGCTCGATGCGCTGGCGCAGATCCAGGAGGACCAGGCGGGTGAGGTGGCGGAGTTGAGGGTGCGGTCGGCGAGGGCGCTGCAGCGGTGGTATGAGGTGGGGGTTGTTGGGAGCGGGGAGTGTTGGGCGGAGTGGGAGGGGAGATTGGGGGGTGTGGAGAGGGAGGTTAGGAGGGTGGAGGTTTTGAGGGGGAGGAGGGAGAGGGAGGTTTAACCAATCTTTTTTTTTTAAGACCTTTTTCTCTGAATCTTCTTGGTCTGGCTTTCTTTCTTTTTTCCGGTCGTGTTGATTTTGGGGGCTCTTGTTTGGGAAGAGATGGGGGAGGGGAGGATGGTGGGTGCTTGTTTACATATGATACCTCTTGCTATGTTGTTTTTATTTTATTTTGTTAATATTTTTTTGGATATTGGTGTTGAATGTATATAGTCCGTCTGGCGTTGGACTTGTTTGCTTGCTTGCTTGCTTGTTTGTTTGTTTATTTATTTTCTATATTTACCACGCCTCTTGTGCTCCGTACATGTAGATGTATATCAATGCAAATCCCGGGAAGGACCGATATCTGACCGATGTACCTATGAGACTCGTTTCATGACAACTGCAGTATCAACATGGACCTTGCAGAGAACATTCCTCTAATTCCACTGCCGAGTAAGCCGAGTATGAAGTACTAGGTACTCTGTAATTAACAGTGGTTAGGAACCAGTGGTTCCGGGGTTCTGGCCCTTGCATGTACTTGGTTCATTTAATTTGCGAACATATGCCTAGGTATATACATGGGTGTATATAATGCAGTGTTATAGTGTGATACCTCGGGTTAGTCCAGAATTTTGCCTTGAGTGGTGGAGAGTTCACCAAGCATTATAGGGCTAGAGGGTTAACCCATGTCTAGTTGTGTCTGTGGGTTATGCATGGGGAGGGATTGGGACGGTAGTGTATAATTATCTTTATAGTAAGGGACGGAGTGTATCATTATGGTTATCCGGGTATTCCCGGTCATTATGATATTCTCTTCTTGATTAAATCTAATTATTTGATATATATGAAAATTTTAATTAAGAACCATGTGTTCATCTCCCACAGATTCAGTAGGAGAGTACAGCCACAGTGGCACGGTGGCACAGACAGTAGGTCAACAGTGGACAGGCGCACAGACAGACGGGGCCTATCAGTCTGACCGTAGCCTAGTTGTTCTGGTGGCAGTCTGGCCACTTTGGACAAGAGTATCGACAGTGGAATTGCTGAGCCGGGTTAGAGGCTGCCCCGTGCCTCAGGCCGCCCCACTCCTGTCCAAGGCGAAGTTGCGTGTTGGTCTCCGTCCAGCGGAGTCCGACAGATCCTGTGGGCTTATTGATTATTATCCGGTTGTATTGTTCTGATTATTCTACCTTGATTTTACAAATGTACGGGTGATATGCAGATGTACTCTGTATATAGTAGTAGAAAAGTAGATGGCTCATATAGGTCGAGTATTGTATATAAATAAAAGATATATTGTAATGGAAAAATGGACTTCATGATGAACAAAGAAGTTAATGATAATGTGAGATTAATTTAGATCAATTTATTTATTTCAGCGACATTGACTACAGTACCATACCAATACCATCAAATCATAACAACCACCGTTCCTGACCCATCCCCCCAATAATCCCCCCCTCCTGCATGGCCCCGTTCCTGGCAGCGGTAACCATACCGTACGAGCCATACGGATTGGAATGGAAGTGAAACCCGCCAAGTCTCCAACTTTCTCTCTTCATTCCCCTCTCCTTTTCTCGCTCTCTCTCTCTCTCTCTTCTTTCTTCTCTTTCTTCTTCTCTTTCTCTCCATCAACCCACTCGCGATCGGTCTCAAGTCCATCGACTCGTTCACTCGTTTATCCTCTTTTCTTTCTGCTTCATTTTTACTTCTCCAATCCTCAATTCTCACCCGCATCCTCCCCCTTTGATATCCTTCATTCCTTCCTCAGCCTGGTGCTGCCTCTGCTTCTTCCCCGTGCCTTTCTTCCAAGTTTACTCTCTGCAAGGGGGCCCTCTTTTTGTTATTGTCGACGCCATCTCCTCGGATCTCCCAGGACCTGTCGCCCTGTCTCAAATTGATTATCGCCTTATATGATCCTCCTTTCATATTGCACCGTGTTTGTTTAAGGTTATTACACCCACGCTGCCTGTTTCTCGACGTCGTGCCCGCTCGGCTTCAGCCTCGTCATCCGACTCCGCCCCCATTGTCGCTCTCTCAAGGTACGTGACGCTCGTCCACGTCGCCGATCCGCTTGTTTTATTTTTTATTTTTCTTCTATCTTTTCTTTCTCTTCCTTTTCCTCTCCTTTCCTTCGGTTTGCCTGTCTTGCTTGTTTCTTCTTCTTGTTCTTCTTCTTTTTTCTTACTCCTTCCCCCTAGTTTGTTGTTTTTTTCATCCCTGCAGAACGTGCGTCGCGTTGTTGTCGGTACCGTTCCTTCATCCTCACCGATCAGACCATCGTGGGCCTCTCCGGCCTGCTGCCTGTTCACCTCCACTGACTCCCTCCGTAGCTCGATCCTTTTCATCTCGTCAATCCGTATCCCTTGTCCACCCACCCTGATCTGTGGGTTTCCCTCGGCTTCATCGTGACGACACTCCCACTCGCCCGTGGATAAAGAGCCGGATTCATCAACCAAGGAACGGGTCCTGTCCTCTCGTCGCCGCACATCAACTCGGCCTATATATTTGTTCGCTGTCCCATCCATGGTGGCGTACTCGTCGTCTGCTCCGTCCTTCCAAAAACCATCACCGTACCTGAGTTCCTCCGCCAAAATGGCCCGATTTCAAGCGAGTAATATCCTGGGCGACCCGTTCGCTCTCGTCACCACCGCCATCGCCATGGTACGTGTCTGAGAACGCCTCTTGATGCTCGGCCGGTGCTGACTGTTTCCTAGCTGGCCTGGATGATCGCCTTTATTCCATCCATCGTTGCCGACGCCATTGGCAAATACCCAACTTACTCGTGGTGGGCCATCGCCTACATGCTTTGCTGCATTGGTGGCTTGGTCGTGGTCTTTGGCACCGACACCGGTCAGGTCTATGGCGTGGCGGTATGTGATCCAATTCACCCAATCCCACGATGGCAGAGGGTAGTGATGCTAATGGATGCAGATTGTCGGTTATCTGGCCGCCGGGCTCGTGTTTACGACCGTTGCGGTGAACTCGCTGGTCTACTCTAATAGCGGCCCCTCGCAAGCTGCCGCTGCCGGCTTTATTCTCCTGTCCATGGTCATCATCGTCTGGATCTTCTACTTCGGATCCACTCCGCAGGCCTCGCACCGTGGGTTCATCGACTCGTTCGCCCTGCACAAGGAACAGCCGCCCACGCCGTTCGGCGGAGTCCGCCCGATGTCGACCGCATTCGCGACCCGCCCCGAGACTACCTCCACGCAACCGCAGATGTACACGTCCGCCCAGCTGAACGGATTCGAGACCTCGTCCCCCGTCTCCGGCTACCCGGGCGGTGCCCCGGGCGACAACCGCAGCTCGCAAGCCCGGTTCGGCAACCCATCGACGACGAACCTGGGCACGGGCAGCACGCCCGACGTGGTGGGCGAGGTGCCGCAACCGACCGAGTACCCGTACCGAGCCAAGGCCATCTACTCGTATGACGCCAATCCCGAAGACGCCAACGAGATCAGCTTCAGCAAGCATGAGATCCTGGAGGTGTCGGATGTCAGCGGGCGATGGTGGCAGGCGCGGAAATCCACAGGGGACACGGGAATTGCCCCGTCGAACTATTTGATCTTACTGTGATGTGTATCTGTCTTGCACCCTTTTCTTTTTCCATTTTCTCCTTGTTTTATTGCATTTCTTATCTGGTCCCGACCTGTTACGGTCGTCGCGGTATGGTCGCGGGAGAAAAAAAATGTCTTGATACCCTTCGAGTAAGATCTCACTCGGCGCGAGTCTGGTTTGCAAATCACGTTACGTCTTGATGGCTATGTTTGCACTAATTTGGTTGTTTTTTTTTTAACTTATTTTTTGTTCTCTTTATCTTTTCCTTTTTCTCTCTGTTTGATTTCTTTTTATTTTTTTGTGTGACTATTGTCCGAAACTTCTCCGTGTGTCATTGAATAGAACCGGTGGAGTGTTCTATTTTCGGATGGATCTGTACGTGATTCGTGGCATTACTGTCCTTTATTTTTCTCGGCGGGCCCTTGCCCCGGTCGATCTGTCGGAGTAGATGGTCTGGAGGGTTGAGGAATGAATCTGAAATTCAGTGTAGTTATCTGTATGAGAGATCTAACGTTTCATTGTAAAGGTTGCGAGAGATGAAGCCGTTGGACGCCACGTGCGGAGGGCGTTGTCCGATTGGATATGCAGCTGCGAGACAAGTCATGGATCGACCGATTGATAGATGGATCGATCAATCTACCTAGGTATTGATCGGGCAGAATCGATAAATGGTTGCACTATCTGGGTCATGCCTGGTCCTCAACGCATGATATAGACAGAAGAAGAGAATATAAATAGATTCAGGAGCATCTGATCATCCTGCAGCTCGTGCGAACCAATGCGAGACTAAACTGAATTCATACTAACTCCTTCTTCCCCTCAACCTTTTTATCTGTGCTGTCTTTCTCTTTCTCGTGCGGGCTTTTTTTTGTCTTTTGATCTGTCTCTCCCTTCCTATCTTTTCGTTCCTCACCTGCCGGGTCTCTATCTCCGCTCGTTCATCCGCTGTTTCCTCCCCTTGTTCCTTCTCTGCGTCCTTTCTCTACACCCCTCTTGACTCTCCCTCCCTCCCTCCTTCCTTCCTAGCGCGTCATGTCATCGTCCTTGTCTCCGCAATGATCGAGTCAGTGGATTTGTGGGCGGAGAACTACTATATCTCCTATCATCCGCACCATCGTACCCGGTGGAGCACCCTCTTTCTTGCTTTCCTTCTTACTTAATTCTTTCCTTCTCTCTCGGTTTTTTCTCGATCATTTCGACCCTAATGCCCCTGTGGAGTGTCTATCGTAATATAATCCCACCATGGCCCTGAACTGGACGGCATGGAAGGCCAAGTGGCTGTTGTTGCGGCGTCGGCGATCGGCCGTTCAGGATCATCTGCCACCCGAGGCCGACACCGCCAAGAATCCGCATCATCACAATCATCCGCCGTCTTCTTCCTCCAACAACTTCTTCCTCTTCCACTCCTCCCCCTCCTCCCCCTCTCCTCCCTCCATCGCCTCACGTCCTCGACCACAGTCCGCCTCCCCTCGTGATCTTGACTCCGCCTCACTTCTCTCGGGTCTCTCGTCTTCCGCCGCCTCCCTCCAGACCGCCCCTGGTTCCGTCGAGGCCGATCATCCCTCCTCGCCCTCCTCCTCCGACCCCCGCCGTCTCCGCTACTACGGAGGCTCCTCCTCCCTTCACGACCCCCTTAATGATCGTCTACCCGAGGACGACTCGTCTCGACGCCCCAAGTCTCTCCCTGTTAAGGGCCTGACCCCGTCGGTCGCCGTCACCCCGCCCCCGCCGCCGCCACCACCGTCCTCCTCTGTCGATCCTCCGGCCCGCCCGCACCGCAAACCATCGGACTCGATCGGTCCTGCGGCCCAGCAGCGGACCTCCCCGAAGAAAAAAGCCGCGGCGTCGTCTCCCCCCCGACTCCCCCAATCTCGCATCCCCCCCGTCGCCGCGCGTTCGCCCCGCCCCAGCCTCGGTGTACGTCGACAGTCTCTCCTGGCGCTGCCCAACCCGCAGCTGATCACGAACCTGCTGGGCCCCGGCATCGCTTTCGACACCGACAGTACCGAGAGCGCCAGTTTCGACACCGTCGCGGCGCCGGAGTCGACGATGCCCCGCAAGGTCTGGGTCAAGCGCCCCGGGGGCTCGGCCACCTTGGTCCCCTTCGCCCCGGACGCCGTCGTCGATGAGCTGCGGGACCAAGTCATCCTCAAGTATGCCAATTCGCTGGGCAAGGCCTTTGACGCCCCGGACGTCGTCATCCGCATCACCCCGCGCGATGGCATCACCCCCGAGCGCATTCTGAGCCCCGAGGAGCCGCTCACCAGCATCCTGGACAACTACTACCCCGGCGGCCAGATGGTCGAGGAGGCCCTCGTCATCGACATCCTCCAGCGCAACACCCCCAAACCCTCGCCGCGCCACACGGTTTACTATCACCACGAGCCGGGGGACCATGGCGAGTACTTTCCCATCATGCCCGCCAACCCCAATGTCGCCACGCCGCCCGCCCATCCGTCCTCGGCCACCGGCCCTGTCAACCCCCACACGGCCCCCTCCATCTCCATTCTCACGACAGGGATGCCGCCTCCCCTGCCGTCCCCGGGTAGCCGCGGCAATCGGCACAGCCGTCGACCGCCGCTCACGCGACATGCGACAAACTCGCCTACTATCATCGGCCAACCCGCCAGTGCGAAAGGTTTTCCTCCCCCCCTCTCCCCCCCCTTTGTTTTCTTCCCTCAAGAGTCACTCCTGACCATCAATTTAGATACCCCAACCAGTACCGTTCCGGCCCAATCCACGCCGCCCGTCCCGGTCCCACCGGGTCCGCCGCCGGCGGTGGAGTCGCCGCAGACCCAGACCATGACTCCCCCGACTCGCGGATCCTCGCCCCGCCCTCGTCCCCCGACGAAGACGAAGAAGAGCATTCACCGGGAGTCCGTGGGCGGCGCGTTTGGCGGGCTGATCGAGGGCACCGTGCCGCCCATCAACGTGCTGATCGTGGAGGACAACATCATCAACCAGCGGTTGCTGGAAGCTTTTATGAAGCGGCTCAGTGTGCGGTGGAAGTGTGCCGCTAACGGAGAAGAGGCGGTGACCAAGTGGCGCCAGGGGGGGTTCCATCTCGTCCTGATGGACATCCAGCTACCCGTGATGAACGGGTTAGATGCCACCAAGGAAATCCGCCGACTCGAACGTTTGAATGGCATTGGAGTATTCCCCAAGACGGCGTCGGGACGCTCCAGCGCGGCCAGTGCGACCACCAAGTCCCCGCAGGAGTTGGATGGGGGGTCCTACCTGTCTCTCAAGAAGGAGGACAACCTCCATGACCTCTCCCTCTTCAAGAGTCCTGTCATCATCGTGGCCTTGACGGCGAGCAGTTTGCAGAGTGACCGTCACGAGGCGTTGGCGGCGGGTTGCAATGATTTTTTGACTAAGGTATGTAATGCGCTTCCCACGATGTGCGGAAGGTTTTTTTGGAAGGGGGTCATCAGCAAATGTACTAATATTGATCCAGCCTGTCCGGTTCGAGTGGTTACAGCAAAAGGTGACGGAATGGGGCTGCATGCAAGCACTGATCGATTTCGAAGGTTGGCGGAAATGGCGCGGGTATGTGGATGACAAGCAACCTACCGTCATCGACAGCGACGCCAGTCCAATGCGAATCGGCAACGACCCGTCAACATCATCCTCCAATGGCGACCGGGAGCCGGAGCGGGATCTGAAGCCAAAGTCGAAGCCGCCAGCCAGCAACGGCGTCCAAGACTCGTTGGTCGCTGGACCCGTACTATCGGACCTCAGTCGGGAAGATTCAGGTAGTACCAACGGGGAGACCATGGATATGGCAACGAGTCCGACGACGCGTGTGGAGGATACCGCGTAGATTCTTTCCATCTTTTACCTCTCTTATGTCGACACTGTCGTTGTCTATGTTTTGTTGTTCTTGTTTTGTTCTCTTCAGGGTAGATGCTTGTGTCTACTAACGGATACCCAGCATCGCGCATTTATGCGTTGTGCATTATGCATTATGCATTTATACAACTCATTTTTTCTTTTCTTCTTTTCTTCATCTTGGGGATTGTTAGGGGTGTAGGTGGTGGTGTTTGGGGGTATATTATAATATATCTAGTTATATATTTACATATAGTATAGTTAAATATCGTTTAGTATCATACTCCCTACATGCATGTTGATATGGATATGGATAGGATTGATACAGGATATGCTGAAGTGGGTTGATTGGTATGTGAATGAGTATGGAACAGTGTAGTCATTACGGAGTACAGTGGATAACAACAGGATATAGAGAATAGATCAGACTGATGTGATGTAGCTACATTGTTACAGTGCTTCACCTCATACTCAAGTAAACAAACAGTCTGCATCCGCTTGATATAGAAAGAAAGACGCATGATTGTTTCCACAGGCAGTATAGTACTAATCAGAGAGTAAAAGAGAGAGAGAGAGGGAGAGAGGCGGACTGTGTCGAAAAACCTCTGCCAGCACTAGAGATGGCACCGCTCAAGCCTTCCAACCCTCCTCTAGAACATCGCGGACGCTCCGCGGCCGGATCTCCGGGAAGCGGCGGTTGAGCGACTCGTCCTCAGACAGATCCAAGTCGCCAGCATTCGACCAGCGGCCGAAGGTAGCAAGGATGCGCTGGAGCTGTTCCTTGGGCAGGAATGCATACATGGACGGATGCGATGGAAGCTCTGTGACCTGGAAATTTTCCAACTTCTCCTCGCTGTCGTGCGTCACGTTGAACTTGACTCCTGCGGCACAGGCACAATATCCGCGTTAGCACTGACCTCGAACCAGAGACGTATATAAACAGAGAGATAATATGAGTCGATAGAAACGAACCTTTGGCTTCTTCCGCGAGGGCAACAAGTTCATTCCAGGTCTTCTTGTCGCCGATGATCGTGCCCCGCTCGGGCCAGTCCGGCGCGCTGACGAACGCAGCGATGAACCGGGCTACGTCGAAGGTATGCGTGAACACGACGGGCACGTCGCCCGAGCCTGGGATCGCAGCTGCGTTGTGCGCTATATCGACTGCCAGAACAAATGGCTGGAGGTAGCTTTTGACTTTGGGCATCCCGTAGTAATCTGTGAAGATCCCGTTCGAGAGGAGGCTGTATTCGAGGCTTGTGGAGGACTGCAGCTTTTGCACTGCGGCTAGTTTGCCTGCGACGAATGGGAGGTCCCTTGCATGTCTGTTTGGTGTTGATTAGCGTGTGATAGATGGGGGGGGGGGGAGTGCAGTGCAGGAAGAGGATGCTTGTACTCTTGGGTGTAACGCATGCCGAACTCGCTCGGGATGAATCGCTTTGTGCTCGATGATTTCTCGGCAGCTTCGATGAGGTTCAGCTGGGCGTTGCTGGCGGTGTCGTCGAGCACGGATACCGTAGACACGATGGTGTCGATCTTGTTGCTTTCCAGCAGGGTGGTAAGGGATGCGACGTTGGCGTAGTCCGCGAGAAGCAGTGGGACGCCTAGCTCTTTTGCTAGATCGTCGTCGGGCTAGATTATTTACACTTAGCATTGAGGATTGGATGAATACGGTCGCGATGGCGATGTCTACCTTTCTTGTCAAGACATGGACGGAGTGGCTCGTCGTGTCTCTCAATGCCTCGACAATAGCGCGTCCCAGGTTGCCGGTTCCACCGGCGACAGCGATGATGGCCATGGTTGGAGATGGTAGGAGATTATTTGAGGTTTTTTGATTGTTGGTTCTCGCAGAACAAGCGAGGGTCTATGGGAGTATTTATACATCTCGAGCCGTGGGCATCGGAGTGAAGGGCCCCCCATTGCGACAGGCAACAGACATCCATCTGTCGTAGATGCTTAGCAATGACAGCCCCCAGATCCAAGGATGATGATATCGATCATCACTTTAGATCAAGTTGATTGGCCGCATAGGCTGATCGGGTGTTGTTTGGTCTCCACCTTCGAGGAAATCCCGCATGGGGAATTTGTCAGTCGGATCCAATTTGCTTCCGACGCCCAGAGTTGGGGAAGTCGGTCTGTATCGATCGAGATGATTGTATCTGCGTGTCTACTTCGGCTGGAGAGCTAATTTACGACCCGGGCTTTCTGCTGTCTGTTTTAAACCGCTTTGTCAAATATGGAGGGCTCGGAAGAGGTGGGTTCACCACCCAAGGACAAGCGCCCAAGAACATCCAATGTATGATATCCATGCCCGCCAACCCAGCGGACTATTCCAACACTCTATACTAGGCATGCGTACAGTGTCAGCGAAACAAAAAACGCTGCGACGGCGGCATGCCACGATGTACTTCGTGCACACAGCGCCAGTTGGCTTGTACTTACCACGGGGTCAGACGTCGAGGCCGGGGGAAAGCGTCGGTAGATCAGTTGGATATGGATGGTGTCATCGGCTAATCCCTACTCCAGGAAACCACATCTAGAGAAGCTGGAGTCTCGGGTCAGTGAACTGGAGACTTCTTTACGGCATTCGATGAGTGTTTCGGTGGGGTCCGCCAGCAATGAAACTTCCAAAGTGGGAACAGACCAGAACAGCGCCCAGTCTGCTTTATCAGATAGACTGGATGCGTCAGAGTCTGGAGCAAGTGAGCCCTCGTGTCGCGCAGGTGACCATGGGCAAACGCAGACAGCGCTGAGAGATAAATTCTTCACGGTCCTCCCAGCGCAACCAACGACCGAAAAGCTCAGGTCAGAGGCGAACCACGGCGCTTTCACCAGCCCCATCTTCGTCCAACTTCCTCCCAAGTCCCACCTCCAGTCTCTGTTTGAGGTGGCTCTCGCTGAACTCAATTATCAGGTGCCCTTCTTCGACATCCCTCTGTTGCTGACTCTTCTGGACGAACACTATGCACACCCGACTGCTCCCCGAGGAGACCACCCCCAGCGCTGGGCTATGCTCAACACAGCCGTAGCTGTCGCGATCCAGCTCCGCACCGCAAAAGGCTCGGAACATGCCATGATGAAGATATCATGGGCTTTCTTCAAGAATGCGTTCAGCATGTACTCCGCTATTACCTTACGCGGTGCGGACATACTAGCTGTAGAAGCGCTGCTCGCTATGGCTGTATACGTGCAGGGCTCAAGCGATCTGCGAACCACATCGGCCCTGGTCTGTGCGGCCGCGCGCCTATCTTTAACACTTGGATTGCATCGGACGACGTATTACTCTGGGCTTGATCCTGCTGCAGCGAACCGGGGCCGGAGGGCCTTCTGGGTCTCCTATCTTCTCGACAAGGACATCTCTTTGCGAACAGGAATGCCTTCCAACTTTGATCAGGAAGCTATCAGCCTCCATCGTCTGGATCTCGTGGGGCCTGGATCGTCGACAGGTAGCCTCGGCTTGGGAATGGACATGCCGGCGTCCACTCTCATCCAGTTCCAGGTTCAACTAGCGATGATTGATTCCACCGCTGAGAAACGGCTCTTTTCCACCTCTGCCAGGGAAAAAAGTGTTCACCAGCTCTTGAGCATCGCAGCTGAGCTTGACCACCAACTGATGGCCTGGAAAGCAAGCCTCCCAGTATATCTCCGAGCCGATCATCTCGACCGGTCCTCCCCAACAACAACAACAACAATAGCCAGAGAGCCTATCATCCAGCTGCACCTCGCGTACTATAACACACTCTGCGAGCTCCACTCCTTTGCCGCGCACCTCGATCCCCAAGGTCTTAATAGCAGTACCATACAGCAGGTCAACTCTGCAAGAACCACTCGGATATCCGCAGCCTCGGAGACAATCCACCTCCTGCAATGCCTATCTCGCCAGGAACAACCCGGATATCTCTGGTACGTATAGCCACAAGCCGCCCATCCTCCTCGCTAATCGTCAACCAGGCATATTCTACTCTATCCCATAGCCGCATGCATCACTCTCGTCACTGTTGTACTTGACAAGCCTGAGGATCCCCAGGCGCGTTCCTGCGCTGAACGTATTGGTGAGCTCGTGGCGTTTTTGAGAGAATTGCAGCGTGATGGGATTCTCGATGTACAGGCTTTGTTAGATCTATGCTGCGGACTGGAAAAGCGTGTTCTCTGTACAATTTTGAACGCGGCAAATGGGACCCTGGCTGAGGGTTCCCCTTGCACTGGCATCGCCCCCGAGCTCGACACATGGAGACAGGTATGTTCGACCCCCCCCCCATCTATCTAAAGCATAAGAAAAACAACACCAAAGAAGAGACCCGTAGAAAAAAACAGCATCTTCCCACTAACCAATAACCACAACAGCAAATACTATCTCCCACCCACGCCAGAACGAGAACAACCAGCATGCACCTCGCATCGGGACTAATGAGCAACATACCCAACCTATGCTCGATCGCCGCTACTATCTTTTCGGGTCTTCTGCCTGAGAGCCAGATACAGATATCGCCGGTTTCGAGCCTGCTTGCGCCGCCGTCGCTGGATCCTGGGAGGTATGGGTTTGCGTTTGGTTGATTGGGGGTTTTTTTTTTCTTTACATGGGTACCTTACGTGCCTGGCTATGGGCTGGTTGGGTGGGTGGGTGGAACCTAACTCATTCCAATCTGGCTATGTGCAATTTTGGTTTTGTTAAGAGATGCTGCTGGATGGTTGTTTGATTGATAGTACTATCTTGGTATACATGATAGGTGGGTAGGTATGTAGTGTACTTCAATCATTTACCATATACAGTCTATATTGATATGGAATCTGACCATATATATATGGGAAATAATCAATACATAGCATGCGTATTAGATTGCGCAAGGATGAATGAAGTATGTCACGTATCATGTCTTGGAGTTTAAAGTCGATGTAGATAGATGTAGATAGATACAATAAAGATCATGTTGAGTCTTGTTATCAGAAACAACCTACATACTCTATCATTCACTTTATATAAATCATGTCACATGTAGAGCTAGTTGATGGTGATACCTAGGAGATAGATAATAAATAATACAGATACAGAACACTCCACCCACAACGCTCAATCCTAGAAATACATATATCGATGTCGATAATATCCAACCAGTCCCGTCCGTCTCGCGGAGTAGGGACGAGACAGGATCAGGAGGAATTGATGAACAGTAGTAAGAAGTTTAAACAACAACACTGGTCGGGATCTTGACTTGTCCCTTCTTGCGATCTTCCGACGGCACACCATATCGTCGGCCCGGAGCACGCGAACCACGTCCATCGTGTCCCACCGTCTTCTCGCTGAACTCGACGTCCCGGAAGCGGAATTCGAACCGAGACGCGGCGGGTGCCACCTTGTTCGTGCTCTGCTCCTCGCGCGCGGCTGCTTGTGCGCGCTGCTCGCCCTCGAGGCGCTCCTGCTCGAGCAGCCGCGTCCTGTAGTACTTGTTGGTCTCGCGCGGCTCCTCCGGGTGGGCGAGGCGGTGGCGCTCCAGCGCCACGAGGTGCGGGTGCGGGATACGTGCCTCCGCCGGCTGCAGAACTTGCGTCTCGAACTCGCCCTTGCCGACGCGCTCAATGCGGCCGGGCTGCTGCGTCGCGCGGTCGACCGCCGCGGTGGGGTCGGCTGCAGTGGCCGCAGCCGTGGCGAGATCCTGGGCCGGCGCGGCGGAGAAGACGCGGCCAGCGTCGGCACGCGTGAAGTGACGCGATTCCGGGATCGGGTGGAAGATTTGTGCGTTGGTCAGCTTGTGCACGGGTAGGTCGTTGATGGACTCGTGTGCCCTTCTAAGCTGGTACTCGGGGTCCTTGTAGAGCGGTGTGGTGGGCACCATCTCGTGGACGGCCCGGGCATAGGGGAGGGCCAGCTGCTTGTTCTTTGCATCAAATGCTGGTCAGCGACTGCGAATAAGTTTGCTTGTGGGAAGTGTAAGATGTGGGGTTGTGCATCAGATTATATGGCGTTCTAAGCATCCCGATCATTGACCGGTCATAAAGACTAATCGAATTTTCCTTTTTTCTCATCATGCAAGTAGGTACCCTGGTGGAGGTGGAGGTGGTAGGGAAAAAGTAAAAGGGAAAGGAAAAGAGAATAAATACCTGACTCTTCATCCTCTTCTCCAACTCAACCAACCGCACAACAGCCGCAACCCTCCTCATATCAACACCCAGCTCAACACTAACAGCACGCACACTCTTCTTGTTCTTGCCCGTCACCCTCGCATGGATCTCATTCCGCAACTCCTCACTGAGGATATTCTCAGCAGAGAAATAGGGGTTCAGCGGGAACGGATGCGTCAGGGCCGCCTTGCTGTTGGCGCCTTCTTCGCCGCGAGCCCGACGCTCCTTCAGCCGCGTCAGGTAGTTGGTCCGCCCCGGCACGTGAGACTTTAGCTCGGAGCCTTCTTTGGCCAGCCATTGGAACATGTCTGTCCGCCATTTCCGGCTCTGGGGGGCTGGCGTTGTGCTGAAGGGGCGGCTGCTGCCATTGGAGGCGGTGCCTGTGGAAGGGAGACGGGAAATAGAGGAGGATGAGGCTGTGGTGGAGGAGGTAGAGGAGAGGTAGGGGAGGAGGGTGTTTGTGACCCGTTGGTTATGTATCCGGGGGGGCATTGTGGAGGTGTGTGAAGGGGGATACTCGGGAAGAAAGGAGAAAAGAAAAGAGTCAAGGAGATTATTTTGATAGAAAGTACACAATTGACCGGCGGACGGCCAACGGAGGAGAGGTGGGGGGGGGGAGGATATGGAGGGAAGATGGTTGAGAAAGACAACCGAGAGGGAACGCGAGGTCGAAGAAACTTTTCTCTGCGTCGGTCCGGGTCACGTGTGCGCCGGGAGAAACCGTGGCCTCAGGCACTCAGGACCCACCGGATCACCTGACCTACATAGCGACTACTGCCCGACCAGTACGCCTACGGATGCAGTTGGATCAAAGAACGAATCAATCTCGCTGTCAAACTAGAGAACATAAACGAATAATAATAAGCAATGCGCCTCTTTCCTCCTGGTCCAAGATGCGGCGTAAGAATCAGAGTAATAATAGCGCGTTCATCCAAGGTAAAATCAACGGCCTCCCAACAACACCCAAGGAACACGCGCTGCGAACAGGATGCAAGTCGAACAAGAAGTAATTAATAAACAGGAAACACCAAGAAAAGACAGATTAAGAAAGAAGGGGCGAAGAGTAAAGAACATAAAGAAGGCGCTAGAAAATGGACAGGCGAGCAGATACCAGATGCCGTTTACCCCGTGGAAAAGCGTTCGTCAGATCAAAAATCCCAAACTATAACCGTGTAAACGCCTCCCACGATGGGTGCTCTCCCGGAAATCCCAGATGCTTTATCATGACATGAGTTGATTATACCACGCGCACCCCGGCCGGATGCGACTTCATTCTCTTTTTTCCTTTTTGCTTTTTGCTTTTTTTGTCGTTTTGGCTTTTCTTCGTCGTTGTCCTTTGACCCGGCGGTCCATCTAGTTCTTCTCCGGGGTCAGGATCGACGACATTCATCCATCCATATACCACGTTCCGCCTGTCAAGGAGTGCATCTGCGACTGCGAAACGGATCCGGGGACAGACAGATGGAAGTGGAATGCGAAGCGAAACCGAGCGCTCGACACCAATAGAGATCTATCCGACCCATGTTGGCAGAACGCAAGAAAACACAATACAGGGTATGAAAAGACAGGGCAAAAAGGGATCAAACGCAAAAAAAAAAACATTAGAACACAAAAGCCGACCAGGAAAATTCCGAAGCTCCCGCAGGAAGAAATCATTAACACACGGATGATCAAGATGCAATCCCCCCAAAAGAAAGCGACAGTATAACAGGGCGCCCATTAATCCATGCTGCTGAGCGACACGAGGAACACGATCATCAAAAAAGAACACGAAAGGGGAGAATAATAAGAAGAAAAAGAAGACGATGAAGAAGAATAAGAGAAGAAGGGGTAAATAGGTCAAAGATCAAGAAGAAGATGAACGAATAGTTGAAGCATAAAGCACGAGTCCAACCTTACGCCAAGGAGGAACGGGTGCCTCCGAATGCTTGTTCTGGCTCGTAAGAAAGGAAGAAAAAGCAACAAATTCCCAGATTGCGCCAACTACCTGAAATGATTCATGAAAACATGCCGGACATTAGCGTCACCCGGGTCCGTCTCCGCCACTTCCCCCACCCCTCCTACCGACCAAGCATGTAGTCGGGGTAAGGGGGGTTGAACCCCCCCGAGTTGGGACCAGTGGTGCCGTTGGTGCCGTTGACCCCACCCGAGGGGGGCGGCGTCGGGGTCATCATCGGGTGCAGGGGGCTGCGGATCCCCAGTCCCGCATTGGAATTGTAGGCGGCAGTGGGATTGGGAATTGGCCCATGCGGCCCCGGACCGTGCAGGGTGCCGTTACCCCTCATGCCTATCGGCTGGGGCAATCCGGGCGGGGCTTGCGACTCCAGTCCCGGGGGTGGTCGGGTGACGCCCGCGAACCCGTGGCCCGACAGGCCGGCGAGGTTGGCGCCGCCGCCGCCGCCCCCCGGTCCAACCCCCGACGACGCCATGGCCGCAGCGGCGGCCGCAGCGGCGGCGGCGGCGGCCTGCTGAGAGGACTGACCGGATCGCACCCCCAGTGGGTTCTTGGAGAAGCTCAGGCGGATGCCCGTCTTCATGCTGTTGGACAGCCTGAAACCATACAACTCGTTAAGCGACTTGCCTGCTGTGCCGACATCCTCGAACTCGACGAAACACATGGGGCCGTTCTGTTTGTTTCGGAAGCAGAGTCGCTTGTAGCCGCGCTGCTTCGAGAAGAGCGCCTTCAGCTCCTCCTCCGACGTGTCCGGCGGCAGGTTACCGACGTAGAGGGTGTTACAGGGCGGGTTCTGGTCATTCGGGTTGGCCGCGGGGAGGCTGTGGCTGTGGCGGGATGGATGGGAGTTCCTGGGGGGGTTGCCGTGGGGGTTGTTGCTGTGAGGGTTGTTGCTGTGAGGGTTGTTGCTGTGCGGTTTGCCGTACGGGACACCGTGGCCGGCGCCCATGGTGGTGGTGGGGGTCATGGACGGGGGATAGGCTGTGGAAGGGGTGGAGAGGCCCATGTGTGCGGCGGACCCGCCGGCGGGCGGATAGTTCGGCACGGGGGGCGAGGATATGTTGGTCGCCAGCGAAAGATTCGCGAACTGGCCGGTGGGCATCGGCGGGTTGGTCGACCGGCGGAAGGAGATGGAACCGGCATGCCCTTTCTCCGCGTAGGCCAGCGGATTATCGAGAATCACGGACGTGTCATCCTCCGGTTCCCCGTCGATCATCGCCTTACCGCTGACGCGGGGGAGGTCGTGGGCGATGCCGTTGCCGATGGGCGACTGTGGGGAGAAGAGGGTGTGGATGCGGTTCCCGGCATCGGCGGGGGCGGGGGCGGCGGTGGAGGGGGGGAAAGAATCGCTGGCGGCCGACGCGGGGCCATTGGCGGCGAGGCTCTGAAAGGTGCCGTTGAAGCGCGAGGACTGGCGCGAGACGGGACCGGTGGTGGGGATGCCGTTGCCCAGGAAGCCGCGCGACGTGGCGGTGTGATCGATGGTGTTGCGCCGGGGGCCCGGGCCGTTGTACAGCTCCACGATCATGTTGGCATTGTCGGTGGAGTTGCGCTTCCCGTGGAGCAGCAGCTGCGCTTCCTCGGCGGCATCGGGCGAGGCGAACCGCGCGATCGCACTCTTGTATCCCGCGTCCTCCGCGAGGTCGACCGTGACGAACTCAACATCGACCAGGCCCTTGGAGAAGAGCAACATGCTGCGCAGGGCGTCGTGGCCCGTGTTCTGCGGAAGTTTGCGCATGATGATGGCGTTCGTGCCGGGGATGGGGGATCGCGCGAAGCCGTTGAGGCGGCGGGACGCTCGGTCGGAGTCGGGGTGGCGCATGGCGGTCGGGGTGACGGCGTCCAAGGAGGCGGCCGAGGCGGCGTGTGGGGAGAAGGGGTCGGGGAAGGAGGAGGTTAACGACGAAGTCGGATGCGACATGGAGGGGGGGTACACGTCGGTCGACATCGCATTCTGAGCCGTCGAAGGCGGCTGCGACGAGGGGAATGACGGATGTGGCGGCGATGCGCCCGACGAGACGGACGGGGTGCGTTGGTTGGTGTTGAACGACCCTGGACTTGTACGGGCGGACTGATTCGAACTGCCACTCATGCCTCGCGAACCACAGACACTTTTCCGATCAGACGAAGGGGGGTATTCGTAGGGAGGTCGAGGAGAGAACTCCACGCGTTGGTCGATGGGGAGCAGATGGACGTCGACGATCTGAGTGCGCCCGGTGTGTGTGCGATGGAGAGGGGGGGAGGCGAAACGGATGATCAACGCCGACGAAGATGATCGCAGGAAGTCTAGAACTCTGGATGCGAGATGCAGATACGCCGAGGGGTCTTGAAATGGACGATTGACAGCAGAGGGACGCGCACGCAAAGGTCGCGGCGGGAACGAAATTGCGACAGCCGGAGGGACCAGATAGAGGGAGGGGGGAAGAGGCGACGGGATAGGCAGTGATAGGATGAGTAATGATGGAATCACCAGATGAAAATGAACGGAGGTATTCGATGCGACGGGCAAGAAATGAAACTTGACTAGTCCTCGAGATAATAAGATATGGATGAGATGGACCGGGGAATAGTCATAACACGATGTGACGCAAAGAACAGGGTTGAGGTAGGGAATAGGAGAAGTAGCGAAAACGTGAATGAGGAAGGAGGAAATGAAGAGAAGAGAAGCAAGAGAAGAGGGGGAAGGGTAAGGGGATATGCGAAAGAAAGAAAGAGGTAGAGAAGGAAGTAAAAAGGAGGGAAAGATAAAGAGGTGCGACAGAACAGAAATAGGGACGTGAGTATTGGGGGGTTTGAATTTTGGGGGGGGGGAAGAGAGTGGTTAGGAGTGTAGAGAGAGGATGGGAAGGTTTGATTAGCAGGAATAGTAGGAGTAATACGCAGGTCAGAACAGAGGAGGATGATGGTCGAGGTGTAAATTTCCCGCGGTTACAAAGAGGGGGGAGAGAAAGAGAAGAAAGGAAGAAAGCGGATGTACGCAGTAGAGAGAGAGAGAGAGAGAGAGAGAGAGAGAGAGAGAGAGAGAGAGAGAGAGAGATGTGAAAGAGAAGAAGAGAAGGAGGACTCAAGAGGGGGGATGAATGAATGGCTTCGGATGGCTTGTCTGTTGGTATGGCCAGGCTCCGTATTCTGATGTCACGTATGGTATGATTCTGTAATTACCGGGAAATATACAACATATAACAACACCACGGGGGCCAAATTAGCGGATATCCATCCCTCCACAGACCACCAACTGGCCCAGGAGCGAGTGGTAATCAAACAAACCGGTCCTGTAATCCGATGACGGGTCCTTTCGTTCTTTTGGAACCCCCGAAGTCGAGTCGAGTCGAGTCCGGAACAGTCAACCCTGGGTCTGGGGGAGTTTCGGTCCCATGGATCCTCTCCATTATTCCATTCTTCCCCTTTATTTGATCGCTCATGATGCTACTCTCCTCGATTTGATTTCATTCGATTACTTCATCCGATCCTAATTTATTTTCTTCCCTTCGTACTCCGTATATTCCATTCCAGTCCATTGTCATAATGATGTTGATATGACTAGTTCAATTCCACAGCTGAAAACAATCCCAACGAACTAACCTCCACGCTAACGATCAATCCCTATCCAACGAAAGCCCGTAGCTCCCATTAGAGGCGCGACGGTCGACTTCGGACACGACGCGCTTCTTCCTGGGTCTGACTAGTGATCGTCCCTGACCCTGCGTCTGGATCATCCTCGCCTGTATCTGTATCTGTATTTACCGTACTGGTCTTCCATCCTCACTCCTCGAGTCTAGATTGTTCATAGAACGTCCAGCCTGATTTATCCACCCATGTTGATGCTCGCAAGCCTGCCTATCATAACATTGGAAAGGAACAAGACACAAGAACCATGGAGCCTTTCCGGTTTTGTGGAGAGATGCGCGACTGTCACTTGCCGAGTGCGGCGCATCTGCCGCATGCGACGGTGCGTGTGCCGAGCGTACCTTATACCATCCATACATACATACACTTCTGTCTTCATACAAACCTTCTCTACTTGGGACACTATTCATCGTGTGGTCATGACATTCCGTTGGTTTGTTTTAATAAAGAAAACAAATAAATAATAAGAACAATCAATCAAATCAATTAAATAAGTAAAGAAATATACATAAAGTTGACCATGACAGCCGAGGAATGGTGAACAATGGATCTCTCTGCTCCACTTCCAGCCATCAGGCACGCCCAAGGTGTCCACTTTCCAGGGTCACCAAACAGAACGCAGCTCAAACCCAAATATCCTCCCCTGAAGACCCAGGTCATCTTCATTCAAGCCCTCAACCATCAACCAAATCAGCCACTTGCCGACCAGTGCCACTGGTATCCCTCATTAGTCACGCTTCCGAGGTGATCATGAGGCGGTGCCACCTTTTGTACGACTGTCGCGAAACCCGTGGGCAAATGACGCCAGTGTGAACTCTCTTGGTACGTATAGTTTGCGACGCGTTCCTGGACAAGCCGGGAGAAGACGTCAGGACCGTGACTTTCCGAGTTCCTACCTATTTAGTGCGCTTGTGTACATCGATGCGTGGATCATCATGTGATTAGACTTTATTCATACAATTTTATATCACCTATTTGATTCAATTTATTTATCTTATTTATCTATTCTCCTCACAGAGAATGATATTCCCCTACTGACTCCTGCACAATGCCAGGATGCGCCCTGACAGCTAGACAAAAACCAAAGGTTAAACGGCATTACCGACGCCCCCGATCTGCGGCCTGGAATTGTGTCCGTGGCCAATCAGCTTGCTTGGCTGGTACTGGCTTCCTGTAGCATTGATCCCTATACTGCTATATTCCATATACAATATGTTATATAGATATCTAGATATCTATACCTATACACATTGATTGCTCGAGTACATTTAGATTGTTCATAATTTGTCTTGTGTATAAGCACGCTATCAGAGATACCATGTTTTGTGATTCAATCTGGAGATCATGGGTTAGACTAGGAGTTTTATAATATATTTCGTTGTAAACCGGTCTTTGGAGAATGTACTGGTGACGTGGGGAGAATTAGTGGCCCGAGATTGAAAACGCCCCCCTGCGTCCTTGCGCAATAGTACTCCCAGCTATATCAGACAATTGGGTCTTGTAGATAGGTATAGAAATTGCTATAGATATGTATGTAAACATGTCTTCATAGTAATATTAGCATTACATTGCCATGTTGGACTCCTTGTTATCAGGATGCGAAACTGTGATAATACAGCATGATAAGCTTCATTCACAGGGACCACCTAGTGATGAGGAAATCAACCCTAAAAGGAGTTCACTTCTCTAGGCACTTCGCGGACACTCTATCATCAATCCGTAGTCATTCTGCCATCACTATACTGTCATAAGAGATAAAACTAAACCCTTTGTCTTCTTTCTCTGTTCCCCTTCTTGTTCCTACGTCTACAAAATTCCAGCAACTCTCTGAAGATCCTGCGTTTAACTACTACCTTGCATCAACCTTCCATATTGTCGCACTGAAGATAGGGCTACTTACAAAATCCAAAAATGTCATCATATCTTTTATACCCGACTGGTAATCAACACACATCGTAATTCAAGCCCCATTTCATACTCACGATCATGTTTTCAAACACCCAAACTGACCACATCACTTTTGACGAATTCCGCACTGCGATCATTTCAGTAGTCCAACAGAGAAACAGCGCATACAGCAATGCGGATGCACTTTCGATCCGCTGGGAAGATGACGATACCCACGCCGACGAATCTACTACATACTTCCAAAGCATGCTAGAGATGCCAGACCTTCTCAAGGCCGACGAACTGGTCCTCCAGCCCACAGATCGCACCCCAGGCTGGACAGTCCAAACCTCCATGTGAAAATGCTCGAAATATTTCAAGAAAGGGCAATGATACCCTTCCATTACGCTGGTCGTGCATATTATGACAAATGTGCCTTCATGGCTACTGCACGGGCTGATGAAAGGCCAATGAGTTTGGGTGTCTTTTGCCTGGATCTTGCCCTGGAGCGTAGCTACTACCTAGCTGATATCGACCATGTTGACGCTGTATTCTTCTTTGACTACTACGACGCTTTTGAGATGTTGAGAGACTCGCCGAACAGCGGCGGCCGGATTGTGGAATTCCCTGCGGCAACTGGGAGGACCCCTCGCAGTGCACTTGGCTTACCTCCACCGAGAAACACGGTGACGGGAAACTTAGCTGTAGAGATTATGCGCCGACAGCGCGAAGGACACCGCCTCGTGGTATTTGCGGACCTTGTTCAGACCTTGCGTGGGCGAGATACTGTCATGGTGAAGCCCGTCCATGGTCTCACGATGGGCGCTTCCTCTGTTTGTCTCCCTCTGTTAGATTCGGTAGCCCCCGAACACCCTTTGTTACGAGCTGTCTCCAGCGTTTCGGTGTCGGAGACTATATGAACAGGACAGTCAGATGGTCATGTCTCCTGGATGAAAATCCTCCCGCCAGGTCTTTCCCTGACTCTTGATGGCGTATATCAGACGACGACCTCGACCTGTCTCGTCATTCAAGGCGCATATTCAGTTGATTCCAAGCTCAGGGGAATCAAAGGAATCAGTCTCGTCACGGAGACAGGAACCTAAAACCTTCTCTCCGAGGTTCATTCATCTACGTGCTGTATCGCATAATACTACTAGCCACTAAAAGTGAATGACAGTCGGTTAGATTTAAATTCATGACCCCTAGTTATTTCTCAACAGACAAAAGGTGGCAGTCCCAAAAGGGCGTCCTCATCTGATTATCATACCCCCCAATCTGATCACACAGTGGGAAAAGGAGATCAGTACTATGACAACTGTTTTCAAAGTTCAGGTATACCATGGTGACAGCCGTGGTAAACTAAAACTAGATCGACATCATCAAATATTTAGTGGAAAGCAAACGCCCGTCTCTACACGTCTCTTCCTTTACACCCTTCTTCAACCTTACAGACATCTATCTCTACATGTCTCTTTCTTTACATTCTTCTTTAATCTCATAGATACCTGTCTTTACATATCTCTTTCTTTAAAACTATGGAAATAAGCGCGACCAGCATCTCTAGAAGGAATACTATAGATATTATATATCTAGAGTTAGACTTATTAGATATTCTTAAAGCTATAAGCCATAAACACTTTTATTACTACTCTCTTACTCCTATATCAAGTACCCAAGACTATCACATACCCATGATTATATTACTGATACAAGCTGACCGGCCCTATTCAGGCCCATCGGTCGTCAGTGTCTTGGAAGGATCCTGGAAATGGAGATAAAATCAAGTATAATGCAATTATCTCTCCCTCTCTCCCTCACTCTCTCTCTATTTCTCAACAAGAATCTTACGCGATGTTCATTTTGTTCATTTTATTGAGTTTATCAAATTTTTTGATACATACCAAAGAGGAACTTGGAGGCTGCGCCCCAAAAGTAAATCAATGAAGAACCGTCGTAGGAGGCCGCAGTCTACGTACGACGAGTACGAATGCGAGTACCGCGCAACCAATACCAGATACAACGCGCCTCTTGAACACCTTACCAGTCAACGCGCCGGCTATCTGCGACAGCCGACTGGACGCAACCCCATTCCGCTCGAGCCAGAGTTCCCCTGCGCCGAATGTCGGCTGTAAGTTCACATCGGCTGTAAGTGATCCGCGGGTTCTGAATACTACGAGGGAGGTGAGGATGGGAGAAGGATTTCCGTCATGAAACTTTATAGCTCCTGTTGATACATCCGCTGAACCCGGAGATAGATGAACCGTCTGGGAACTGTCTCATACAGGACCGCAATTTGTAGCCGGTGCGCTTGCGTCACCGGATCCCGACTATATAGATATTAGACAGGATATACCAGATGGTCGAGGCTATAAGTCTGATGACATATTCATGACATGCCACAACGTCAAGACCGTTAATGCAGAGCTAGGCCAGTGGAAATGCGGAATCTCTCATGTCATAATGTAATATAACAAACCCTTGTAATGTACAGGTAGGTAGATAGGTGGATAGGTCAGAAGTAGCGAGCTCTTCTGTACTGCGATCCCAAATAAGAAAATAGAGCAATAATATAACAGCCCACTGTAAACGCCTCGACAAATGCCAGAATCAAACCCGCTCAGAGGGTCATTTGAGAGGGTGCGCTCTCTCGTTTGACCCCGTAGATAACGCACCATAGCTAACACACCACGACGAACACCACACCTAAGGAGATGGAAAAGTTCAGTTCTTCTGCTTGGGTTTCATCAACCCGCCCTACAGTCGCAACATTACCAGTTAGCTTTGTCCCTTAAACACGAACGCCTCAATCATGCTCCCTCAGGATATAACCCACCAGACTCAGTAACTTCCACACACTGTCGCTGGGCTGCGCCCCCACACCAAGCCAGTATTTCGTCCGCGACTGATCGAGCGTCACGTCTTTGACCGGGCGAGCCGAGGCGTTCTCGTCGTGGACATTGTTGTTCGTTTTGGGGACGGGGTCGTACGTGCCGATGACTTCGAGGGGTTTGTTGCTGCGGGCGGATCTATTTCTGTTAGCTGGGTGGAACGTGCAGAAATTTGCAATCGCTTTGGTGTTGAGTTGCTGAACAGCGACTTCTCGTCGGGGAAGAGAAAAGTAGAGCGAGAAAAAAGAAAACATACCGAGCCTGCGCAACGACGATATTGTAAAAAGGCTGGTGCTTGTTGCCGAAACGGGCGAGACGAATGCGAAGAACCATCTTGGCGGGTATGAATTGACGCTGGACGGGGAAGACTGCTGGCGCTGCGAGACGAACCTCCGGAGACAATTAATTGATTCTGATGCGATTCCCATCGGCGCTGCTCTCCGGGTGTTAGTTATTCCGAAGTTATCAGATCGGGACTAGCGCAGGACGACGTGGGACTACTTACATAAGCGTGATATGATGATGCTATGCTAACTATGATGCAATGAATGCCTTTCACTTATTTAGTTCGACCTTTCCTGCTCTGGAGTTGTTCAATTGGTCTCGCAATCGTTGACTACTGCTCTCACGGTCAGATAGATACCTTCTGACTAATTAATTTTGTAAAACGCGCCGTACTGTATGTTTCGGCCTGCATTGTTCTCTCGCTGCCTTCGTCCTGCTGCACTCCGGTACAGATACTACTCCCGAACCGCAAGGATGTCGTTGAAGGTGCGCTCTCGATTGAACCTAGTATATGTTAGACTAGAGCTAATGAGTGTGTAGGCCATCTCGTCGAAAGATGCTGCGTCGCTTGACAAGGACCTTATGGACGCGGACATCGGCGGTTGGTCCTTGGACCAGCTGATGGAGCTGGCGGGGCTGTCTGTTTCGCAGGCTGGTATATTGACACCTTCTGCCTAGGTAAAAATGGCTGGACTGACAGTAATTCACTTGGATAGTCTATCGAGTCCATCCTCCTAGCGCGGGAAAGAATGTCCTTGTTGTTTGTGGGCCGGGTAACAACGGTATGTTGTAGCACGCATCCATCATTGCTTTTGACAAACACGACCAAAGAGAACAGAAAGAGATGAATCAAGTAGATTCATGGCTAATATGACAAACAGGAGGTGACGGCCTCGTGGCAGCTCGCCATCTAGCCCAATACGGCTACACCCCATCCATCTACTATCCCAAGGAGGGCAAGAATCCCCTCTACCAGGTATGATTCCCCATCTTTTTCAACAAGACAGCAATCAAGCAATCAATCAAGAAAAAAACAACCAAAGAAAGAGACTAACCAACCAGCGCCTCAAAACCCAACTCCACAACCTCTCCGTCCCCTTCATCACAGACCTCCCCCCCGCAATCCGCACCTCCGACTTTCTCGTAGACGCCATCTTCGGCTTCTCCTTTGGTGGACCCCTGCGCGACCCCTTCCCAACCATCATCTCGCAGATCGAAACCGCCTCCATCCCTGTTTTGAGCGTCGACGCCCCCAGCTCCTGGGACGTCGAGTCCGGGCCGCCCGAGTCCGGCCCCGGCTCGAAGTTCATGCCTGATGCTCTGATCAGTCTCACGGCTCCTAAGCCCTGCGTGTGCTTTTACCGGGGTCGCCATTTTCTGGGTGGGCGCTTTTTGACTGATGCTGTGGCGCGGAAATATGGGTTGGATGTCCCTGCTTATCCGGGGGTTGATCAGGTTGTTGAGATGCCTGTTGATGCTGATGGGGGGAGGCTATAGCGGTTGATGTTTATTCTCTATTTATGTCCATATTAATATCTAGTTAAATCTATACTTATATCTATCGCTTGTCTTATTTTGGATTTTGCTCTTCCGGACTTTCTTTGAGCGACTTTTTGCAACCATGCAACCTATGGCCTAGCTCAGGCGCCAGCCCAGGTTCCAGACGGCCCAATATACAAAGTATGTTTCTGCTTGGAGTGATTTCCCCAATGACCATAGCTATAGTGCTGATCTCTCACACACTGGCTTGCTTGTCTGACTGAAGCTGATTAGTTTTCTCAGTCCAGTATATTTCATCATCTTCCTGCGTCCGGCGAGTATCAACCCATGGAACTCCACCGGATAGAATGAATGCCAGAGTGCTACCAGCTATTGGAAGATACTAGTAAAACCAGTATTATTAGCTTACCTCAAAGGTGACAAGATCAGAAGATGAACTCACAAATATTGTAAAGCAATCTCCTGCACACTTAGAGCTCCAGCATCAAGAAGCATCTTGATCTCCTTATGATCTAACGAGGCCTGATCTTGTAGCTGCCTTTTTAGTTTGTTCTAGAAGATAGTGCCTCCTATGCTTTGTAACACTGCACTCCCAAAGTATTGCATGAAGAGAACAGTGGCTATCCTGACTAGAATGTTGCGAGGTCTATTAATTAGTACCAGCTGAACTGTAAGTAAAGGGATCTAGGCTGTAAATTTATCACCCAGGCCCTGGAAGATCTGGTAACTAATCTATGATGTGAAGGTTAAGAATATAGTAAATATTATGTAAAGCCTGTTCGCAATGCAGAGAAAGGCAGAACCAATGAAGACCCATGGATTATAATATTTGAGGTGTTTAGCTATAGTAATGTAGTGTCAGTATAAAGTTTTGTCAAGTGGTAAGAACATGACCTGTCTTACCTAGTATCCCAGAGATAAGTGCTCTAAAAGCCTGAGTGCAGACCGCAGGTAGAAGCATGACTCCACACACTTGCTGCTAAATCACATACTGATAAGGCATCTTATTTCGAATCATTACTGGAGAAGAATATTATCTCAACTGTTTTGACTGGGACCTAAGGATACAGTTGCTTCCTATATCTATAACAGGAATATCATCCCCTTCTATAATCAGTAATACTTTGTTACAGCCGAGCCCTGTCCCCGAACCGCCCAACGATTTTATCACGCGGAGACTTCTGAATATCACAGAAGGTGAAGGACTTCTCCTCAAGTTCCGTACTGACCTAATGCCCCTCTTTCCCTTCGTCATATTACCCGAAGTGAGCTTTGCCGAACCTCGCAATGAGTCTCCCTTCCTCCTCTTGTGCATAATGACCGCTTGTCTCGAGCACAAGCCCGCTCTGCAGCAGAAATTAGAATTAGAAGCCCGAGCTGTGGTCTCTACCCGCATAGTAATGAGCATGGAGAGGGACATGGATTTACTGGGGGGTTACTGGTTCATATCGCTTGTCATCACTATCATTGGCGTACCTATCATACCCAGGTGTACTTGCTTCTTCAGATGGCCATGACTATCGTTGTTGGGTTGGGCCTTGATAGACACGACAACTTTAGCATGCAACGTATCTCTCGTTCTGAAAAACAGACGGAGGAGTCACAAGGGACAAGCGCTCTATTTGACTCCGGACGGACAACGTGCCTTCTTCCGCGTGCCTTCTTAGGATGCTACTACCCATGTTCCAAGTGAGGGCTTCTAGCATACCGCACAGTGCTATTAACTAACAAGACAAAGACCTCCATATTCCGGCGACAGCTAACCATGAAACATACAGACTGGGTCGAGTGTTGTGCCCATAGCTTAGGGCAAAGGGCCGAGTATCCGTATCCCACGGACCAGTCTCTAAAGGCGCTAATTGAGATACAAGCGCTTGTCCAGAAATCGGAGCGAGAAGATGAAGATCCTACCCACGAGATGAGCAAGGACGAACTCTTCCAGTCTATAGACTTACTGGAGAATCGAATCGAGCGCCTTCTCGCACAGGGACCACAGTTCAATACCTGTATGTCCATCTGAGCCTGATTATTTTTCCACGTACTGATCCGACCAGGGTCTCTGCGTCTCGAGCTCAACGCAACTCCTGTCCTTGTTCTCGGCCATACCCTCCGCCAACAAAGGGATGTCCATGCTCAACATGAACATGAGAAACAGCACTTCCTCACCATCGCGCGCTCCGCGCTCAACATCGTAACGGTATTCCTCGCATCACCAGCTTCAGTCGCACGCAATCTCCCCATGTCCAGCTACACAACCATCTGGTACGGCCTTCTCGTGTTATCAAAGCTGAGCTTGCTCTCAGACACCACAACAAAAGACAAGACAGTCGAAGTCCATCACAAAGATATTCATGATCTTGGCCTTGCCGTTTTGCAGAAAATGGAGGCAATGTCGCGGGGAGATGATGTTTAGAGTAATTGCCGTGCGGTGATTGGGTCTATGCTGTCCTGGTTGGAAGGTAGTCGGATACAGCCCCATTCAGTACGAGATCGAGGAAATACGTCAATTGCCCGGGACGCTGAGAACGCGAATACTTTACAACAATCTGTACCGGAGGATCCCTTTGGTGACAAAGAGCCTGCTGCAGCGGTGACTGAAGATTGCGATGCTACTGTATGGCAACAGATGGTGCAAGATTTGACCTGGATAGGATGGCCGGTGGAGCAGCAGCAGTCCGCCGTAGATCTAGCTTACATGCCTTGAAAGCAATGTGACTTTCATATGCGTCAAGGATCCTCAGCCTTCAACCGCCCGCTACGAACTATGTGCAGTGGTAGGTGGGATTTTAAGCCAACCTGAGCGGTAGATCCGTAATGCCTATATTTGTTCAATATGCATATAGATGTTTAATTCCACCGTGATCGTGGCGTACGCTACTGACAACGATAATCGTCGCTCTAAATTTAAAACTGATGTCTACTTAAATAGAACTGAAGGTAACTTATATCATTGTTCGATTGATTCATCAGGCATGACTAATGTGATATGTGATTCTATCGTGAAAACATCTTCCCTACATCGACTCTCTGATCTCGTTGATGATGCCCTTCACCCGCGGCTCCTTGCCAATCCCAGACGTAGCAACACGGTCGAGGACGTTCCGCACGTCGTACACCTGCCGCGCCGCGCTCTTGATTTCCTCTCCTAGCGCTGTGATCAACGTCCCTAGCGCCACGAGACTGCGGTAGACTGCTTCCGAGTCCTTCTCGCCGGCGATCATCTGGACTAGTTCGGCGAGGAGATGGAGGCCCATTTCTGAGGACTCTGGGTCTGAGGCCCGTTCCTCGGTGGTGAAGTAGACGGCGTAGTTGATGTAGAGGGTTGCGACGGCGATGGTCAGGTTGCGGTTGGGTGTTGCTCCGCTGTCGGCTAGTGCGGATTTCACTGCTGGCATGATCTGCTCGAGCTTGCTGACCGCGAGACGACGGCCTGCATCCGTCTCGAACAGATTGGCGAGCATTCGCACCGACAGCATGGCGTTGTTTACGTTCAGCGGCGACTCGAACACGCCGCTGGCTTGGATCCCCGAGATGAGATCCTTGCCGTGGTAATCTGCGGTGGCGGTCACTGGAGTCGCTGCTGCGAGGAGACGCAGGAGGTCTAAGCCGGGTAGCTTGTTTGCGGGAGGCCATGTCGTCGCAATCTTAAACAGTAGTTCAAGCCCGCTTTCCACCGCGGGCGACTTCGTGAGACTCTCTGGTTTCTCTAGCTGCCCGCACAGAGCGACCACCGTCTCGACTTCGGGGGGACTCAAGGACACATCTTTCGATCCGGACGAGGCAAGATGGTCGTTGATTTCTTGAATTTTCTTGGCGATCACCTTGAGGTTGGCGCCCTTGATGGAGAGGTACGTCTTCTGCGGGAGGACCGTGGGGCGGGATTCGGGGATCGATGGTGGCTCGGATGCCTCGCCTGGGCGGTAGCGTCTTTCCTGGCCCCAAGGGTCCGCACCCGGCGCGGTTTCTTGAGTAGGCTGGCCTAGAGTGGCCCCTTGTGTGTTTTGGACGATGAATTGTGCAACCTGGTCGAGGTAGCTCATCGGGAGCTCGTTGTCCTGGATGAATTTCGTCGCCGCTTCGTACGGGTTCTGCGAGACGTTGAAGGGGAGTTTGAGAGGTGGCTTTCCGTCCTCCACGTCCACGTCGAATACATAGTCGTAGTCCTGCCCGTGGTACTCGGTCTTCTTCCCGCTGCTGGCCGCGGAGTCAACCACGGTGCCCACTGCGATCCACTCTTGCGATGCTGCCGACCACGTGTGAGCGGTGATGCTACCGTTGTCCTCGCGGATCATCTGCACTTGTCCGTCCTTGGTGCCTGACTTTTGCTTGAGAAATTCCGGGCCGGGGAGCTGTTCTTTGTTCACCTTCCCGACCTGCTGCTCGGGTATTGCCGATTCTCTCACCGTCTGCTCAAATTGCTGAACGACCTCTGGGCTGGCAACCCGCTCATCGCTTCTGGTGAAAATTCGTGTAATACGGTCGCTTGCTCCGGTCACAATATCGCCATTATCTTTGCACGCGTCGACGCTCCAGACTGAAATAGCTGGGTGCGTGATCGTCTGCACACACTGGGTGCCATTCCAGACCCTCACTGTCCGGTCCTCTCCTGAGCTCACCAACTCTCCCGACGGCAGAACGGCAATGGAGTACACGAAGCTTTCGTGGCCATGTAACTCAGCAACGAGGTCTCCCTTGAGGGTAAAGAGTCGAATGATCCCGTCGTTGCTGGCAGAAGCGAATTGTGCTCCCGAAGGATGAGACTCGGGCAGCTTGCACAAGGCCCGGACCACATCCTTCGAGTCCTTGATGCTCCCCAACAACTTCCCTGACGTATTGAATATCCGAATAATCTTATCCGCGCAACCTAGAGATAATCAGCATCATGGTAACACCCTGTCCGTCAGGCCGACCTACCCGTGATGATGGTATCTTTGTCATAGGCGAGGACCGCCCAGACACTCCCTTCGTGACCTTCCAAGACGGTCCTGCATTCCCACTTGCCTACCTCCCACAATCTCGCGGAAGAATCCCAGCTCCCACTTACAATCCACCCACCCTCCGGTGACACATCCAAGGCGCAGACGTTGCCCGCATGGCCCAGTAGCATTGCATCTGCATTGTCGCCCGCTGTCTTGCCCGGTTGTTTCGCTTCGATGATCGTATCCTGTCCCCCGGAGATCACGAGGCCCTCCGGAAAGTCGGATGTGGGTGGGTAATATGCCACGGTGTTGACGAAGCCCGAGCCGTGGGAGGTGATGGCGTAGTCGTATGTCGGAGGCGGGGTAGAGACAACTTTCCACAAACGCACGGTCGCATCTCGAGAGGCTGAGCACACTACATTGGAATTCAAGTAGGCCACGGCACGGACCTGTATTTCGAGATGACAGACGATTAGAGATCAGGAGTTCAGAAAGGTCAAGGTGGTGTTGTGGCGGTCAATGTCAACAGACGGGGGAACTCTTACATCATCGCCGTGGCCTTCTAAAGAAGCGGAGATCTTGAAGTCAGGCATGCATACAGTTTGTTCGTAGAGAGGAGGTAAACAGGAGCAATTCAAGGTAGGTTAAACCAGAAGGGAAAGGATCAAATGGAGGGATGATAATCAGAAACACAGGTCTTTCAGGGTCACTTTGACCATTGAGTTGTAGTAGGGGGGGAACTTGGTTGTCTCAACCCATAGTAAGAACGCCCATAGTTAACGGGATGGCGTAACTGCGGTGAGTCAGCATGATCAGGTACCGTCACGTGCGCGGGGAAGAAGGTACTAGAACCTCTCCGTCCATCCACTCTATAACTTCAATATCAATACAGTTGTTCATTCTCGAATGAAGAGGAATGGAGAAGATAGAGAGAATGGAGCACTGCGCTGGCTGACCGCTTCCAGCAGAGATCTTCTCCTGTCCAACAAATATCAACCCTGCCAGTTGATCAACTTTTGGACCGCCAACAGTCCCAGGCACGTCTCATTGCATGAAGTATTCGATTGTCTGTCTGGACGAATTGAATCAAATCGACAGAAATATGTCTTTGAAGGCGAAGGTTTTACCGTGCTATGGGATAATGATCGATTCCAGCCCTTTGATCAACACAATTGCCAATAAAAACAGGCTCGTCTACTTTCACGCATGCTTTGAACCGGGTCAACAAAGCCGTTTGATGTCTTTGACTAGACAACATGATGAAAGAATTTATTGCTAGGACGATGTTGATTGTTGGCATGAAACTATCACCTTCAAAGCCCTTTCAAACCCCAACTCTGGTTCCCATTGTTAGTATTATACATGCTGTAGAGTACTCATCATCATAAACTCTGTATATAAGACATCCTTATGCACGGTGGGAATATGACCGACTTGTGTCTTCATCTTAACATCGTACAATTCGACACGTACTGAAACACTTTGAAGCTTTCATCATGGCCGCAGACTTGAACCAGATTGTACGTTGATCTCTAGCACGCTGTTTGACCTCCCTTGCTGATCGAGCCCCTTAGGATCTCGTCGTTGGTGGTAGATTTCGCTTACTTGAATATGTAGCCGGTGGTTCTTTCGGAGAAGTCTTCATGGGTATACACAACCCTCTGGTCCCTTCGGTTGAAATCTGCTAACCGCCCGACGCTGTAGCGACCGACCTCCAGAAATCCCAGACCGTCGCGATCAAACTGGAGCCGAAGATAGACAGTCTCGAACCCTCTCCCCTCGCGCTAGAACTAGACATCTACCGGAGTCTCTCGGGAGGCGTGGGCATGCCGAAAATGTACTGGTATGGCGAAGAGGGCGACTATCGAGTGATGGCAGTTGAGCTACTCGGTCCCACCCTCCAAGATCTCCTCACCTACGTCGGCAATCGCTTCAGCCTGAAGACGGTTCTCATGATTGCAGACCAGTTGATCTGTCGTCTTCGCTTCATGCACTCGAGGAAGGTCCTCCACCAAGACGTCACCGCGGGTAATGTGATCCTGGGCACCGGCCGGAAAGGCAACTGCATCTACCTCACCGACTTTGGCTGTGCTGCTCAGTACTTTGTGGACCCGAGCCAGGCAGACCCATTTGACAGAATTGGGACAGACACCTTTGCCAGCATAAGTGCGCACGCTGGACGTGGTAAGTCGCCTTCTTGTTTTCTTCAAACGCCTGATTGATCATGCAGACTGACCATGCAAATAGCCCAGTGTCCTCGAGACGACCTGGAAAGCCTCGGGTTCCTTCTGCTCTATCTTCTGGGAGCTAAATTCCCGTGGGATGACTACGTCCCGAGATTCCCCATGAACCAAGACCTGATATGGAGGGACCTAGGCCAAATCAAGAGCGACACCACGATTGAGAGACTCTGTGAAGGTTTCCCGTATGCCTTTCAGTTGTATTTCCAACATGTCCGATCGCTACAGTACCACGACCGGCCGAATTACTCCTATCTGCGGAGTATTTTCCGAGAGTCATTTGTCGATAGTGGATTTGAGTACGATCATGTCTATGATTGGACGGCTCAATTGTTTGAGATCGTTCGAGAGAGGGGACCGGAGGAAACTGATGATAGCACTGTCCCTGCTACGGACGATCATAGTGAGGGTGGCATGCCCATTCCAGCTGCGTGAATACTGGGCGCAAAGTGTCGTGAAGAAAATGATGGTTCTTTCGTCTCCATGTGTGGCAGTGTGCATTTGGATCTTGTCTTGAGCGTTTCTTTGTTTAGATTTGTTATTAGGCATTTGCCAGATGGTGGAATTTTGGATAGATATAGACTTACACATTGACTAATTTTGAGAAATATCAAAGAATTGTCTGCAACTACGTTATGTTTATGGTATACACCTATAGTAAGGTGTACATTATGAGGCAGTGATTGTAAGCGGACCTTCCAAACGCAGAGTTAATTTTTCTCTTGCTTCATATTCTACAAGTTTGATTCATCAGATTATCGCCACTGTATACCCTCATCTTGGATGGCTTCAAATCATCAAACTGATCGATTCTATCCATCTTGGCTCGGCTTAGCTGCTAAATGCTGGCATTCTGCAGCATGACCGTTTCCCGGTTTGAGTCTATTATTAGCAGCCCTTGTTAGTTTCGGACTCATTGATCGGCCGAGGTAGCATGTCCATTGTTCGAACAGAGAGTCATTCTATTACAAAGGGTTGTAGACCTCGACACGTGGGCTTTGTGCCAACCCTGCACACCAGCGAAGAGGAGACAAAGAAGATGAGACAAACAAAGCAGCATGAAAGTACCGTCTTCGAAAACATTTAAGAAGAACGATGTCGACCCTGAAAAGAGCCTCGACATACCGGAAGATACCCCATACGTGTGTCAACGTTCAAACTCAGTTACCCCTGATCGTAATCCGTTATACCACTGCGAATATACCTACCCTGTCTCCATCTCAGGATGGACGAACAGGCAAATAACCCCGCCACTGGCTGGGGCCAAATGGGCCCAGACGAAAATAGTGGAATGCTCGCCCTGTCCGTACTCCCCGACTACGTGGATCTCGGACGCGCATACTGGGACAGCTTGAACAAGATCCACCTCACACCCCGCGCGATTCTCGAGTTCAAAATCCGAGTAGAGACCTTCCGGCAGCTCAAAGAGCTCGCTGGAGAAGAACTACCTGAGATAGAGGTGCCGACGGTGGAGGGGCGGATGGCGACAGACGTGAAAGTATTTGCCAGACGTGGCGGTCCTGATCTAAGCAGCTTTCGCGGGTTGACACTTCGGGTATGTAAGCCATTTCTCCTGTCCATTTCCGATTAGAGCTAGCTAACAGTGCCCATCCCTAGAGAGAGGCAAATGAAAACAAGGGCGAACAGATCATCGGCCCCCCAATCACCCGAGTCACCGCTTACGATGCAAACTTCGAAGTCTTCATGGACAACCACGGCTGCGCCGTGGCCGAAGTAGAAGATCCCCGGCCCAAGAACATTGACGAGTTGACTGCTGTGGTCAACAGGCGACGAGACTCCGTCGCGCAAAGTACATCTAAGGACTATATGACCTTCATAGAGAAGGCCCGCGAGGAGCATGAGATCGAAAGATTTGACGATGTCTTGCTGGCCATCTACCGCCACAAAAACAACATGATGCGCGGACCGGACATGGAAACCCGATGCCATGAGCAGCTGGAAGACCTGGAGCGGCTCAACGAGTGTCTCATCCGTGCAAGTCCCGACATGTACGACGGGGCCAAGGAGAGTACGCTCAACGCCGAGATCCTCCACAAGCTGCGGCCGGTCCTCCAGACCGAAAAAGACGGGGGCCCGATTCTTCCGAATTTCTTCTTCGACTGCACCGAGGCAGAGGGGAGACAATCCGTCGGGAAGCTCCAGGCGCTACACTCTGGGGTCTATGGTGCACGAGCGTTCCATCGTCTGCAGTGCTTTCTCCAAGGCGAGGAAGCGGCCCCTATTTACGATGGGAACGCATACACGATCGCGGTCGTGATGGTAGGTTATCATTTGTGCTTTTATTGCATCGCTCCTTGTCCCCCGACAAGCCCAACCCGACAGACGGACTATAAGATGTGGTTGTTTCGTGAGATCAACATGAAACGCGGCTACAAACCCTTCCTGACAGCTCTCGCTGCGTTCAAGAACTGTCGGGAATGGGCCCATCAGCAGCGCAATCGGTTGATCAGCGAGGCAAACGACGCCGGGAGAAGGAAAAGGAAGCACTCTGAGGATGATTCACAGGGTTCGCAGGACAAGGTCAGGCGTGTCTGACCACGTACTGAGGGGAAAGGAGTTTGGAGTTCGTAGTTTGGCGACGATATCAATTGACATGTAGAGATGCATAGATTAGTAATAGAATTATGTTCACAATATCACGCGTGCTATCTCTTATCGATAAGGACGGGGCCTCACGTGCAGGGACCACGCTAACCCCCAAGTGGACTAGCGTGGGATGTCAAGAAAGCGGAATCAATCGAGGTGGAAGTTGGGAATAACATCCATTCCTTTCTTTCTTTCTTTCTTTCCTGACGATTTTACGAAGGCCCCCCTTTTTCCTTTCTCATCCACCTCCCCCTCCGGACTTCTTGTACCGGGCTAGGTATCTTCTAGGACCACTGCCGGACTCGCTGTCTTCCGATTGTGGTCTCTCCCCGCTTCTTTTTCTCTCCCACCCCTCCTCCAACTTTCTCCGAATTCTGCATTCCATTCGAAATACATCCCCACGATTCGGGGTGACGACTTGACGAGACGACGAATTTCATTCTGTACTATCATCTACGTCTATACTTTTGTGCGTTGAGCTTGTAGAGTTTCATCTCCCTGTATCCTGGGCGTTGCTTGGACCCGTGTCGACCTACTGCGGATCTCTGCATTTAACGGCCGCACCGAAACCCTCCTCCGTCTGCTGGACCACGCAAAACGATTCATCTTGGGAGACTCTTTATTTCAATTCCATGATGCCGTCCGGTATGTCGCATACCCCTATACCGTTGTGCGCAACCGTCGTCCACGACTAACCCGTCTAGATATCCCTAAGGTTGTACCTTTGACGTGCCACGGACACTCGCGCCCCGTGCCGCATCTTAGCTTCTCCTCGACCGTGGAGGATGACCAGTACTATCTCATCTCTGCTTGCAAGGGTATGTCTTTTCCTAGTCTATACTCGGTATCGTGGTTGACCGATGAATGCTTGATCCAGACAACAACCCCATGCTCCGAGATGGCATCACTGGCGACTGGTATGCTTGCACCCCGCTTTTCTCCCTCAGCTTCTTTTCTACGCAGGTCTTTTCTAAACATATTACAGGATTGGAACTTTCCTCGGTCACAAGGGAGCAGTATGGCAAGCCCGTCTCTCCACAGATGCCAACATAGCAGCAACGGCAGCGGCAGACTTCTCTGCGTGAGTTCCACCAACACCACTCTCTACCTACCTTATCTAACACCCAATAGTAAAGTCTGGGACACTCACTCCGGAGAGTGTCTGCACACGCTGCAACACGCGCATATCTGCCGCGCCATTGCCTTCCCCATCCAGCCGTCCCCGCGGGTCCTCGCAACCGGTGGATATGAGAAGAAGCTGCGCATCTTCGATCTCTCACGCAGCAGCGGCAGCGGCAGCAACAGCAACAGCTCGTCGCCCACCTTCCCGTCCCCTACGAACGGCGACAACGGCGCCGCGGCCCTCACCAGCTACGAGATCGGCCCCGGTGTCCACGGCGGCACCATCAAGTCCATCATCTGGAACCAGGATTACAACATCCTCACGACCGCCGCCGAAGACCGCAAGATCCGCTGGTGGGATCTCCGCTCTCGCCACCCTATCGTCGAGCACACCGTCCAGGGCAACATCGGCAGCTGCGAGCTCAACACCCTCGCCACGCGGCCCAACGACCCCGGCATCCTCACCGTCGCGGCGGGCAAATCCGTCTACCTGTTCGACGGCATGAACCCAGGCCGTCTCCTCAAGAAGTCAACCTTCAACTACGAGGTCGCCAGCGCAGCCGTCAACAACGAAACCGGCCGATTAGTGACGGGCAGTGCAGACGACACCTGGGCACGAGTCTACGATCTCCGAACAGACGAAGAGCTAGGTACGTGTACCCCAACTTCCCCCAACATCAAATCCAGCCAACCAACTAACAATCCCCAACCAACAGAAGTCCAAAAAGGCCACCACGGCCCCATCTGGTCCGTCAGCTTCTCCCCAGACGGAAAACTCTACGGCACCGGCAGCGAAGACGGAACCATCAAATTGTGGAAAGCCTGTCGCGAGACGTACGGTTTGTGGCGGTGATATTTATATATAGAAACCACATCTCCACATTATACCTCTTTGCTTCCGTTATCTTCTTTCTCACTAAATGTAAGGAAATCAACTTACACACCTGCTACCTACCTATCTGTCTACCCACCGTCCACCTCTACTTCCGTCCCCCATGTATATACATACCATATCCCCACAATTTTTTCTTTCCCTCTTTCTGCTCTTTTCTTAGCAACCTACATTCTAAATTAGTAACGTGGATGGATATTCCAGTCACCTTGTCAGTGTTAGCTGGTTGGGTAATTATCGTTTGCATGGATACTGGATATCTACCGTATGTTTTCTCTATTACTGGGTAGGTAGGTACCTAGGTAGACACAGATACTTGGGTATTCCTATCCAGGTATTGCTACTACAATCACTACCTTAGGAGGCGGTACCTACCTGGCCAGATATCGAGTTTATGGTCATACACATGGCAGAATAGTACTACGGAGACAACAGCAAATACCTATCTACTCTGGAAATTCGTTTTGATCTCCCATCTCACAAAGAAAAACAAGCCGTAAAAAAGTAATAATAAAAATCTATCCGTTCCGTTCCAGTCTGATTGATCATAGTCCACAAATCCTCCTGAGAAGCAGCAAGCAAGCAAGCAAGCAAGCAAGCAACAGTAACAGCAACAATAGCATGCACCTATTTGTTACACGGATATCACGAAGATTGTCGCAATTTGTTTGTCTCCCCTCACTCAATCATGTCGATGTCGTCGTCTCCCGCGGGTGCCGGGGCGGCAGGGGCAGCCGCAGCGGGAGCAGGAGCTTCAGCAGCAGCAGGTTGGTTGGCAGTCTCGCCGGTGTTTCCTCCGCCCCAGTAATCGTCCATTTCCTGGTCCAGCTCCTCCTGTGTCTTTCGCGGCCGGCCGTTGGCCGCGCGACGGCTGTCTGATCCTCTGCTTTCCCTGGGAGCTCCACCGCCTTGTCGTCGGCCGCCGTTGGGGGCTCCCCGTCGCGGCGAGGATGAGCCCTGGCCAGGGACGTAGCGATCGATGTGCTCGGGGGCCGGCTTGGACACGTCACTGCGACGGGTGCGGGCTGCGCCACCGCGACGCCCGCGGCGACGGTGGGAACCGCCGTCCGGGCTTTCGCTTCGGGTGTCAGGGCTGAGACTGCGGGCGTTGCGGGGCCGCTCGACGCGATCGAGGAGGCTGCCTCTGGGGCGCTGGACGGAATCAAAGGGGTTGCGGTCGCGGCGGCCGCGGTCGCCGGTCGCGATCAGTGCCAGTCGGATTGGTTGGCCTTTGGCATTGGCGCCGTCGAATTCGTTGATCGCCGTTCTCGCGTCGCTCATGCGCGTATAGGTCACGAAGGCGAGGCCTTCGGAGCGGCCGGCTCGGTCGTATACGAGGCTTACGTTCTGAAGGGGTCCGATGCGGGAGAAGAGATCCTGCGAACGATTTCATGTCAGATGAGCCAGAATCTCTAAAGGTGGGGGATCATACCTCGAGATCGCTCTCTGTGATGTCGTAATGGATGTTCTCAACGCGGAGCTTGGCTCCTGACGGGCCGCCAGTGCTCCTGTTATTGTCAGATGGCAATCCAGATGAGAAGAATCAATCGCACGTACCGTTCCGGGGACTGGGAGTAGCGGTCGTTGCGAGCACGTCGGCCGCCACGGGCAGGTCGCGCTACAAATGGTACGTCAGCAAGCGATCCCAATGGCCGAGCTCAATGAAAGAAAGGGGCAAATGTACCATCTCTGTCGTCTTCGAATTTGTCATGGACCCAATCACTACCATCCACAGCATTAGTATACCATACAAACCACATCCGCACGGCGCGCGGAAGCACGCATCAAAGACAGAAAGAAAAACGGTATAGGTGCAATTACAGATCAAGGTCGACACGGTCATCTCTGTAGGGCTGTTCAAATCGCATAGAGAGACAAGGTCAGCTGGAGGTCAAAACAGGTTATCGTGGAAATTGCTCCATCTGCGGCTAAATTCTTTTTTTTTTTTTTTTTTTGTTCGCGGCCTTTCTGTCCGACCAGAGAGAAACTGAAGACAAGAAGAGGCGGGTCAAACACTGCGAGGCCTGCGAATTTGGCCCGTCACGATGCGCTAGAATGGGTCGAAGGGAGGACAGGAGGGAGGACCTGGATGTTGAGGAAGACTGTGTTAGGATCGGGATTCCGATAATCCTGGTCGGGATGCCCGTCTTAGGGGTTGAGGGTACCTTTTTTACGCCATCACGGCGACGGCCTTGAGGGCGGCGACCACGGTTCTGGTTCTGGGGCTGACTCTGGGTTTGCTAATTGGCGCCTGTTAGCGATGTCGCTGGGTTTAGATCGCCTCCGTATGAGACGCAAAGGTCAGGGTGTGCTGGGGAAAGCCTTACAGGGCGTTCGGCAATGATCTCATCCAAGCTGCGGTCCATTTTGGACACGTCCGAGGGGATATGTGGTCGGAAGTATGATATAGACAAAGGTGTAGGAGGGGACTTATGTGGGTGTATTGATATAAGCAAATGCGTACAAGAAGCGCTGGAATGCAAGTTGGTTGAGACGAGCTGGGGAAGATTGTTGGTTTGGGGGCGGAGGCCGAGACGGGGATCCGCCGCGTCACGTGATATGCTCGATGGTACGCTATAGGATTGATGGTTCATGTGGGTATTTCTACAGAAACCATAGGATTGATGGTTATGTGTCGGTACGTCCATAGAAATGGAAATTTCAATTCGATTCATGGATTTGTCGTCGATAGCGCAATGTTTCTACCCATCCTAACCCATACCACCGTACCTATCAGAAACTAACAGCCCCGGAGAGAAAAGCTAACAAGTACAGGCGGACGCGGCTGGTGGAATAACAATGCAATGCAAATAATATAAAAGAGCATGCCGATATGGTCGCCAGTCAGGAGAACCACCGCCCCTCAGCGCCAGAAAACACCAGTTGCAGGATCCAGAAAGACCAGAAAGAAAGCAGCAAAGACACAAACACCAATAAGTGCTAGGTGGAAATTCACACGCGCTTTAATCTCCCCCGTTGGCGGACGCCTGACTTGAATTCTCGTTGTTCTCCATCATCTTCTCCATGAAGCTAATATAGTCGTACTTCTGGAGTTCTCGGTCCTCGAGGAGGTCTGGCCCTTGGTGTTGCGGCATTGTCTGGACGAGGTGCTCGATCAGTTCGTCGGGGATCAGCGAGTGGCGCAGATCAAGTTCCGTGACATACGGCTATAGGGCGTCAGCGATTAAACATCATGGAAGGGGGGGAGGGGAGTGCCACATACCTTGCCGTCTGCGACCTCGCGGAAACTTTGGTAGACCTGTTCCGCGGTGTTCTGGTCCTCGGTGACGCTGACCATGAAACGAATGAACTGTTCGAAACTGACTCCAGCATTCTGCTGGAGACGCTGCGGACCGCAGGTCTCCACAAACACATCGTGCATCTCGTCCTCGTCGTATACCAGGCCGAGACTCGCAAGCGCAGCCGAGAATTCAAGTTCGTGAAGGGTGTTGGATGCATCACGGTCGAAGTGCCGGAAGACGGATTCGAACTCTTCCAGCTGGATGGGGGTCAGGTTCGTCATGTTGCGCGCAACCAGCTGGTTGTCCAGGAAGGCAAGCTTCTTGGAGATGCTCGATTTGACCAAGCTCAGTTCGTAGGAGAGTTCGTCGAGGGTGTAGGTGGTGTAATCGTTCTCTTCAATGTTCGCTTCGGCACACTGCTCGTCTAGCGCGGCGATCGTATCCAAGAACGCATCGAGCGGGGGCAGGTTGTCGTTGAGGCGCTTCACATGGGCCAGTTGGTCTTCGACATCGCCGTCGAGGCCCGAGATCGCCAGGGACAAAGTCTTGAGGGTCAATGCAAAGTCGTTGGCCTTGTCGGCAAAGGAGCGGCGCAGGGCGTTTTTGATATCCCGGATTGTTTCGTTGATCAGCTGGCTCCGCTCGTGCTCATCCCGCGTCAGGCCCTCCCACGCCTGGTCACAGGCATCCGGAGTCAGCTCTGCCGGCGGGTCGTAAGGGCGAAGGCGGTAGGTGCTCAGTTTGGTCTTGATGTTACCCAAGAGGGCGGCGAGATCGGACTTTTCGGCTACCCACTGGCGCTTCTGGTTCCGCTTGTACAGGGAAAACTGGTAGGCCTGGTCCTTGGCGTCCTTGTAGGTTCCTTCGAACGAAGAGTCTTGCCAATGATCGCGCTGGGCTTTGATGGTGCGCAAGAGCTCTCGCATACGCTGCTCGTAGGAGTTCTGCATCTCCCATGCGCCATGCATGTTGTTGATGAACTTTTCGACCCGGCGACCGGCGTTTTCGACCCTCTCCAGTTGCGAAAAGGCATGGAACCAGTAAGCGATGTAGGTCATCAGGGAGCGTTCGTCAGGTCTAGGGACATCACAGACGTCGTCCACATCGAGGAGGTCGGGGATTCCAATCTCGTTGGCCGCGATATCGAAGGCCAACTTCATGTTGCCGCGGTGGTCTTTCTTGTCGAGGGAATCATAGTCGATCAGGTCGGGTCGGTGGATATCCAAGAGTGCGCAAAATGCCAGGCCATCGTTCCAGCTCGAGGAAAAGTCGCGAACCTCCACCCCATCGTAGCACGCCGTCTTTCGCTGACACCACAACAGGAGACCCTCCTTTGCACTCAACCCCTCCGAGTTGATCTCGCTGATAGTGAACCGCAAAATCAGGGTCCAGATCAAGCCCAGGATGATCTTCCGGTTGCCGTCGACGATGTCCTCCGCACCGATGTTGGTCATTTGGATTCTCCGGCCCCTGATGAAGTCGAGAGAGATGTTGACATTTTCGAATTTCTGGACTCGTAACCGGGGGTTCGAGGCATATCGACCGAGGGATTCGGCACCGAGGATTTCGAGGAGGTGGATGAGGATTACCTAGAGTCGCACATTAGTAGCTAGTCTTTTTTTTTGTTTCTTTGTTTGTGTCTGTCTTCTTGTGCGGCAACAAACAAAGGGAGCGACTCACCCCGTTCGACAGGTCCACCACTAGATCGTCAATAAAGACATTTCGAACCTTCAGCTTATCATTGAGCCTGTCAAGTCCAAACACACCATGATCAGTTTAACGATCTCCAACCGTTGAAAGCAATGAGTAAATCCGAAGGCGACAGAGCAAGGGGCGCGAAACGAGGGGAAACGGAAGCGGTTCCCACGAGGGCATGATAGGAGAGGAAGAGAGGGGGGAGGGGATAAATAAACACTAAGATTGAACGGACCATTTGGTAAAGGTCTTTTGCTGTACGTTAATCCACTGCTTCTCGTCAACCTGCAACATGGTGGGCAACGAGTATGGTTGAGAACATTCAGGGTTCGAAAATTTGGAGAAACTTTTTCCTTCTGTTGTTCCAGCAATCCCAAGAATAGCACCAGCACAAACACCACGACCGAAAAGCAGTGGCGGGGGTGAGGAGACGAGAGGAGGGGAAAGGGATTGGTTGGTTGGCTGGGTTAAATTAAGCCAGAGAGAGACTGGAGATTGGAAAGAAAGAGGATCTTCACAGCTAACGGCGGAATTAATTATTGCAAGGAGAGCAAGACGCGATTCGCCCGACTAGTCCATTAGTGTTGATCGCTGCGATGAGTGGAGACCAATACAATGAAGATAGATGAACCCAAGAGATTCAGACAGGGAATATCCTGGAACTGAACATAATCAGAGATGCTGTTCTTGGACAATACTACCGAGTCAGAAGTAAGAAGAAGAAGAAGACGAAGAAAGAACCCCTATCTACTCCGGCATGTCAACAAACCCGCCCCCACAGCAACCACCGCCGTCTTCTCCATGGTTGAACTGCTTCGGTTTGCCCCGTTTTGCCCACCGTTCGAGCCACACATTCTTTGGAAATTGATCGGTCCTTTGGTTTCAGGTCAACATTCTTCATGGTGGATAATCATGAAGTTGTTATTCGACCGATCGGATTAACTACACCATGGTCAAAAATAGAACAGCGCTTGGCGAGAATCAACCATTGACCTGTGACTTTGACCACTCATAAAGCATTATGCATGAAGTCAAGAGAGAACTCGAACACAATGACAACCTCTCCGTACCTCGAGAAGAGATCTCTTCTAATGTCTTGAATCCATGACATTAATGCAAGCACCCGACATGCGCCATGTGGGAACAAAGAAGAAAAAAACAAGGTCAAGAACAAAGCAACTCGAATCTACTGGATTTCCAGAACCTTGGAATCTATACTCTAGTATATCCAGGAATACAAGTCACAAAGAATATCCATGCTATGGTGACTCCATGAGAGATTTCGTACAGATAAAACCGCCACGCTCAATACGGATGGTATAACCGTCGTCCTTACGCAGGACGAAGACAGTCGATCGATAAACACACTTGGATCTTGTCCGTGACGATCGGCTATCCTACAGATAAAAGTCACGAAAGAAGAGATGTCGCAAGACCAAGAATCCGCAAATATAGATATACACAATATCGGTCAATGAGAGGAGTCTTGCGTGATTGCGCAACAGGAACAAACGGCAGAGGAAGATTGCGCAATTCCCAGCCCGATGAATAATAATACGGAAGTTGATATGATATCATCTCTGGTCGCGATCAAAGGCGGGGCTCTCGGGGCTCCAAGGGCGGAACACCAAATTTCTCTCCCCGCCGCATACCAACCTGCGACAAACACACCACCTACTTCAATACCTCCTCTACCTATCTGACCTGCCACATTGCTCCCTGCCATACTGCTACTGCAGATCACATTCCGACCCCTCTAAACCCCATCACCAGAATCAGAACAACCATGTCAGCCAACTACACCATCACAGACCTGGTGTCCCTCCCCAACTCCCCCGTCCGCATCCCCCGTCTCGGTTTCGGCGTCTACCGCTCCCCAACAAACCAATGCGTCCAGTCATGTCTCAACGCCCTGAAAGCGGGATACCGCCACATCGACACCGCCCAGTTCTACGCCAACGAGCAGGAAGTCGGTGATGCTATCCGGGCGTCTGGGATCCCCCGCTCTGATGTCTTCGTCACCACCAAGATCCTCAGCCCCGCTGGCTCGTACGACGCTACGTATAAGAAGATGGTGGATAGTGTCGAGAAGATCAGTGGGAAGGGTGGATATGTCGATTTGTTTCTCATTCATAGCTCGAGCTCGGGCTCTGCTGGCCGCAAGGAGCTGTGGCAGGCGTTGGAACAGCTGTTGGAGGAGGGTAAGACGAGGAGTATTGGCGTGAGCAACTTTGGCGTTATGCATATTGAGGAGATGAAGTCTTATGCGAAGGTGTGGCCGCCGCATGTGGACCAGATTGAGGTGAGCTGCCCCCCCCCCCCTATCCTCTCCACCAGTACAGCTAGACTGATAATATGACACCAAATACAGCTCCACCCGTGGTGCCAGCAACGGGTAACCGACGCCTACTGCAGGAAAAACGGCATCGTCGTCGAGTCGTACTGCCCGATCGTGCGCAACTACAAAGCCAGCGATCCTACGCTGGTCGGCCTGGCCGCCAAGTACTCCAAGTCGACACAGCAAGTCTTGATTCGCTACGCGCTGCAGAAAGGATGGGTGCCGCTGCCCAAGTCGGATAACCCGGAGCGCATCGTGGACAACGCGAACGTGTTCGACTTTGATATCTCCGAGGAGGACATGGCTGTGTTGAATGCCCTTGACCAGGGAAGTGCCGGGGCGGTTGTCGAGGCGGTTCAGAACGAGTAGATACTTTTACGATGTTTGTAGATTAATGGTTAATGCATAAAGCGATGTCTCTACCACGGTGGGCGCAGTGCCAGGTTTGGCGGTTAGTAGTCCGGCCGTTCCATTAGGAAAGCGTTGACTGATTGTAATGTCGTGCGTGATGGGTTTACGTCGTGCTTGGAAGACACAATCCATGCGAGGCGTTGGCGGATAAACTGTTTGTTGATGGGCTGTTTTGCGCCGGACGAGTTGAATGTCCCTGTACTGGTCAGCTTGTCCTGGTTCCTCGGCCGGCTGGGACAACTCACCGTTATCATTGTAGAAGATACACAGTATGGCGAGCAATGCACCAGCAGAGAGATCCTTCCCCGTCTCACACATGACAAGCAAGGATCTGGACGGATCTTGAGCGAAGTGAGAAGCAACAAACTCTCGAACCTTGTCCAGGCGATTCCGAAGGTCGCGCCCTCCCAGCTTGCCGGACTGACATCCAAGATTGAGTCGCTTCGCATCTTCGCCATGAGCGTCTAGGCTGCCATTGCAGTCGATGACGAGATCGTAAAGACCGTTCTCGCTTAAGCGACCGTCAGTCTTACTGATATACAGGTTCTGAGTCGGCGCGACGCGAATCGCCTGCTGGCTCGTATCCCGTCTATCATACTCTGCAACCAACCTTCCGATCAGTTCCGGTAGCTCTTCCTCTGCCGTTTCGATCAGGGTCGATTTATTGGCCCAGAAGACCGGTGGCGTCAAGCCGTGCGCCCACGCCTCGCTGTCGTCCCCTGCGCCCTGGATGTAACCGCCTTCGGACATCTCGGCCCCATGGACCCGTCTGGAGGCGGAGCAGAGAACGAGGAGTTTGTAGTCATCTCCTTTCTGCAGATCCGTCGGGTGAAAATAGGTCCGGTTTGCCCATGCGACTCGAATCGGTTTTCCGATTTGCTCTCTCAGATCGTCCAAGTTGAGTTTCAGATCCTGGCGGGGTGTTAGTCTCGAGACGAAGATGCAGTTTCACTCTGAACGTTGAAAAACGGTACCTTCAGCGACTTGACGAACCCGTCGATCCGCTGCGCGATCTGCGACTCCTCCGAGGCACCCAGGTAATCCGGAGGAAGCTGCACAGCATGATACGCCGTCTCTGTTGGGAATAGCGCGCGGTTCATAACCGCGCACCATATTGGAACGGTCTTTGACAAGGCATCGGGCATCACTGCGTAATGCCATAAGCTCGGGCCGTAGAGGAAAGACTGCAAACAAACCGCGTGATTCGCCCGCTGAGGAGAACTTACATTTACCGCGACGCGTGGAATCCGCTATTATAGCGCTGCATGATATCATTGGTGGTCAGTTCAGATTGAACATCCCAAGTATAGTAGGGAGGTAGGGTGGGATGTGGACTAACCCCCCATGCTCCCGGGCTATTGGTAAAAGCTGCAAGTTGAGTCTACGAAAGCTAAAATCCCACTGGCCCGTATGACCGTCCGTGCTCTTGAAGTACGCGCTGCCGGTTTTGGACTGCGGGGGGATATACCAGCTGCCACATCGTTCGTTGGCGACCAGTGGGAGGCCATAATGATCGGCGACTTGCTGGACAAAGGCAGCGTCTGCTTCGATGGAACGGAGTCGGTTAGCGACCGAGAGTGCTGATCGGCGGAGGGAGGAGAGCGTCTGGGAGAAGGACTGCTCTGCGGAGGGGAAATGAAGGGACGAAACCGACACGGGGAAAGCGTCGGAGCCGAAGTCCATGGTGGTGTCTCAGTGGGGTTGTAAGAGGTTGAGGGAACCCGGGATACAAACCGGGTGCCTGAGGGATTACCGAGGTGGGAATCCTTGGATGTCACGGGCACTGGCAGAATAGCCTAGAGAGGAAAATGTAATCTCGACTGGTTGTCCATCCACCATCCCAGATTTTGATACCAGACTCGGCCTTTGATGTGCTAAGAAAAAGAGGGGTCCAATGCAAGTCTTTCCTTCAACCAATAATGGGTTTTCTGGCGAGACCCACCTTGAGATCGGTTAGCACGGGCGAAATTAAGTGGAGACTGCTCGATGGATAGATGGTACCTACATAGAACAGTTGCTGATACAGGACAGGCAGTTGTCATCATGGATAGATAGAAAGTAGCGAACATCGTGAACGATTTCTAATCTGGATAAAGACTACTCGAGTCTAGCGATCCCATGAGACCCAAGTCATGGATGTGCCTGGATCGTACCTATATTGGCAGCATGATCGGAGCTGACATCCGCCGTGATGTGCAGTCATCCTGTTGACATGCTCTATTTATCCGTTCTATCTGTTTTACGGTAAACGCATGCATGCTCCAGTCACATACGCGGAAGTAAGACCATGCGTGTAATACTGCAACCGCTGCCCAAGCATCGCACACCCGGCATGGGTTGGGCAGAGAGACTCCGGCACAGTGAGGAGATCCGGAGGGACACGGGAGCATTCCACCTCGGCCGTTCAAGTTGACTCGTGGGAAGATATGATGCCAATAATGCCATATACTAGCAGGTAATGTCCTACCCGGATGTATAGCGGAACGAGGAGGACTGTACTCCGGACAGGTCCAACCGGTGGCCAGAACTGTTCCTATGGGACAGAACCCGTGGCCTGTTTACTTCAACCTTCCGAAGGTTTGATGCTACAGCGTCCCATTGCAGCAAATTCCCGCATGGGCAACCCTGGTGACCTGCTGGTGATGCAGGGTTACTAATTTAGACGGGGGTCATGGCTAGCGGCGTGCCCAGGCAATCAGTCTCATATGGAATGCTCGGCCCTAGGGTGAATACTTACCAAGAAACCTACCCTGCATTCTGTACAGTATGGGTATATCTCTAGCTAAGCGACAAAAAGAAAACCAAGAAGAACCCCATCTTCTCTGCTGACTCCCTGTGTCCAAGGCAGATAAGTTGAAGAGCGATTATTCCAGAAAATGGTAAATCTGCAATGATAGACAGCACTCATAACCGTTCTGGTTGTCAACGTGACTTTCGAAGTTGAAAGTTCCAACTAGAATGTACTATGGGGTGGGTAGATTTCTTGTCTATTGTCTAGTGTGGCAGTGTGGGGGGCTGGCTGTGTTATGATAGGCCTAATGGTCGGTCTCCCTAGCGTGGCCGCAGCCTGAACCCCCGCCGAAGCCCCCGAGACCCCCGACATGCCCGGGAGTTTTGCGCCTGGCTTTCCTCCCGCCCAGACGCCCAGTCGCAAACGTCACGATAATGACCTCAGGCCCCCCCCGCCTGGGCAATTCCCTCTAACTAGTTGTCTTGGAAGTTCGATACCTTTACCATTCATTCACCGGGTATCCACTTGCAGCGTCATTGTCCCCTTTTCCTATTTTGGTCCCTACCCTGTCTACCTATCACTCAGGCTACTTAAGGAACGTGTGATCCTTTGATTTTCTTTCAAGTCTATACTGTTTTGTTGTTCCCTTTCCTCAACAACCGCCCTTGTCACCAAAACCCCCCACTTCCACTCCCTTCACACTTCATCCCGCCTTACTTGGGAACTTTTGATTCCACCCTCCAATTCAAAGTCAGAACTCCGCCATCATGCCTAAAGTGAGTATAAGAGTCTCCAATCCTCCCCTGGATATCGCAGACCCCACCAGGGCTTACTAACGACGCACCCCGCAGATCACCGAGATCTTCTACGATTGCGACAACACCCTGGTCCTCTCGGAGGAGTTGGCCTTCGAGGCTTGCGCCGATCTTGCTAATGAGATCCTCGAGAAGCACAACATTCCCGACCGCTACACTGGCGATCAGCTCATCCAGGATTTCGTGGGCCAGAACTTCCGTGGAATGATGATCTCTCTCCAGGCCAAGTACAAGTTCGAGCTGGGCGCGGACGAACTGGAAGGGTACGTGAAGAAAGAAGAGGATAAGGTCATCGCCAAGCTCGAAGCGAAGGCGCAGCCTTGTGTCGGTGCCAGCGAAGAACTCCAGAAGATCTACGACGAGGGCAAGTACGATATTGCGGTGGTGTCCTCGTCCGCTCTTCGCCGTGTTCAGGCCTCCATCAAGAAGGTCGGACAGGACAAATTCTTCAAGCCCGACCGTGTCTTCAGCGCCGCCACCTCGCTCCCCACACCCACCTCGAAGCCCGACCCCGCCATCTATCTCCACTCCCTCAAGGTGTGCAATAAGACGGCCGAGGAGACGGTCGCTGTGGAGGATAGCAAGTCCGGTGCTTTGAGCGCCATCCGCGCCGGTATCCCCGTCATCGGCTACGTCGGCAGCTACAACGGCGATCAGAAGAAGATCGAAATGGCACAGTACTTGGAACAACTGGGAGCGAAGGTCATCATGAAAGACTGGAGCGAGTTCCCCAAGTGCCTCGCCGAGATCGAGGCCGCTTGAGCGCTATCTCGCCCCCTCCCTTCCCTCTGATCCACACGAAGTCACGACAGCGAACGCATCCACCACGAAGGAGTTTCTTTTTCAGCCTAGCATAATATCCAGATCCAGACCCACTCGTCAGACCGAGAGCCTTTTCGCGCTGATTTCCACCCGTCCGTTTGGGGACCTGGGCGTCGTCACGCGACGATAATCGCTCGACATCTTTTCGTTTCTTTGTTCCCAGGCATTTCCTTCGATGGTCTGGACACATGCATGCATTACTACACAATTTTCTATCACAGACAGGACCTAACAGAAAGACAGACATGGTCAGATCTGAACCTGAATACAATCCATAGAAAATCCAAAACCTTCCAAGATTCATCCCTCCTGTTCCCCAGTTTTTCGCGGCTAGTAGACGGATAACGCCGCCGCCGTGCTGTGTCTAATCCAGCACGGCCCGACGCCCCACATCGTCCCTCGTAGCGCTATGGCCCATTGGTCTAACAAGTCATACCAATTGAGATGGCTTGTATAAGATGAATGCCAGTGATCATTTGTCCGATTGATTAACTGTCTCTTTTTTCTCTTATTCTCTCACTGACGTTAGCATGCACTGATGGTTTGTTGAAGATCTCACTAGAGTTAGACAGCCGCCCGTATGCGCCGGCATAGTCGGACCACAGGTGTGCTACGTGGCATAGGAGCCTGCATGTTTGTTTTTATAGATTTGATTTCTTTGTTCTATCTATTTGTCTGCAAGGGGGTTTCGGTTTCATCGTATAATGAGCAGTCAACTGCTTTATCTAGCAGGGAGGGGGGGAGTTCCTTGTGACCTGATACATGGCGGGACCGTATTTATCTCCGGTCTCGGTAATTGATCTTCAATTCTATTCGTTGCCTTATTAATATTGATCTACCTGTTGTCTGTAGGGCTCTAATGGTATCAATAGATAATTATAAACATGATTCCCTACATACTACTCCGTAGTTACTACCTGGTACGTGCTGCAATCTGAATCTGATTAGGGCTAGCCCTGCGATGCTAGCCAAGCTCCACCCCTCCGCTGCCCCTCGTCGGGCCAACGTGGTTCTGTCTTTGTACGTCACCGGTGTCAAGCTACAGGGCGTCGCATCCTTAATACTCCAGTAAGTCGCTACCAAAACCAAACTATCAAGCATAATACTTATTTAATAGCTGACATTCCTATTCCCAGTCCTTATCATTCAACTCAACTCCCCTTCGTCTCATCCCCAGCTTGATTATCAAGCCGTTATCGGAACGAGACTTTGACCATGTCGACGCCAAAATACGCCCAGTCAAAGGTCATCTCCAGGGGCCCATTGGTAAGCTGGCTTCAAGGCGCACCCTGCCTTCGTTCGTTCTGTGTGTGCGAGGAGCTCGTATCATTCGCAGGGTGTTATCGCCCGACGATGTTGTTACTTGCGGACTAATGCGATGTGGTATGTTGGTAGGACCCCAGCGAAGCTAGATGGGCTAGGTTGATCAAGACCACTTACTGTGACCCTAATGGAGTGGAGAGGACGTGGGAGTCGGCGGAGCGAAAGGTAAGAAAGTGTCTCTTTCTCCTCCATATTTGCTTTGGTTTACCGCCCGTCATATGATTTGATTGGACGCCATTGGGGTAGGAGAGAGTCAAAACGCAGTAGTATCAAAACGGAAGCCCGGGGAGGGTGGGAAAAAAAAGAAAAGTGGAAAAGAAGATACAGGACAGCGGACGATAAAGGTCTAGGCTCGACTCTCTGGCCAAGAGTCCAATGTGACGAGGCAACCACCCGAGGAGGAACCAAATTCTCAGAGCAAGACCAAGCCCCCTCCTCCCCTGCCTCCTTGTTGGATCAGGCAAACAAAGAGTTCCAGTCCGTATGTTATTCGGTTATGACCACACACTGACCGACCCTCTCTCGGTAGACCCGGCCCGCCAACTGTGAGATCGATGGCGTTGGCATCGTGACCATCCTGAATCATTCGACCGGTCCAGAGCTCCTCCTGCAGAAGCAATACCGTCCTCCCATCGATAAGGTGGTCATTGAGGTCCCCGCGGGTCTGATCGATGCAGGGGAGACGGTTGAGGAATGCGCAGTTCGCGAACTCAAGGAGGAGACGGGGTACGTGGGTGTCGCTGAGCAGACGAGCAGTGTGATGTACAATGGTAGGTTTCTTTCTTCCATCTTTCATCTTCCGTCTTCCCTCATTTGGTTCCACCCCTCCCAACACATTCATTTCCCGTGTCTCCCGCCGGGATTATCGTGGCTGGCCGTTACCCTAGCCCTAGGCGAATCATCGAAACACCTGCTTACTTCTAGTCCTACTGCAGACCCCGGCTTCTGTAACACCAGCCTGAACATGGTCCACGTACGAGTCGACATGTCCCTGCCTGAGAACCAGAATCCGAAGCCGCAACTCGAAGACAACGAGTTCATCGAGTGCTTCACCGTCCCGCTTACGTCGCTCTTCGACGAGATGAAGAAGCTCGAGGACGAGGGCTACGCCATCGATGCCCGCGTAGGCACGATAGCCGAGGGCATTGAGCTGGCGAAGAGACTGAAGCTTTAGTAAACCCGGCCCCTCCCTTCCATTACATGTCTATAGATCACATTAGCGTCCATACACAATGACACCTCCAATTCTATTAGACCGTTTCATGATCGCAGACCCAAAGCGACCGTGAGAAAAGAAAAAAAAAAAAAAGAAGAGACAGAAGAAGGTTCATAATTTCCCCTCCTCCCTCAAACCCCTGTACAACGCCCAAGCGGCCAACGTCTTCCCATCCCGCAACCCCTCCCTCCACAGATCCTTCAACGGCACCACCTTCAACGTGATCTTCTCCCCATGCTGCCTTAACCCCGTCAGCCGCCCCTGCAACCCCTCTATATCCGCCCGCGACATCCGCTTCTGGCACAGAAACAGCGGAATGAACTCGTCGCTTCCGCCCGCCGACGGATACACAGCTTTCTGGAGCATCTCGTCGTCTTCGTTGGCGGGCACTGACTGCAACGCCAGCGACGTCATGTCGATGAGCTCGCTTTGGGGTATCTTCAGGCCCGTCTCTTCTTGAATTTCCTTCGCTGCGCCGCCGGCAAATGACCCGCTGTCGTCGAGCATTCCCGCTGGGATCTCGGAGAATGCGAGCGATCCTGCTGGGATGCGCGGTTGGACTGTGAGGATTGCGTGTTTTTCGTCCTCTGCGGAGGGGGGCACGTCGTCTGGTTGGAGGATGAGCTAGTCACAAGAGAAAAGAGGAAAGTCAGCATAATTTGTCTCGTGTTCGATGTGAGGAAAACAACCCCAAAAGGGATAAGGATAAGCCATACCAACATGCCCACACTCCCTCCACGTAGAAAGACGCTCCCCGGAAGCGTCTCCCCGCCCTCCGTCGAAACCACCGACTTCATCTTAACGAACCCTAACCGTCCCCCACCGAAGACATCCACCGCCTGGATATCAATGCCGCGCAAGACATACGGATCCTTGTGGAATTCGTGGGCGGGATTCCGCTGTCGGTCCAGGGATCGCCGCAGCGTGGACAGCCAGATGTTGAACGCGGGAAAGCGCAGGAGGTCATCTTTGGTGAGATCTGGGACACTGCGCACGGGGATCGGTGCTGGGCCTCCTTCGGCGCTGATGGTGAAGCTCGACATGGGGCGGCGTCGCGGTCGGATGGTGGAGAAGACGGGCGCGACAGATTGTAATAGCCGCCGGGGGATCATGAATTAGGGGGATCAATCCTGGTTGATCATTTGATTGGACTGGAACTGTAGAATATACCGGACTTGGGTTGTTTGAGCAGGACCTCGACTTGAATAACGTCATAGTTGTTTACGGAGGATTAGTAGGATTAGTCATTCGAACTTATGACATTGCATTTTACTCGGCTTGGTTAGTGTGGTTGATAGTGCTGCTACCTGCCTAAAATAGTACTGTGTTTAGTGGTGACAACTCGATAATAAGAGAAAGATCAATTGAAATCAAAAAGAGTTTTCTGACCTGATCCCGGTCTAGCCCTGGTCTTTATCATCATGACCTGATTCTGTCTCCTCTTGTTGCTCCAAGGGGTCTGAACCACCTGGTCAGCCTGGTGTGCGGCTGGCTGACTTGGATGTTGTAATAGGTTTTGTAAGATTTCTATTTGATTTCTACTTGATTCAATTATTTTATAGGATTATATACATGTTTAATCCCTTTCTCTATCAATTATTGAAGACTCGATCTATTCCAATGTCTTGTGATAATTCGATCCGTATGGGTCGGAGATACCTACGTTCTTCCTTTCCATTAATTGTTCTTATGTATCCCCTAAGGAAAGAAATCGTAGAAAATTACAATGCAAGTAATGGTCATCATCACCATAGAATAACCATCACCATAATCAAACAAAAAAAGGCAAAAGTCCTCCGTGTGACTGAGACTTGACCACGGCTGACCGTCGGCGTCATTGGTTGGAGGCAACTTCTCCCATGTCAAGGACTCACGAACTAACAACCAACTAAATTCTGGGCAATCCTACTCCATTCTTTCCTTTGTTCTCTCTCATAGGTCAACAGAGACTGATTCCCTTATCCCACTCCCGCAACACCATTCCCCGACGATCGAGCTGTCGTTGGAGGAGGGAAGTGGTGGGCCAATTTCATCGCCCCATCGCCAGTCACTACTACTAGTACCGACGCTGTCCCAGCGTCCAGTCCAGTTCCTCGATATCACCATCACGCCTCATTTCTCTGACTCGTCCCCTTCATCTCGTCCACATCGCTGGGAAATTTGGTTGGAACTTTCGGGGTCCACCGCAAATACGGCCGATTCGCGAACGTCCCCTAACTTCCCGTGCCCGCTGCTGATCCAGTCCTCGCTCTCTTTCTCGAATCCACCTCTCTAGGGATACTCTTGACTCAGTGCTCGGATTCCTCGGCCTCCAAAAAGAGAGGCCTCATCATGACTTCAGTTCCCTGTTGGTAACCGTCAGTCGATGTGTTGAATTCAGGATTCTAGCCTGCGCCTCTACCTGCTGTCCCTGGGATCGAGTCTTACTTTGCCCGGCTGCGCATGCTTAGTGACGACTTGATTCTGCTCCCTTCTGATCTGTTGTCCAAAGCCTGCGATAAGACATATTGCTGATTCACTTCATGTCAGCCCGTGAGGCTCTACTACCCCAGCGATAAATCATGCTTGCCTGGGATTCTACATCTCCCTGTTTCACTCGCATTCATAACCATGCTATCGGCTGTCTTTATCTAAGTTCGATCTGCTGCTCGCACGCGAGCCTCGCGAATAACGTTTGTGGAGGATTTAAAGTGGCCTCGTGATATCAGAATAAATCCGCGGATCTCTGTGTTTGGACACTGCTTGTCTTCCATCATCATTGAGTCACTCTACTCTGCCTTATCTGCTAGGCCGATCTTTGCGGTCATTGCGGACACCTTATATGTTAACAGAGGTGTTTCTGTTTTGGCCCTCCGGTTCCTTATTCTGCTCGCTCTGTCACTAGTCACACTCACTAGCTATCTTTGCTGTGGCATAGGTCACTAGAGAATCCGCAACCTTAGCAACACCAACGCATCTATTTGCTCGGAGCACTTCGCTGACCCGCGTAACTACCCTTGAGACTTATTGAACCGCACGCTTCGCTCCATCTCTTCTCTTCTACACATCGCCATATCCTCCAACTCGCGCGTGTTCTGGGAGTATTGATACTATAAGGGGAAATTTGCAAACTATCCAGAACAGGACTGCATGCCGTTGCCATCTGCCCATTTTCAACGTTGCACTGAACTGGACCAGGATGAACACGGGGTCTGGGCAAGGTCCTGTCACGGATCCCTATCTAGGTATACCGATGCAGGGCATGTCTTTCGACTTGCCGCCCAATCTTTTCGGGCCCAACATGGGACAACCTGGTAAGAATTCGTCTTGTAGGAGTATTTCCAAACGAGTCACTAACAGTGAACAGAAGCGATGGGAGGCAACATGTTTCAACTCGCATCTGACACCAATCCAGTTGACATGCCTGTTCAGAGCGGACAATCTTCCCAACTGCCGTCTCCCGACACCATGCAGCAACAGATGCATTCACGTGCAGCACTGGACAATTGGAATCCAACACAAGCCTCAGACTACCAGCAACCACCACCTTTGAATCCCAACCCGAGATCGGCCCACGCGATGAATCAACTGAACCCGCCGTACAACCTCATGGGCTGGGTATACCCTCCACTGGTACAGCCAGTCCCGAACGTAAACCCCGCGGGATCACAGTACCCGCCCGTCCAAGCAGTTCCCAACCAGCAACAGATCCCACAGGTGCTCCAGCAGCATCTAGCACGGGTACGACCCTCTGTGAACTCTTCACAGCCGCCGTTTCGACATCGCAACAGTGCCCCTTACCCGCAGGTAGGAGGGGGTGTGGGGATGAGAAGGCATCACCGATCGTCATCTAGCGTGGGATCGGTCGGCTCTACTCGACAGCCCTCGAGCCGCAATAGCGTCAACGGACACCGTCAGACCCGCCCGGCTCCCGTGAACAACGCGCACCAATCCACTCCGACTCAGCCTTCCAGCGATCGCCAGCCCGGTCCCACCGTACATCGATCCCATCCGTGGATCCCCCCGGACGACCGTGACCGACTGGAGCTGGCACGGCAATTGCACATGGCTCGCGTCCAATCCAACGAGATTCGACTCTACCATGAGGCCATCGCACAGAGCCAACGCCGCTACGAGACCCTCGATATAAATGGCCAGTCGCCCTTGCCCAAAAGTCTGGATAGCAAGAATGACGGTCGGCCGGAGCCCAAGGAAACGGACGACCTGACGGTGAACATGGAATGCAAGATCTGTATGAGCCAGTTGGTGGACACGGTGATGCTGCCTTGCGGCCATGCCATCTTGTGTCGTTGGTGCGCAGAGCAGCATATGCCGTCCGGGGCAGACCGGACTCGTCCTAAGAGCAAGGCCCTGTGCCCTGTGTGCCGGGGGCCGGTGAAATACAAGGTATATAATTTGGCTTGGAGGTATTGAGTAATCTTGCTGACCATCTTTATAGTTTCGAATCTACCTCTCCTAATAATAATACTCCAACAACCGAGTAGTTTCCTCTCAGTCTTCCGGTTTCGCTCATGGTTTCATTGCTCTGGGTTCCGGTCTGATTCTATCATCTTCAACTACGATCTACTGGCTAGATCTTCGGTTTATGCTTTCTGATCTGAGCATCATTGCACATGGGATTAGTGCCAGTGCCAGTACTGGCTTCATATTCGCCTTGCAGAGGTGCCAGTGTGCCAGGGTCCATTGAAATACACGGTACATTGATCTGGGTCGCAATTTATTGAGAAATCTTTCTAACCATATTTGTAGTTTCAAATTTACCTCTCGTAACTGATAATACCAGAAATCAAGCAGTCCACTCTCACTCTTCCAGTTCCGACTCACGATTTCGGCGTTACAGGCTCCGGTCTTATGTTCTCATCTCCAACTACAATCTACCGGCTAGATCTTGTGCGATGTTCCTCTTGGTCCGCGTTTCATTGCACATGCGATCATTGCCAGTACCAGCCTCATATCCGTCCTGCAGGCTACCTGTATCTATCAGTGGCGTTAAAAAATAACACACAGCGATGTACATTCATGTTAGCTTAGTTCTGTTTTCACTTAGATTGTGAACCGCATATACCTCCGTTATGATTCATGTGATGTCGACTTGAAAAATACTATCGTTTCCAGCTTCTGGGATCCTGTTTAAGCACAACTGGGTCGTCTGCTCGCAGGCGATTGGGCTCTCTGTAGTCGATGTATAAGCACACGGCTTTTCAATAATTTGTCATCTGAGGCACTATACCATACGACAATCTGACTTCATCGCGTAGGCTCACACTGATGCCTCTCTCTTCTGCTGGTGATAAACAAGAGCCCGTTCCCGGGTCGTAGCCGGGTTTGCCCCTCCATCTATTCTATATAGGTACTACCTAGATATATATATGTGTACACTCGAGCAAAGTTTCTCTCATCAATCAACCCCCACAAAACAACCTTCTCCACCACTTCCAACAAACCAGCAAAGTCCTCCAAACACAAGGCCACCCCCGAGAAGCAACCACACTAATCGACGTCCTCGCCATCTGCACCCAGTCTCCAGAGCTAGGCGGTCTAGGCCTCTCATCTACAGACAATTCAACCCCAGAACAGCAGTCCGAGATCCTATTCCTCGCGTCCGCATGGCTCGAATCTCTCAACTCCGCAGCGGTAAGTTATGTTATTTTCTTTTCTTTCACTCTCGTGTATGTTATAGGTTGGGTGGCATTTTATTATGCTCTAGGGCATGGAGAGAATGTATACTAGTTTAGGCCACCCGGGCATATTTCGCAATGATCGCTTTTGGCTGGCGGGGGACCATGTCGTGGATTCTTGTGTCAATGCCCTTCCTCAGGTGCGGACGTTGACTGATGCGAGTGAGAGGGCATGGCGCATTTTTAAGATGACGGATTATCAAGGGATGAATGTGAGTATCTTTGTTATATTACCTATCTATCTATTTATCTCTTTATATAGCGATGTATCACGGGGTGTTAATCAACGCAGTACACAATCCTACACACCGAATTATACCGCAAAAGAGCACAGCCCGGGATGTTTGTCGTCGGCTCCGACTCGCACACCTGTTCATCTGGGGCACTCGGTTGTCTAGCTATTGGTCTCGGAGCTGCAGGCGTCACGCTACTTCTTGTCACAGGAGAGACCTGGTTCAAGGTTCCTGAATCTGTCAATATCCGTCTCGTGGGGTCTCCGAGGCCCGGCATCGGGGCCAAAGATGTGATATCATACATTCTGCAACAGTCGAAGAGAAACACTGTGGCATCGGAGAGAACAGTGGAGCTCACCGGTCCTGGAGCGAGACACTTTGTCGTCTGACGCCCGGTTTGCTATTTATGATATGAAAGCGGCATATATCATTATTGAGGGTTCTGTGTGATGAGCATATTCCGCTGATGCACCATGCTAGGAATTCGGTGGTATCACAGGCTTATTCGTTTCCGATGAGGAAACCCACGCCTTCGTCCAAAGTCGACGACTTCCCCGCCACAGACAAGACAGCATCTATCTCAAGCCCGTCGAAGACGTGCACTACGCAGACACGTGTAAAATTGACCTTAGCAAAGTCCACTCATTCCTAGCCCGGTATCCTCGACCAGACGACGTTGTCCCCGTCGCAGACCGCGGAGGAATGGAACTAGACGGTTGCTTGATCGGCGCTTGCACTACAGCCGAGGAGGATCTCATCCTATCGGCCTTGGTCCTTGAGCAGGGCTTCTTGTGCGTGATCCTCATGATCTACTAAGCGCTATTAGCACGCAGCGATGGGACTCCTTGAGACGGCCTAGGGCAGCGAGCTGGGTGTAGACAAACTCGTATACGTCGAGCCGAACGGGTCTAACTCTCAACCATTGGAGACACCTCGCTCTCCCGAAAGCAGTCAGACAGCCCCAGGAGAAGGCATAACACACAATGCCATTCTTACAGCCCAGACGTTGGCAGGGAAAATCCAAAAAACTGGGCGAGTTCATCGACACCGATGCCGTACGTACCTCATGTCTCTTCTAACACCAGACTACTAAGCCTAGCACTAGCTAGCACCAGCGGAATTCCTCATGGACATGCAAACCCAACGAATCTAGCGGACAGCACTGTCTCCAGTACACACACCCAGACTTTCGCCACCGCGCTAGCCAAGGCTGCGACATCGTGGTTGCAGGCAAGGCATTCGGGTGCGGACCGTCGCGCGAGCAGGCCGTCACGGCTTTATTAGGTATGTCGCTCCCCAGACAAAACAATATCAAAGAATCCATCATCCAGTATAAAACAGCGTCTAATACTCATAATTATTCCATACTGGCACCGGCATCCAATGCACGATCGCCAAATCCTTCGCCTTCATCTTCCAACGCAACATGCCCAACCTAGGACTCCTGGGCATCGTCCTGCAAGATGAATCGCTCTACGACGCTGCGCTCGACGACCGCGACATATCTATCGACTTTGCGACCAATGTTGTCAGTGTTGGTGGGCGGGATTTCGCCTTCCGGCTTAGTCGCATGGAGAAAGCGCTGTTTGAGCATGGGGGTATTGCTTCTGCTTTTCGGAAGTTCGGGAAGAGGTTGTTTGAGGTTATGGCTGCGCCGAGGGGGGGGGAGGGATAGGGCTAGGGCGGTTCATTCTGGTGGTGCTGCTGGCTTGGAGTGGTGATTGAGTTGAAGGTGGACGTGCTCGAGTGGGGCGTTGTCTGCTGTGTTAAAATATCACGTTGATCAAGTTAATCACGTCCTATTTTTTACTGAGCCCAGTAGGAATTCATCCAGAGAGTGCCGGGTCTTCCTGGGTCGTTGGCGCCAGAGCCCCGCCACAGTCAGGCGCCGCCTTGAGTCTGCATGGTCTTCGAAGCCCTGTCACACATATATCTAAGCACATCCATGCTCAAAGATAGTACTTCCAAAGATCTGTAGCCAATGTCGAGCAAGGATGACGTATGACGTATGACAGGCTAGGTGAGGCTATGCTGGGTAGTCATTGATAAGCCGAGTATTTGTCGCACTGAATATAGATAGGATTCCTTATGGAAGGCAAATGTGTCATGATATATTCTGTAGCCGAATGTCAAACTTTGCAACAATATTGCACGTAGGCAGTAAGTACTAATGATCATGCATCAATTACACAATACTAGGTGGACAGCGCAGCAATGTGTAGATAGATACTGACAGCTCAGAGGATTAGTTACTTACTAACTACCTACTCATAGTTTGGGCCGCTTCTGCACGCTAAACTTATGGCATCTCGTAATTGACAGTTGTTTAGACCTACGAAATGGATTTGAGTGCGCAGTTTGGGCACTTGCGGGGTGTGTTCAGGCGCGGCTGGCTGGGTGATGGATCTCGTATTGGTTGCATTGGTATGCGTCCACTTGTCGGGATAATACCCGCGCTTTAGTACTGTACAGATCAACTAGGTTCAAGTCGCATCCTGACGGTATACGAGTATCTACTATCAGTTCTATATACTATGTTCGAAATATCTTCGGGAAAACACCCACCAGAGATCCAAGGCTATAGACCATCTCAGCCTTGCTGCTCAGGTAATGCGCCGATATACGATTTACCCTATCCGATCATTCATCCATACTGTGCAAATCAGCCCAGGCACCCTCACCGCGGCTGAAGGGAATCAGCGAGCCAGGAAAAGACAGCCTTGCTGATTACTTACCTATAGTGGGGAGGTTGATCCTGCACATGACTCGGTACAGTCCTGAGGTGATAATGCCTGATCAAGCTTTGAGGGTCATGGCGGGGTTGACGCAAGGGTAAACAGACTATCGGGGACCCTTCCACCCTTCACCCCTCCATTGCAGGGATCTGTGGATACAGAAGTGCCCTCGGTTATGTTGAGGCACGCCTTGTGAATGGCCTAGGCGTGATTTGCCTGACTGGGCGCATGTCAATATGTGATATGAGGCGGATTCAACGTTTTTTAAGGATCGCCCTACAGAGATACAAAGAGTGCATGGGTGTGTAAAAGAACGAAAGACAGAAAGAAAGAAGACAGATGTCAACGCCCATAGCAAGGGTCAGGCCAATCGATGCAGGCAACATTCCTCAACCGTTCAGGCAACCCGGCTTACAGGTGGATCGTGGCCAGACAGTTTCCAGAACGGGACGTTCGATTTTACTTCGTGGACCACATGACCTGTAAGGAGATAATTTCAAGAACAGATTGCCAGGTTTTGGTCGTACACTCTGAAGCATGGGAGGGAATCCGACGGTCTGAACGCCACAAGAGCGGTCTTGTCAACATGCCTATTCAGGCAGGCAGAGGCCGATGAGTCTAGTCTGTTGGAGGTGAGCCTGGATGACAAGATCAGGAGACCGGATCAAAACATCAGTGTAGTAAAGTCGGGTGCTTTTGAATGGCATGTTTGAGGTCTTGGTCTGGCCATCGGGGGTCTCTCTCGATATATAAATGAGGCCAATTTATGGACTGATCGATCAGGCTCAATCCTCCAATGAGACGCGTGGATCGTTCCTCCTGATCGGAACAGAGGATGTGTTCTTTTTCTTTTCTTTTCTTTCCTTTTTCTCCAGAAGATGCATTTGATTCATGTCGAATATGTCCAACAACCATAGAGTGGAGAAAGAAAGAAGAGAAGGCAACCTGATGGATCAGGCCAACTCCTTCCATGCCGATCGAATCAAATAGCGGCGATGTATTAATCGTATTAATTACCAACACCCCGGAATTTCCTCCTTTCAGTGTGCATGGACCGCGTAATATTACACCATTGCGGGTAAAATCACCCCTCATCTGCCTCGTTATCTTTCTCCGCCTCACCATCCAAACAATAGTAAGACTTCTGTGGTTACGACTCCTGCTACGGCTTCTTTGACTTCTTCTGTTCTTCTCCTTTGCTTCTCCCTGTGGACCCCGTGGCATCCAATCTGTCGTCTCATCCCCTGCCTGACCGTGGTGGCGGATACTGACCCGGTCGCTTCGGGTTGACTCGTTCATCGTCTAGGCAGCAAGTTGCCTAACCTCGCTATCAGCATTGGCTTGGCTCTCTTCTGGTCTTATAAATTCCTCATCATCCCGGGTAAGTTGTGTCATCGTGACTCACCGTCCCTGTCATTTTTAGTTGATAACTGCGGTTTTTTTTTGGTGGTTTTCATGTTTTGATAGACTACTCGGTTCAAGCACTGCGAGAGAGCCGGATTCTGGTTGGACGGTGATGCTGTTGGCTCCAACGGTTTATTAAGCCTCCTGGACGTCGTGGTTCAATTGTATATTGACATCCCTCCAACTTCAAATGTCTTGTGTGTAGTGTGTGCGCTGTACTATTTCCACTCTTCTTGTTCTGCATTGGCTCTCCTTTCCATCGTTGCCTTTCTTTCCGTCGTGCCTGATCTATCTTCATGGTGTGGGCCTGAACTAATGGTCTTACCCAGATGACGTGTTACGGACATTGGCACCCAGTACGATGAGTGACGGAAATTATGAAGATCGAGGATCTCTGCCAATTCCATATCGGGGGGTTTCCAAGAATCGTGTCCTCGGTTCCGATCGTGTGGATTCGCCGTCCATGGGCTCCCCGGAGAGTGGTGAGCATCCCGGACATTCCAGGTAAGTTGTACGGCTCGTATAGAGCCCCGTCCGGTCGTGAACGTCAATCTCCGGGCAAGAGTAGCCCTCTCCGATTCGAGACAATCCGCTGACATGTGTGCAGGAAATCTGCCCCCCCGTGGGTGTCTGACGATGGATCCTTGGTGGGCTCTGCGGCCACCAACAGGGCCATCCATTCGGCCAGCGCCTCGTTTTCGAACCAGAGGCCCCCGTCAGCGGGGCCGGCGCACGACAGCCACAGTTCGGAGGCTCCTGGCGACCACGGCCCCGGCAGTGTGTCCCCCAACACCTTCCACGGGCCGCGCCAAGCATGGGAACCACTACCCAGACGCTCCACTCCCCGTCTGGCCCATTCGGTCAGTCGGCTAGCCGCCGAAAACCGAGCGGGAAGAGCCAGTCCCGTCGGCAGTGAACCCCGTCAATTTCGATTGTCCGCCGAATCCGCCGACGAAATGACTGGTAGTGACGGCGAGCGTTCCCGCCTGCACCCCCGGCCCGTGCAATCTAGCCCCGCGTCGACCGAGGGACCGATGGCGGCGCCTACCCCCACGACCAAACAGCGACACACCGCGTCGCGGCCGAGAGGGTCGCGTAGTGGTACCACGGAGAGACTCAGCTATGGACAGGAGTCGGCGCGAGGATTGAGTTTTGAGCAGAAACCCGCTGGAGGACTCTCTGCGGTAGCCGGAGGTACAGCATCACATGGTACTTTCCTACAGCCAGACACTCATCCTATAACAGAAGAGCAATTGATCAATGAGGTTCGCGGAATCTACGCCGGCCTGGTCATGGTGGAGAAGAAGTGCATCGAAATCGACAAAGAGCAGTCCGAATCGAACAGCGAACTCTCCCACCAGCAGTGGCAGACCTTGATCTCGTTACATCGCACCCTGCTCCAGGAGCACCACGACTTCTTCATGGCCTCCCAGCACCCGTCCGCGAGCCCCGTCCTGACGCGACTGTCCGAGAAATACGCCATGCCGGCTCGGATGTGGCGCTACGGCATCCATGCCTTCCTCGAACTTTTACGACACCGACTCCCCGGTTCTCTCGATCACATGCTAACCTTCATCTATCTGGCGTATTCCATGATGACCCTGCTGATGGAGACCGTCCCCGCCTTCGAGGAGACGTGGGTCGAGTGCCTCGGAGATCTGTCGCGATACCGCATGGCCGTCGAAGAGGTCGATCTGCGCGACCGGGAAGTGTGGGCAGGGGTCGCCAGGAACTGGTACAACCAGGCCGCCGACCGGAATCCCGACGTCGGACGCATTCAACACCACCTCGCGGTGCTGGCACGTCCCGACATCGTGCAGCAGCTTTTCTACTACACCCGGTCGTTGGTCAGCGTGCGTTCGTTCGCGGGCACTCGGGAAAGCATCCTCCTTCTGTTCAACCCGATACTCAAGGGTCCCCGAGCGAACCCCCATCACATGGCGGCCATCTCCTTTGTGGCCGCCCACGGCCGTCTCTTTACTGGAGGCACCGCCGCCCAACTTGCCGCCTCGGCAACTGAGTTCTTGTCAGTGCTGGACAAACACCTAGGCCGGGTTGGCTCTGCGTTCAAGATGCAGGGCGTCCACATGACCTCTGCGAATATCGCCTCCATGCTCCAATACTCCGGCACGGACAGCCTCCTCTCTGCAGAATTTCACCATGCTGCGCAGCATCCGAGATCGCTTGAGGCTGCGTACACGTCCGCTGCCGAAAATTGGACGCCTGTCCAGGATGTCCAGCAGATTGAAGCCGATCTGACTGCACTTGAGAATTTACAAACCCCCCTGCCCCTCGTATTCTACGGCTCCTGTCTCGCATTCAAGACCTTGTCCGTCTTTCTTGATCAACTTGGCGACAAGAACATCTTCCCCGCCGTTCACAGCTCTCTGGCCTTCCTCTGGTGCTTGGCCCTCACCACGAACGGCATGAAGCATGTCGAAACCATGGTCCCTTGGGAGCGAATTGTTACTTTCCTCAACACGATGGTCCGCCCCTGGGTCGATATGGCCTTGGTCGAACAACCCGAGTTTCCCATCTCGGAGGACACCCGATGGCTCCCCGAAGATTTCCTGATACGCGGCCAGCTCTGGAGCCAGTCTTTCTACCCCCCTGCATTCTTTGTGGGCTCGCCCACTGAAGATGACGGTCGCAACGTCGAACGGCCGTCTACGGGGATGTCCAGGACCTATCGATGCCTTTGGCTAGGCGTACGCCTTGCCACGGTGAGTCTATTTTCTTCGGTATGCATCATCAAACGTTGACCCACTAACGAATGTTCAGTTTAATCGCTGGTTTACGTACGACCCGAATGCGCACGAGTTCTCCGCAACGCCTTTTGCCAGTTCGCTGGAAAAGTTAGCCGAAAGTCATGATCCGTTGCAGGTAGCGAGTCCACCGAAGGGCCCGGAGATCACCCTGCACGATGCTTGAAGTATCGTTCTGTGACTCGCTGCCCAAGGGAGCGGCGTTGCGTCATTTGAATGTTTCCTGATCTCTCAGGAATTCTACTGGGCCTTGGAAAGGCTTGGATTTATTGTACTTTGCATAGCGATTGAGGTTTACCACGTGTTGGTTACCACCGCGCGGCACGATGACCATCCCACCTGGAGACAGTCTCTGTTTACCGTCTGATGCAAGCCTGGGGGATTAGGCCAGGCAACTATACCGAAAAGACACTCAGTCCTCGCTCTATGCAAGCACTGCACGGACCAGACTAGCTCCCTTACGCCTGGAGCGGGACCTGCGCAGTACCTTCGATGGTTATCCTGCTAGGGTCATCTTCCATCCGGGACAAGCTACGGGATTTCGCCGGAATTCCATGTACAGTACGGTCATCATATATATAAGGGGAGCAGAAATTTGTAAAAAGAACGAACCATAGTTATTGGTGGCTACAATGTATATATGGGATATATAAAGAACCAATGAGTTGAATGATTAGACAGGATAACAGAAAAAAAAAATACTAAACCAGGAACACATCCTTCTATAATAGCACTACCAGTATATCCAGTGGTTTAAACACATACATATTGGTTAGGTGCAACGACGAAAAGGACAACTGGCGACAGGCGGAGAGGCATCCGCTTTTAGCAGAGAAGGGAAAGGGTTGCGTTGCCCTGAAATGGAACCTCCGCTTTGGACTCCACCGCCGCCCAGTCAGTCGTCTTCCCGATCATCATTCACCCCGACCATCAACTAATCATGTCCGTCCGATCTCGATCTCCTTCTTGAACATCCGTTTGTTTTCACCTTGCTGTATAATTGTTCCTCCTCTTCCCTCACTGCTTGTCAAAGCAAGACGTTCCGTATCGCATGGCTGGCCAAGTACGGATCGTCGGTTCCACTTATCGAGCTTCCTGGCTGTGTCTCCCCCTCAGCGATTGACAGTCATCGCCTTCACGACTACCGCTTTCTACCCGTTTACCTACCTCTTTCGTGACCTACACAATTGCGGGCTTGTCCCAATGATGGCCGGGGAATCATGGACGGGGGTCTGCGTGCACTGCGCTGAGATCCTGGCGAATGTCCCCCCACAGATTCTCCTCGCGACGATCGCTGCAACGCTGCTGGGGTTCCTCGTTCTGGTATGTCCAATTGCCGTGTCGCCAATTGAGTCACGAAAACCCTACCCTTACTGACTACTTTTTGTCTGCCTACACAGTTCTACGTCACCCTCTACATCGTCGCCCCCATCCCGCGCGAACCCCTCCCCGAAGAAAAGACCTACCGCACCCTCTCCAAAGACGGCTCCATCACTGAACCGGAACAGCTCCCCTGCTGGCAGGATGCCCAGGGTAAGCGCTCGGTCCGGAAACCCGCCCATGCGGATATGGAATCGGCCGAAGTGTTCATGTCCTTGGTGGTCCCGGCCTACAACGAGGAGGACCGGCTGGGCGGTATGCTTGAAGAAGCGGTGAACTATCTCGAGCGCATGTACGGTACCCTGGCTGCTACCGCCGCCGCCTCCGCCTCTGCCTCTGCGAATGGCAGCGCCAAGCGCACGACACGCAGCGCTACGCGACAACGGAAGCCTGCGGAGAATGGTCACGCGATGAACGGCCACGCAGCCACTAATGGGGCGGCGTCGGCATCGGCATCGGCAGATAAGGGATGGGAGATCATCATCGTGTCGGACGGATCCAAGGATAAGACGGAGGAGATGGCGTTTTCGTTTGCCCGCGACCACCAGCTGTCCTTGCATCCTAAGGGATATGCGGGTCCTTGGACCCCCGGGACCCAGGAAGGCGTGCACATCCCGCCGGGGACGATTCGCGTGGTGAGCTTGGCGCAGAACCGCGGGAAGGGCGGCGCGGTGACGCACGGCATGAGACACGTTCGCGGCCAGTATGTGGTGTTTGCCGATGCGGACGGGGCTAGTAACTTTGAGGATTTGGGGAAACTGGTGACGGCCTGTCGAGCGATCGAGGACCCCGCGGGACGTGGGCTGGCGGTGGGATCACGGGCGCATATGGTTGGAAGCGAAGCTGTTGTCAAGGTATGTTTATTGGTTCTGTTTTCTCCCTTCTTTTTTTTTTTTTTTTTTTT